GAACATTCAAGTAGGTAACTCGAAAGCTTTGAAATTTCAACAAAAGGTAGCACCATTGACTGTATTATCAATTAAAATCATCTCGACAACTGTTATTAAAATTATACGTAATAAACACGAACAAGCCCGTCTAATATTCAGCGGCAAAGTTCGTTATGTTCGCAAAACCGACAGTGGAAAGTTTTAATACGTTTTCGGCCATTCTATAACTCTTCAATTCCGGTTTTATTTACGTTTACTCTTTCCTTAATAATAATCTTTCTCTTCGAGTTCGCTAAAGCGCATTAATCGCGCCGAAAACGCGCTCCTGCTCCCACGCGAAATTATGTTATTGTTTCATCGGGAACGGGAAAAGATTTCTACGGGGGTCGTTCGAAAAGAACGATTCTTCACCAAAATAATAATCCATTTTTGGGTCGTACTTTACCCTTAATACCTTCTTACCCACACCGTTCCACGATGAGTATAAAGTTCGTAGAACGGAGGTTAGATGAATGTAGCGGAGGGTAGATGCAGGGTAAAAGGGGGTAGCGGAGGGTAGTGTAGAGTAGTGGAGAAGGGAGTAGCGGGTGTTAGGCGAAGGGTAGCGAGGGGTAGTGTGGCTAGAGGAGGATAGAAGACTTTAATTAAAAATAGTTTCCGAGCTTTTTTTATTTTTTTATAATGCAAAATTTCAATTAATACTAAGCGTAGATTACCGAGCATTAATATATTTTTTTAGTGCAAATTTTAATAAAATATTGAAACGCCGTAATTTTATAGGAAAACACTTTATTATCACAACACCAATAATCGCCATTATAATAGGTCGCCGATATTCGCCGTTCACCGAATTGTAGTTCGCCACGCCAACGCCGGCTTGACACTGTCCTCCCTACCTCCCCTTGCCTAGCGCGCTTACTCGCCTTAAGCCGCCTTCGCCGGGTCGTTAGACGTCACACACTAGACGAATCATATTCCGCAAATTTCTTTGTCGGTTCAATATTTTACTTTATTTACTATGCAAATTGAATATTTTGTATTGCGATTTTTTAATAATCATTAGGCATTTTTCATTATATAACCATGCATTTTTAATTTTTTAACCGAACATTTATTATTTTTTTGCCGAGGAAAATGCATTTTTCAACCGAACCTAAATTCCCACACGATAATAATTTATCGTAGAGTATTATAGATTAACATTCTGGTAGATTCGTTGCGCCCGGATATCTATAAAGATGATGAAAACAGGAGAAATGTGGCGATTTAATCTCGATGCACTTACCTCCAAAGTTCGTCCGAGTTTCGCCTAGGATTCTTCACCGGTCGGGATATTAACCCGTTCCGTTCGATGACAAGTGTTCGCATCGAGTCCAGCCATCCTGGCTGGCACCTAATCTATCCTGGAACGTGACTGGAACAGGCCAGAAACGGCCTGAAACCAGAGATTGGGCTAATTCTCGTCCGTCGGTTTACTTACTCTAACGTTTTCCAAACAGACTAGATTTACACCGGAATATTCCAGCAAATATCTTGCTTCAATTAATTAATTAATTTCATAAAAGAAACTTAAAATAGGCAATTTATATTTAATACTGCATATTAAGAGCATGACAAAAGAATGATGTTCTTCATTTAGAAAAGCAAAACTCAATTTGTAAATACAATCCAAATACTGTATACCGTTTCTAAATACTTCATGAATAAGTAGTCATACATAAATAACTGATAATGTAGAAATGACAAACAATGCGAAATCGTTTATCTTACATATCAATCATTGGTCAGTAGCGCATTTCACGTCCACATCTATTCTCTTAGATCTGTAGCTGATTGTTGCAACATCCGCATCGGATTTCTGGTGTAAACGTACCGTCTTCCGAGACCATTACAACTTCCAGCCGGCGCGTTTCCTTTCGCTTTGTCAATATTTCTGTTTGGCATTGTCTTTGCGGCTGGTTTAGGATAGTGTTACTAAAAGATTCGCCCATCAACCGCTGGAAGGATTTCGACGGAAATCCGACACCGAACGTGTAGGTACACTCAAGAATATATCGAAGGCGTTAAAAAGAATCCCCTATAAGAAACACGAGGAGGGTCGGGGGGAAACGGGGAGCTATAAAACCCCGGCGACACCTTGCTAAAACCAATTTAAATTTCAAGCATTGCCATATTCGACGTACACCGTCAGAGAAACAGATTAAGAGCTCAAGCTTCGAGTTAATCTCCCCCAGGGGGGCCCTAGGGACGGCCCGGGGTCTCCGAGGCGCAGTTTCCGACCTCCATGCGCCTCAGTCGAATATAGAATAATAAAAATCAGGGGCGTACGATCAAATTTAGGCTGTGATTTCAAGTGGTAAATAACGAATGGTATCAGAGTTGACGGAAAATGGAAATTTCTCACAAAGAAGGCCGTAAGGCCTTCGAGCCGCTGACTGGAAAACCACTTTTGAAACCGCCCGAAAATAAAGGTGCCGGTCTAGTATGCGGTCTACCCAAATTTATTTTATACAAAGTATTTATAACTTTATAAGATTTTGAAAATTGACCCTTCATTAACCAAAAGAAAAAAAAATACTGGTATTGTATGAACAGCAGCATGTAAGTAATTTATCATGGATTGGGGTAGTACCAGTATTTATTTAAACGTAAGTATATTTTCATTAAGCAAACGAAAAGATTTTACTAGTATATTTTATTATGTATGAAGTAGCAGGAAAGTAATTAAATATACCGAAAATTAAAAAAGTACCAGAATTATCAAATAGTCAAATAGCCAGAATATCATAATTCAAATAGCAAATTGAACAACATTAAATACCAAAAAAAATAGATCCATGCCCTGTTGTCAGAGCAAAGTGGCGTTTTAGTGAGTGGTGTGATTAAAAGGAGTATTTGCTTGTACTTCAAGTAAGAGTTTTTATTTCCTAGTATTTTGTGGAGAATAATCTTTTACAAGTAAATTTTTCGATGGGAAGTGTTTATTTTGGTTAGAAGTATAAAGTAGTACTTAGTAAATACTGAGACTAATACTAAGACGCTTCCTGGGCATGATGCAACCACAAACGTGAATATTTATTTAGAACTGCATGTAGCTTGCACATTAATAGGTACTACAAAATCCTTTGTGGTTGAAATGTTCTTCCCCGTAAAAATTTTGGTTTTATAATTTTCTATAATATTCTTTCTATTTCTTTGGTTTTATAAGTTTTCTATCGCTCTAATTGCCCTAAGTGTCCACCCATCTTTAGCTAGGTAATTCTATTTCTTGTGGATTTAAAGTAAAAGAAATGCAATCATTTATCTTCGACACATTTTTTTGTTAAAATGGGCGACGAAATATGTATGTAGACCGCGTACTAGACCTGCACCGAAATAAGACTACTTTCAAGATTCAATCATTCAATCAACAGTTTGTAGTTATTAAGAGAAAATCTTATTGTTTAAACCTTCAAAGATATGGAAATTTCTGATAGAGTCATCAAAAGAATATTGTCTTTTGTAAATCTTCTTAGTTGCAATTATAGTTCTCAATTATAGAACAATTTTAAACAGGTAAAGTATTACATTGGCAAACCTTTTAGTACACCTACTAAACTCCGAAAACAACAATTTGCAACAAAGCAGAAAACTCTATTTATATTGCAGATATTTTTAAGCGCATCCTAGAAACACTGAAAATTTATAGCGCTTTCCCAATCGCGCGAAATTCGTCTATTTCACCATTAATTAACCGCTGAAACGCCGTCGATTTCAATTCAGCGTTTCTCTATTTGCCCCCGCTACTTGCTTCATTTGGTTGGTTGTGTTCCCCTTTTACTATTCCGCCCTGCGAATTTACAACTGGCAATTAGAGCAAAATGAGAACGGAGCACGTCAAACTTGGCGAGCGAACTCCCATCGCGAGGCCACCGTGAGAACGTTCCTAAATGGCTCTTAAGGTTTCGAGGTGTGGAGCGAAACATTTAAAATTACTCAACCTTGGTATTTTGACGATAAAGTTCGCGCGTTTTAAAATAACAATAACGTCATTTATAGTAATTTCCACGTAGTTCAAAATGTCCCTAGTGTCAATGTTAATTTTGCTATTTGACTAGGGGAATTTTATGTAGCGCGGTTTAATTGTCGATGCGTTGTTGCCATATCGATAATCTCAAATTTCTGCTATTGGTAGTTGACACATTTTGACTACAATTTGTTTGTTTTTAAGATTTCCCAGAATTTTTTTCTTTTTCTGGACCATTCTAAACGATTTTAGACAGTTCTAAAGGCCTTTGGAGCGTTCTAAATGGTTTTAGACAGTTCTATATGATTCTGGAGCGTTTTAAATGATTCTAGACAGTACTAAATAAATTGTGGAGTGTTCTAAATGGTTATAGTTAGTTCAAAATGGTTCTGGAGCGTTCTAATTGGTTCTGGAACGTTTTAAATCGTTCTGGAGCGTTCTAAATGGTTTTAGACAGTTCTAAAATATTCTGGGGCGTTCTAAATGATTCCAGACAGCACTGAATGAATATGGAGCGTTCTGAACAGTTATAGACAGTTCTAAATGGTTCTGGAGCGTTCTTGATGAATCTGGAGGATTCTAGACAGTACTGAAAGGTTCTGGAGCGTTCTAAACAGTTATAGACAGTTTTAAATGATTCTGGTTTTAAACAGTTCTAAATGGTTCTAAATGATTTTTTTTTCTTTTTTTCCTTTCATTCAATTTTATTTAAATGAAAGATGTACATTTAAATTTGCAACCTTACAAATTTTCTAGTAACTTTTTGGATGTTAGGCTTAAGTTAGGCTTCTCAAAATGCTCCTTCTAGTTTTTAAAGATTATAGAAACCGGCAACGTTGCAACAGGCTGGCTCGTGACATCATTATAATTTTAAAACATACGAAGTTTAAATAATCGGTTTAAATTTCAGGGAGTGAAATTGTCCATTCTCCTGGGCCTCTAAAGAGCCCGGGACAGTGTTAATATTCATTATTATTTATTATTAATACGATTTAATTCTGATAATTTGTTGTACAAATCCTTGTTACAAAACACGTTCCTATCTTTATCAATATATTCGACGTAAACATCACGTTCCGTTTGAATATACAATCCGGTTTTGATCTAATAATATTCCGGAAAACGTTATTAACGTGGAAAAGTCGGAAAAGCCGGTCGCTTTAATTCAATTACAAACGTACAAAATATGAATACAAAACGGTAGCGAGGTATGTTAACAGTCGGGTACTGTTGACACACATACATGGAGATTAATTAGCAAACTTTCGTGAAAGGATTGTAAAGTTGAATAACGCAACTGACCCGACCGTTTCGCCCCGTGCACTACTCGTCACATAACAACCAGCGATGATATGTTCTAGTTTATAATCTATTTATTTTATATATTGCATTAGAGGAAAGTTAGGCCATTTTTTGCATTCGCATTCGCAACAAAGACAAAACGAATCGTTCATTTTAATTATAATCACTTCACTCCCAAAAATTATCTTAACATTCAAAAAAAAAAAACGTAAATAAACACTCAAATTATAATATGTTCATAATTTCCTTAACGCAATTCATCCGTTTGTTCTCCGAATCGTTTTGGCCGGAAAACGAATGCAACTGCATCGTCCCCATGAAATCCGAATTCTCCTGAATTTTGGCCTTGACGGATGGCCTGTGCGGTCCCGATGACGTTATTAGAGTGCCCAGCACCACGTACGCTCGAAACTGTGCCTCTGATTCCGTTAATTTCGTTATCAAATCGGGCAAAACTTGCGCGAGAACTTTAATGCCTATTTCATCTTGGATTTTCAATATCAGAATCGTCATGTTCAGAAGACACGTCGCTAAAGCCACCTAAAAGTCACATTAATAAGTACAAAATTAATAAGGTAGTTTTACTCATACTTGGCAGTTCTTCTTCAGGTGCGACAATGAAGTGAAATTTTCTAAAATGTCGAATCTATTGCCAAACACTAGACTTTCGCCGGGTTCTTGTAAACATAAATTAGTTATGATCCGAAGGGCTACAACGGTGTTGTTCTGTATCTTACAATCGGAATTTATGTAATTCTTTATCTTCTCCATGATTACACCTTTGTTTAAGTTCACTATAACTTTGTTGTTCAATTGATTTCGAACAGCTAATCGTATTACATCCAACACTGGAAATATGATATCTACAAAAAAATATTACTGATCAAATTGGTGCATTATAGCAAAAGCCTTAGAACATTAGAAATATTAGAACTTATTTAGATAACCCGTATTTCACGCCCATATTCACCAATTTCGGCTTGTCAACCTGATAACTGTCAGTCTGATAAAATTTAACAGTCGGTTAACAATATTTGTTCTTCACCACGATATTTGAACTAACCACGGCCCTATATTTCTAAGGACTGGAATCTCCCTATGCTTATGCATTAGAGAATGTGTCTCGTTATTTGAGGACTTTTTGAGCTTCACTTTTGCGCCGCACCGTGGCGAACGATCGAAAGACCAACTTATCTCAGCCAATCAGCGTCGCGCTACATATAAATCGCGGTTGTGAGACGACAGTTCAAGCTGTCAAAACTTCAAAAATTATTTTTTGACATTTCGAAGAGAAAATTGAGAAATACATTAACCGAAGATACGTGAGGCATGATGTTTACAACAAAATCATCGCTGATTTAAGTATATTTTTATATTTTGTATCTATTTTAAGTTTGAATAAAACATATCTTGATGCTAATTCTACATAATTCGTACGCAAAAAACCGGGGTCCTTTACAACATCGCCTCCTAGCGGCCGTTTTAGGAACCCTGTTTTATCCTCAAATAACGGGACACTTTTTCGACCCATGTTTCCAGACCTTAGAAATATAGGACCGTGGAACTAACTGATAGTAGTGTTTTCTTAAAAATGACCATTAAGTTGGCATTACGATATAGTCATGCGAAAATCATAACCACAATTTACTAAATGATGTCAAATATGTATATTTAAAGAATTAAATAACTATAATAACCGGATTCCAGCTGTTATTCCATCTAACCGAACCTTTCTTCAATCTGAACATATTTTTAAATTCTATTTCGGAATATTTTTATCTATTTATAATATCTATTTTTATCTTTGGAAGATGAATTGAACAATTTGTGAAACTCTATTCTCTTTATCTGCTCCCTAATACACTACGTATAAAATTAAAATGTAATATGTCACTGTTAAATAGTCGTTAAAACTTTAAAAATTTCGTCATTTGCATTGATGTTATCAGTCTGTTACTTCTTTTATCAGTTCGATTTTGCTCTGATACTTTTATCTGACTTAAGTATTAACTGACATTGGTGAATGCCAAAATATGACATACATTGATAAATACGGGCGTAAATACAAAGGTCTGGTAACTACAGAATTTCGATTTTTTGAATTTTTCGAATTTTCGGTGGAGGTGTCAAAACGGAGGCGACAAAACTTCAAAACTTCCTCATTATCCGCGACACCCCTTCCACCGGAGTTACAAAACCTTTACTCCGTGAATACGGGTCATTGCATTTGACATTATGTATTAAAAAACTTATCATACTAACCATCGGGCCACTCCAACAATTTAGCGAGAACATCGACGGCATTTCCTTCAGTGGCCGGTTCCGAGCACAACTTCACGAAATCCTCCAAGTCCTTATCGTCCAATTTGTCGTTGCCGTCGCCGCATTTCTCGTTGAACTCCTTCAGTTTTTTCAGTATGACGCTCGGCTCGCCCGTATCGAAACTGTAGTACTCTTTCAAAGGGAAAAAGTTCCCGGCGGAGCCCTGCGCTTGCGTGCTGTAACTCGAACTGCCGGTAAACGGATCGGCGTTCGCGCCCGCCGAGGCGGATTGTTGCGGGGCGGCGTTCATCGAAGACGAGTAGCTGCTGGCCCCTAAAAATGTACAGGGTAGAATCGGAGAATGGTAATTCGTGTAGATAATTGTACCGGTGAAGGGATCTAAATTGACGCCGGATGCTTGGTTATTAGCACCGTAACTCGGCATGTACCTCGATCCTCCGGTGAAGGGATCTTGATGCGGGGTAGAAGGCGGTACGTATTGTTCTTTGCTGTTTGTAAGTATGAAATTGACGACCTGCGAGTAGAATTAGTTTATTTGTAAGAGGAATTCGCGTTAATCGATTCGAATCGTACCTGCTCTAAGTAATCTTTGGGTAAATTGTGTTTGTTTAAAAATTTATCGGCTGCTTTGTATGGATCTTCGCCTCTGTTGAAAGGTAATTTCAGAGGAGGTTTGCCGTCTTCGACGTCGACTGAGAAGACAAAATCGTACGCCTAGAATAAAAAAAATATTCAGTTAACTTTAATGCACATAGAGGGTATTAATTAATTGAGTGCCGATACTTCAGAATCGAAAACTAAAAGGTTTAGGACAAATATTGATATAAACTTTTCTTCTTAAAATCATCCAAATATTCACATCCTGAAGTATCGTTCACTCAATTAATTAACACCCTGTATAATTCTCTAATTACTTCTCCCTCGAAGACAGTTCGTCCGTTTTCATCTTTATCACTGCCACCCAGTACTTCTCCAACTTTCTCCCAATGACTGCTATCTCCGTCTTCCACCCAAGTGTAAGCTACAACGTTCTGGTCTTCTCTAATCATTTTCATCTGACCGTTTCTCTTGCCGGGATCGTACAAAGCCTCCTTACCGGGTAAACTAAAAATAAACAAATTTTACACCTGTAGCTTTCTACTACATTTACAAATTATTACTCGGATACTTTGACTCCTCCGATTTCTTGCAACGCCTGCCTTTTAAGCGCCATCACGTCTTCGGCGAATTTAACTAAATTAACTTCATCGGTCACTCGGCTGTCATCTTTCGTGAATATCCTGATTATTCCATCGCTACGATAAAATCAATCAGCTCGATAGTTCGATTACGTTATGTAAATTTAGTACCTGGTTCCTGTTACTATGTCACCGTTGAATAAACTGGCTACCGCCCAAACGGACTGTGCTGGTAACTCGATGTTGGATTTGATTTCGTGGTTCTGCCAAAAATTGACGGTTCTATCTTCGTCCGATGTTACAAAACTATCTAAACCGTGCGGTCTGCATCTCGCTATACTGATAAATATTTCATTACCGATTAGTACGTTTTCGATCGAGGAGTTAAATTTTACCTATAAATAAAGTTTTTATGCCCGTACAGAGTATTCAAATTCTCCCCGTCGTAGTTCCAAATTCTAACTGTAGCATCGTTGGAAACGCTCATGAAGTATTTCAATTCAGGAAAATCCTCTAAGCATCTAACGGCGTCTTGGTGTCCTGTCAACGAATGGAATTACTAATATTTTAATTGCAGTAACAGCTAATTACATACCTACTAAAGTGTTGGCTTTTTGTCCGTTTTCAGACCATATACCTATCGTTTTATCTGCAGAGGCGGTAATAATTTTACCATCGCTAATTTGCAGAACATGCCACACAGCGGCCGTGTGGCCAGTAAAAGTCTGAACGGGCTGAGAGGTAGATGACGATAGGCACCACAATTTCGCGGTGTGATCCCACGACGCACTTAAAAAACTGTTTTTACTTTGACCTTTAGATAGGGCACACACTAAAACGTTAAACATCTCATACAATGTAATAGATAGAAAAGCTACAAGTTTACCTGTGTTTGTGTGCTCGGCTTTAATAGAATAGGTAGGGAAGGGTTCACCTGGCTTAAATATAAATATTGCTTTGTCGTAACCTCCTGTAACAACCAGACCGTCTGGATATTCGTTTGTCGGTTCCAGATAGAGGACACTTCCAACGAAATTTTCATGGCCCTTGTAAGTCATTACTTCGGCGTAGGTATTTTGAAGGCTACGGAATAAACGGGTCTCTTGGAGACAAAACTGTTTATTTTATAATGTAGACATACTTACGGGTTGTACTTCCAGTACTTGGCTGTTCTATCTCTAGAGCCGCTTATAATATCATTGTTTGCCGTAACCGCAATAGTTCGGACGTCCATTGAATGACCGTACAAGGACTGGCTTAATTTAAAATCTTTCGTCATTTTCGAAGTAGTAATAATTCTTAAGAAACTACTAAATAATTACACACAAAAAGCTGATGTAAATGTAAGAAACAAATACAAATTTTTTGGTTAATTTTCGCCTGTCATACTGGTTGACAGGTTGTCACTTGTCTTCTATTGTTTAATTATTAGGAATTTTATGTAATTTATTAATTGCGATCAGTAAAAAGTCTTTCTTAATTACTGATTTGTGGGTGCACAAATTATTTGATCTAATTGTTTTGATGAATTTTAAATATTAATTTTGTAATAAGTGTTGCCTAACTGTTAGGTGAAGTTGTCTGTGTAGAGTAGAGGGCGCTACTTTATTAGGCATTTTTTAGCGTTTCAATACAAATTTGTAAATTTTGGATTGTGTTAATAAATAAAAGCCCATTTGTTTATTATTTAATATAGTAGTATTCCATATTAAAATGAATGCTTTTTTTGTTGCAATAAGGGATAGAAAAATACAAAAATCAGGACTTGTAATTTTAAGTCAAACTCGTCGACACGAATAAATGCCTAAAGAATTGAATTAAAAGACAAAATGGTAATAGTTTCATAATTTACAAAAGCAGATATTCAATTAATTTTCGTATATCATCGAATTAATCTAATTATAAAAGAAAAGACCGTAGACAAATTGGTAAATATAAAGAAAAATTGTTTCGCACAATTTGAATTTGGCGCTGAAAAAAATTGACATAAAGGAAGTCAAGGGGCCACCATTTTCTTTCACTTCACGACTTCGCCTTAGCCGGTTAAATTCGGGCACATGTGCTTTGTTAACATTTTTTAAGATAAGTCACTTATCAAACGAACTAAAATCTCATCAAAAGAACCGGTAGGAATACCATAAAATACACAGAATGAACACCGAAAAGCTTAAAAAACTACAATCACAAGTCAGAATCGGAGGAAAAGGCACGCCGAGGCGCAAGAAGAAGGTCGTGCACTCCACACAAGCGACGGACGACAAAAAATTACAATCCTCCCTGAAGAAACTATCGGTCAACACCATACCCGGCATCGAAGAGGTAAACATGATCAAAGAGGACGGCACCGTCATACATTTCAACAATCCCAAAACCCAGGCCTCCCTAGCTGCTAACACATTCGCCATCACGGGCCACGGCGAAAACAAACAGATTACCGATATGTTACCGGGCATTTTGAGCCAATTGGGCCCCGAAGGCATCACCCAGTTGAAGAGACTGGCCAGCACTGTAGCTAACGCAGGTAAATACACTTTTATAACTTATACTTCCTGTTGTTCATCGAACACCTTTAATTGCTCAAAAATTAATTATGTACTGTTTTGAAGTATTTTAACACTTTCCTGTGGATGTCTACATGTACTACAAGACCTATCTTCCATTCCTATGTGGATTTTAGGTCTACACGGAAAGTGTTAATGTTATCGAATGTTTTCGTGTAATAGTAGTATTGATAATAAATCTGCTGTAATTAATTTGATTGATTAGGAATTGATGGATTAATTTTGTTTGTTTTGTTCAAGGCGTGGGTAAGATTGTGCCGGAAGACGAAGAAGACGTGCCGGATCTGGTGGAAAACTTTGACGAGGCCTCGAAGGCGGAAGTGGCGAAAAAGAGCGAAGAGAAGCCGAAAGAGAATTAAAAAAGGAACGCGGCCTCAGATCGTCGGGAGGATGTTTTTGAAGTTTTCGATTTCGTTGGACTCGATTTTTAAGTTTTTGAGCGCATCATTTTCCTTTTTTTTTTTTTTCTTCTCCCCGATATTTATATGTTGAGTAATTAAAATTAACCCGACTCATAATTTTTTGTTGATGTTTTGGGCATATGTATAGAATATTTCATAGGAAATATATAAATATTCTAATACTAGGTGATTTTCATTTTACTTGTAGCTCTAGTATTTTTTCGAATGTGTTATCGCAATTGTGGTTGCGGTATTTTTTATTACTTTTTATTTAACAACATAAACTCGACGAGTGGTTTGAAACAAACTAAACTTCACTACTAAAATTTTCCTATGTACGTTTCTTGCTTTTTGTTTAATAAACACAAGTTTTGTAGAAAAAAAACAACTTTAATTTGTACGACAAATACCAATTAATACTCTCCGATATACATATGATTATTACAAAATTCGCAACTAAGCTATTAGGTTGGCTAAAGAATTCCTGCAACCGAGGCCACCTCTTAGTCGGTTATTTCTTTAACTTTTTCCTTGTTGTCCCTATAGATAGTGTAATTCAAAGCGGTAGCGACGCACAACCACAGGCAATAGGGCACAACGAGCAGTCCTGCCGTGGGGTTGATTTTGTAGAAGAGATACGCCATACCCAAGGCCGTACCGTTCACCAATTGCATCTCATACAAAGCCTGAAAAATACACTCTTCTTAATATAATTATCGTATACAGGGAGCGTAAGGGCTTTTTTACATGGTGCAATTTATTGCTGCAATATTGCAATGCAGTTAAAATACAAACGTTCAAAGTATTGGGACCACCAGCTTTTGATATATCAAGTATATTCGGTATTAATTAGCCATTTTACTTAAAACTTTGGGTTATAGTTTCTTCAATGCAAAAAAACTATGACCTCGGGTAGAAAAATACTGATGAATTACCCCGAATCTGCCATTCATGGTCAGCGCAGTTAACAATCTGGTTAAATTTCCAGAAATATCCCTTTCCACTCACCATCACAACATTAAGATGTAAATTAAGCCGGTAATTTTATTTTTTTGCGCCCAGCGGGAAGATTTATCCACTTATCCAATGTTTATTGCCGCTTGCAAAAAACTGCAATGCAATATATTGCACCGCGTGAAAAGGCTCTAAGCAAACTCACCAATTTAATATCTTTCTTGCCGAAGAAGATAGGCGTCCACAGCCAATTAGCCGCCAGATTGGTCCCGTAGACGATCAGCGGCACTCTAGCAGCTCCTAACACCAACAACTCATTAGCTCTAACTCTCAATGTTACGCTTACGCAATTGACTTGACAATTAACTCACCATCGAATCCGCCGCCGTCCCTGTAGACGAGGTACGAGGCGTACCCCACGGAGGTGTAGAGCGCCGTCCAGACGGGGGCGAAGGCCCGGTTGGGCGGCCGCCAATTGGGCTTCTTGAGGCTCTCGTACCACGGGTTGATGGCCCTGCGGGTGATGAGGCCGCCGGCGACGCCGCCCAAATTGGGCAGAGCGCTGAAACCGATCGCCGGCCAGTTCAATTCGATCATGATCGCTGATTTTGTTCGATGGTGCTACGGATTGACTGTCGGTGTGACTTTATAACCTAATAATTTATCTTATCTAGTCGCTATTTTCGATTGTACCTATGCACTTGCGAATGACACGACGTACTTTTGCATCGATCAAAGTGCAATTGCGTGTAAGTGTATGTTATGTTTCCTCGATTGTGTCATGGATATTTGCATTGGTGTGCGAGACCTTGAATGAGCGACGTAAAATTACATTATAACGAGGCTTTATCAAAATATTTATAAGTCGGGAAATTACAGTTTTTTTGTACACGCTGATTAGGTAGAAACTTTATAATCAATATTTGTTTCTATCGATTTTTTGGGAAATTATGATTTGGTTAAAAAATAGGAGCTAGTTGGATTTTGATATAGATACACAGTGTACCCACGGACGAAGTTGAAAGGAGAAAATATAAAATCCTTGTTATTAATTTTACGACAAAAGTTCATTCTTGGTAAAAATCGTCTCCTGCTCGTTGAGAAGATAATATTCACATATCAAAATTTTAGGTCATATGTATAGGGTGTTTTTTAGTTAAGTAAGAAAATGTGAAAAGTTTGTAGAGTATTTTTACTATATTATGGTCTGTTTAATTAAGAACTTTTAGGTGGAGCGATTTAAATGTCAGACTTACACCAAAAAAAGTTAATGCCTAGAAAATTTGCAAGGCCTTAAATAATGTAAATACATATCTTTTATTTAGATAAAATTGAAGGTAAACTTACAATAATTACATTAAAAGACGAAATGAATTGCAAAGTCACCCAAATATGACATAACACATTTCTAAAACATAACCTAAAAAGGTGATAAACAAACAAGACAAGAATAATAAAGTTCAATAGCGTGAACTTGACTCGTAGTGTAGTAGTGTTGCCATTGTTGCCAACGAATTTTTTTTATACAGGGTGTCCGATAAATAGACGGAGATATTGTAGAGGGTGTTTTCTTGTTAAAAATATGAAAAAAGTTTCGATAAACATGTAGGTCTGGGAATGAAGAGTTTTCAAGCTTAGATAGATGATTTTATTATATAAAAAATATTATTAATATTTATAAAAATCCAATTAAATACTTGATTCTGTAGAAATTAGGAAATATTGTTGGTTGTATTAAGTTAAAAGGCTAATTTAGCCCTAAATAGATTAAAATTATTAATTCCAGTGGTGTCCCGGGGTACATTATAGCGAATATTCTTGGCAAAAAAATGTACACCACTGTCTGGTTTTGTAACTTATTATTTTTTGTTTTATTGAGCATCTAAAAATACATTTTTTTATCTCTTGTATTTTTTTCGTATCTCACTTCGTTTTTGTAGAAAAAAATAAAAACCGTTTTATTGCATGTCAGTCATGTCACTGAAAAAGAAATAAGGTTTATCAAATTTTTACTAAAAAAAAATCACAAGGACTGGACTTAACAATTATAAACTATTTAGGGCTAAACTATATCCTATCAATGCAACAAATAACATTTTTTTGTGGAGAGCCATCAAAAACAAAGGATTTATTCAAATAATTTGCTACATGATAGAAATGTATTAAAACGAATAAGGGGAGAAAATAAATGAACCCGCAGATCATTTGGGAAGTTTAAAAATAATTTATACCCACTCTTTTAACTTACTTTTTCCCGTTATCTTAATTTAAAAAACAACTTGTACATCTAACATCTTGTTTTTTTAGTGATATTCTAGGAGAAAACGTTTGTTATTCAGCATTATGCTTTTACACACTCATAAATATCAAGGAATTTTTAGTTACACTTATCAGTTATGTATTTGATAAAATGTTTGTAATAGATACACGCAATCAATAAAATTTGATGATTATCTAGATCTGTTCAAATTTCAAATTAGGAAAAGGTACAGAAACATAAGAGCAATATAAATCAATTTTATTACTTATATTTACATTTATTATAATGAACTATAATGAACACTCAATAGGATACACTGAATAGGAACATATATTTTATGTATTATAGTTATAATTAACACTTCCAAACAACAACTGCTAAATTTCCACCGAAAAACATGTATAAAATAGTCCCGATTTCGTAAGACACTTCGAACCCGAAAGCTTCTCCAACAACAACGTGATGTGGTGTTCCGAATTTCTTATCCATTTCGTCCTTTATTAATTTTGCTGCGCCCTAAAAAACCACCCATAAATAAGACTCTTATTACACCTTCTTGTTCAAAATAAAAATCCGCGTTTATTTCAAAAATATATTAAAATAAATAATTATTACAAATTCAAAAAAAATACTGAGTCCAAAAGGCATTATTTCCAAATAATCGTCGCTACGTTGCCTCCAAAAAACAAGTACGCCACATTACCGATTTCGTATGATATTTCAAATCCGAAAGCTTCGCCAATAACAACATTAAACGGTGGACCAAATTTTTTGTCCATTTCTATTTTTATCATTTTAGCGCATTCCTGAAAATGGGTCAAACATTTTAGTCAAACAGGCATATTATATAAGTGACCCTTCATCTGGAAACCTCCTACTCCCAATTTCGCTTAGAAATTTTCGATATTTTTCGATTTTTTTTGAGACCACTTACTTCGTTATTGTTGCCGAATTTTTCACATGCAGTTGTTACAATATCGGCTGCTTCATTTTGAGTTTCTTCGGACATATCCGAGTGCTGCAAAAATAGAGAAAAACGTACAAGATATAAATATTTCATTTCACTCTGTACAATTATTATTTTATACTATTGAATAGCATTTTTTGTAAGCTTTTTAATTACATATCACAAAATTTGTAAAATATATATAGCCATTATTATAGCCTCACAGTAATTTAGGCTATATTAAAACTGACCTAATTATAAACTGAAAGATCCATGGATTATTGCAATAATATATAAAATCCAATAATAAACAAAATTATGATAGATAAGCAAAAGATGAGCAAAGTAATATAATAATAAAAAATGAAAAGATCATTTAATTTTATAAATTTTTTCAATATAAAAATATTACGTCCAATCCTCCCATAAATTTATTTAGGTGCAATTACAAAAATTTAGTGTTCTTATTTAATCGATAAAAATTATGACTCACCCTAATCAAAGGGTAAGTAAAAACAGGTCCTTTTTTCTCTCCTGGTTTTCCCTCGTCGTCTGCCATGTTAATAATATAAAATATATGGAATTGTAATTAATTTAAAAAATAAATCAACATTTTGTAATAAACCGCGAGTAAAGTTGTTTATACACCTTGTCAAAGTCAAAAACAATGACACCAACATAACTAGATTTTCGTAAGAAAATTACTCATGGCCTAGCCGAATAAACGTATAATAAAAGGACAATTAAATTCCACAAACAAGAAGAATTATGAAATCATAAAATGACAGTTGTTTATAAACCCAAAATATTTTAATTTTTTTGTCAAATTTACTACCTTTCTCATGTCCAATACCTACAGTTAAGAGTACCCAACGAAATGGAATATATCGCCGAAACCATCGCATTAGGAATAGACTCCTTGATCCTAGCGACATGTATCAAGCAATATTACAAGAACAAAAACGCTATGGCAATGATACAAGGAGCCCCCTATCTCGAAATCAACAAAGACCTACACGAAATCGTCGCCACACATCCGGAAAACAAGCTGTCTTACGTGTCAATCAGGGGGTCCGTAAAGCCCCTAGGGAATCCCATATTAAGCAATAGCAATCCCACTGTAAGCGGTGTTATTCAGCTACTACGAATCAAAGAGCACGTTATCAAGCGAAGCACAGCAGGGTTTTGGACCGATTCCGAACGTATCATACAAGAAGTGCACAATGTCATGCCCTTTGCATTGGAAGATAAAGGAATTCAAATTGAAATCTGCGATCCGTTAGCAGCGGACGTGTTAGATATGGACGTGATATCCGATAATTTTAGGCCTACGGTGCCCAGTGTGATCGATCACATTTGGAGTTTCTTCGCAGGAGTCCGGCAGAGAGGTGTACAATCCACAGAGAAAATGCTTAGAATAGGAACTACTATAACAGGTGATTTACTACACTTGTAAAGCTCAAATAATTACCCGAAACTTGTTTATAGGTATTGGAGAATTGGTATCGGGAAAGGATGGTCATTTGAAGCTGCAGCCTCCTGCAAACGGTGGACCTTTCTATCTTACGAACATGAGAGTAACCTCGTTGATAAAAAAATTAGATGGTTCTAAAAAGAATTATAGGATACTGTGTATAATCTTCGGATCGATTGCTCTTGTTTTAAGTGGTCTTATTGTTAGGAAGTATATAAAGTTGAAAAAAGAAAAGGAGGCAGCCGAGAAGCAAAGAGCCCAATTAGAATTGTCTAGGAGGGAAAGGAGGCGACAAATCAGAGACGAAGATTTAGATGAAAATCAATTATGTGTTGTGTGTAAAACGAATCCTAAAGAGGTAGGTACAATTAATCGTTTAAAGAGTCTCTTTATTGTAAACATTTTCCATTGTTACTTCATAACTATTGTCACGAGTAGGAATATGGGTCAATCCTGAGAGTGCAATAAAACGAGACCACAACAATGCAAACATTGGCCGAATTATTATAAACAAACATTGTTGAATATTGTTTATAATAACACCACGCGCGAGGTCCGCACGCGAAGAAACATTCCGAAGTCCTCGCGCGTGGTCAGCAATATGATTCACATAAATACTCTCAGGTGCGATCCAACGGGTTCTGTCTGGGTAGACTTGGGGAGTGAACAAGGTGGGTCGACACGTTCGTGGGTTGTTAGACCCTTGGCCCCCTTCTCGTCGAGCCGCCCAGTGTAGTTTTGGTAATAAATATTGTAACAACCGTCTGAGCTAAGAATAAAATGTGGTTTTCGTATCCTGGTCTATCACTATTACTGTAACCAACCCGTACCCAGGCCCAAGAGCAACGAAACCCCCCAAAGAAGAAAGGTTAACGGTTCCTTTGGCGTGACATGGTGGAGGCGCCCTGCTTCGTTCCTGGGGGTGATTCACCATAATCATACCCGGGTGGTTACAGTAAGATAGACAAAGAAAATATTAAAAAATGGAAGAGGAATACGACAGTGGTATCGAGGAAGACAGGACCGACCTAGAACGGGAAAGGTCACACGAAGAGACCGTAAGATTTGGCCGTATTATGTGCGCAACACAGGTGTTCATACAAGTAGGACGTAGACACCTGTGCTACAGCTGTGCCATGGGCGAGGTAGATCTGGACATTGGGGAGTATGACCATTACAACAACCACTTCTCGGGGTCGTACGAAACAGTATTCGATCACTGCATTACGTGCGACGGATGTGGGGTACGGTTATACACGGTCTGCTTCATAAACTCGTGTATAGTGTGCACAAATAAGCCGTAAAGATGCCGTGTTGTGTGTGGGATTCTGCAAGGTCGGACCAAAAGTACCACTGTGGAGTTGGACGTTGTGCGGAAAACGAGGGACGACAAAGTGTCGAGTGCGAGGGAACGCGAGTCGGGTGTGGTGTTCAAGAAGAATGGGAAGCAAGGAGGCTCGGAAGATGACGGGAAAAGAGGACGTCGCCTCACTGCGGTCTCAGCCAGTCGGGACAAGATAGGCGCAGGCGCAGGGAAGAAAGTCCTACTGGTCCTCGGGAGCCGACGCATGGAGCTACACGGGAAAGCCCACACCAAGGGAGAGGAAATTAAGCTAAGTGAATAGATATAAGGATAGCATTAAGACTTCGAAGTTGTAGGTGATAGGAATTAGGGTAGAAATAAAATAAAAGGGGTAAATAGGTAATAGTTAGGTAAAACAAATAGGGTGTTAATCAATAAGAAAGAATAGGAGCTAACTGATATACCATTGGGGTAAGGGGAAGATAGAAATCAGGACAACGATATTTTTTTTTGCGATAAGAATACTTATACCTGCTAGGAAAGACTAAGTAAAAGACCTAAGTAAAAATAGTTGGTAGGGATATTTGCGCAATCATGAAGAATTTGCGAAATTACGGGGAATTTTAGGAGAATTTATGAGACTAGTGATAAAATGGAAAAGAGAGCGAGCTATGTTTAAAGAATAGCTATATTTAAAGGGAGAGGAGAATCTGGAAGAAGGTACCAAGGGGTGCTGAAGATTCGCCTTCCCAGTTTGAATTTTTTATGTTGATGTTACACGAGAATCTGGTGTCCTTTGAGACGCGATAGTGAGAGGAGATACGAAGAATATGAGTATATATGGTAATTTATGAGAAGCGATTTTAAGTGTATATTTATGAAGTCACGTCAGGGGAGGAAAATTTGGAAGAAGACGCAAGGAATGCGTTGAAAATTTGCCTTACCAGGATGACGTGGAGAAGGAATCTAGTAAAGTGAACAAGGGGTTCACGCTGAGGGAGGGAAATTTGGAAGAGGACACCCTGAGAGTGTTGAAAATTTCCCTTACCCAAATTTTGAGTAAATGCTGCGAGCTATTACAAAGATAGATAATGAATTTATAGATGAAATGAGGATAAATAGGTAAATTGAGATTTTTTTTGTGCAGTTGCGCGTAGAGCCAAAAAGCGGGTATAAGGAATATTATGGGTTAGGTAAATCAGGCGATACATAAAATTTACCCCTGTCCCCAATGGTCGAATCATAGAAATAAGATAGGAAAAATGTAGCCGAATACCGGCATAGATATAGAGATATTTTTAATTGATTATTTGCTCGATTATTTTTTTTCTGATTCAATGTTGGAATCAATTTTTTATTTTTTGGTCAAATTTTTTTTTAACCTTAACTGTGATGGAATTACCAATATCGAATTTGTAGCTTAATATGTGAGGTTGACTTGTATAGATTTAATTTTGAACCAATATATATATATGTATATACCTATATTTACCTATTATTTAATAATCATTGTATAATGTATAATATCCCTAAGGAACTAAAAAACCGAAGGGTGTTTGTTAAAACCGGGGGCCGGTTTTGACGAGGAAGGGGCATGTCACGAGTAGGAATATGGGTCAATCCTGAGAGTGCAATAAAACGAGACCACAACAATGCAAACATTGGCCGAATTATTATAAACAAACATTGTTGAATATTGTTTATAATAACACCACGCGCGAGGTCCGCACGCGAAGAAACATTCCGAAGTCCTCGCGCGTGGTCAGCAATATGATTCACATAAATACTCTCAGGTGCGATCCAACGGGTTCTGTCTGGGTAGACTTGGGGAGTGAACAAGGTGGGTCGACACGTTCGTGGGTTGTTAGACCCTTGGCCCCCTTCTCGTCGAGCCGCCCAGTGTAGTTTTGGTAATAAATATTGTAACAACCGTCTGAGCTAAGAATAAAATGTGGTTTTCGTATCCTGGTCTATCACTATTACTGTAACCAACCCGTACCCAGGCCCAAGAGCAACGAAACCCCCCAAAGAAGAAAGGTTAACGGTTCCTTTGGCGTGACACTATATACAAGTCTCAAGTTAAAGAGACTTTTTAAACGATTGATTTGCTCTAAATAGGGGTCCATTTTAAACAAAGCATGTATTTATAACATGCTATAACAAAATAATCCTTATTACCAACATTTTTACAATAAGGTATAAATTGTATTTTTGTTTTAGATGATATTAATTCCATGTGGTCATGTTTGCTTGTGCGAAGACTGTTCAGCGGATATTACCGAAAATTGCCCGATTTGTAGAACAGAAATAAATTACAAACATGTAGCTTATGGGATATAAAAGTATGTACACATCATGACGAATTTGATTTATTACAAACAGTAATTAAATTAACATCTATTAATCTTTTAAGAATATACTTTTCGTGACGTTTTGTTTTTTGTTGTAATTGTAAAAATAAAATTTTATTTAATTGTTTCTAAATTTTTAAATCATTAAATTTGCTGGGTTTCAGGTCGTTACCCGAGCATAAGCATTTATTGTCCTCGCCATTGCACGATGCTCCTTTGAGTTTCTCGTTTTCTTCTAGTATCCTTTTGACTTTGCTAGATTTTCCAATTCCCAGCCGGGGCAAGCCCTTATTTAACCCTTCTAATAGGACGCAAGCTTTGCAAATCTCCTGAGATGAAACGTATCCGCATCGGGTACATTTCGTTAACGTTGGCATTTTCGAATGTTCACTAACTTTCATCGTTTCTCCTGAAATAAGAGATCGGGGAATATAGCACACGTAAGTCCATGTATAAAACACATAGTCCGTATTTATAAAAATCAACAATTTACTTTGAAATAAAATGTTTTGCTCTAATCCTTATATTATTCATAATCTCCGCCTTTCCCTTTAAAGGAAACGTTTCTGATAAATAAATTAAATGGTACAGAGATTAGCGATTTAGTCAAACTAGTCGAAACGAGTCTAAATGGTTCTAAACAGTTCTAGATGATTCTGGAGCGTTCAAAATAGTTCTAGACTATTTAAATGTCTCTGGAGCTTTCCAGATTGATCTAGACCCTAGACAGTTCTAAATGATTCTGGAGCGTTCTGGATTGATCTAGACAGTTCTAAATGATTCTAGATAGTTCTAAATTATTCTGGAGCTTTCTAAATGGCTCTACACAGTTCTAACGTAAATGCACCCTGTTAGCCATAACAAACTGGGAAAATGCACAAAATTTTACATTACAAACTATGTGGTGGCTAAGTAACTACTGAAAAGATTGTGAAAAGCTTCTATGACACTTTCTATAACATATGACTTTAAAGCATCAGCAGGGTCCTCCAGGCAAAACCTCTTTCTTCGCACTTCTTTTTATGCAGACACCTTGAAGCAATTCCTTCATTTTTTGTAAAAGGGTTAGAGCAAAAGGTTATGCTTCTTTTTATAAATACATCCTATTGTGTACAAAAGATTAATTGACTTGCCTGAATGTATAATATTCATAATCACAGCAGGATCAATTTTCTCGAGATCTTTCAGAAGTATTCTTGCATGACCTCTATAGGCGTTAGGAGCAAATACACATTCTGTTGAAAAATACACTAATTTACGGAAATAAGCGTACATTACAATTTCTTTTTCGTAGCAGTATTTTAGAGGTTTAACTCTAGGAATGCCATCACCGCTATCCTGAAATCAAAATTTATCAATACAGTCTATAGAAACTTGTTCAAAACATACCGTTATTATAGAGGTGCATCTGCTTAATCTAGCTACATCTCCTCTTAATATGTTCATTAATACAGTTTCTGCAATGTCATCGGCATTATGCCCGGTTGCCAAGTAATCCACTTTGAGTAAATTCGCACCTCGATCCAATGCCTGCCTTCTGAATACACCACAAAATGTACAATTATTTTTTCTTCCAATCTAAAATTGCACAATTTTACACAATTTATTAATCGAGTACAATATTTACATATTAATTAAACTAACTTCGGCTACAATTTCGTCCATAGTCCATCCGTAAAGGTCTTTGTACGATAGAATTTTTAATGGAATATCGTAATCGTCTCTATTTTGCTTAACAGTGTCTAAACTATCATCTCTATACCCTGTAATACCTTCGTCTATTGATAATAGAAATAATTTTAATTTGTAATCGTATTTTTCATTGAGTAATTTTAAAACGTAAGCTAAAACCGTAGAATCCTTTCCACCTGATGCCCCTATTGCTACAGTAGTATTAGGTTTAAATAATTTAGCCTTGGTCACCGTAAAATGAACTTCATTTTCGAATGCTTCGAAAAAGCATTCTTTACATAACGAATCCCCTGTTTTAGGCCTCTGAAAACAAAACGAGCATGTTAATACAGCATATTTTATAAGACTTGAACACTTACCTTTAGTACTGCGTTTCGACCACATTTTGCTGAACATTTACTAGGCATCGTATATTTAATTATTAATATTAACTGATCAAGCTATTGCTTTTATTCAATAATTTATTAAAACTAAATAACATTTGTTACTTAACCTAACTTCTTCTTTTTATAAACTCAAATGAAGTGTGATACATTTTTGACGCATATTGTCATCAAAATAGCCTTTTTCGTTTGTGTTATGTAGTTACTGAAAAAGAAGCAGATGTCAGATTTATAACATTTTGAGGTTATGTTTGGTTTCACTGTTTTGAATGCGAATTTACTACGAATAAGTTATTACATACACAATATAAACTAAACGTTTAAATAGGAGTTTTCCTTACTTTTAAATATTAATAAATACTTTATTGAAAAATATGTCGACTGATAATCCCCCTGTTAAGGTAACACTTATTTTTTTGTTTTTAAACTAACTTCTCTTATTTTATAATATTCTGTTTTTTCATCTTATATTAATTGTTTTAGAGGTACAGACGTGAAGAACACAATAGCAATTCCGAATCGGAGGAGGAATATGTTCCCTATGTTCCAGTTAAAGAGAGGAAAAAACATCAATTATTGAAGCTAGGTCGTCTAGGACAGGTATATTTGCATATACATATTTTATTGTATTAATAGACATAATAGTTATTTAATTTCAAAGCTCAAAGAGTCTGAAGAATCCAAGCCCAAATCGTCGAGTGAAAACGATGAAAATGATGAGGACGAAGAAGATGAAATTTGGGGGAGGAAAAATAACATTCCGTTACTCGATCAGCACACAGAACTTAGAAAACTGGCAGAAGGTACATTACACATTACAATATTCGATTAATTTAATGTCGATAATAAAATTGTAGCAAAAAAGGTGAGCGCTGTAGAGAAGCAACTGAAAAAAGAGGAAGAAATTTTGGAGATCGTAGCCGAGAAAAAAGCTCTGATGGGTGTTTCTGAATTAGCTAAGGGTATCCAATACAGCGAACCGATAAAAACAAGGTAAACATGCATTAATATTCGCAAATAAACTCTTTCTGATGATACATTTTTAGTTGGAGACCACCAAGTTACGTTCTACAAATGCCCCCGAGTCGACATGAAAATTTACGAAACACCCTCAGGATATTAGTCGAAGGAGAAGAGATTCCTCCCCCTTTGAAATCATTTAGGGAAATGAAATTGCACAAAGGCATACTAGCAGGTTTGAAAGAGAAAAACATTAAGAATCCTACTCCTATTCAAATCCAAGGAATTCCTACAGTGTAAGACATTCATTCATTTGTGTACCTCATTTTAGTTAATTAATTTGTGAATTATTTCAGTTTATCTGGAAGAGACATGATCGGTATAGCTTTCACTGGTTCGGGAAAAACACTAGTTTTCGTGCTACCTCTCATCATGTTTTGCCTGGAACAAGAAGTAAAACTGCCTTTCATTAAAAACGAAGGACCTTACGGTCTTATTATCTGTCCCTCCAGAGAATTAGCTAAGCAAACTTTCGACATCATCCAGCACTACTCCAATTGCCTTAGCAAGCACGGAATGCCTTTAATTAGGAGCTGCTTAGCCATCGGAGGTGTCCCAATAACGGAAGCCATAGAAGTAATACAAAGGTAGGCCTTTATTGGAACGAGTTTTGTCACTTACAGCATTTATATTTCAATCATTTTAGAGGAATTCACATAATGGTTGCGACGCCCGGAAGACTAATGGATATGTTGGAAAAGAAAATCGTGAAATTAACCGTCTGTAGATACCTATGTATGGATGAAGCTGACAGGATGATTGACTTGGGTTTCGAAGAAGACGTACGAACGATATTCTCGTATTTTAATGTAAGTGCTTGTTTGGATTTATAAATTTTTCTGACGTTCGCTCGTCTTTTAGGGTCAAAGACAGACGCTACTGTTTTCGGCTACTATGCCAAAGAAAATACAGAATTTCGCGAGATCTGCGCTAGTGAAACCTATCACAATTAACGTGGGCAGAGCGGGAGCAGCTTCAATGAACGTAATACAAGTAAGCAATTTTACACCCGTTTTATATCCAGTTCTAAAACCGTTATCATTATTTTATTACAGGAAGTAGAGTACGTTAAACAAGAAGCCAAAATAGTATATTTATTAGAATGCTTGCAAAAGACCCCGCCGCCCGTGCTAATTTTTGCCGAAAAGAAACAAGATGTCGATGCCATACACGAATATTTACTCCTGAAAGGCGTCGAAGCCGTTGCTATACATGGTGGCAAAGGCAAGTATAAACGAATACCAAACTAAATTTACGATTAATTTAACGCTAATCTTCTCTTACAGACCAAGAAGAACGATCCAGATCAGTAGAAGCTTTTCGAAAACAAGAAAAAGACGTGCTAGTAGCCACCGATGTGGCATCAAAAGGACTGGATTTTCAGGATATTCAGCACGTTATAAATTACGATATGCCGGATGATGTTGAAAATTACGGTAAAAATTGATATAAATCGATCGAGGCAAATTAATTCATTCTAATTTTATAGTTCACAGGATCGGTCGTACCGGTAGATCGGAGAACAAAGGATTGGCAACGACTTTCATAAATAAATCCAACGACGAGTCCGTCTTGCTCGATCTGAAACATTTGCTGATGGAAGCTAAACAGAAGGTGCCTACGTTTTTGGCCGAATTGTGTTCAGAAAACGAGAAATACCTTGCTCTTGGTGGTAAGAACGATTATTTCTAGCAAATCTCTTCAGATATTACTAAGGTTTTATTCTTGCAGGCGAGCATGGTTGCAGTTATTGTGGTGGATTGGGACACAGAATTACAGATTGTCCAAAACTAGAAGCGCTTCAGAACAAACAAGCTTCCAATATAGGAAGAAGAGATTACTTAGCAAATACAGCTGCAGATTATTAATTATGTACATACAGGATTATATTGCAAGGTTTTCATACGATTTTACAGATAAACAGTCGTCGTAAATAATTTAATATTTATTATTATCGGAGTCTAGTATTTTTAAACAACAAAATTTGTTTATACATAAAGAATTTCATTTACAAAGAACATTCATTTTACGTGTTACTAATATTACTTTGGTAAATTGAAAAAAATCACAATACGTCTTGAAAATACCAAATAAATCTCACTGGGTCACCTCACGACACTCAATTTAAAGAATATTAAACACCCAAAAAAACCTCACAATTAATAGGCCTATACTGTTAAATACTTTCCGTTTTTACTTACATGCTCAAAACGTCAAGTACATATTGCACATTTGAGGAAAAAAAACATTAATAAAATCGAACTGACGATGATAAGAGTACGGTTTAAGTACAAACAAAAACATAAAGATTACAGACATACTAATTCTGTTAATTTCAAATTTGAACCACATACAATAGAAATAATTATTGCATAATATAGTACATATTAAAATGTCAATTACAGACATTCATTTCACAGGTCCAATAAACAAGCACAATAACGACACTATTCAGTACATTTCCTTAAAAAAACTGAGATCATTTTTATGGCACACAAAATCTGTGTTACATTTAAACTCAATAATTAAATGAACAACAAAATCAAAAAGAGTACGGCTTCGAATTTCAAAATACTGATTATTGTCAGATTTTGAATTTTCTTGTAAACTTCGCCTTAGAAAAAACGCATCACATGCACATAATTACCTGAAATAAAATTACATAGATAGAAAATTTTAAACCAAATTAAACGTCCTCATTCCTTAACGAATATTTCGGGGGAGCTTCCTTGTTGCTTAAATTAGGAAATACGAAATCACCATCATCATTCGAGTCTTTAACCGTAGATAATTCATCATTAGCTATAATCAATTTTTCATCGGGAATTTCGATCTCGTGGAATTCTTCCTCTGATGCGTTACGTTTTTCTGTTGAGAAACTGAGCCACAGAGCGATCAAAACGGCTGATAGAATAGCCGAAAGGAGTATCCACCTGGGTATTCCGGAATTCCTGGACGCGCAATCCAACCAATCTCCAGTTTCTTTAACCTTTAACAGGAGTGATTGTTAATTAACTTATTAGATTTTTATTTGAGAGGACAAAGTTACCTTGATTTCTTCCTCTATTTCAATCGGCATTGTTCTGATATTAGTAGCTGGGATCTTGTAATCAATGTTGAAACCGATTTCGAGTTGACTTTTGATGCTCGGATCAGAGAGTAGATCGAATTCAATCTCTTTGTCCGGGCTGGCTAGTACAATGCTATTTTCCGTTTCAATCAAAAATGTAGCTATGAAAATCTAAAAATTACAAACGATATTAACTAGTGTATTATGAATGTGTAAGGCATGAGCATTACTTCCTGTTCTTTTGCCATAAGATTACAGCCGGTTTGACAAATATCATTTTCATCTTTTATTATATACGACTCTTCGCAAGCTACAAATAAACCATTATTTATATTAGATTTTATGTAAATTATGATACCTACAAATGTGGCATTCCTTTTTCGTTTGGTTAACGTTAGGAACATCTTTGAACTTGATAATATTAAAAAATCTGCAACCTCTTTGACAAACTACTTGCTCGTAGAATGCCTAAAAAACGAGACATTATAGAATATAATCTACACATAGATGTATAAACATTTACCAAATCCAATGTGGGTAATTTCACGTTTTTGCACACGTTTATGCACTGATCCGAACCGTACACGGGGAAAGATGCCACATAGTTAAAAACAAAAATAAATATTAAGTAGGTAGCATCCTTCATTATTTTTACTAAAAAATGTTAAATATATTTACAAATTTTAGCTTTTTTGCATTTACTAAATTGATAAGATAAATGTACGCTTGACACTTTTGACAGATTAAAACATTGTAAGAAAAAAGAAGACGAGTTTGACATATTGATTTTTAAATGTCTAATTTTCAAAATATGCGGGAATTCATTTTTCTCGTTTTTATTATTTATTTACAAAAAATGGGTAAATATTTATTCATAAAGTTCAAAACTATTAAAATATAAATTATAAATGCATTTTTCACATAGGAATGACGACTGCGCAACAAAGTTGTGAAGTTAATTGTAACGAAGACAAATTGATATCATTCTTAGCTGGCATAGAAGTTTTAAGTCCTGAAAGTATATTCAATTTAGCGATTACTAATTTGGATTCCATATGCAGGTACTAGCATCTTTTTTACATTTCTAATAGAAATGCAAATTTTCACACTTTCAGTCAGCTGACAGAAAATCTAAAGTCTATTGAAAAGCCATTTAACGATTGCAAAACCAAGGATTCGAGAGGTCTCTACATATCTCTAATAAGAGGAGTCCAAGCATTCCACAAAAGAATTTGCTGTACAGACACCAATACAGGCTACATTAAAAGTTTGTTTGCTAGAAACTTCTTAATTCGGAAATATCTAAACTACAAATTTCAGAATTTTACACGGTTCATCCGTGTTTATTCGAACTCAGACAAGACTTCGAGGGCTGCAACGGGCCCGCGGATTGGCACGAAGAGCCCGAAAATCGGAAAGTTTGCAAGTACAATGCACCTACAATCGAAATAAATCAAAGTAAATTAACTCATCTTCCGTTTTTTTTTGTTTAGAACGTACAAGAACATCGTTGACTGTTACTACATAAAATCGGCGAAGGTGTGTGGTAAACAAGCCGCAATTGCCATGACGAAGCTCATCGAGGACGTAATCGAAAACGTATTGGGCTATTCCTGCAAAGGAGTTAATAGTTTCCCTTACGTTAAGGACGTAATGCCTGACAAATACATTGAAAAGTTGAGCTCATCGAAGGTATTTTTTATGTTAATTTATCTCGCTATTTTAAGAATGATTTTAACTGTTTTAGGTGGATGCTTTATCAGTAGCTACGAGTGTGATAACTGCTGGGGTAATATTTAATATATTAAGTATACTTGATTTCTTTTGAAATATACACTTTTTAAATATTTGAATTTTAGTTGTACGAAGGATAGTATCAAAACTACAATATTGTATAGAGAAATATTTCATTTAGCACAGTTATAGACACTTAGATTTTATAATTATTTACTTTTTTTAGATCCACCAAAACCCGAAAACCCCATTATGCTAGCCAGTTCACTTGGAGGTTCTTCTTTACTAACTTCCTCGATTTTTCTCTTTTCTTTCTTCTTTTCTCGTCTGTATTCTTTTAGTTTCTCCTCCTCTTCAGCCAGCTCTTGTAATCGACTAGCCATATCGTAATCTTTCTTTTTCTCCTCCATTTTCTTCTTATTTTGCTCGAATCTTTTCTTCACAGAATCCAGCGAACTCCTTTCCACTTTCATGGACATGCCCAAGTTCCTCTGGTGCTTCTTTCCATTGATGTGATCCAAGAAGTTGATGGAATCTTTCACCACACAATCGCACACATTACAATAATAACCGCCTGACTGTGAGGTGGGTGTATTTTTGTTGATCACAATGCTTTTGCCTAATTTCGAATCGAGATCTACTTTGTATTCTCTGGTTTTTAGGAGTTCTCGTTTTACTGGTGGGCCCTTCTTTCGATTTTCACCCTCGTCTTTCAGGAGTTTTTCCTCTTTTATTCGCTCTTCCGCTAGTTTTTCGTACTCTTCTTTGTCCCATTTTCGTCGATGGTCGTCTGGTCTCATAGACATTGTTGTATTTTGATGTTTAAACCTATTTAATTGATAAAAAACACTGATTTACAGTATTTTTGACTCTTTTGAGCTTATTTTATTGGACCTTTTGACGTTTATTGTGTTGACTTTTGATGTTACCTTCTTTATCTGTAAATTTGACGACTCTTGTTTTTAAGGTATCCAGCTTCTTAAGTTAGCAGAATTTCTTCTTTTTTAATATTTTTTAGGTTATTTTATATTAGGTGCTCGATAGCCAGTGTTGCTCTGTTGTAGGTGTTCACGAAATATTCATTTTATTAAAGTTTTTGAATATTAAATATGGTAGTGTTCACGTGTAATCATTGCGGTGAAAGTCTGCACAAACCTAAAGTAGAAAAACATTATGCATTCGTTTGTAGAAGAGTTAAATTCCTCACATGTGTTGATTGCTTCAAAGATTTTAGGTTAGTTTCTGTGTAATTTAGATTTGATGTGTCCAATTCGCACATAATACTGATGATGAATTATTTGTTGTAGAGAGGAAGAGTACGCTTCACATACGAAGTGCTTAACGGAAGAACAGCGATATTCAGCCAAAGGAACCGTTCCGAATGGGGTGGTCAAAAAAGGCGAGTTGAAGCAGGAGTCCTGGGTCGATATGATAAAGTCTATTATCGAAAAAGAAACTAATTTGAGACCTTCTCAAAGAAATTTATTACAAACCATTTCTAATTATGATAACACTCCTAGAAAGAAACCAAAGTTCTTTGTAAGTATACAAATACTTCAATATGCTCTCTTTACTTACATATTTCGGGTTTTTAGAATTTCATCAAGAGTTGCTTAGGAGGAAGAGTAAATATGAAAGACGTTGAGGAATGCTGGAATATCATAGAAAAATATAAAATTAGTAATGCTCAAAAAACAACTAATGGATCATCGGATAATACACAGAAACAGAATACAACCAACGGTTCATCAGAACCACCAAGCGTAAAAGAAGAGTCTACTAAAAAAAGAAAAAGTAATGATATTGCTGAAGAACCCATTAAAAAGAAGAAGAAACATTCAACTAAAGAAAACGACTCGACTGATATTGTAGTGGAAACAACTGATGTGACTCAAACTGAAGAAGTTCAGAAATTTGATTTCAATTCAAAGATACTTTCCATATTGGAAAACAAAGGGACGGTGTCCCTAAAAAAGCTGGAGAAGAAGGTTGTTAATGCTTATCTCAAACATAAAGGACTAACAGAAGCAACTCCCAAAATTACAAAAAAATTTAACAAAAAACTGAAAAATATCCAAAATATTGAAATTGTAGGCGAAAATGCAACGTTAAAATAAATAATATGTAGGCATGTTTTTATAAAAATAAAAAATATATTTCCAAAAAAGTTAATATACAAATATATATTCTTACAGTAAACTTAATAAAAAATATCGGCAATAAAAATCAATTATTCGGTTTGAAAAAATCCGAAATGCTCCTATTATTAGCGCTTTTCTTCGGTTTAACTTTAATGATATTCCTGTTCACTTGTCGTTCCTCTTTAAGTGAAGATTCGTTGAATTCCGCTTGTAATTTTTTAGCTACATGATAATCCGAGTGATGCAGAATATCTTCGATCGGTACGTTTCTTTTACACTCTTCGCAGTAATTCTCATTCGGTTCTTCGCATTTTTGAAGGTACTGCAAAATTTTGTTATCCGTCGCTTTTCTTTTCACACCAGTAGCACTTTCGGTCAATTCGAATTTTGCCTGTTCCACATCGCTTTCTTTTTCATCGGGAGGAGTCGATGTTGAGCTACAGCTCGCCGTGCCGGTGCTATCGAAGTACTTGTTAAAGAACGATCTCGACGGTTGCCGTCGCATTTCCAGCTCTTGCTTGTCTTTGGAAACCGAACGAAGCTTGCTGGTCAATTGATACGATTCGATGGGTTGGCTGGATACAAATTCCGGATAGATATCTTCGAAGTAAATGTACGATTTCGGGTCTTCTTCTAAATCCTCTGTCGATGCTGAGTAAATCGAATGATTACCAATATCGTCGTCGTCTTCAACAAGTTGTTGTTCTTCAACCGGCTTCTCCTCTTGAATAGCCATGCTTTTTTTGAAAAACGATGTGATATCTTTGAGTTTTTTCTCTTCTTGGAAATTACTAACGCTAATGCCAAGGAATGTTACGTTGTAAGAGCCATCGGGTTTTTGACAATGCCTTTTCACCACTTCTAACGAGTCTTTAGCTATGCGAGTTGGGCTGTAGGAATGCAAAGGATGCGTCCTCGAGCTACTTATACTTTCTTTATTAACGCCTTGTGCGAAATTTATTGTCATTTGTTTGGCCCTTCTGCGGTTTTCTTCTAGGTCTTTTTCTAATCTCTCGGAAATTTCCTCGGCTAATTCGTTCATCCAATGCTGTACAACATCGTGGGTTTGTAAAGCCGTCCTTCCGGGGAATCTTTTACAACAGCCTATAGATTTAGAAATTAGCCTCGTAACAACCGGATCGTAATTTATTCCTCTTGCTATATCATATAACCAAGACCTACAAATTATTAAATCGTTAAGTGAAGTCGTACTAGAAGTTGTGTTGCAAAAATTACCCGTTCTTTTTGCCGAATTTCTCGATTAATTGTTTTTCTGAAAAATTGGACAGCTCTCCCATTTTCGTAATGCCTAGATCTTCGGATAAAGATTTCCCAAACTTCCCACCTAAGCTTCTGACTTTGTTTAAAGGTAAATTCTGGAAATACTCATGCACAGCATCATGGGGTAAAACAGTTTGTTTATTGGGTTTGTGCACACCGCATACTAACTTGGCTAAAATTTTATTATGCGCTATTCCCGCCGAACATCTGTACCCTGAGAAATTAAATAAATCACCTAACTTTCGATGTCAATTCTGCCATCGATTCGTACCTGTTTGTTTAAAAACCTCCGCTCTGATTTCTTCTGCTATAATCGCGCCCAAGCATAATTTTAAATTGCATTCTGAAAATTCCGCGTTTTCCTTCACGACGTTGATAAAATGCTCAGTATCACAGCCCATGATAAAAGTGTTTTGTAATTTATCAATACTAATTTGGCCATTTCCATTGTTCATTCTATTGGCAACTAAAGTTGTTACATCTAAGTAGGCTTCGTCCACAGAAGCTCGCTCAAGAAGCGGCGTGAATGTTTGTAGGACATCCGCAACTTCCTTTCCGGCTTCTCTGTATCTGAAAAGTACTTGTTTATCGAAGAACTTTAAACATGAGTATACAAAATATACTCGATTATTATTCTAGAGATAACTCTATTAATATTCTACCTTGACAAATCTGCTTTACCCCTTATTTCTGGCACTTTAACTAGCACAATTTCTGGACACTTCTCTTTGGCATCTTCACCTCTCATGAATCTCGTTACACCTCTGTCTCTAGCAGGGTAATTTACCGCAATTATACTGTAAAATATACGTATTTTATGTTTATATAAAAAATATGTAGTTTAAATTTTAGTTTTACCCTCCTCCACGCCATTGATTGTATTGCACCACTGCCAGCGGTTTCCCTTTAAGATTAGGGTCCAATTTTTCTTCTACTTGGCAGTAAAAGCAATCCATATCTATCAAAATTACAACTCGTTCTAAATATGCCATGTTCATACATTATTTGTAGGGAACAAAAAAAAGTTGCTAAAAGTGCGCCGGTTATTTCTCGTTTCATTTCATTTTCAAATAATTGAGGTTAGATTTATTTTGCTCATGCTTCAATTGGCCTTTGATATCGCGGTTATGTAGAACTTTTAATTATTCTTCTGTAATATATAAATGAAGGTGAAATAAGTGAAATTTGACAGGGACAAATGATATTTTAGAGGTAAGTTCGGTTTTAAAGTCGCGGACATATACATATAAATATAGCAGTCCTAGAGCCACGGCCGTGTATTATTTAGAAGGTCTGGAAACTCTGATTATTTTATATTACAGGAAGTTTTGCGCATAGAGAAAGAAAGATAATAAGATAAGGTCTGGCAACTCCTATTCAAAAAGTGTTGCGGATGATGTGACTGTCGACAGAGGGCGCTAGTATCGAGTAGTGTTGTTTAATCGTACGTATATAACGCCAATTATCCTTCATTCCGCCAAATTGTCGTAAAATTTACGACAATTTTAATTTAATGATAATTCAATATTCGTTTATCGTACCGAAGTGTATTAAGAACCTTACCCGACACTAGCGTTCCTAGCGGATTTTCCGTAAACCTTCCAACCAAAGTCACAATGAGCGCAACAACACTTCCTGTAATACAAAATAATCACAGTTTCCAGCACAGAACATACATAAACAAGAAGGGACATCTCCGTGAGAATTTCGTAGACGTTGTAGAGCGCACTCTGAGAGTAGTAGCTGTACTAAATTAATGGGTGTTGCCTAGTAAAAGGGGATATCATGTAGAACTCTACACTAAAATTAGTAATATAGGTTTTTTATTCGATTTTTTCTGACTTTTAATATTATCCAATTTCTTGTAGAACTTGTACAATTTGTTACATTATTATAAAATGTATAGAATTTTGATATAGATAGTAAAATAAATTGTACAAGTTTTACAAGAAATTGGATAATATAAAAAGTAACTACTCTCATAAAATAAGTAAACACAAACACTTCTACTTAAAAATATATTGAAAAAAATGTCAAAATTCATTAAATTTAAATAAAATCGCTAAATAAACAAATATTATGGCGGAACCAGAAAAATTCACTACGCGCTGTAAAAACAAGCAATAGAACGAAAGATTTAACTTTAACTTTACACAATTCCTCACTAACAATTCACTAACACTACTATACACAAAACTTATACAACTTACAGGCAATAACAATGCCTTTTAAACTCACTCGAAAACAAACGAAATAAATGAAAAAAAATAACTTTTCGGTTTTAACTTCATCTTGCACTACAAGAGAAAATATGCAGAATCGATGCGAATCAATACAAGACGCCATTATTGTTTTTGAAATACGGCGTTGAGCGGGTTGCTTGCGCTGACCTGAAATAAACTACTGTTGCGCCATCTATCAATAGCGCCGAAACTAAATGAAAGTCTAAAATTTCTCATAAGGCTGTCTAGGCCCTGGTTTCCAGACCTACTAACTAAATAATGTACGACCGTTGTTATTACCGTTGAGTGTTGAATCAGTTGAATGTCGTTAGTTTCTATTCGGAGTTTGAATAAGTTTTTAACTTTTTTAAATATTTTGTGGTAAGTGAAATTCGAACCTTTGAATTGAAACAATTTTATCAAATATATTTACATTATTTCGGTTTAATCTGTGTTTTATTAGTTTTCGTTGTTATTGTTATAGAGGCATTACGCCATTTTTGTTGAACACTTTAAATAAATCCGCAACCATGGTGAAAAGGAAGAGAATGCCATCGAAAAATACATCTTCAAGTTCTACAGGCGATTCCCAACATGCTTCAGTTAGATCTTTGCCTTCGAAATCAACAAATGCTTCAAAAAGGGATTCGAGAAAGGTCATACGACCCAAAAAAAAATATCCAACGACACTTTATTGTTTGGGAAATAAAAAGTATAATGTTTATAACACTGTTTTGAAGCAAATTAAGAAACTCCAGTCCAGCACTGCCAATTTAATACCCAAGTATGTATAAAAAAATTTAGTCTCAGTATATATTAGGTATATGGGTAAAGTTAGATAAAAGACTAAACATAGGTTTACCCGGTAAACTGCGAAATATGAAAGAAACATTTGCAGTTTACCCAGGTAAACCTAGATTTAGTCGTTTATCTAACTTTACCCTTAACGTATATGTATACAAAATGATAGTCTTTATCTTAGTAAGATTTAGGTTATAAATAATTGTTTGTTTCTTTGAGGTTGCCTTTTTGTCGATTAATTAGAGAAATTTTAATGGAGCATTCTCAGGTAGCCCACCATATCCAATTAGACGCATTGAGAGCACTTCAAGAAGCTGCAGAAATGTTCCTTACAAACTTATTTACCGACGCTAATAAGTTGGCTGGTCATGCTAAAAGAGTTACAATTTATCCAATTGACATACAGTTAGCTTTAAATCTACGAGGAGAGCCCGCTCTGTAGATTATGATTCAACTTGGATTTGCTTAGACTGAATTAAAGGCATTAATTCAAAATAGATTTTGTAATAACACCGTTTTGTTGAGTTACTTTAATTGTTAAATATTGATTGTTCTTTCATTTTAATAAAGTTTAATAATAAAATTTGATTAGCAGTACAATGTGCCACCTATGTTATCTTTGTACTGAATTCTTAAGTATTCGGCCGCCTTTTCGGACAGTCCCAATTTAATTATATCCTGTTCTAGTTCCTCCGGTTTTCCAACGCCGGCGACATAGCCGTTGAGTCGCGCCGCGACGTGCGAGGTTTGGAGTAATTGAGGCGTCAAATTTAATTCGTCGCACAAGAAAGAATGCCTTTGCAATCGGTATTTCTGGTGATAGCTGAAATGGAATCGGAGTTATTTTTTTGACGAACTAATATGATGTTTTTTTACCTCTCTGCCGGGTAAAACTTTCCGGCCGGCGCAACTTCTGTTATTAATTTAGTATTCCTTTTTTGCTCTTCCGATTTGATGGAATTTTCCGCCGCAAGTTTCTGCTCTTCATCGTGGTATAAAATCAGAGACATGTACTGAAAGCGTTTCGGTTAGTAACGTAATTTACGAAACAAATTTATTTTACCTGTCTCTTTACTTTGGTGGTTAATCCGTATTCATGGTGAGCGTAAAATAAATCCAATAGCTCCTCGTAATTCACTGTTTTCGGGTCGTAATCGATTTCTATGACTTCAGTGTGATCGCCCCTGAAATATCACCATAAATACCTTTTAACTTGCCGCGTGTTGTTTACTTACAAACTTTTATATGCCGGGTTCTCCTTCGTACCCCCCGAATAACCAACACGGGTCCTTAAAACGCCTCTTTGTGCCCCATAGAGGGCATCGTTGGCCCAGAAGCAACCCATACCAAATGTCGCTTTCTTGAAGGGAACGTCCACATTGTGTAGAACATCAGGCATGTTGGTTTTGAAATGTCTATAAAAATATTGTTAAATATTGATAAGTTTCATTGAACCGATCACACACGTATACACTTGTCGAGTATTACATATGAACTGATATAGTCGGGCGATCTGAATGATTTTTTTAATTGTTCTGGCATTGAATTAAAACCTCTTGAGCCTTATATAGATAAAATTTCACAAAATCTATAAGTACGTAATTGTTATGTGATCTAGGTCAAAGTCACTGTGTTAAGATCAGAAATACCTACCTAATAATAAATGAATTACATACTTATAGAAAAAATTTATTGTGGGTAAAATTGCATTATGCTTACCCCTAATTATGATTGCGTATATTAATTAACAGGCTGTATTATAATTTAGTATGTTTTAAAAAATATAAGAATCAAATAATAAGGTGTATTCTAAAATACAATAAAATCAAAGCGTTCTTTATATTTCATAATTAGCAATAAAATCTACTATATTTAGAAAATGCAATAACCTTGCTATAACAAACACACAAATTCGCCAATAAATGCAATCTTAAGCAAAATAAACACTATATTTTACGAATAATATACATTCAAAAATCGAAGCTTCTTACTTACCTTACAATTCTTTGGAAAATGTTCATTAATATATTGTTTACTGATACAACTTTAAGGGTCAAGGCGTTGCCAAGGTTGTTGTTGAAATATATGTGTCAGGCGTCTCGTTTGGCTTATCTAAATTTAACATAATGCTTATTTTATCACACAACATAGTCATTAGGTTTCCTGCTTCAAATATTGACCTTCGCAGTCTTCGCACACACACATTTTTAAGGAATGATGTCATGCGAAGGAAGAATTGTGGGTACCTTAGAAGTAAAAGGCCGTATATGGTTTTGATAAATTTATTTAAAACAAATTATTTTGCCTACACGCTACAACAACGAGCAAAGGAACCATGCAAATGTTAAAAAAAGTACAAATGAAAATGTCGAAAGATTTTGACAAGTCAAAATGTCAGAATGTCAAAGGAAGACATGAATAAAAAAATGCGATATTTTCAAAACGTGCGAGAACCGAAGATGTTTGAGCGAATAGATGCGTGTTCTTGTTCTTCCCCGGTGAACACAGACACATATCCACAAACAAATAAAATATACAAATTTAAATGCACAGAACGTGTTTATATCGTTTATGTATGTTCCGTGTCGATAAATTCCGAACGCGCCGCCTTTCGGCGTCTACCCGAACCCGCCAGCGAAGCCATCTTGTAGCCGGTGGCGTTGTTTAACGCGGCGGCTAGAGGGCGCCGCATGCGACATTTCGGATTTGTTTGTTATTGAAAAAGGCCAGCGACGAGCAGCTGTTTTAGGAGGGGCGAAGGACCGGAGAATAGGCGGGCATCCTCCGGACTCGGAACTTTGAACCATCGAAACCGCTGGAAACCGAAAACTTGACAGTGCACGTCCAAAGGGCGCAATGAGCGGTTAGCGCGTCGGGCGGGTAGTGAATGTATGTGCTTTGTGGAGCCCCGAATACTTATTGCAATTTCTTTTGAGACAATTAGACGTCCTCGTCGAAGATAAAGGTAAGTTGGTTGTTTTAGATGCACGTTTGAGCTATGTTTGTGTGATGGTTGTTTGAAATGATCGGGTTTTTTAGCAACCGCTTGGCTACCGGTAAATCTTGCGTTTCTCCATCCTTATTCCTTGCAGCTACCCTTGCCTGTGCCATAGGAGGTAGGAGGTCAAACGAGATTCGTTTGGCGAATTCGGTGAATGGTGAATGGCTTGTGTTGATAGTATACACAACTCGATGATAGTACTATAATAGTAGGGTCACGGGGGTTAAAAAACAAAGTTCCTGCTAGATGCACGGCTGTTCATGGGAACTGTTTAGATTCATTTATTTGAAAGTTTGTGTTTATTTCGGGTTTGTTCTAACAAGAATTCGTTAATTTACATCTTGTACTACTCAAATTTCGAATATCCAATGTACAATAAAACTGTATAACACATAAACTGTTATTAATGTATCTCAATAACATAAATCACAAATTTGTTTATTACTTGATCTAGTAGTCCGATAATATATAACATTAGTGTTAGTGACACTTAATAGCTCATTAATCTCTGGTTTTGCTAAATAACGATGTCAATCACACATAAAGGATTTTATCCTCGTTTGCGATGACGACACTCTGATGTACTAAATCATTACTGTTCAGAATTCTCCGGCTATCCGGAGTACTTTACCGCGATAAATATGTATAGTGGAAATTGATATTTTGATTGGATTCTTGTAAAATGGAATTTTAACCGTTTTTTCAGATAATCGAACCAATGGCAGCTTTTCCATTAGGCGGTGTAGTCACGAGAAAAAATATATTATAACAAAATGGGTAAAGGTGCCCCGAAACGTGTCAATCCAATAGAGCCTATTTATACAGAAAAATGCTAATTTGTACGCAATATGGTCTGTGGGTAAGGTAGAACACAGCATTTATTGAGCCAAAATAATTTTAGGCGTGAATTTAGGCTCAGCTGAAAAATGCATTTTACTCGGCAAATAATAATAAACGCTCAGTTAAAAATTCAAAAATGCAAGTAATTAAAGAATCACAATACAAAATATGTATTCAATTTGCTTAGTAAATTACGTTCAATATTTTAATAACATTATTAGTAAAACACTAAAATGTATATAAGTGCTCGGTATTCTCGGTAACTATTTTAAACCCTTTTTCCCTCAAGTAACTCCTTCTACACTGTGCTACACCTTTCTATCCTCCACTTACCCTTTCTACCCTCCGCTAGCCCCTTTTTCCTCTACTCTTACCTCCTACTCTAACTCCTTCTACACTGTGCTACACCTTTCTACCCTCCACTAACCCTTTCTACCCTCCGCTAGCCCCTTTTACCTCTACTCTTACCTCCTACTCTAACTCCTTCTACACTGTGCTACACCTTTCTACCCTCCACTAACCCTTTCTACCCTCCGCTACCCCCTTTTACCCTACTCTAACCTCCTCTACCTCTCGTACCCCCTTCTACTCTCCTCTAACCCTCCGTACCCCTTCTACCCTGCTCTACCTTCCCTACCTCTACATAACTTCCTCTACTTCCTTCTACCCCTCCTCTATTCCTACCTAGTTTTTTCTACACTACCTGATCCCTCCCTACCCCTTCTACTCTCCTCTACCCTCCTACACCTACCTACCAAGCATCTATTGTTTTGGCCAAATATTTATTATTTTCAAGAGCATAAAGTATTTATTGCCGAGCATTTATTAAATTATTTATTGAACACCGTTTTGTTAGGTGAATATTTACTATTATTTAACTGAGCATGTTAATTTTCAACTAAGCATCATTTATTAAATTACTGAGCGTCTTTTATTTTAATCGAACATTTATTTTCCTATTATGCATTTGGATGAATTACTTCGAAAATGAACTTTGCATGTTGAGTAATCTGCCACTTGTTTATAATGATCCAGTAAATTTAAACTATGAATTTTCTAAACCAGTTACTAATCTATTTTGATATTTGCAAATTGGTAATTCGAATTAATTGCTTTAACCCGTTTGATCGCCGGAAGATTTAAAGAGCAAACTCAACGAATCGAATTCGAAAATAAATTGAATTGAAAGCTTCATTAATAAAGCGTCCGTTTGTTTGAATTGTAAAATTTATTCGGTCGTTCAAAAAATGCGACTAGCCCAAACAATTTGGCTATTTTTTTCGAATATATATTTCTCTCGCTCGCTATTTTTGGGTCTCTATTAAACTGGGTTCTATCATACGGCTTCATATACGTTATCATTAAATGGAAATTCGCGCCCGCAATTCCAATTCCCTTACTCTTTCCATTCTCCTTACCGCCGTCTTGCTATTGTTTAAAGCTCGTGTGTCTAAAATCCAATCTGCGACAAAATTGGTTGCATGATTTATATCGCCAAGTAAATTGGATCCATTTCAAAAATTTCGTAATTTAAGAGACCGTAAATTTAATTTCGTTATTTGTCCCAGGAAGTGTATAGGTGTACCTGTTTTTGACTCCACAATGTGAACGTGCCAAAACCAAAAATATCGATCGATTTTTGACTTCACGGAAAATTCGGCTTTTTTCTCTACAAAATTCCTTGAAAATCTACCTAAATGAAATTCGAATTGTTGGGAGTATGATCTAATGCTATGGAAAAGCCATTTCTTCCATCAATCACCTTTCATTTCTATTTGTTTTACGTTTTTAGCTCGAACGTAAAACAAACGAGGTCGATAAACAAGATGGCCGTAAAGCTGTTTGTTTGGTTTAAACGACGTTAAAATAATTCGTAGAAAGTCGATAAATTGATCGATTTGTTTCGTATGTACATATGTGTGTGTAAATAAAATTATTGACAATCGGTCTTTACATTATTGTACTATGTTATTATTATTATTTAATGATATATTTCTGATACTTGAGGGACAGTAGAAAGGAAACATCTTTCTACAGATTACACACAGAGCATTATATTTTTCACTGCTTTATGAGTTTGTATTATTTTTCGTATTTGTTTGGATTGCATCGGTAAACTTCAATTGAATCCTTTCTTTTACAGAAACAGTTCAAACAGTTCTATATTTTGGTAGGTACAAATTCCGCATGTGTTGTACACATGGTCATGTCTTTTGACAATATACATACATTATTCTGTAAGATTTGAATTTCTAACGTTTTACCTTAACTTTTTTTCCACAATAACGTGTTTAGCTTGACTTATCTATCCATAACTGTAAATCGAATAATAAATTTTTTATATTATAACTAGCAATTTGAGATGAAAGGTTGACCATTAGAGAGCAAATTAAACGAATAAATTTTATAATTTACAATCCCGTTCGGTAACAGATGCAGAAATGATTCATTTTACGATTCGTTCGTGATAAATTTAAGTTTATTTCGGACTTCAGAATATATTGTCGCTCGTTTTATACGGGTTCAACGACGATGGAGAATTTTAAAAAGGAAATTCTCCCGTTAAGTCGTCGCCTTTTTCTGTTACTCTAATTACTCCTCAACTACAACCAGTCAATCTGCCACCTTGTTATAATTATATTTCAAATAACAAAATAAGTAAATGACATTTTTTATTTATCGTTAATATACGATTTCCTGGGATACGTTATATTTTCGGGGTTTCGAATAAAACTTTTTATAAGTTCTCCGAGTGCCCGATTCATTTTTGTTAAAAACGTTCGAATTTAATAACCTTCGATGACGTTTTAATGGATGGGATAACGACTACAATTTTAGGAATCGCAAGATTAATGGAGTTCGAAATTAATCTTCACGATGGAAGTTTATCAGATAAAGTTTTCGATCAGAATTCCTGTGATTTTTTGGGTTCGAAGTTTTTATCGTTTTTATAGTTCATTGATAAAGTAAAACTAATGCAGTAGTTCAAACTGCATAAATACTAGCATTAGTGTGTGTGTTAGGAATTAATTACGGTGGTAATTAAAGGACTCGACTTCCGGGAGATGAGTTATAAGACACAATTTTATAGCGGACTGGTCTTTTAAATTAATTGACTTAATTATTTCCTTTATAAGCGCCCGTATTGTGTTCAGGACAACTAACATTTGATTTATTCAGTGACAACCCCAGAAAACTAAAATTTTCCATAAACGTTTCCTCTACGGAAAAAGAGGCCGTATTTTATGTAATATTTCCAAAAGAAAATTTCCTTGAGCGTTGTTTCGCAGTCGTTTACGACTCTCCGAAATGTTTGACCATAAATTATTCACAAAATACGCCGTCTCGAATGAACCCGACCGCTTTTTTTAGAGCCTCCATAAAAATATCCTTCCTTGAAACGGACCTGCACCGCGCCAAACGAATCCCTACAGCAAAAAAAACCTGATTACTATATTTTCAATTTAGCAGATTTAAAAATCAACATTATAATTCACCTTTTCGACTCTACTCTAATTTTTTAAGCGAAGTTAAATTTCTCGCAAGCAAGCCAATTCTCGCCGCGTTTTTACTTTGAGTTCTTTTTTTAATTAGCCCGTCGCGATTTTCTTGAAACTGGGCGGGTGCCTAAAGTGCTCGGAATAACGGCGAGATTGTGCCGAGCAATTAGAGAAAATCGTTCCTCTTCGCTTTAGCAGAGATAAGAGCGTGTTCTGGATGCTTCGGTTTTAATTAAAACAATGCCGAGAGGAGCCGCGAATTTTCAGAACATCAAGTGTCGGATGATTAAAAAATTACGAGCACATATGCTTTCCGTTAAAAACCGTTGACATGTTGATTCTATTTAAATTGAATTTCTACTCACCAATAATTAAATAACATAGTGTTGTTGTCATAGCGATCTTAGAATCAGTTTTATGTGGAAATCAATCAATTCAAATTACAATGTTTTTTTTGGATTGCACAAGTGGGTCTTTAAGATACGTTCGATGATACATAAACAAAGACCTGTCAAAGTTGTCAGTATTGAAATTTCGTCTGACAGAAATTTAATAGAGGTGGGAATCATTTTTTTTGTGTAAAGGTGCAGTAACGACTGTTACAAAATAAGCGTTGTTTTTCAAATACCATTTTTACTTTATTCTAGTCGACATTAATTTAATATCCATTTTACAAATTTTTATCAGTTATCATACTCATTTAGGTGTTGTTATTTTTCTTTGTGGAATTCCGGTGCACCAGTTTTATGATATCTACATATCTAAAATATTATAAAAGAATTAATAACAGCTTAATTGATGGATAAAGTGCTTTATAAACTTTTATTGACACATGTACGAAGAAACGTGTTGAAATATTTTAAAGCAAAGGCTTTTGGAGATTTGAAGAACTTTTCGTTACAATTCGTCGCGCGAATATCGCTCTTAATCCGATTTGGAATCAACAATGGAAGGAATAAGGAAGAAACGAAATATAAAACAGCAATCTCTTTAACGTAATCTCCTTATAAAATTCGCGAAACTTCCTCGATTGGCGAGGCGAATAATTTCTTTTAAACGGAGCGGTCTCTTTTTTAATCGTTAATTCGCCTTTTGTGCCATTCACTACATAAGTCGATTCGATTGAATTTATCGTTCACCACTCAGACGCATAGTGTTAACTTGCGACCTAATTCGAATTAATTATCAAACCGTTTCCTTTTTTACTTTTTATTAATTCTTCGCATCGAATGATGTTTTGGGCTCCGATTTATTGTATCAATAAAAAGAAATTGGTTAATTAAAGCCCGTTTAAACCTAATAACAAGTAATGTTATCACTCGATTTGTTAGTGTATGTAGTTGTAAAGGTTATTAAAATATTAAGTCTCAATAAATCACCCTCTAGTAATTTTATAATGGATCTCGCTTGTTTAACGTTCTTAATCTAATTTTCTCAAATGGGAGCTCATAAATATGAATACTGTAATTTACAAAGTCCTGTAAGTATTCTATATTTAGACGGTTATTAAGTTGCATGCAATTGCACAGTATCTAATTTCTGGAATTATCTCGTTTAGCAGTTCGAACGTTAATTGTATTTGTGCATTTTCATTAAAGTCGAAATCGTTTTGCGCGGTTTTCATATCTGTTGCTCGCCGATTGCCCTATTTTCTCTAATAACCGATTCGCCTGTGGATGCTCTCTTGCACATTGGAAGTTTTCTAATTTCCAGAATCGTTCCGATTAATTTAAGTTCTTGAATCTCGGAGTTATTTCTAATTGATTGTCTTTTATGGTTAGAAATCTACCAAAGTGTTAGCATGGAAGAAAAATCTGTACATTTTAGCTCGTATCATACTCGCTATTTATTGGATCGTGCTACTTAAACTCGATATAAATAAGGTTAATGATCTAATGTGAAGTACTTGTATATTTACGTATGTCTGTCTATAAGCATTTTATTGCAGTAATTAAAACATCAAAGCTGCTGTTGGACGTTTTAGCTTTGATATATTTTTTGGTAGGAGGGATACGTTCAAGGACTAAACGAAATATATTCTGAAGTTAATTTTTATCCATTTTAAAATCCATTTTCGACCTAAATATTTATGGAATATTTTAAAATAACTCTTTTAAAATATCGACGTCGAAAGTGATGATCTAATCTAGAGTAACCGTTCATTTAGCTCGTTTAAGTGAAATTCCTAGTGGGCAATAAACTCTTGAATATCAGAGCAGCCTGTATTTTTGAAGTCATTTATGTTGTTTGTACGCCAGCAAACCAAAATGACGGATCCATGCCAATATTTACCAACCTTTTTGTGCCAAACATCATCGCGAATATTGGCGGTTTAGGCGGGTTCTAATAATAGAAAAGTGAACTGTATCAATCCATTCGCAGTTATCGGGAAACAAACATCAACCGTTTACCATTCTGGATTGAAATTTGAATAAAAAATGTATCTAAATATGGCCTCTACTAAGCACACGCGCCGGAAATTTAACGTAAAAATAAGAAACGCAGGTTGACCTAATAAAAATAAACGATTCATAAGAGACTGATGCGCTTTTTCCAGCGACAAAAAACGTTCGGTGCACTTCCTACACGATCCGACATATACGGAGAACAGGTTCATCGGCTCGTTAAAATCGTCGCCTACGACATTTATGAATAATTCCCGACGCTTCGGCTCGATAATTTTCTATCATTTAAAATCTTTAATCGAACTATGCGTTAACCGATGCGAAATCTCCATTGGGAAGCGTACAAAAAAGCGGTTTAATTAAATCATGCGGTTTAATGGGAGTAAAAAACAAAAGTTTGTGGTGTTTATCTGGAAAAATGTGACAGCAATATTTACTCAACATATGGGATTTCGCGGTTTGAATTTACACAGTGTAATTGTCTCTGGTTTGGATCTCGGTTTACATGCAAATACCATTGGGAAATCGAAATCCAATATGAATTTGTGTCCCGTCGGTTCATATCATCTAATGTAATGTATGTACATTGCAATGATTGCATACTTTAATAAAAGTCGAAACTTTAATAATGGACAAAAACTCGCGTTTGTACATTAACTTTGATTGCTGGTAATCGTGTCATCTGATTATAAATTTCTGCATATACCAGCATGACAATAAACTCTCGAATAACTGGAAAATTAGTAGCAAGCATTAGTAGCAAACAGGAGCAATATGTTCAATAAAGTTGATGAGTAATTGGAAATGGAGAAAAAATATGAGTTAGAAATTTGTCGACCATTTATCACATCCGTAGAGACCAGACACATGTTTGCTAATAAACTCGTAGACTTTTTGTTAAAAACTCGTTCTTCTCTTTCATTTTTTCGCAGACATAAGAATGTTAATTAGAAAATTATATACCCAGCGATAGCTGCAGGACTCTAGACTCGAGTATTTAGAAATATCTAATTAACTCCAGACTTTACTAAACGCTTTCATAAATTAATATGTGCGCTTGAACCTCTCAATTGCTCGTACGCACTTTATTAAACGCACGCAATTTTTTAATCCACCAACTCAACCAATTACTCTACTCTATACTTATTGTTAATACAATAATATCAGCTTTTGTCGGGAAGTCAGTGAATCTCGAAAGTATCGATTTACAAATCCAAACTCGATTAAAAATAGTAATCAATCCGTAGAACAAAAATTTCCATTTATCCGCTATCATTCAATAATACGGCGGAAATACGTCGAACCATTCCAGAATGATCGATGTAAATCTGCACAGGAAGTGCACAAATCACCGGCGTGTATACGATGGCACGTGACGCAAATATGGAGAAGAGGTCGATGTGCGTTTCGAAACGGTCGCGATTGGCAGGATGATGGGAAACGGGATTCGAAAAATACGGATCCACCTGGATGCTGATTCGTTTTCTTCCATGGATTTTCTCCGAACGGCGTGCACAAACAGAAACGCACCGCTATTGCCGTCTACCTAACAAACAAATACCTATGCATAATCTATTCGTCACAGTCTGTATAACAATGATAAATAAAGCGTTGAACTTTGTACATCTGTAGCAGCATTATAGGCGAAAACCAGTAGCTTCGGAATATCTCCATATTTTCCATTAAACGATGATTCTTGCGATCATATACCTAGTATTTATTTTATGGGTAATGTAATGAGCTTTTTATTGTTTCTTTAGACAGTTTTAACCAAGTAAAAACTCTTTACGACCTACTTCGCGAACGCCGCATTGCAGATTAGGTAAATTGCATCGTCAGTATACGCAATTTCACTAATTTCGTATTGTAATTTTACCCGGCTTTCGACTAGAAAATATCGTTGTAAATCAAATTTCCTTTTATTTTCAACTACTACAATTTAAAACGTATGGCTTATGCTATTCGAACATAAGTTATACGTATACCTCGTATAGAAGATTCTTTAGATTTCGAAACGGAACAGACCGGGCCCTCTCATTTCCGACTATTAAGTCCACTCCCTTGCAACCTAGTTATTACAAATCGATGTGAAGTTGTGAAGAACTCGAGTTGATGTTGATAATGATAAGATAATAAACTCTACTGTCACTAAACGCTTTTATAATGCTATTTTTACTTACTTTTGTACGCTTTTTTAACCACTCGTATTGCAAAAATTTTTCTTGAAGAGTTAACAATAAATTTCCATTATTCATATCCAATTTATAAAGTATCTGTACTCATACCTTGAACGTCTAAAATCTAGAAGGTGGATTTTATTAAAGTTGAAAGCTTATACGTTCTACATAATGGAAATTTTTATGGTTTCCTTTAAAAGTTGTTTGAAAGTTTCGATATAACTTCATTCCGAGTTGCTTATCTCTCGCTGATTAGGCGCCTTAAATTATTTATTCCGTAATGCGTGCTTTTCGTGCTTCTCTAATGAAAATGGGACTTTCGCGAGGCTTTAGTTCTGTTTAATTTTTAGAATTTTCAAACGAAAATTCAATGTTTAAATTATTTTTGGTAAACGTACTAACTTGTGATTTATTTCAGGTTTTTCTGTGGAGTCTCGCTCGAAAAATCAATCGTAAGTAATTAATTGTCATTTATTATTAATTAATAGATTTATTCGTACTCAAAATAACAATAACACAACGCATTTCCTCTTTTCGTCATAACGAATTGTAAGTAGATATTATACCTACATTAGTGTATCAAATAAACCCCCGAAATAGAGCAAATAAAATATTTATTCCACTCATTTGCGAGGAAGTAGGAGATTGGAATTTAATATTTTATACCGTCTAGACTCTACACCAGACATTTAGAGATTTTAGTGAATTGTTAGGGTTGTTTTGTTGGATTTTTCCCGTCTGGAAATACGATCTAAAAATATCAAATTTCGGCGTTATATAATTAAAATACTCCCCTAGAAAGGATTAAAAATGTTGAATGAATATTATGTAGAATTACAACTGTTTATTTTTTTATCGCCTTCTACGCCACATGGTTTAATCATTGACTTTTTTTCATGTTTTATCTTTGTTGCCTAACTCTTTTGTTGTTTTAAAAAATGTCCATTCTAACAACGCTAATTGTTCGCTTATCCTGGATAGAATTTACAATCTACTTTTGTGTCCTAACGGATAGAAAGTTAATCAAAGAACATCAAATAATTTTGCAAAATTCTCTTAAAGCTTATCACGATGTATTGCAGATGTATACCAAAACTCGCTCGTTCCCTCTTTGAATAGAACTTGAACGTTCGCCTGTAAATCAAGTCCGTTTTCCCTCGGTCTCGCCAACTTCGTGTCGTCTGCAGATTTCGCGGATAAAACACGGATCTGGCCGAGGAACGGGAACGGGCCCAAAGTATAATGTCCCTAATCCTCAGTTCTGAAACGTAATTGATAGCCCGAAAGTTTTCTTTGCAGCAATATCTTCCTCCACTCCACACCACTCGGAAAACGGTGCATTAATCAATAGTTTGTCATATAAACTGTCATTGATTGAAACTGACAATGAGTTATTATATAATAGAATAATAATTGTATGATGCCATATAAATTATACATAAAGTAACTTTACGTGTTCAAAAGGAATACTCCGAATATGGTTGTTTGTATAATACTGCCTGTTATACCTTCCTACCCTTTAATTAATTTATCATCAAATTCAGCGGGCTCTATCCTTTTTCCGGTTGGCGTTCCCGCTCGCTCCTTTGTGTTACCTCCAAAATGTAATATTTATTTCTGCGACTTGGCATTTAGCGAAACGTTTAACGTTTATTTTAGCGCCATTCCGCGAGATAGACGAGGTGAACGCTCTGCGTTCGCTGTTCAACAGGGGCGGTTCTGCGAGTAGGTGTCGTAGGTGTTTGGAAAGGAAAACGGTGCGTTTGCACCGAGAGAATTCTCATTCACAGAACTCGCTTTTATTCCGATATAGCTCGATCGTTCGGAGAGGGTGTGCACTGGGTGTTTTTTTTGTTGAATAGAATAGATTGTACTATTCAATTCTATTCAATTGTAGGTACTATTCAATTCGGCAGGCTGAGATAGATAGTCGGTATTATTTGTTGATTAGGGTGTAGAAAACTATTTATCAGAAGTCGGTTTACTTTAGTAAAAGATATTTTACAACCGTTTGTATTCTTGTGGAGATAGGGATGTTATTGCCTATTAACTTTTGGTTCGGTTTTGCATACTTTTTAGTATTCTTCTCCATCAATACGCCCTTTGGTTGGTAAAAGATAAAAATGCAAAAACCGCTTTATCATTGAAATATTACTCAATAATTGTATTTTGCGATAATACTCCGCCTGCGCTAATGGATTATTCCTGGCTATATTGTTCTATAGAATTCAGGAATTTCTGAGTATTCGGGCTTTTAATTGTTTCGATTGTTCCGATTGTTCGGTGTTCGGAATTCATTAATACAATAAGAGAGACCGTTCCGGTAACGTTCGTGTTGCGTTTACTCGTTAAGAGGGGCGTTGAGATTTGGTAACCCAATTTCAGTTGGCAGCAATGAAAATAAGCCCGATTTTTCGGTGTACAAATCTCAAGTTTTACTTAATTTTGAGATATAATATGAATCGCATCTGATAGAGTGAACCTTCCTGTAGGTCATAAAGGTTTTTTTTACAGATCTATGCAAAAATAACGAAATTACAAGCGTTTGAAGGTGGACATTTTTCAGTTTTTTTTTCTAACGGACGGTAACCAAAATCCTTTATGACCTAGCGAGGGGTAATAGAAATGTATTGTGAAAATTTGGAAACGATATTCTTTATATTTTTTGAGATTTGTACACCGAAAAGTCTGGATTTTGGAAAAAACTTCATCGATTTGCCGCTAGGGGATACCGAAAATGATATGTTGGTAATGTGGGTTGCATACGCTCAAGTAGATATGAGCTTTAGGAAGATAAAATAAGGGTTATTTATGAATATACGATATATGTGCACTTCACAAAGCACACTGTTTTTATTATAATAAACAAATTTAGGAGAATTGAGGAAATTCAAGTGAAAATATATTGTAAGTGTCATTGCTGCCAACAAAATAGAGTATTTGACGTATTAGACATGACATAAGACATAAGACAAGATGTCATGTTGATTTTTAGGAGGTTATGTTTACGTTAACATATTTACATTTGCTATATTTTACTTTATCGAGTTATTACTTTGTAGTTGCAATTGAAATTGCAATATACAAACAATAATTAATTATGAAGATACGTTATTATATTTGGATATTATGCATTTATTAATTATTTTTTAAAACAATATTCGAAGATTGATTGAAGACTAGAATGAAATCAAAATTTATCACAGCGTGCACTATTAGGTATATTTTTCATATTCATCATTGGCATACAAATTTAGTATTGTATTTTTTCTTTTCCAACTTTACACTTATCAGTTATTAGATATGATGTGACTTACGTTCAATTCAACTATCATGCTATACTTGTTGTACCTGTAAGGAAAAGAATTGAAACATTTCATTTGTGTAAATATGTTTATTTTAATACTACTTTAACAATTTTGATATACAAGTTGATATACAAGTTTCATCGGTCCACTTTTCTTCTCTTCTTCTATCTTCGGAATATAATGTTTTATCGGGTATCTCATAGGGCAGGTTGATGATCAAATCTATACTTGAAAATGGTCCTGCAAAGGTCTCCACCCAAGTCCTACGACCCCAGAGTGGCTGTACTAGAACTATTTCACTTACAAATTCATCAGTGCCATTGTCATTTTCGGAGTGTGTGTTCGGAGTACTTATTGTTGTATCGGGCATCCCATAGGGCAGGTTGTTGATTAAATCTATGCTTGAAAATAGTCCTGCACAGGTCCCCACCCAAGTTCTACGACCCAGAGTGGCTGTACTAGAACTATTTCATTTAGGCCCAGTTGCTCGTATGCGGATCAAAGTCGTATCAACTGATCTCGAATCAAAGTCGGATCAATAGTTAGTCCTGGAAAAGGGCGGCCATATTTGATCCCGATTTAATCTCGGCTTAATCCCGGATCATAATTGATCCGCGTATGAGCAACCGGGCCTTACAATTTCATCGGAGGCATTGCCATTATCGGAGTGTGTGTTCGGAGTACTTATTGTATCGGGCATTTATCAATATATTCGATCGTAGAATCGCATCTCCCATTTTGTCCCCTGCACGTACTTTTGCAATATTACATAGGTACACAATACAATACAATACAGGGTGTTCCAATAAAAAGTACCCCCTTTAATTAGCTAATAATTTTTAAACGCCTAATCATAAAAACATGCGGTTTTCTCAAATATGTTTTATTTTATTATAAGTTTTGTTACAGTGATACAGAAATTATGCATTAACAATACATGGTGTTTTATCAAAACCTCCTCTTTTAAATTCACAGTAACCAAATTAATTTAAATGGAACATCCCGTATATACAGAGGTATTTGAAAAGATACACTCTTCTACTTTTCAAAAATATATTATTTGTAGATATTATTCTACAAAAGAAGACGTCCTATTTCATAAAATTTAGTTATTGCGAATTTAAAAGAGGGGTTTTTTTATGAAACATCCTGTGCAGGCGATACAAAATTTTTGTCTCACTGCAACAAAAAGTTATAGAAAAATAAATAATATATTTGTCAAAACCGCATGTTTTATCATCCGGCGTTTAAAAAATATTAGCTCACTAAAGGGGCTACTTTTCATTGAGACACCCTGTATTTTAATGAACACTATATCATTATAATTACATGATTTTTAGTGAAAAAAAATGTTTAGTGATTTTTACCTAATACCATTGTAATATAGGTACCACTCGACAAAGACTGGTCTTTCTAGCAATGATTGTACGTCTATTATTAATGTATCTTTGTAATTAATTATAAAAATTAATTAATAAAATGTTTCAAATTTACATATATTATAGTTTACAAAGTTTGCAATAAGAAATTGAAATATAATTAACTAATAAACTATATAATATTTATATAGTCATTGATATTTGAATTAAAATTTGCAAATTAATATACCTTCTTATACATATATCAAAAATGAAATTTGCAAATTCTAAAAGCAAAAATGCATCTTCGCCGCTACAAAAATAGAGAGAATATTCGCCAGAGTGTTAGGGGTCGAAAACGATTAGACGGACAATCATAAACGGCTACCTGCTTATGCAAATTTACTTTATTTACAATGCGACGATAACAATACATTTACTTTGAAAATAGTCTCTTAGATCCACTGCACTTGCGCCACCTGTTAGAACATTTTCTGAAATATCACTGGTTAAAAACCTGGCTAAAAATTTAAATTTGAGACAGCTATCGCCATCTGGTTCAATTAATGAAACTACAAAAAATTACTAGATTCTAGGGGCGATTGGTACGACTGATGAAGTGCTCAACGCCCCTCTTAATTTTAACAGATTCTTCTCCTAAGGCGATAGCCCGTTATTTCAGTGTAGGCAACACGGTTGACAATTTTATTCTGTTTTATAAACTTGGTATTTTAAGCAAGCTGCTGTTACGTTGGTAGACCTGTTGGTTAGGGCAACTGTATTCCATCCGAGTCGGTATAATAGTGTTGTTTGTGTGGCGGGTTCGAATCCTACTTCAGGCGTTTTTTCAGTTTATAAATGTTCAGCAATTATCCCATACAGGACAAATGCCGTTTCAGTGGTATGTTCTGTGCATCAATGCTGATAGATAAAATTTCTGTTTATCCTCTCGTTAGTACCGCTCTTGTATTTACGGGGTTGGAAACGCAGGAAACATTTTTTTCAATAGTAATTGTAGTAATAACTGTTCATTTATATCTACTCGTAAAGTTTATATCATTATAGTTGAGTAACATGTTTTTTATGAGCGAGTATTTTATGAATATCGATTGAACCTCTCCAGTTTCTGAAACCTTAATTCCTCCCTACGTTAATACCTACTCGTGTTAAAATATTGTGTACTAATGACTCGCTAAATAATTTCCCATTTATCATTCCCGGCTTGATCCGAATTTGATTAATGTTTAGGCGGACGTAAATGAAATGAATTACTCGCTTTCTATCCTTACTGCATGCCAAAAGTCCCAGGTTTAATTAACAACGAATTTTCTTTTATTCTTCAAAACACAATTCCTCATTTTCTCACGTCACAATACATATTTCTTCTACTCAAAGCGACCTAATTTTTATCTCGACAAACATCGACGTTCGTATATTCACGATCCGATTTGTTTTTCCTTTAGCAAATGCCTTGTGGGAATCATAAATGTCGGAATAACCAAAACCTAGTTGTCACATCGTGGCGCAGATTACAACCCTTTTGCCGACCCTTTCCGATATTCGATATATCGAACAAGGAACATTGACAGCCGAGGATCGCAATAACACACTCGAATCCGGGCGAGATAAAACCGGCACCATTCTCCCTGACATCACTTTCCTCGCAAATTTTTAAATCGACATAAAACCATTTAACAATCGAAATATTTATCTACTACATGGATTGGATTTATACAGAGGGAATTATTATACAAGGAATTATACACTTAAGGGGGCACTTAAGGGGGTAATATGAAATAACCACATTAAAAGTTGCATCCGCCTATTCTTTTTAAGAAAATACAGAATGATTTATGAATTTTTGATCCAACAACACACTGTCATATTAATAATTAAAAAAATTCCATGACCGTTCTAAAAAAAAAGGATTCAATAATTCCTAACTTAATACTTCACCCTGTATACGTTTTTCTTAAATTTTCTATAAATGGGTATTGAAGAAAGTATACGTAACTCGTAAAGCCTGAAATTCATTTATTTAAATTGTCAATTAACAATCAACTTTTAAGAAAAATTACACATTTAGAATAATCGAATATCTAACATTAATTTTCTATCATACCAATTTTAATGAATATTAGTAATAACGACTAATTACCTACATATCTCTTTCTATGAAAGGGTCCAAAAGTAACAAAAAGCCTTAAAATTAACTCAATAAAACATTCAGCTCGTGTTTACGATTGTTTGATAATATATTAGATACCCTTAAGTAACATACGCTATTAAAATATGTACAGTTCCTCATGACTCGCCCTGTACACATACACTATATAATTTTTGTAGTATCTTCATTGCTTTTATATACCGATATGTAAATCCTACCGACTGCGCCACATTTTATATTCCTTCTACAGCAGGTATTTTGTTGTTAAATTTTATGAATTCCATTTAACAATTTGAACGGTTGAAGTTGCCTGCATGGTGGTTGGAAAAATGGAAAGCACGTTAACGCCTCGAGTTATTTTTCGACTTCTGTTTAGCGTTGCGGAAGTTTCGGGAACGGCTCACCGTCTCATTTAACACTCTCACTAGCACGGTCTCGCGAATTTTCCGAATAGCCCCCGGTGCTATTTTCCATAAACAAATACCGGAGTTTCCCTGGTTGAAATTCCGACCGCAGCTGAAAGGCTTTTTTCTCAATTCCCCTATTCACATACCTACCACAAACGGTGAATTCGTCCGAAAAAAGTTTGGGTTTTAAAAATCCTCTTCAATACCAAACTTGTTTATCTCGGCGTTATATAGTTTGTATAGTTTTTTTAATCATTCGCTGAACGCCGAATAGAGAGGCTGTGGAGCCTTTTATGTTGCATCATTAACGATCTAGCGGAATGAGCGACAAAAGTGAATGTAGATAATAGAACAGGAATGGTACAAAAGAATTGAGGTTATATTCGTAAGTGATGAGGTGCTCGGAAGGGGCTCTTTATCGTATACACAACGCTCATTTAATAATTTTCCCTCCGACGCTTTATGTGCGAGAGCAGAATCGGAGCTGAAACGAGGGCGGCGCTATTGAATTTTGAGAATGGAGACGATGAATTGATGAAACGAAAATTGAGTTCGAAGTGAAGACGGGGCTCGTGAAAACGGGGATTATCGAAACATTACCGAAGAAACGGAATATTTGTGTGTTAAAAGAAATCAGGAACACGAGAAAATCTTCAATAGGTTCCGGTTTACAGTTTCAACTAACATTACTTTAGTTGACTACAAATATCTAAATACAGTGTGTCCCTGGATGGAATTGATGAGAGGAAAAAGTCATTAATTTTAATTTTAGAAAGAATAAAAGTCATTCTTCGAGATCTATGTTTAAAAATAACGATATTTTTCCTCTCATCAACTCTTCAGTGACATACTATAAGAACTACATATTTCTTTACTCTTTTATATACACCAATATAAAAATGTTTAAATAATTTGAATAAAAATTGTTCCGCTGATAAAAGTATCTAAATATTTATTATAGGCATAAATTTGATAAAAGAAGAATTGGCGCGGTTATTACTTATAAACTATGCATTAACATAAACATAATCTCTGATTCACACATTCATACACATGCGGTTTTCAATTTTCCTTTTAATCTATACCTATAACAAATTAGTAATTGTGTTATTGTTGATCGTAAATAATATAAAAAGAACATTCTATTAAATTCGCATTTCCAATGAATGCCTACCTCACCAAAGAATGTACCAATTGCAATATGAAAATTCCAAGCCAGTCTTACTAGAATGCCATTAAAACGAAAATAAACCAAGGCAGAAATAGAAAAGCGCATTATGAATTTTCAATTTAGCATTCATTGCGGAGTCCAAATGCACGTGAGCACAAATAAAAATCATAAAATCGAATCGACTACATATTAATTACACACTCTAACGCCCGCTCGGGCGCCGCACTCGCTGGAATTTCATTTTCCCCGTTATAAATTTTCGTCTTCCGCGAATGTTTTCATTATCGCGACGTTGCCGGATCGGCTTCGAGCGCTAATCTTCCCTCAAACGGATTAAATTCCACGCCAATGCGATGTAGTGAATTTTGATTACGGGCTGCTTAGTCGACTGTGCACTAAACCTGCACGGTTTAATGCCGCTGACTAGGTTTAGGTAATTGCGTTTTGTACCTAAATCTACTCCAATTAATCAAAATGTTTGTTCCTAAAGTAATTTGTGCAAACTTGCCAGACAGTTTGTGCGATCCTTTCTACTCTTTCGAAAGAAAAAGAAGAAGCGATAATGAGTTAACTACACTTTGCCATTGTTATGAATTATTGAGGGCTCCGATGAATTAACAGCTCATAGTTAATTCTCATCGTTTAAACGGCTCGATTAAGCGTAATCCTATTAGAGGTAATCCGCGCCGATTTCGCAGATGTTGAAACGAGAATTACGAACCGGTGAACATCGGAAACTGCCCTAAAACGTCTGTTAAAACAATCTGACGAACCGGTTGACAATTAGTTTCAATTATAGGTTAGGTTTTTATCGATTCGGAGGTATCAAATGTGGTGGGATGTGGAAACGTGGTGGTGGAGGGACCAATGGTGGTGTCTGTACGTGTGCGCCGTGCTAGCAGCTTGCCACGCCGAATCCTACACCTATCCCTTGGACCTGATCAAAACCAGATTGCAAGTGCAAGGCTCCCACGAGGACGAAACCGGCGCCGGCGCCAAGAAGAACTTCTTCAAAACGGCCATAGAAATAGTGAAGCACGAAGGGCTGTGGGCTTTGTGGAAGGGCATAGGCGCCGTGTGGTTTAGACACTTGATTTACGCGGGATTGAGGGTGGTGATCTACGATCAGATGAGGATATTGTTCCACAAATGGAACGGCGACGAGGATTTCGAAGAGTACACCCCCATGTGGCAGATGCTGGTATGCGGCATCACCTGCGGGTTCGTGGGCCAGCTAATCGCCAATCCCGCGGATCTGATCAAGGTGCAGCTGCAAATGGAGGGCAAAAGGAAGCTGATGGGGTTGCCGCCGAGGGTGAGCGGTTTCTGCGACGCGGCGAGGAAGATTTACGCGGAAGGCGGCGTGTTGGGCTTCTGGAGAGGATGGATTCCCAGTTGCCAGCGGGCCATTTTAGTGGCTATTGGTGATGTGACTACTTACGATGCGGTTAAGACATTGTTCAAGCAACACGCTAACATTTCCGATAGGTTTTTCCTGCATTTCATCGCGAGTTTTATAGCGGGTTTCGTGACGACCGTTCTGTCGTGTCCCGCCGACGTGGTGAAGACGAGGTATATGAACCAGCCTGTCGACGAACACGGGAAAAATCTTATTTACACGGGAGTCTGCGACTGTTATAGGAGGATTATTAGAGAGGAAGGATTCTTGGCTTTGTACAAAGGTTTTTGGCCGATTTGGATGCGAATGGCGCCTTGGGCAGTCATTAATTGGGTGACATACGATGGGTTCCGCGTACTTCTGGGCGCCAAAACGTTTTAATCGGATAGGACACATTTTAACGAATCAATTTTAGTTATATCACAAACACAGTGGACCAGAATTTGCACCGTTAACGAGATATTTAATCATAGGATAAAATTAATTAAGTAAGGTGAGAATATCGACCCTTAAGCTTTATTACTATGACCTATAGGCCCGGTTGCTCGTACGCGGATCAACTTAGATCCGGGATTAAGCCGAGATTAAATCGGGATCAAATATGGCCGCCCTATTCCAGTACTAACTATTAATCCGACTTTGATCTGAGATCAGTTGATCAGACTTTGACCCGCGTACGAGCAACCGGGCCATAATGTATTTTTAAATTTGTACAGATTTTTGAAAACCTAGAATTAATATACCTAGAATGTTAGATCCAAGCAGTACCTAATAGTATAATTGTTGAAGTAATAAAATGCAAATATAAAATTACCAACTATTTTGTGGTGGTGTATTTGGTACAAGAATCAAGAAGAAGAAAACTAGAAAAACCAAGTAGGACAAGCAAACAAAGATAATTATTGATCAAGTCTTATCCGATTACCTTTTCTATATTATTATGTACCGCGCAAGACGTTTAAATCCCATTAAGAAAAATAAATAGCCTTCATCCTTCCCTAACAACTTTACATCTAAATACTGTAATGGTTCCCAATTTATGTTTTTCCCAAACAACGTTAATACTCCCAATAGACTCGTATCCTAAAAAAACTACCGGCAACTTAATTCGACTTTTTCGGCACGTACACGCCAAATTCTCGTAAGTGGTTCCTACAATTATTTCGGTATCCCTTCCTATTCAATCTCGCTCGAAGAACGCTAACTTTTTTATTCGCCGATGTCACGCACATCACCTCAATAAATCCAAACGTACTCGAACAGAATTTCTATACGCGCTCCGAAATTTACTTTATTATGCCTTCAAAAGTTCACACACACATTCAAAAAGAAACTACTTAAATTAAGGATACTATGTATAAGGATGAATGTATGTATTCAGTAAAAAAACCCGCTTCGGCTACTCTAAATAGGAAACTTTTCCATTTTCGTTACTAAGAATGCTCTCGAGGCATTAATCTGTGCTGTCAAGTGCTCGCCAAGTAATGCTTACCTGAGACTCAAAAGGAGCATTCTAATGCGATCCTATATAATATGTAAATTGAAATGAAAACAGAAGCAGCCACGACGCTGCCGTGTTCTTGGATTTTAAAACGGAAGAGACGCGTAATCTCGTCGTAACGCTTTAATATATTTCGGGCGGACTCAAAGAAGAATGCTCGTAAGAATTGTAATTAGTTCTATATTAAGAATCTGGTAAAACTTTTGTTGTGGTTTCTCGGTGAAGGGTAGGATTAAATAGATAAGTAAACCTCACCGAATGTAGCTTGACAGTTGAAAATTGCATTGGATACGCTAACAGAAAGAAATAATGTACACATTTTGATACAATTGCGGCTAATAATTAAGAAATATATGTAATAACCACTCTAGATCTTTACTCTTCTTGTTACCTGCAACTCTCCCTCTTCTTTAAATTCTCATAAATGGCACCCAGCTTTTGAGATACAGTGTGAGATACAGCTAAGAGAACAAGGTTGGTTAATGTACTACAGCAATCATATGATTCTCGAAAATCAAGATACGTCAATTAAACTAGAAATTATGACGCTCGCGACGTGCGCGAAAGACGTCCGCTTCTACAAATGGCCGAACATATCCTATTTCGGGGAGTACGAAACGCCGGCGGACTGCATGGGCGTGAAGAGCATCTCCTGGTCCTCTAACAGCAAGGAGCTCGTCGTCGTGAAAAGCAAAGGCTGCCCCGTTATCCTGAATGTACCCGCCAAAGCCGATCAATACGTCGAATCGACGGAATGCAATTACATCGCCTACGCATCGGTGGCAACATTCTCCAATACTAACCCGGATTTGGTGGCCTTCGGCACGGAGGACGGTTGTTTGCTAGTGTACGATACGAAGCGCGCCGGCCGACCACAGGATTGCATAAAGCTGCCCAGTCCGGTGCAAAACGTGGAATTCTCCTCCGACGATCAGTGCTTCGTGACCGGCTGCTCCAGCGGCCAAATATTCCTGTTCGATTGCAATCGCAAACCGTGCGCCAGTTTCTTGGTATCGAAGAGCCCCACCCTATCCGCTCTCGCTTACAGCAAGGTAACGCCGCATCTTCTAGCCGCAGCGAGCAAAGATGGTGTACTATCGGTATGGAACACAGACACTACGGATAATCTGCTGAGCAACAGGAAGCATACAGCAAGGATAACCGACATAGCGTTTTACCAGAGCAGCCTAACGTCGATCGGAATCGACGGGAAATTCGTTAATTACGATTTGAGGTGTTGCAAACCGGCTTGTAGCTACGACCTGGAGTGCTCGTTGTCCAGTTTAGCGTACCTCGAAGGCTCCAACGAGCTGGCGATCAGCACCATGTCGGGTCAACTCAGGAGCTACGATATAAGGAACATGGAAACGCCGCTGAGGACGCTGGTCGCCCTTTCAAACGGAGGTTTCAAGAAAATCAGTTTTCCTTTCAACGACGACGGCTATTGTCCTTCCAGCAAGCGATTCGGCGACGGTGACTGCAGCGTCGCCTCCGGTTCCTCTCCCGGACGGTCGAATCTCTCGAGATTGGCGTCTGATAACGATACTGTTCCGCAAGAGATCGAAGCCGCTAAGAGACCCGATAAGGAGGACGTCGGTAAATTCGTCGAAGAGGAAATGAAAATCGCCACCAGGGACTTCGAGGAGAAGCTTCTGCAGCGGTTCTACGCGCTGCGCATCAACTCCAGCAAGCAGTTCATCGGCTTGGAGGAGAAGATTTCGAGCAGCTGGAACGCTTTCGTGGATTATTTGCGGGTCTCCGGACAAGCGACTAATCGACCCAGTTACGTGGGCGTTGGAGTCCAGAAGAGTCGCAATACTTTAGAACACGATGCAACACATTAGATAATTTTCTCTCTAATAAGCTTTATTTTAACGATTTCAACTGATTGATTCAACTGATTAATTTTTTGTCAGTTTGTAACAACATTTATGTTTGTTGGTCGGACGTGGAGCAATCGTTATATTGTGCATAATAACTCGTTTGGGTGATGAAAGTGACGATTGTAATGACAAAAGTAAATTTGAAAGGGCCGTTGGAAGGTTTTTTTCCCGTTTTGTAATTGCGTTACGTCCGCTCGAATTTTTTTTATTCCTATATCGCATTACTGCAAACAGACCGCCGTATTTACATCGAACAAAACAAACTCCATCGGGGGAAATTCCCATCCCGCGAACGGGAATGTAAGCAAACAGAACGAAAAAATCGCCGTGATTTAATAACTACGCACATGTCGTTATTGGACAGATTGAATTTTAATAATAAATATCGTTTATACTTTTTTTTGTTAGAATCGTAATGTAGAAAATATAGTTTCATTATAAAAATGCTGTTACTTAGATCGAAGTCAGACTAATAAAATGAACTCGTAACAATTAACCTTGAGGAAACTAATAGAATAGAATAAATAGTTAGTAATTTTAGTTAACAAAAGTTCAATTGATGCAAAACGTTAAAAATAACTTGTAATCATTCTAAATATAAGAGCAAAGTGAGATGAATCAACTTTGTTTGGGTTATTCAACTGGAATTATAAAATTCTCGTTAATATTAGTAATTGCAGGATGCGGTGTTGATTTCACCATTAATTACTATCGAACAGCGAATTTGTAATCGCCACATTTCTAAAGAATACTACTTCCACTTTTTCGTTGGCAATAAATATTTCGTTGATAGAAAATTTAAGGCTGGGAAAACGCCGTAAAACGGCAGAGAAAATTTATTATCCCTGCGAAATTTCCGTAAAGAAATGAATGACCGAAAGACGCGGCAGTGCAGCGGGGACTGCTTTCAGAAAATTCTGTGCGAGAAAAAAATCATCTGGCCTTTTTCAGGTACGTATTTCGCGAGGATTTAATGCTAATGGTCTCGGAATATCGCCTAATGGAAGGAAAACGAGTTTTGATGAAAACGCGCGATTTTCAACTTTAAGCAACTATAAATTATTTGGAATATCGCCGACAAGGTAGAACGGGGAAAGCTTAATATTCGGCATTTTCGCAATATTACTTTTTTTCTGTCCGATAACCGTTACGCCTTTCACGAGGACTCTAGCTGTTTGATTAACGGACTGACAAATCGCTTTCAGCTTTGCTCTTTCAGGACATTTCATTCACAGGAGAGTAGTTTACATAGAAACCAAAACATTAAAGCTTCTTTTTAATACAAAAGTGCATTCCACCAAAATAATAACCAAAAGGAAAGTGTGTACTCAAACAACATTATTTGGTCTTGTATAAGAGCTTATTTAATTAGTAGTTTAATGATATTTAACCAAAAACGGAAATAGGATTTTTCCGAATTACGTTAGAAAGTTAAAGGAAATAAAGAAGTATTCGTATAATGGCTCTTCGGGAAATACAATCCTAATTTAATACATTTTCCCAAGCGCTTTGTTTCCAAAGCGATCGTTGATCCAATTTGTCTTTGTTCCAACGAAACGAAAAAACATCGTTAACCAAAAATATATTCAAGCATTGCGATACTATTGTAATTGATTAGGATCCCAAGCATGTATGGGATGTTTGTATCAAGTTGATTTATGGAGTTGATAAGGGGATATTTTTTTTAAATCCTCTGCATGCTTGTCGAAAAAATAAGTTTGTCGTATAAAAATCTGGAAACTGATGTACAAAAATTCTTCTCTCATCTGCTCCATTCATGGACAATCTAAATTAAATTTTAGAAACCATTTACAAATCAATTCTTATTTAGATAAAGATAAATTAGTACGTTCGTACTAATCACAAACTAAAATATTGATATTGGGTTTACTGCATACAATAAAAAAATTGACTTCGTGCTTAATTTAACGCGTACTTTCACTTATCAGTTTTTTTTATACATCTCCACCATTAAGAAAATGAGAAATATCACGATCTTCCCTAGCAATCACATCGTATTGTAAGTACGCTATATCTTCTGTGACCGTTGAACAGGGAGCCGGCAAACCGCTTCGCATTTTTCTCTCGCGCCCGGAAAGCGACGGCCGCCATCAATTTCCCGACGGAATATCCTCCGGAGTGACTGTGCCAAAATCCGTCTAATGGCCCGCCGGCACGTTATCCTATCGATTCTCTTAATATCTGCATTTCACCTTTTTGGCAATGGCGCGTGGTGGTAACAGCGATTTGATCGATGAACCGAACGTGTACAAAACCGCGTTACATGGGCCTGTTATAACGCGTTATCGAGAGTTCAACTCGAAAGGGGTGTAGACCGATGGGCCGGGGACCTCGTTATCTCGAATGTAAATAGTGAAATGCATCGACTGTTTTATTTACTTTTTACTTATTGATAAACAACTGAACCGTTCGTTTTTAGTTAACACTTTGGTTCGTTACTTTCTCGATAATTGTATAATTTAAATTGATTTCTTGTGACCGACGTTATTTTCGATGCCATTAATTCGATCCCCTTTTGTCTATCTCGTAAAATTACTTTTTTATTTCATCGATTCCCTGTTGGTTCAATTAATGAACCAATTTATTGGACAATGCACCAGTTTTTATCTTTTAATTCCATTTACAGAAATAAAAACGTCTTCTTTTTATATGCGACGTTAACCTTTTGATTTACGATCGACGGCACAGCACTTCCAACATTTAATTAACCCCATTAATTCCACCACGAGCAATTAGTTTATATAAATTCAACGTTATTTTTGTAAGAAGTAAATTAAGTCGTTTTTTCTACTACATGTCGAGCACTCCCTGACATATATCGCGTTTTTTTTATAAGATAATCGGTGCAACGAAATTCCTCACCAAAATTATAATTTCCTTTTGGGTCTTACTTTTTGCCCTTAATCTCTTACGAATTACAACGGAAAAATAACAATACCTAAATTAGTATTTCTGGTAGAGTAGAATAGACTAATCAGTAACAATCGTTACTGGCATCTCCATACCAAAAAATCGATTCCCACCTCTATTAAACTTCTAACAGACGAAATATCATAACTGGCAATTTTGAAATTTTATTATTTATGTATCATCAAACGCATCTTAAAGTTCCACTTATTCACGAACAATCCTGAATAAATTTTGGTGCTGAATTTCAATACGTTCAAAATTTTTACGTTTATTTGTTTCATACTAATATTCTGCGGGAGAGAGTACAAGAGTGTGTTTCTGTACTTTGTTTTTGTGGTTGTCTATCTTCGAAATTCGACTACCTACCGGGGAAAAATAGACGGGAAACTCGAGATTCGAATGTTGCGAACTCCAATCGATATGTGCCCACCGAACTTTCCGAAATTACCTCTACCTATTCCCCGTTAAATTACCGCCGTTCGACTTGCGAGAATTCGACGCCGCGTAACCAGTTGCTCGAAATGCGCCACTTTCGGCCACTTTTCCAACAGTTCCAGAAATTGCTTTTCCGGAATCGAAGACACTCGGGTTAACCGCTTTCCCGATGCTCCACTCGCCGGCGTCATTTTATATTTCAGATTCGTTCTAAAGTACCTAATACACCCGAAGCTCTGCCAGTTAAATCATGGAATTGATTCTTCTATAGCAACTTTGTTATAAATATGTATGCAATATGTTGTTACAAATAAAACCACGCAATTTTATTTACCATATAATATCGAATTTCGTTTATTATGTGTAGAGAGAAATGTTTCATTACTAATACACCGATATTTTTTGTTTGGTAATTTTCATTTGAAATCGAGTAGTGCGAGTTATTTATAAGTACTATCAAAAATAACTTCGGTAAATCCCGCTCGCGTATCCCTTCTTGTCAAGCCTGTACCGAATGGGCCCCACCTCAATCTGAACACGAACATATGGCAGGAATTTTATCCCCCCGGACAGATTCATTTGCATTTGCGAAGCTCAACGTCCGCAGAGCCATATCTTTGTTTAAGATTTTAAATCGTAAGCTCAACCCCGACCTGCTCAAGTTTATTTCTCCCTGCCTTTAATCTGTTTTATATCGACTTTACGTGACGTTTTTCCTCCGAGTTCAACGACTCAAATGATTCAGATGGTTTTTGTTAAGGAAAAAGAATGTTTGAATCTCTCTTGTTTGTTGATATGCACGCATTAATGCAATCAATGTGGATGTTGTTTGTATTTTTTAAGATACTAGGATATTGGTGGTCAAATAAGATATCTATTTCAAGTTTGTATTGTTGATATACCAATAGTGTAAGTAAATAAGAGATAAAGCGTACTGTGTAAAATCTGGAGAAGTATCATTATTTATTATTTTACATCACCATATTTTTATAATACTAATAGACCAAATAAAACTATAAAACAAAAATACTGAAGGACATTAATAAAATTAGTGACGTTAACCAATTTGGCTTTCTTGTAAAGTCTAATACTAGTGGCATTATTATCTGAAGATAAAGTATAAAAGTTAGAAATTTGATATGAATTGTTGTGTTTACGTATTAATTTGAATGAAAACGACTTGTTTTTATTCAATTTTGCTCTGAAAATTGTTTAATAATAATAATTTTCTCTTGACACATTTTAAACTTTCTTTACTTCAGCGACACCCTGTAATTTTTTTCGATAAACCAAGACATATTTAATAAAGTAAAGAACCACTCTTCTCCGTAAAACTAAAAACAACAATTTTTTCCTCTTGTCAACTACATCCAGGGACACGACACTGTATGTTGAATATTTCAGAAATGTTCGCGAAGAATATGTAATTGTTATTTCGTCCAGAAATATAGAGGTAAAAAGGTGAAAGTAAATTTCGATTTACACATAATTGACACAATTTTCTCGGTTTTATCGCCTTGCGTTTCTCCTCGATTCCGAAAGGTTTATAAATTGCCTTAGCTTCACAAATCATTCGAACTCGATACAATAGAGTGGTAATAGGTGCGGGAAATATATACGTCCCAAACAACGCTAAAACTAAATTTACGGTCAATTAACGTAAAAAACCTTCTTTAGGTAAAGAGAATATTTTACTCTACGAATAAAAAACGTAAATTTTATAATCATTAATTAAAATTGTCGAGGTAAAAGATATTCTGCACTAGTCCTTTTTGACTCGAATTTACGAGCTACATGGGACCTAAATGAGTTTTCCTTTAGGCGTACATTGAAAAATAAAGCGCGTCATTTTTCACAGCCTTCAGAATTTCCGCACGAACTGTCGACTTTTCCGTACGAACATCATAAAAAGATGAATTGGAGTGTCTTCGAAACGAATTCTGCGATACTTTATTGATGACGGGAAAGACAGCGAGCCCTCCATTTTGTACATTCTTAAATCGCAAACCGCCGTCGTGTGTCTGGTTTTTCGTGCGACAAAGGGAAAGAATGAAAACGGCTATTTTCGAATCGATATGCAGTTTCCTAAACTCGAACGACCCCCGCGTAAAAGCGATGAAGAAATAACGCTCGTCTTGTCGGAAATCCGATTGGTTTTTAATTAAGTTTCTTTCTTCCCAAATTGCTCTTCTGTGGTTTACTGGCTGAGAATTGATTAAATAGATGTAGTAATAATAGGTTTTATGCTTACTCGAATTAACTTTTTCCACCCTCGCGGATTTTTGACCTATTTTTTTAACGATGATAAAGTGGAGACACACCGTTAAAAGTTAATGATTCTTCCTCCCTTTATCGTCGACTTCCTTATATTTTTAAAGGATCTGCGGTAACTTAATCCTAGTAATACAAAAATCGATAATACTAATGATCTTAGACGAAAATTAGACGACTTTATGAGGATTTTCTTCCGTACAGATATCAAGTTTATTTCGACTCTACGAAAACCTTAATGCTTACAAAAATTTAATCAGTAGAGATATTTTCCGTTTGAAACTCGTTAACGGGCATTCCGTCATAAAATTATATGGAGATATATTAATATGCATTTTATCCAAGGCAATAATAATAACTAATTCATTTGCTGGTGGATATAATTAACAGGTCATCATATTTAAAAATGCGGTTATCAAAACTTATTCACGAATACATGTATATAGTCAAAACGAATGATTCACGATGTCATTATCGACTAATATAAATTCAAAAACGAGACCACGAGACCACCATAAACGCTAATTTAATACAGGATATCATTGGTAATATAATATACCCGAATTGATTAGTAATAAGCGCAACACCATACTGCATCCATTTTAGTCCCTATTTTCAACATACTCACTTACCTAGCTCTCGATTTTATCTTCTTCATGACACGCGGTATCTGCTCCATTCACTTTAGTCACTTACCGTTCCAATTAAACCTCTATCGCATCGGATCCGCGATCGCTATTTAATCATCCCCCCCGGATAACATCGCGCCCCATCCAGACGCTGGATCCCCGTCGCGTATCGCTTGCGATATCTCCAGATATTCCTCACCGTCAGAGGCCATAGTTCTCGAGAAGCCGGCGCTCTCCAGTTGGCGATAGAGCATGTAGAAGTTCAAGTTAAGTTTAAAAAAAGGAGTGTAGTGTTGTAGAGGAAAGACTTGTGGTTTTGTAAAAGAGAGGTACTTAATACAAATAGTAGATATTTTAGTATCTGGTGCATTTGAAAAAGTTCTTTCAGTGGTTTTACAGGTTCGGTTAATTCGTGAAGGAATGCTTATTAATCAGGTTATTTAGATTGCTTTAATGTTATGGTGAGATTAGTGGGATTTCAAATCATCTTTCCGCATTGAATTAATGATTCAACGCGAATTACCACGCTAACCCGACGCATGCATAAATGAATTATTCCTAAATTGCAATATGTATGCATTATATTTTGTGAAATCGTTCATTAATATTCCAGCGATACACCTCCGGTCCGAATGAACATGTATTATTCTACTACCTGACCCGAAACTAACCAGTAACAAAGCGCCAAGAAGCTTGCGTGTTTTAAACATCGTCTTCAAACATTGGTTTGAACATATCAAATTAATAACACTCCACTGGTGCACCGGAATTCGCCACGAAAATAATAATCCCTTTTTGGGTCGTATTTTAACATTAATCCCTTATTAGAATTCCACACCAAAAAATAACAATACCTAAAGGAATACCTGAAAATTTTCAAACTGGATATTAGATTAATTTCGAGTAGAGTAATCAGGAGAACCATATTTGAAAAATAACGCTTATTTTGTAACAGTCGTTACTGCACCTCTATACAAAAATCGATTCCCACCTCTATTAAATTTCTGTCATACGAAATGTTCATAATGTCAATTTTGACAGTTTATGTATCATCAAACCACGGCTCTATATTTCTACGGTCTGGAAACTCACTTATGCTTATGCATTAGAGAATGTGTCCCGTTATTTTTTGAGGACTTTTTGAGCTTCACTTTTGCGCTGCACCGTGGCGAACGATCGGAGGACCAACTTATCTCAGCCAATCAGCGTCGCGCTACATATAAATCGCGGTTATGTGAAACGACAGTTCAAGCTGTCAAAACTTCAAAAATTATTATTTGACATTTCGAGGGGAAAATGGAGAAATACATTAACCGAAGATACGAGAGGCATGATGTTTACAACAAAATCACCGCTGATTTAAGTATATTTTTATATTTTGTACTTATCTATTTTTAGTTTGAATATAACCTTCCTTAATGCTAATTCTATATAAATCGTACGCAAAAACCGTGGTCCTTTACAACATCGCATCCTAGCGGCCGTTTTAGGAATCCTGTTTTATCCTCAAATAACGGGACACTTTTTCGACCCATGTTTCCAGACCTTAAAAATATAGGACCGTGCATCAAACGCATCTAAAAGTCCCACTTATTCGCGTATAATGTAAAAAAATAATATTGTTTCGTATAGGGCCATTCCTGCATGGAATTAGTGCAGCATAAGGCAAAAAAAATTGTCGCGTATAATAATTTCAGTATACCGGATTAAAATTCAGGTAACTTCGGTACGGACTTCCGGTGCGCCCCACTCCACAGTAAAGACATCTACTCTACAATACAATCATTCAACACATTCGCGTGAGTTTTCATCGCGATTTAAAGTTTAAAAAAACTTGTTTCAGGAAGAAATGACATCGCAGTAATCGCAGGCGGGCTGTTTGGTTGCGATATGAGCAAGTTTTCGATAGTCGTTTTGGCGTTAGCGCTGTCGGCGTGCGTGGCCGGCGACGGCGACGCCGAGGATTTCGCGTTCGACGTCGCCGATGACCTGGAGGTCGAGTTCGATGGCGACAAGCTGGTCAAGTGGAACGAGAGAGACCTGGTGGCCTACGTGGGCAGGGTGTTTCATCTCGTCGTGCCGATAGGCGGCTCCGAAAAGGACGATAATAACTTCGAGGTACGTTCGAATAACTGAGCTTTAATTTTTCCTTAAGATTTAAGGTGAAGAAGTTAACCCAGATGTAACCAGCATTTTAAATTTGATGCCATTTTCATGGTAGCTTTAGTGTACAGATGTTTGTGTAGATGGGGTAGAAATTGTGAAATTTCACTTTGTTATTGCAAGGGAGGTAAGGGTTGAATAAGGGAAGGGAAGGGTAGGTAACGTCAGTTGGCCAACAATATCATGTGATTTGAGACCGTTAGACTTTTTCTGGGGATTATCTTAATGATAGAATGTATAACAATAAACATGAAATAATTGAGGAAATTAAAGATTAAATTTGCCACAACAATGAGAATGTTTCATCGCAATTATAACATGCTATGGAAAATTTCATAAGGGTAAATTATACGCTTTATAAATATAAAAATGTATTTTATTAAAGATTAAAAATGCGAGTTACTTTTGGGAGACCCTATATTAAAAGAAGTTATTCTTCCCATACTTAGATAATATTTCTTTCCACATTTTTCCTGTTTAAAGGATGTATTATTATAAATAAACTCGTAATTACAAACATATTTTCTACTGGAATTTATATCGGTAGTGGAGTATTTTATTTACGATCTGCAAAAGCGGCGGAATTGCAGCAAAAACATAAAATCCGTTGTGGGAACCCTTTACTACATGCATTACAGTTGGAAACTATCGATGTGTCTTGCTCGCACCTAACCGCAAAACGTCGGGAAATTTCACTCGAAAAGTAGCGAGTTCGAAACCGATGTTCTGAAATTCCCGTATTTTATGTGTTGTTTCCACAAATCGATAGCGATGCACTCTCTTCATTATCTCATTGCATATTTTATTCGTTTTATAATTGATAAATCGACAGGTGAAACGGCACTCGGGTAAAGGTCTACCCTCTTGGCTGTTATTCGACAAAAAAGGCGGCGTATTTTGGGGAGTACCTCTCACCCAGGATGTGGGAATCCTTCGATTGACCATCAAAGATTCCAAATCCAACGAGGAAGAGCTCGCCATAAAAGTCGTCGAGCCTACAGAAGAACCCGGCGCGATAGAGGAATGCCAACAAAACGAAGACAACACCGTCTTAACATTGCTCTTGGACAAAAACATCAAAGCCATCAAGCCGAAGCAAAGGATCATCGCCATTAATAACATCGCAAAGTTCTTCGGATTGTCCTATGTGAGCACTTACCCAATTTACCTAGCCGTTTATTATCTCACAACAAAAATAACCTTCCAGAGTGCCTTTACATTGAAACCTCAGCTAGAAAAAGACGACATCACCGACAGTTCGGTGGTGCTGGCCGGTCCCGGGAACTTACAAACGAGAACTTCCAAGGTGACGTCGCTGCTGCAAGTTGCCGTAGGCTGTGAAGGGAGACTGTGGCTGTCTACCGCCGCGATGGTGCATCAGTTGAAGCAACAAGCGAGAGACGGCACCGTCTCCGAAGTATTACGCTTACCTCTGATCGGTTGGAGAGTCAAGACTGAAACGAAACCAATAGTGCGAACCAAAAGGCGCGTCAACGGTGCGGCCGAAGACGATTTCGGTACGTATAGTCTATTGATTTTGTAGCATTAACGATGATTTGTACAATTTACCCATGAAAAAGGTGAAATTTGGAATTACAGATCTTGTAATTCACTGTAAATTCTTAATGCAAAACTAGTAGGTTCAATGAATAGATTACATTTTCCTTTATAATAGGTTTGTTCCAGTAGCATGTTCAAATTATGTTTGTATCAGTATTAGTTTAGTTCAGTATAACATTAGTTCGTTATAAGATTGGAACATTTATTGCTGGAACACCTCGAGCAGTTGTTGGGTATCCTGTAATACGGAAATGTTCTTTGAATCCATTTTCCGAATATTGAAGAACGGTTTCCTCGATATAATTTTTATTTTTTGGCCTCTGCGTTTCTTCCAACAATTCTTCAAAATCGTCTTCCGATAATTCATCATAACTAACTACTTTCGCCCATAGCTCCAAATAAGTCAATAATTTCCATTTTCTAAAACCAAATTGTAACTAAACGAATATTTATGACCAACAACAAACTTCTTACTTATTTTCGAATTGTTGTAAATGTTCTCACTTCAAACGAGAATAGTTTGGTAGACCTCAAACATGATCCAAACAAAAAACGATTTCTGCTGGAACAGCAAACATTTACTCAGAACACCAAATGACACACTGCTGGAATGTTTTAAAATCATTGCGCATGCTCACAATGTTCGTAACAACACAAAACATGCTGCTGGAACAAACCTAATATTGTTTTATTGTAATCAATGTGTCCTTATAGGCAGTGGTGATTACAACGACGAAGATGAATATTACGATGATTATGAGGATTACGAAAGTGAAGACCTTGGAGACGTTGAAAAAGTGCCTCCTAATTCTATTGATGTAGGAATTTTACCAACATCTAAGCACTTTACAAAACCTTCAGTTAGTACCCCAACGACTACACCGTCGATGGATAGTACTACACACCTTCACAGGCATCATCATGGTGAAATGAATCCAAGTATACCCGTAAGACTATTACACCATTTTCACACCACCTTATCAACCTCATTATGCTTATATTATTTTTTAGATTGTTCATCATCAAACGACTCACAAAAACTTAATCGTCGACGAAGTATCACCGGTAAGCCTGCCTCCCACGCTTTTGGAAGTTCCTACAACTACTAAATTACTATTGCTACCTGGACAATCAAAAGCTACGAAACCTGATGAAGTTCTTAACTATGAAGATAACTATGATTACGGCCAGTACGACGACGACGATGACGATTTAGACGAATCTATCGAAAGCGAAACTATTATACCAGACACGAACAAGAATCCTATAAAGGTAGATAGCGTTACTGAAGAGCCGATAGTGAAACCTACCACCAGTACTGAATTAATAACGGATGCTACCTCTAAGCCTACCTCGACTTCCAGTACTTCATCCACCACTGAAAGCATCGTTATTTACTCGTCTAGCTCTATAACATCTACTGAAAGCGTTACACAAACTACCCCGGTGCATACCACAGCGATAATTACAGAAACTCCTGTCGAATCTATCGAAGACAACTGGAAGGTAAACAAAAGTATACATAACTCGACGCAATTCATATTAACCATTTTTTTTTCAGGATACTACCACTGAACAAATATACGCAATCAGTCGAGAGGCAACGACCAAAGAACTAACAACCGAAACTATTTACAATTTAACCAACGTTCCCGCATTTATTTACACCGACTCCACCACGGTAACGCAACAGCATTACGACATTTCAACGACACCATCGACAGCAGCTACTAACGCAACTCCGATATACGAAGTTCCAACGACGACGCCCGAAGAATTGTCTACGACCGAGAAAGAACAATTCGCTACGCAAAAAGCGACCACCATCAAAGAGGTGACGGAAATCGAATACCACAAAAACTTCAATCCGTTCATCGAAAATCGACTTCAACCGATTGTCGTAGTGGCTGGAAAAATATTTAGATCTGTGATACCTAGGAATACATTTAAAGACTTCGAAGACGAATACGATCTTACATATCAATTATTAGATTCTAATAATAATACAATCTCTAATAATAGTTGGCTGCAGTTCAACGCCGCACGAAGAGAATTGTACGGACTGTAAGTACTCGTTAGTAAACTATTTTAAGTGGCGCTTTTTTAATGGCCTCTTCACTATTGCAGGCCTTTAGCGAACGACACATCAAAGTATGTATTTTGGGTGAAGGCGTTCGATAAAGATGGTGCTTCGGAGCAGGAGAAGTTAAATATCCAAGTTCAGCAGCACAAGCTGGAATTCGTCGTCAATCACGAATTTAGCCTATTGATTAGAATCGAGAAACACCAAGAATTCAACCATTACGTCGATTGGTCGTTGAAGGTCTTGCGAGCGCTCGGAAAGATTTACAACACCAATATGACCGAGATAACGGTCAGGAAAATCAATTACACTTCGGAGCCGATCATTTTTACGTGGTCGAACGATTCCATTCCTACGAATTACTGCCCCAGGACCGAAATAGTCGGGCTGTTTCAAGTAAAGAAATGCGTTAAAATTTTTTATTTTCGATACGAAAACTTACTCGCGTTTATTTTTAGACTTTGACTGCGAACGATCGAGGGGATCCTTCGAGAGAACTGAACATGGCGCTTTCTCCCGAACTTCGAGTCAAGAAAGTTATCTATCGTGAATTAGGCGTTTGCGAACAACCCTTAACGCCCGTAACACCCCCTACGAATTTCTCTCCTTTATTAAGGAACCCCATTGATAATATAACAGCAACAGTGGGCCAATTGCTCATTTACAGAGTAAAAGAGGTAACTATTCCTAACTCTACACTGCTCTATTCTACTCCACACTACAGTACACTGCATTGCACTAATTTCTACTCCTACTGTATTAGAATTTATTAAGTAACACTAATGAGAATGTTCTACATTATAGGATACATTTTACGATCCCGAAGATGTCGATCCGAGGATGTTGAACGTCTCGCTACTGACGGGAGACAGGCAGAACATACCGGGCGACAATTGGTTGCAATTCGACAATAAAAACCGCGAATTTTATGGAATCGCTAGAAAACCAGGCAGGAGCGAGTACCAACTGGTCTGCATAGACAGCGGCGGAAAAATGGTGACCGACAGTTTGGAAGTCGTCGTTTATCCGGCGCTCAAGAGGGCTTATAACGTGGAATTCAGTATGAACATCACCGACATTCCCCACGAAATGTTCATTAACAGCGCGTCTCTGCAACGAAAGTTTGTGGAAAAATTGATGGTAATTGGGTGAATGAGTGTAATCTCGATATCGCGGTTTTTAATCGGTATTATTTTTGTAGTTTTTGTTTAAAGAACAAACGCCTGCGCACTTCCATTTTCTACCGTTCAAAAGATCGTACGATTCGACAATAGTAACGTGGTTTAATAAATCGTTATCGATCAATCGGTGTCCTCACGAAGACATTAGAAGATTAGAATCGATCGTGCACAACATGAACGACAGATCCATATCTCAAAAGGTAAGTTTTTCGATTTATTACATTTGGTAATGCCGTAGTTTGTAGTGCGCAACTTCTTCTGCACATACAGGGTGGAAACGCCAAAAGGAATACATTCATTATTTCGGTTCCTGTCCATATTTTTATAGAAAATCCCGAAACACGTCAAATTTTAATTACAAATTGACATTCTTCAACATCAAAATGTGTGCCCTATCTTTAACCTCCTTTGAAGGACAGTCACAACCCCGATTTTATTAAATGGGAAGTATAGGCTTGTGATATATCCTTCAAAATGTCTCTTTATTCTCTATCTAAAAATGTTATTGTTTTCTAGTTTAGTTCAAAATTTAACATAAAAATTAAAATCATTTGAAGGCATAACTTCGCATTTTTCGGCATTTTTCTTAATTGCAATTAACGAAATTCGAATAAAAATTATAACACTGACAACTACTCTCACGCAGTTATAGTTACAAACCAATTTGCTAAGGCTTATTAAACAAATTAATCTTATTATTAAGGCTAAAACGGGAAATAAAATTTAATTTTTTTAATGTTAATTTTCAAAATAAACGTCCTTCGAAGTGGGTTGAAGATAGGGCCCACATTTTAACGTCGAAGAAGGTCAATTTATAATTAAAATTTGACGTGTTTCGGGATTTTTTATAAATATGTACAGTAACCGAAATAATGAATTTATTTCATTTGGCGTTTCCACCCTGTATGAATAAAGAATCGAGACGCTTTGAATAGTTTCTACAGCGCTTCACTATCTTACATTTACTTCGGGTCTTTTAATACGAGTAATTTCGCTTGTAGGTGCACATAGCAATGGAACCGGAATTCAAAGTGTCCACGATCAAAGTGCATCTAATCGGCAATTGCAAACCGAGGGTAAGCCAGGAACCGAGACCGGACGTCAGTACTCCAATCGAAGAAAGCTCACCTCAACCCAATCATAATGAATACCTAACCAACTACATCCTACCCGCTTTGATCGTTATAATTATGCTAATATTAGCAATCATAGGAGCGCTCGTTTTGTACCGCAAGAAAAGAATCGGCAAAATGAACCTCGAAGAGGACGGTCGACAGAGCTACGGAAACAAAGGTAAAGGTATAATTTCGTTGCAACGGGCCCGCTTTCGTCGCGAATTTCGCATAATACCCGGTCGTTTTAACGCAGGCATCCCGGTGATATTCCAAGAGGAGCTCGAAGAGAAACCGGAGCCCGGCACCAAAGCGCCGGTCATATTGAAAGACGAGAAACCGCCTCTGGCACCGCCCGAATACAGCAAGAGCGGTTCCGTCAAGTTGGCGGACGATTCGGAGCCCTACCAGCCGCCGCCGCCATTTACCAGGACACAGGATAACGGGAGACAGAGCCGACCCAAGCCCACGCCGACATATAGAAAACCGCCACCGTACGTGCCCCCTTAACAATTACATTTTACTTTCTTCCAGCAATAAATCCTTTCGCTAGACTGCCAATACTTTAAACCGGTCGTTAAATTTGTGGACCGGTTGTGTGACGACGCGAAATAATTGTGTTGGCTGCACTGAATTTTATACACAATCTGATATGTTTGTTTCAGATGAAATAATGTACAATTTTGACTTCGACATTTCAAATGAATTGTGGAAAATAAGAACTTCTTATTTAACAGTTTGGTGTAAACTTCAGTGCCAACACAATTGTCTTGGTTATTGGTTTCATTTTACAATGATATACGCCCACAAGAGTTTTTTTACTGAAAACAAAGTGAATTTTTTAAAACATTATTTTTTTTAATATGACGTTTACATATTCGAATTTTACATTTTTTAGCAGCTAATTAGGCATTGCGTTCTGAAATTCAGCACCAAAAAAATGTTATCTTTCGTGCTGCACTAATCCCATGCAAAAATTCCACACCCTAACCTACTTTACTGAAAATTACTGATTTTTTTTGCGAATAAGTGGAACTTTAAGATGCGTTCGGTGATACATAAACAAAAAACTGTCAACTGTACTGTGTACTATTGTACTTGAAATTATTTAAATATTGTTATTTTTCGGTGTGGAATTCGGGCAAGGGGATTAAGGGCAAAATACTACTCAAAAGAAAATTACTATTTTGGTGGGGAATTCCAGTGCACCGGTTTCCAAATTCTTGTGGGTTATTTTAATGTGGTACAATAAAAAAATCAACGTTTCGCAACACTATCTAAAGAACCGTCAAATAGAAATGCCCGGTAACTTTACCACAAAGCTTGTATGTTTATGAGCATCATAAAAAATAAGTTAATTTTTCATTAATAATAACATCGATTAAAAACTTAAAATCTTAAAATATTAATTCGATGTTTAATTGCGGGACGATGTGACGAAAAATTCAATTTAATCGCAAAATATTCGAAATGTACAGCTAATATAAACATTCGTTTGTGGCCATATTGCAGTCGTTTCGGAAAAGGTCTGATATTATATTATTTTCGACGATCTTTTGGCTGTTAATCGGCTTTGTAGCTATTAAGAAATCATATTGAGGTTTCTTGGGTTTGTCCTAATTAAGGGTTAAAGGACATATAAACCAAAAATAGCACAGTAATTTTTTTCCAACTAGACTTGGTCTGTAAATGTTTTTCATAACGTACCTTAAATAAACCCGTTTTTATTCTATAATTATTTTGACGGCAAATTCAAGAAGCTTCTACAATGTATTGTATTATGAATTAAGCTAAACCCGAGTGATCCTGGTTATTTCGAAATGTAAATAGAACAAACTAATATCTCTGTATATAAAAAATAAATATGTAAGTACTTAATACGAACGAACGTATGTAAAACAATAACGCTTAAAATCAACAATTATTATTATTCGAAGGAATAAATGATATAGAAAAAATAATTTAAAATTTAATAACGTTGTAATTAAGACAAACCGCTTCATTAAATATTTAATAATTTTCGAATTCATTAAATTTATATTAAAAAACGCAAAGCTTTGGGGATCATTTGACCAGGGTAATCAAGAAACAATAATAAACCTATGAATTTATTATAAGTTGTTATACACTGTCAAATTAGTGACTCAAGATATGGAGGTGATGCTACTTAGGATAGGGCTTTTTATAAATGAAATTTTATGGGGTTCAATGAGTCACTGATTTTGACCATCAGTGTAGTTGTTCAGTGATTTTACATATCACAAAATACTCGAAGCCACATCACATATCATGTTTTTCCAATTCCCAAAAACGCATTTAAACATATCGCGAGATCATACATGCATAAACCAAACGATATATTAGGAATGTGATAACTGAACGAATTGAAAATCATTGTAAATAAGATTGATTAAATTCGGATTAATGGCGATCACTCGGCGGTTTGTTGATTTCGTGGAACAAGTAGTGCAGTTATTGAAGGAATAATATAGATTAGATATAAATAAGGCTGTTTTCTTTTTATTGGAAAAATGGATATATCGTGATCATCAGGACAGTACTTATATTCATTGCGTGCGTAAAGGTTTTTGTAATTAAATTATTTAAAACGATCATGATTTCATTTTATAAATTGTATGGCACGCTATGTGCAGACCGTTAATAAAAAGAAACATTTTCTAATGAATATACATAGTTGCAGTGAAAACTTATACATGTCATGTAAAAGATGGGAAGTTTAGTAACTTATGGGGCACTTATAGCATAATTGACTGATTTAATTTGTCTAGTAAATCGGCTGTGCCAATTAATAATTTTATATATTGACAATATTTTTTACTATTTTACTGTAAACTGTATTTTAATTTTTGCACCAACAGCAACGAGAGAATATAGTGGTGAATATGTCACTAATATACTTGTTAATTTAATTGCAAATTTACATCTCCATCAAATACTGAATAAGTTTTCATTCGTCATAAGAAAATGAAATAAAAAAATGTAATTAGTTACCAATAACTTTTTTATAAAAAATATTTTAGTATATTTACATGTCAATTTTTTATATATTTAATGAATAACATTAATAGTCATTTTCGATTATTTAAGTTAGATGTTGGATGTATTATATGATTTCATATTTGTCCATATCATATTACGTACAATTTGTACTAACCGTGATTATTGTATTATTCAATGCATTAAGTAATAACAAATTTTGTTTTATTTACCCATAATCTCAAGCATGTCAAAAAATCGGTCAGTTAAACAAACAGTCGACTACAAGAGATACTTAGTTACGAAAATTACTTATGAGGTATTTTAACTTTAGGTCGCATTAAATACTATTTAGAAAAAGCGAAAGGAAGATATCACAAAGAACGTATAGGTAAGTTAAATATATTTAATATTTTAATCTCTTCATAATTCATTATTGTAACTTGTAACAATACTTTATTAGAAAAAAAGCGTTCATTAAAAAAGTGCTATAAAAATTGAGTAAATAAAATAACATAAAAAACGTACATACTTTTAAAGTCTCTCTCTGCTTACGACATTACAGCGCCGGTAGTAAGGGCTCCTCCTTTGCCGGTCCATTCCTCTTTCAGGTGAACATTGCAACCCAAATCGCGCAAAGCTGCTTTAGTATCGTACTCGATATCCGGGAATTTCTTCAAATTCTTCTGTAGCAATTCCTCCACTCCCAGTTCTACAAAGCTATCGTTTTGATATCTGCTCCGGGATACCATGTTCCTGATGGCTCGACTAGCGGATTTCTGCAAAAATGTTAATCTTTTTATATTGCGGATATTCCACAAACGTTTCATATTTACTTGAACTTGTTTTTCATCGGGATACAACTTCATTATTTCTACCATTACAGTGTGCATATTTGCTTCGAATAAAGCTTTACTATTTTCAGGAGATCGCAACGCGAGAGCTGCAATAGCATTTAGACCAGCTATGGCTGTATTTACGTTATTCTAAAATAATAAATATATGTTTTTAATCATCAATAATTGTTGTTAAATACTTGCCTTATTTTGTTCAAGTGCTGTGGTGTATACAGGAGCTAATCCAACTTGGATTAAATACACTTTGCAGTCATCATTGCCAGCTAGAGATTTGATCAACTTGAAACACTGTCTGTTTACTCTCTGTAAAAAAGAGTCTTAAGAATATCATAAGATCAAATAAAATAAAATTTCAATTGATGTGAAAGAACATTCAGAAAAACAATACAAACCTCATTATTCTTAAAATTCTCCATAATGCTTAGAAGCATTTGTATACCACCGGCATCTTTCACCTTCTTGCAAAACTCATTGCGAACCATTAGGGCTGTTACAGTCAATATTAAGTCGTGAATAAAGGATTCGTCAGTCTGGTATTCTAAAAAAAATGCTCCGATAAAAAAACAAACTTTTTAAAAGAAATATAGCTCACTTACTTTTCATCAAAAGTGTTAGATAACATAAAAATTCACTTGCGATTATTCTGGCGTGTTCGTGAGCGTTTCCGAACTCAACGCGAACATCATCATCCAGAATCAGAGCTCTGAATACTGACATGACTTCTCTGATGATTTCAGGATTGGAATCCTTCAGTAGATCTTTCAAATTATCCAAGACACGCGCATTGAAGATGTTCTGTCTAAAAATTGGAAACCAATTACGTATACGATTCCGAATGAAAGGATAATGTTGCTCTTTACCTATTCATTTCGTGCATGACGCAACATTCTTTAATCCATCGTAGAGTCAGTTTCTTCAAATCGAAATCTACTTTAGGATTCAAAAACCGAAACATCGATTGTATTCCTCTGCTGTCGAGCAAATCCGGTTGTTTGGTCATGAGAGAAGTCAATGTTTTCAAACAAATCCGCTCGACTACAATGTAAGATCTTTTCGTATCCAGCACGTCTAACAATACGTCGTATGCGCCCGCTTTTGCTACAAAAAATGCGGCAAATTTAGGCTTATTAGCGTTTCCTAATAAATTTTCTCGTACCGACTGCAACTTTGTTCGTTAAACCCTTGTCACATTCGATCCTAATTACATCCATTTGATCCATAAGCACTTTATCGGGAGTATCAATTTTATTCAGTTCCTTCAATTTTTCTATAGCGGCTTTTATTTCGTCTGCCTTAGAGGGTCCCAGGGATAATTCTTTAACAATAGAACTTAAGTCGACGCCCTATAAATATTATTTTAAATTAATTTCAAATTACGGTATTTCGATAAAATTTTAATAATACAACCTTATTAAGGACCAAGAGATTCTGATTAAGTGAATCATATTTATTTTAGTACTATTTTAATAGTATTTGCACAAAATGATTTTGTAACTACTCTCGATTAAATAGTAATTCAAAACTAGAGCATACAGTTTGACAGATCGCTTATTAATAAATCCCTACCTACTCGCTTTCTTTTTTCTTCGTACATAGAAAGTACAAATGAAGAAAACTTTAGCCTACATGCTCCGTTGCGTTTATTTTCGAATTGACCGAATAGGAAACGGCTTCTCGTAAAGTTGGAATATTTGAATTAAAAACGTTTCTTACTTGCGCCTCGAACTGATTTATAGTTTCTTTCAGAGCATCTTGTGGCTCTAATCCGAACTCTTCGATATTTTCCCGAACAGCGTCATCGAAAGTTTGTTGAGAAATAAAATGTGCCATATTAGGAAACCTGAAGAAACACGATTTGTATTGTATTCAATAGAAGGGATTTATTTAACTTTATATCTTACCTCTTTAAGGGTACGTCTAGTAATTAAAGCGATTATCCTAATTTGAACTAAATCTACTTAATAAATTATATATATTTAATAAATTTTTTATTTAAATTTGCACCTGCAAATAGTACTAATCCGTAAAATTGACAACTGCTTAAAACAAAAAAAAATTGACGTTGACGTTCTATTCAACTGTTTCTTCTTTTTACACATGTATGTCTCTTACTTAGATAGTTCAGAGTCATTTAAAGGTCGAGACGCACATGTCCGCACCGATACCGTCACGACACTCGGCCTCCTTCGGCAATCCGATTCGAGCCCGCACCGCCACCGTCACGGACCACGGATAAGTTACGAACTAATTTTTGACGGGTACGGTGCGGTGACGTGACGGTCAGCTTTCATAATACAATAAAAATGGAGAAACTTATTGAAGAAGTTAAAAAATATCCCATGTTATATGATCCATCCGACGGAAAATATCGGAATACGGAATATAAAGAAAAAGTTTGGAGAACGATTGCGACAACGCTATGTGCAAAAGGTAAGTACATATTTTTTTGGTCTTTTCTTCACACTTCACACGTGTGTATACGAGGGTAGGGTGAAAAGTTCTCAGCATCTGATACACTAGCTGAGGGGCATCCAATCAGCAAAAATTCTTGTTTCCTCTTTGGGACATTAATAATTAATTCGCGTGAGAAGTTTTAACAATAACAGGCGAATATATTACTCCTTTGACCAACTCGATGCCAAAATAAGTGAGAAAAGGCATAGTTTAAAAAAGAAGAAAATCATCGATCTTTCACCAGATAAACGCATCTGCACGCACAAAGACGCTTACCGTTACCGATGGGATAACTGCGAGATTTTGAAAGCGATTTGATCGGCCATCTCTGATATTCTCCAGATTATTAATATTCTAATTATTATATTCTCCAAATATTAATTACTAAAATACAAATACAATAGGCACCGCTTATAAGGATCGCGTTGGTTCAGCTAGTTCTGATTCTTATAACTGGAAAGTAATTCTTAAAAGAAAACAAATACGAATTATACCGCGAATATCCCCATTATTTGGCGCTTTAATGAACTTGCTTGCTTAAACCATAAAAATAAAGCTTCGACTACTTCTAGGCATTTTCCTTCACGTTTTCTTTTCCTAGATTCATTCATCTCTGCATTTTGTTGGTTTCATGTGCTCCCAAAAAAAAGTGAAAAGACTCTAAGAAATCTTTCACAAGGAGTGTGCAAAGTTGTGCAAAGAGTGTACAAAGTTGTGCAAAACACATGTTACATGAAGAAATTTGATATATTACAAACAGGATTTCGATCTGAGCAGCATTCTTGAATATATCCGAAATGTTTGCTTCTTCCAAATGCTAATTCCTGCTAATTAAAAATGCATTCTCAGAAATTTGCCTTGCCCAGAAAGTGGAAAAGCTTCGTCGGGTCCCTACAACCATAGGAATAGGTATTAAAAGTTAATAATGCTCTTGAAACATTTGTTACAGGTGGTGCTAAAGAATGCAAGAAGAAATGGTCGTCTGTGCGCGACCAGCTACGTCGAACCATTAATAGGAGGAAAAATAAATCTGGACAATCTGCTAGTAAAATAAGGAAGTATATACATGAAGATATTCTTCAGTTTTTGGTACCTTTTCTTAGCGAAAGAGAAAGCCTATCTAATGTATCAGAGGAATTAACATTAAGTGAAGAGTCTGTTGAATATCTTTTGAATACGGATCCCTTAGAACATACAACAGATTTTACAAGTACATCCTCATCTCAACATTCATATCACGATTCATTTGAACTTAAGAAAGAAACCCCCCGATCGATTACACAACCACTGGAAACAAATCTGGTAGATGCCTTTTTGGGCGCCATTGCACCTAGTTTAAAGTCGCTAAGTCCGATTCTTTTGCATGAAGCAAAAGGGAGGATTTTTGAAATAGTGCAGGAGTTAGAGTTGAGAGAGCTTCAAATGAATAAATAATACACGCGATTCAAATGAAAATACCAACAATATTGTTAAATGAAGAAACTACTCTGTTTCTTTTATTTTGCGTATTTTTGTGAAATGCAACTTTTATTAATTTTATTGTGTTCTATGTTTTCCAGTTTGAGTTAGGTAATAACCAAAGAAGGCGTTTTGTTTATTTTTGTAAAATAAATTGTAAGATTTTTGTAATAAAACATTTGTATTACGATTATAATTCACTTACCTCAAAAACACCGCCAAACGTTCTTTTGGATCTATTTGGAGCTCTTGAAAATTTGTCTTGAAACCTTTCACGTAATCTCAATTCCAATTCATTGAAGGTGAATTTGGACATTCGAAAGTAATCGTAGAATTTGCTGTCATCATCTGTTAGCGTTCCAGTTAACTTTCCTTCAATTGATCTTTTTCTCCAGGTACGATGTAACCACGTTCGTTTTTTCTTCTTTCCCAATTTTCATCTGCCCCTTCTAACGCAAATGCTACCTTTGCTAAAATTTTTACACATTTTCTAGTAAGGCAACTTAGGGGGGTGTTGCAGATGATGTGACCCTCGACAGAGGGCGCTAGTATCAGGTAGTTAAATGTTGTTTAATCGTACGTACATAACGCCACTTTTTCCTTCATTTTGCCTCCTAAATTTCATTTTTATTTAAGACAATTTTAATTTAATTTGACGACAATAACATATTCGTGCATCGTACCGAAGTGTAACACAGGCTACAAGAAATTCAAAATTAACCCTACCCGACACTAGCGTTCCAAGCGGATTCCCCATGAACCCTGAATCCAAAGTCACTAAACACCCCCACTACGACAAGATGCACAGAGTTTCCAGACCGTGGTTTGAATTTTAAAAATCATTGGTGGTTGCCTAAACACATCTTTGTAGTATCAGTTGTATGCTAAAAAAGGAATGAACCTGGAAAATGAACTGATATTTGTTTTTTAAAACTTTTGAAATTCTCATTTAACAACAGTTTAAGGACAGAAAGGAGTGTATAGTATAATAAATAAATTCAACCAATACTGAAAACAATTCGAAGTAGATGAATATATACTTACATAAGCCTGAATTATTTACAAAGTATACAGAATAAAAACAACAACTTACATGTAACTATAAAATATATATGTATAATTCAATAGACTATAAATAAAATTTAAGGTATCAGTATTGGACAGATTCTGTTAAGGTAAAATGCAACGTTGTTATTAATAAAATATGGACTAATCAACACCGGCAAAGCCCTGGGAGCCTTCAATTGCTTTTATAAGTTTATCCTTTAGTTGGGCGTAACTTTCGTAAGGCGGTAAATCTAATCTATTGAAACTAAAGCAAAAATAATATTATAAGATATCGCAGTAATAAAACGATCAACAGAACTTTAATACGTACCAAGTATGCGCTCTCGGGAAATTTTCAATATTCCCCCATTTTTCTATCGTGAATAATTGAGGGCCATTGCTACCATATAATTCTTTGAAACCGTTCATAGGCACTCTGGAAGTTCCGGTAACAAACTGTAATAATCTCGCTCTCATTTCATTACTAAACGATAAAACGACCTGCAAATGTATGACTCGACAGTATAGACATTTAAAGTTCATGTGACAAAAATTACCCTCCAGAAATACTGGATCACGATGTGATTCGCATGGTAATCACCCTTATACAACGTGTTTGTTTTCCAATCTTTCACATCGATGTGTTGAATACCGCACATTAACAGCTCCAGCTCGTGTTCGTCAAATATTTTTATCAAATTTAACGGCACCAAGTCGCTAAAACCGTCCAAAAAGGCATTCATCTGTTCTTGTACTCTTCCAACGAACCTCCATTGAATTATACATCTAAAAATAATCACAACTTATGTTAGGGGCGCCACTTCAAGGTATTTTTAAATTAGAAAACGTAGGTTCAGTAATTCTAGTAAGATTCAAATTTAGCTTTTTCAATTGATTTGAATCTTTCTTATATCTAATATATTATTATGTGTAAAAGTTTAAAAAAAATTAGGAGAGGGTAGGACCTAAAAACCCACTTAATAGAGTAGGTGGTTTCATACTTTAAAGGCAAATGCAGAGCGATAAGAAGTATTTCTGTGTTAAATTTCAAAAATATCGGAACACTGATTCGTTATAAATAAAAAAGGAAAAAAATATGCAACTTCAATGCCCTGTATTTCCGAAACTAATAGGTTTTTTTAAACAAATTATATTACGCCTAAACGTTGTTTTAACAAGTTCTATCAACTCCCAAAGTTATCCAGATAAAATCTGAATCAGCCTGAATATTACCCCACGAATTAAGAATTTGAGGGAGTGCATTTGCGGCCTTAATCAGCCTTAAACAGCTGATTTGTTAACAGTACAATTCGCTTACTTAATGTATTCATCCTTATTAGAATTGTCTAAATTAATTTCAGCACCGCCATCGATTAGTTCGTGCACCGTCGTATGTCCAAATGATTCCTCGTCGACCGAAAATGTCAAGTTCAGATCTGAAGGATCGTTTTCCTTTATCCAAAGAAGCGACTTGTAGTATTCCGAATCGACAGACTCCATATCTTTCAAGTCTATCGACTTCGATAGCATCATTTTGTAAAAAGGCCTAATGAAAAAGGCTGAAAACGAAATCGTCAATAGATACAAAAAATATAAAATATAAAATTGGTGTTACCATCTAATAACTTTCCGTGGTATACGGCCATTCCTGCTACGCGTCCGATGAATTTGAAGTAACTCAGATGCTCCTCGTTGCATAATCCCGAGAAAGGATTTAATTGTAACGTGTAATTATCCCTAAAATACAAACGAAATGAGCAACACCTTACTATATAATTTTCTTTTGTAACCTACATAGCGGAATATTCAAACAACCCATAGTACGGATTGAACATTTCCTTCGACAACAAGTAGAACCACTCCCTAGCCAGTCCACCGTAATCTAAACCGACCTCGCCCTCGAATTCAATCCACAATTTCGTTTTAAGCAGATCCAACTTCGATACGTTCGATATGACTCTATACGAATCCTCCAAAATGCTTCGCCTTCGAACTTTTATCTCAAACTTATTGGGAACGTTCGTCTGAAATGAAATATTGCAGATGCAATTTAACGAAATTGAGAACATTAAAATACAAATGTTCATAACGCTAGTATGAAAACTGCAATGCAATAGGCCGTATTTATAAAAAGAGCATAACCTTTTGCTTCAAAAAATGAAGGAATTGCTACAAGGTATATGCATAAAGAGAAGTGAAGGAAGAGAGGTTTTGCTTCGAAGACCCTGTTGTTGCTTTAAAGCAAAAGGTTTTATGATTTTAAAACCTTTGTTTAAGGTTTTAAAACCTTTTTCTCTTATCTTTTGCTTCCACCTTTTACTTCAAAGTAAATGCTTCATTTTTATAAATATGGACTAATATTGCAGCAATTTATTGCTCCATTTGAAAACGCTCTAATACTAAGTACTTACAGGCTTCTTAAGTTGCGTTTTCATGTACTCGTATTTCCTTTTGTAGTCCCTTGAATAAGGTATAGCTGGTCCGGCTATTTGCGGATTGGACAACCTAGGGTCTTCCCATTGTGTCGTTCTTGTATCTAAAAAAAAGCGAAGCAAAATTAACATTTTCCTTCTTCAAATTCTCTAAAGATCAAGTCCTGCCTAATTTAATTAGAGCATAATTCTTTGGAAACTTCCAGTTTTCATAAAAATATTTGAAGTAATAAGATATTATGATAGAAAAGCTATTTTCTTTCTAAAATTGGAGTACTCTTTAAACTCTGTAGCTCGAAAACTAAGAGGTTTAGGACATACATACACCGTTGGAAATTTAATTTCGCATAATAGGGAAATCAATATTAAATTCTTAGCTGGCTGAAATCCAGTCTACCAGTATATGTACATTTCAATAGAACGTCGCGATCAATTCTAATAAATTTAATTGTTCTACTGGACCGCACGCCGCGATTTGTAGAGGTACAAAGTTATTTGTGTTAAGTATGAGGTACAAAATTATTTAGAAACTAAATTTAATATTTTTTTGAGAATATTTCAAAAAAATATGTGTATCGGTAGGTACAGTTTTGAAAGAGCAACAAATCTTGTTGAAATAAGGGAAAAAATAATTCAATTTTCTGCTAGAAATATACCTCAGCTCAGTAATATGGGATGACATCTGTATGACAGGTTTGGCTATAGTTTAGCAGAAAGCGGTGGACTATTTTTTAGAGTTCTTTTATTTTCTGTTTTAAAATAATCTTTAAGTTTATTTTTGGAGTTTCCTTTTTATTATTTTCTTAGAATTTACTTTCTTTTTCAAGCCATTGTGGCAAGAAGACATATCTACATAATTCTATTTTAATATTAGTGATATTTTTTCAATAAATTATCGTTTAAATATTCTCATTTCTTTTTAATCGACTCGACGTTCACCCATCCTAACCCGTTTTGATATTGTGGAAGTGTCGAAACCGTCGAAATTATTTGATTTTTAATCTAACCGAACCAAAGCGCGGTGTGAAGTCCAGTAGAACAATTAAATTTATTAGAATTAATCGCGACGTTCTATTGAAATGTACAATGGTAGACTGGATTTCAGACGGCTAAGAATATAACATTGATTTGCCTATTATGCGCGAATAATTTTCCAACGGTGTATATTGATAGAAACTTTTCTTTTAAAAATCATTCTAATGTTCACATCCTGGACTATCGGCACTCAATAAATTAACACACTGTATAGAGCGTGACTCCCCTTTTAAATTTCGACGATACCGAATACTTACTGTGATCTATGAAGAAAATCCTCCCGTCGGAGTGAACGCGCTCCTCCCAGCCTTCGGGCAGCGGTCCCAGATCGTCGTCGGGACGCTTATTGACGACCGGAGCGGCCGGTTGGTTGGGCATGGGACTGGCGCGTCCCGTGCGCGGATCCACCCACGAGGTGGTCCGTTCATTGTGATCGATGAAAAACAGACGGCCGTTGGGCGCTCGTTGTATGCTCCAGCCGGACGGCAGGCCTTCGGAGAGGACGTCCAAATTGTTCTGCGAATTGCTGTTGCTGGTCGACGTCGAAACGGTCGAATCTCGGCGGGACGAGTTGTTGGAGAACGTGTCTGCCTGATCGTCGCTCTGCGGAGATTAGAAGACGATTTTGTTCCGTTTTATAATGTATAAGGGTGTCTCAAATGTGACTGACATTTTTTTTAGGGTAAAACTAGCGTATATATCGATGTTCAATTATGGAAAAGTAAAATTCCACATTGTTAATGCAAGAAACATTTAATGGTTATATTTAAGGGTCCATTGGCCACTAAGATCATGTGATTTGACACCGTTAGATTGCTTTAGGAATTAAATAACTGAAACAATTGAGGATATTAAAGATGAAATTGAATGATCAATGACTGCATAAATGAATGAATATATGAACGAATGCATGAATAATGAAAAAATGAACGAATGCATGCATGAATGAATGAATAAATGAACGAATCCATGCATTAATGAATGAATGCATGCACGAACGAACGCATGCATGAATGAATGGGTAAATGAACGAATGCATGCATAAATGAATAATACATGAATGAATAAATGAATGAATGAATGAATGAACGAATGTATGCATGAATGAATGAATCTAGAAGAATATCGTTATAGATAATTTCATTAAAAGGGTAAATATGTGCTCCAAATGTAAGGGTGGTTATTTGTCAGATCTTTCAAATCAAATATAACATGCATATGTCTGTTTTCTAAACCAATTAAAAATGTGCTTTATTAATGATTTAAAATGTCAGTTACTTTTTGGGACACCCGCGATATTAGTCGTTATACGAAACATAGGTTTCTTCTTATTCATTAGTTATTAAACTTATTAATGATGTTTTTTCCATAAAATGCGTTTATTTTATTTGTACGATATAAAAGATTAAAATTTCAACTGATCTGCGTGTTTAAATTTAACAAAAAAAAACATTACACAGCCTTGTAATTATGTAGGAAAATACAATTTAATCTAACTCACATTAGAAAAACATTGTTCTCAATTCGTTAAAAAACAAACAAAAAAAAACAAACTTTCACAATCTAAACATAATAAATTACATTAAAAAATAAGCAATAAAATGTCTAAATGGAAACAACCTATTTGAATAACATGAAACCTATTATTTGATTAACAAGTTGGTGAAAAGGGTGTTTTAGAACATTTTCTCTGTTATCGTGACAATTTATTCTGATCCCATTTTTGCTCGCTCCTCCATTCTTCTCATTTTAAGAATCCTTCGACGAATGCTCGTCAAGTAAAAACCAATAAAAACGCATTCAAAATCGAATAATTACTATCCTAAGATATCAAAAGCTGCATCATATCGAGAAGCTGTTACATATTACATGCAAAAAGCTGAAGCGTACCAACCTCGTTTTCGCCTCCGTTATAACGATTTCCATTTTGAAATGTTATTTGATATTGGGGCATATCGACTGAACTCCTTCTGCTACTCTCATTGCTTTCGGCCGATGCATTGTAATCTGTATCGCACAAATCCGATGTAACGCTATTGCGATTTTCTACAAACGATAATACACTTTCCCTATTTTCCTCTAACGGTTTAGTCTCCTCGTTGTCGCATTCTCGCTCAATTAATATTGCAGGTACAATGGCGGTTGCGGCATCAGAATTAACGGTCTTGACGATCATGCAAAGAAAATGCTCATGCAAGTTTTCTCTTCGAGATTGTTAATTGTAAAAATTTCGAAAATTAAGTAAAGTGTGGAAAAGCGTAGCGGAAATTATCAAGAGAATACAGACAATTTAGCACCGTATACACCTTTTGCAATTGTTATATCCTTTGATTATAAAACAATGATCGAAGTATTATTAAGAGAAACAGATTAAAATCGACAGATTAGATTTTCTACATGTATGTACTACCAAATCACCAAATTTACTGCGATTTTATGTAACTATTGCATAAATTATTTCGATATATTTACATCAAATTAATAAAAAATAATAATACAGTCACTCTTCAAAATACTGACCTGATTTAATTCGCCTCTATCATTAGATTCTTCGTCGGCACTTATGTGAAAGCGTCTTTCGAAAACTTCTCTTTGTTCTTCTCGTTCGCCGCTTTGTATGTCTGGAGAACTATAAAAGAAGAAAACATTATTTGAAGCAATTACCCTACGAGTCATGCGAACTCTCCAAGTCATTACAACTCATTTTACCTTAAAGTAGGTCTTTCCCACTGTGTTGTTCTCGCTATGTGATTCACATAGTACGTTCTTCCGTTAGCATCTTGCCTTTCTTCCCATCCCGGTGGTAAAGAACTTTGATTTTGTGTAGTGGGTGTCACAAAGAGGGGCTGTAATTAATTTTAGCCGTCAAATAAACGATCAGTATGTAGAAATAAGTCATTGTTAAAAGTCCCTTAGAGATAGGTACTTATTTTTTTTGTTTCAAATATGTATTTCTTTTGGGATATATTACATATGGGTACCTAAGTGCAAATTTATTTGCAATATGAGTTGAACAAAGAAAAATTATTAAAATAACAGTGGAAGGAAGGAAGTTGTCAAATTGTTGTTGTTGTTGACAAATTTGCACTTAACAGTATGTCCTAACCAATATAATGCCCCGTATTCAGCGCTCCTTTTTAACGCTAATCAATCCTTTAAAGGGCCTCTTTAACTTGAGCCAGTTGTACATGTTTGCTAAGAAATAACTGTGGACATTGTTTAGCTTTAAAGGGTTAAACGATTAATTAGCGTTAAAAAATAAGCGTCGAATGATTAAAAAATATATTTTCTTTACCTGAGCCGCGACCTCTTCTCGGCCGGTGCCGATGATCTCCCAATCCCGTTCGTCGGTCGGTTCTTCTGGAGCAGCAATCGGAGGTAGAATCGTATCGAATAAAAACGCATGATACAATTCAAGGTGACCTTTAACCCTCGAACGGGTACTGAAATCGCTTCAATCAATATGAAAATTAAATGATAGGAGCATGCAAGAGTTATAATTAAAGTAGTTAGTAAAAAAATTGCGATTAATTTAACTCGGAAATATTTTGTTACGGATCTGTGTAAAAATAAATCGACTCGAGGAGCAGTAATCGTCAAAATTCCTCGAGCAACTTATAAACTATTGTGCGACGTTGCCAACATGCTTCGGATCAATCTTTTATATCCAGCATATTTTTAAAATTAATAATAAATCACTCGTTGGTTATTTTATTGATTATTAATGGTTAATATTTTAAAATCCAACAGATATTAATTTTAATATTAATATTAAATGGTCAAATTCCACTGTTGCTGCTGGAATATTTTTGGTAATTAACACATAGTGACGTTCTTGACAGTAGTGACAGTTGACGGCGATATTTAACCGTTGATGAACTTGAATTTTTATTTACATGTTGTATTTTGAAAGTGAAGCATCGATAGATTTCCACTTTACACTTTAAAAAAAGTTATCAACCTATGTTTTTTTATCCATTTTGTGCCATTTTACTGATTTCACATTAACCACGTGTTTTAAAAGAGACTTAAACATGGAAGGAAAAGAAAATGCAAGAAACAGAGCGAATACAAAACAAGCAGTTTTTGGACAGCGACCAGCATTTGGAGAAATAGGTAATAAATGCATTTCGAGGCCTTTGTCAAGCCAAATCTCGCTAAAACCTGTGGAAAAACCCAAATCCAACTTGCTAAAACCTTTGGAAAAACCCAAAGCCAACTTATCAAAACCTTTGGAAAAATCCAACTCATTAAAAGTAAAAAAAGTGGAATCGACGGAACCAAAACCAGATGATAATTGTAAGGATGATCCACAAATGGTACCAGAATACGTTACAGATATTGTAAAGAACTTGCTATTTAATGAAATCGAATGTGCTATAAAGGAAGATTTTCTTGCTGACCATCTGATAAAACCTAACATGCGTTCAAAGCTCATCGACTGGCTAGTAACAATATGTGGCACATTTAAAGTAGGGGACGAAACATTTTATATTACTGTGGACCTCATCGACAGATACCTTCAAGCTGGTAATATTGTCAAAGAGAAACTCCAATTACTTGGTAAAGTATTTGTATGATATTGTGATTTTGAATGATTAATATTCTCTATTATTATTGTTACAGGAGCTACTGCTTTCTATCTTGCCTGCAAATATGAAGAAATATATGTACCATATATAGAAGACATCAGATACATCTGCAATGATATATACAAAGCAAGAGAAATACTAGAGTTGGAACGTAGTATTTTGGAGAAATTAGAGTTTCGTCTTAGTAAACCGACAAAGATTTTTTTTCTAAAACGTTACAGTAATGTAGCAAAGTTATCTGCTAAAGAATACCATTTATCCAAATACATATTGGAACTGGTAACATTGGAATACCACTTAGCACACGTCAGGCCTTCTTTATTAGCTGCCGGAGTTTGTTGTTTATCAATGGGAATCGCCCGAGATGAAATTGATTTACAAGCATTATGGACAACATCGATGATTCAGTGTTCATCGTACGAATACCACGATTTTAGACCTGTTCTAAGACCCTTGGCTCACCTCATTCAAAAAATTGAACTCTGCAAGTTCCAAGCATCGAGACAAAAATTTGCATCCCCAAAATTTTGCAAAATCAGCACAAGTTCTATATTAATGGCACCGATTGTAAAAAAACTTATTGTAGGTAAAAAAGTAACATCGAGCCTTTAAATAAGTTTATTGTATATTTCTTAGTGTTTATTTATGTATGTCTTTTCTTTAAGATGTAGCTAATAAAGTTTTTGTGCAATTTAAATCTTAATCAAAAAACCACAACCAAATTTTAAATTATTTTGGAGCGCTTACCTTCTGGGTTGCAGCAGATACTTGGTAGTTGGAATAGATCTATCGGATTGTTCTTTCGGTAAATTCAACAAAGGCAATTCCACCATTCCGAGGAAGTCATCACGAGTGAGTCGATTTTCGTCAAACACTTGAATGACTAATTTGTGTTCAGCAGGTTTGACCTGAGTAAAAGAATATCAATATAATCAATAACATCTTATGCACAAGGTAAATACAGGGTGTTCCAATAAAAAGCAGCCCATGTTTTTATGATTAGGCGTTTAAAAATAATAAGCTCATTAGAGGAGCTACTTTTCATTGGGACACCCTGTATAAGAGTAACAGGAAATGTTCTTGCAATATGGTCAATTCTATGAGTTGAACAAAGAAAGGATATTAAAATAACAGTGATTAGAATGAAAATAATGCAATCCTCAACATTATATTTCCTTCATACAAGACTGATGGAAGTTGTCTTTGTTGAGCGTATATTGCAAACGATTTTACATCTACCTGTATGAAGATACAACCTAAGCAGGACAGGCATGAAAATTAGGATATAATGTCCTCGAATAACTACTTTTATTAATGAAGAATAAATTAGCATACAAAAAAAAGTAATACATAAGCAAAGACAAATGGAGGTAGGAAGTGATGCACAAATCTATTCAACTACTCACCCTGAATATAAATTCTTCATTCCAATCGGGGCTTAAAGTCTAAAAAAAAATATAAAATAAAAAAAAAATAAAACTGTAATTAGAATTATTATGAATTTAAATGACTACTCACCCTCTTTTTCGTTTTGGTAAGAACTGAGTCAATAGTTTCATCGTTACTGATTAGATTCAAATCAATCCGAACATATGGGTCGCTGAAGAAAAATAAATTTATTTTGTAAGTATTTTATAATTACAATATATTCAAAAAACTATTGTTATGATATTTACCTTGCTCCAAATATATCCTTTTTCATAAGATTTTTAGCCCTGACAACTTTAAGGCGTAATTTACTGGTAGGTTCTTCAGACTAAAATAGAAGAGAAAAATTTTTAAAAAGTGCTCGTATTGCAATTAAGAAATCAAGATGGGGAAAGGATGCACTAAATTAGATAAAAAGCTTCTTAATCTCTATCATCAAAATACTATCAAACATGTGCATTTATTTCTTAGTAAAATAACTACACAAATTTACATTAGATATTTCCTAAAAATGTGCCTTTAAATGTGATAAACAGAAAGTAAACAGTAGCTAAATAATGCAAGATAATAACTTTATTTTTCAAGGTAAACACTTAATTAAAAATTTAATTCAGAAATTCTATTCCGTTAGATACGCATTATACATAAAAATATTTCTAGTTTAAAACAATATTTTGTCCAGAATTAATTTTGGCATTGATATGTTTAAAATACAACTCAGGTTTATATGTATTTAGCGTTACAAATATGTACCTAGTTTACAAAATTTTATCTATCTAATTAAATTAGTACTTCACTACCGTTAAATATTAATTAATGATTAAAATTTGGTTAAGAATTAATTCTATATTAGCAACTGGTGCCTAATGTATTATTGCTATAATGTAATAAAGTCGGTACGTTTTTTAACTAGTTATGATACGTACAATAAATCATTAAATATTGATTACAACGCTACACCATGTAATTATAGTTCATGACATCATAAAAGCAAAAAACACTAAATCGAAACACAGGCAAGAATCAAACGTGCACATCGTGGCTGGTAGTAAATTAATTTAAAATACATTTGTTTAAACACATTAACGGGAGAGGCTCATCGTAATCTAATAACAATTCTTACTCCGTCCGGCCCCACTTGCGGAATGTAACCGAAACTATTGTCTGAAGCCATTTAGCGAGAAATGGAGCACTGCCGTTTACATTAATCGTAGAAAATTTCACAGCCACGAAATCCAAATTAAAATCACAGCATAAATTATGAAAACGAAAATACATCAATGATCAACTTTGACATTACTCTTGATGTTTCGGTTTCGGACATGACAGGTTCGCTCAGTTCGCTGTCATTGTCAATTGTCAATATCGCTAAACTGTCAATTTTATTTATCGGAAACGGAAGCATCATAAAGAGCACGTTCCGACAAAAAGATTTAAAAGATAGGTTCCTAAAATTTTTAAAAATGTTTTTTCTTTAAATTCTTACATATGTTTTAAAAAATGCGACACCTTTTACTTGAACGTAAATATTAACGGTATTATCACAGTTTATCTTGTAAGATAAGATACTTCTGAAATTGTGCGTGTATTTATAAAATTGGTAATTTACTCTGAAAATTGTATTTTTAGCATATTTTTGGGTATTTACATGGTATCTTTAATGCAATTATAAGTTTACATATGTTTAAATTATGTTATAAACTCATTTATTTCCTATAATCTTATTGTGGCTATTAAAGTGTACAATAAAAGTTATTATCACTAAAAGAATCTCCAAGAAATTAATCTTTTAAACGTGCATTGTATTTTAGAATAAGATCTCTAATTTTAAACTATAATATTTAGTTTTCTTGGAATATATCATATAGAAATTGTTTATATTATAATTAATTGTTAATAAATAAATAACACATATAAGGTCAACAGTAAAGTAATATGCGATTTAATTGTGCTGAATATAATTACAATTATTAAATTAATAATGGATTAAAATTAAAATCGTGGAGTAAGTTATATGGAGTAGGTATTAATTTACTATTACATAATTACTTGATTACTTGAGTTATTGAAAATGCTGCTCACAAATATTTTACATCTATATTTAATTCCGTACAAAAAATATGCCATATTTAAAAAATATATTTACATATTAAATTTGATATCACACGTACGATGTATCTAATCTGATTAAATTTTGTAATGATAATTAAATATAACTTTTTTCGACCAAATATCTTTCTCTAATGAATTATTTGAGAGGTAACAATATTTTCAAAACGCGTCGAATTAATACAAATAACCGATGTGAAATTGCCCAATATTGCTCATATGATCTCGAGATAAAACTGCGCAATATCAATAAATATACATGTAGGTAAGCGAATAACAACTCACCAGCCACAAGGATCTCCTTTGGCCCCTGGCGCCCCTATCGAACCTGGCCTGCGACGAGGGGCTCGAGGACGTCGAGGACGAAGCGTTCCCGTGCCTCGAGGTCCAGGTGCTGCTCCGCGCTCTCGTGATGTAACCGGACGGGCCGGGGATGTCGTTGTTCTTGCGATTAGGCATCGGGTCATTTCTGTTCCTAATACGGCCGTTGTTCGCACTTTCCATCAAGAACCACAAAACGAGCGCCGAGATAACAACGATGGAAACTGATTCGCTGGACTTTCACGGTCGGCAATTACATTATAATAATTTTTTTTTGATTGTGTGTTGCATGACCGTGATGACGACACGCCGTGTAAAAATTGACCCGCTCGTCGGCTAAACGCTAACTGGCTAATGGTTATCAAAAAAATTCGCGTACCGCTTATTTAATTCGAGAGTAAACACGAGAGATAAAAGTTGGAATCTTGTGTGCATTAATTGTCGCTCGAAAGACGCACCGGAGCAACAAACATTTTTGATTCGAGTGTTAGAACGAGTTGAAAATAAAGGTTTTTTGATCCCGAACGTAATGAAAAAGATATGCGATAAAATGGAAGTATTATGCTACGCTTTGTTCGGTTTGTTCAAAGAGCGCGATTCAAGATTAAAAGTTCGTTATATAGCGCGATCAATGAAATAGATTCTACAATTATAATCGGTATCAGAAGCATTTAAATTATTTCGAAAAAATTCAATAACGCACGCGTTTCCAATGAACAGCTCTTATTTTTCCAGACATCAGTAAACAAGATGCTGGATAAAAAAATCAAAATCCCCGAGTATACAAAAATAAAAATGATTAAAAACAACACATTAAATCCGAACGCGAACAGAACAATTTAAACCAAGTACACAGTGACAAAAAAGTACCTGGAATAAAACGCAAAATTCCTAATCTTCATTTATATTTCTCGAGTGTTCTTCGAAATATGTTCCTTTTGAAGCGATACACATAGTCAGACGCCTTTTCCGATCATAGAAGCATTTTTATAGGCCCTTTTTTGTTCGGCTTTTAGCTCCTGCGAATTTTTTTTGATAGCATTTATTGAGTCCAAACCGGATCTCCGAAGAGGCAAGTTGAGTTTGGGAAATAAAAAAAAATCGCACGAGGCTATATCTGGTGAGTAACGTGGCTAGTCGATGGTACTTCACACGAACCTGCATGTCTGCATATCTTTTTTGAAGGAAACTCGCCATTTCTGATTGAGCAAAATAACGGGAGATGTTAAGGTCACATGATACTTCTCTAATGATGAATTTCGAACTCAATTTTCTTCATTTTCTCGCCTTTATCATTGGTTAAATAGGTCGTCCGGAACAACGCTAGTATTTAGCGATCTCCCGCCTGTCTAAAAGTTTTGTACCATTTGTAAATATGGGTTTTCGATCAAACAGAGCCACCTTAAGCATTTGCATCGATTTAGCCCACAAAATATAAAACAAATTAACTAATTGTTCATTACTTTTGTCCATTGCAAAATTCGCACTGAGATGAACTGATTCAATCAGCTATTACCAACCAAACTGATTGAGAAATCTCTCTAATTTTTTGCATGCTAATTAGGAAATTTTGGAAACAAAAATTTGAAATAGTTAAAAATATGTGCAGATAATTTAAATCAGAAATTCCGGATACTTTTTGTCAGAGAAAACTTACTATACTATAATTCAAAACAACATGCAAAGAATGTCAAAACATACATAGGACATAATCATAGACCAAACAATAGGTTTGGTCTAGGGACATAATTTAGGAAGAATGTATGAATGTCATTCGATGATAAAGATTGAATACATCGAAAATAAATTAAAATGTATATTTTTAATGTTCACAAAAGAGTCGACATCATTTGCTTAAATCAGTATTAAATAACAGTAAAAAGAAAGGAAAATATTAAACATACAGTGTCCATCACAAAAAAAAACTCATAAAACAAAGTATTCTATTGGCTCCATTTCAATTTTTTCAGCAATCCAAATTATCACAAAATGCTCTTTAGTAAGCAATTTAAAGAGGAATCGTATTAAAAAATACGAACATTATAGATTATTAATTAAAGAGATTAAGTAGATATTTTTTGTAATACAGCAATTATAATAACAAACACTGTATGGATGTACCAAAATTCGCTTTGTCATAAAATAAAAAAAAACTCATTCATCCTTTGGATGCAGAGGTATCACAAATTTCGGACCAAATGGGGATTTATACTTAATACCAACTTCATTAAAAATATCAACCGGAAATCCCAAATTGCATAAGTACAATTTACCATTATTCGAAGTATGAGGTAAAGGTAACACTGGTAATAATGAAAACTTAGGCGTAATACCAGGCGTTCCCACTGAAGGAGGATCAACAGCTAAAATCGGCGCTTTGTTTTTATTCGCCCATTCCGTTATAGCGGGATAATGCTTCGGATTGTCTGTATCTTCGCACAGAGCAATTATAATTAAATCCGAAACATTGGGTAAATCGTTAATATTACTCAATAGACGATTTTTGGTCAACATATACAAGGCGAGTTCCTTCTTTAATATCGGAGCATCCATTGAAGTGGTATAGACAACGGTTTGTACACCGTGGCTTGCCAACTGTCTCGCAGTATTAACTCCCGCTGCTCCTTGTCTATAATAAAAAAATACATTCATTCAAACACTTTTTTAAGTAAAATGCGGTTAACGAACTGAATTATACTGACTTGTGTGGACCGCACAACACCACAACTTTAGGCCACTGATGAGTGTTATGCGGATTCAATCTGTGCCCCCCGCCTAATAGCTGCATGGATATTTCGGTTGCAGCTCTGCCTATCAAATCGATTCTCTTCTCCCACGTGAGACCGACTCTTTCCGCAACCTCCCACAGTTTCTTTCGCAGCGGTCTGGATATGCTCGGAATGATAAGACCATCATCGGTAACGTATTCACAAAAATCCTGCTTGGGTACCGTTATTTGGCGATAGGATGTAGGAATTGTAGCGATAACATTTTCGTCGTGTCTGCAAAAGGAAAAATGTAACATTCGTTTTAAGAGTTGATTAGAGTGTTTTACCTGTATTTTGTCGGCTTTTTATTATCAGTATGCTTTACAACGTCAGGTTTTTGGGCGTTGAGCTCGTCCCAAATAGCTTGTTTGTTGAAGAGGGCCAGGTTTTTCTCGAAATCAAAATCTTTGCTGATTCCCTGCTCCATAGAAGAACCGAAACACTCTTCATCTTTCCAACCCTTTATCCATTTCTTATTGCTCTTCTCCTTTTTGTTGGGAGTGTTATTTTTGAAAGAGTTGTTAAGCGAATCGTTCAAACTCAACGGTTTAATGTCGATATCAATAGGCTTTGATCGATTGTGAGGCCCGGTACCGTTTCCTAGAGACTTGCTAGTCGTATTGAGCGACTCGGATCCGCTGTGAGTTCTCCCTGCCCTCTTTGCTATAGGCTTTGCTATTGTTATTGTACTTCGTTCTTCTAGCGTGTGCTTCTGTTTATCAATTAGCTTCAAATCAACAATAGAATCCGCTCTAAAACAACATGTAAGTTTTAGTAGGTTAGACGCTAGAAAATGAGGATACAAACCTAATATCCACGTTTGCAGGACAAGGAAATCCGTTGCAAAAAGCCTTGGTCAAGGTAATAATAGAAGAGGTCGCTGAAAGTATCTCGCCCTGGTAGGCGCCCAAATCGTCTGTGCACTTAATAGAAACCATGTAACCAACCCACTGTGCCATTTTTATAAATATCTAGCACAGCTATTTCTTGTGAAAAAATATATATAACTCTTTCTCAATGAGCAGAACAATAATTACTACCGTGTGGAATAACTTCAAGCGAGCGGAATAAGTAAAATAACAGCTGTTTATTATTTGTATTTTGCTCTTGTTCTCATAATGGATTCTCTTCTTCTTTTTGATTTCACTAATTATTGGTTATGTCGCTTTGACGTTTGATGTTTTCAGTTCCAATATAAAAACCTAATTTAAATGGAAATTTATGAATTCATTAAACTAATAAATAATAATAGTTGACCTCTCACATATTTTTGCACTTCAGGTATTTATTAAATTTCGAATTTGAATTCATTTGAAGAATAATTATATGAATGTCTTCAACAACACAGACCAAAAATTAAGAAAAAGTGTCAAGAAACGTCGTAATCAGCGCTCTCTATGTCAATATTTCTAAAATTGTGAGTTATGCCTTCGTTCAATGCCATTTTGGTGATTACTGAAATGTATTTAATCATGTCTATCTATATACTTTAAATTTTTACCAGTGTTTTGCAAAGTAAACAGTTTTAATTTTCCCTTCTCATGAAATTGAGTCAGTGTTACATTGAAATGAACAAAAAACCAGATCGGGGCATCTTCTACATCTTGTGATAGTGCTATTGTTATTTTTTGTTTAAATGGACATCTCGCAGAAGAAACCGAATGCATGAGCATTTTACTCAATTTAAGAGCAATAGTGAGCATTATGAGCTGTTCATTAGCGAATTAATTTACAGTGAAGACGATATTACCGGCCCTCGATCGTTCTAAATGGCGGCTAATTCAAATTTGCTTGTAAACAAAACCTACATAATTAGTACTAAGAAAAATGGGTTTTTATTATGTATGTTGAACAAATTTGCCTAGGATAGTAATCAATTCATCTTAAGTAATGGATCCCGTTCTTCAAAGGCTTGGCGATGTTACGATACAGAGACTTGATAAATCAAAAGAAACCAAAGTAGCCCCTCAAAATGCACCCTTGGAAAAATTCAAAGAGAATAAAGAAGAAAGCGGCGACGAGATATCTGAATTCATCCCGAGTGTAAATAAGAGGCCCAACATCCATTTACCCAACGATATATCGGTGAAAAAATTCAAATTCAACCCAAACGAATTGAACATAGGAAATAAAAGCGACGACATAATGAATAATTTTAGCGAAACGGAGATGTCCGATTACGATTCCGAATCAGATTTAGATGATTCCGATGATGAACCGCCCGACTTAGGCGTCAACCAGCCAAGTTTACCACCGAAACCTTTCAAAGATAATCCCCAAATTCCCGCGCACCCACACAGCAATTCGGAGGACGAAGGGAGCAACAGCAACTCGTTTTTCGAAAAATTGGTTCAACAAAACGCTGCCTCGGTACCCGTCTCGGTACCTTCTAGCACGCCGAGCAGCTCCACCGCGTCGACTCCCGTGAAACAAAACCCAGAAGGTTCCGCCGAGGAAGACTACGACATAGACATTAAAGAAAAGCTAAAGGAAATGGGCGAAATCAGCTTCGAAACGGTGAAAAAAGGGGAGAAACCCAAAAAGACTGAAGTAGTTGAAAACGAAGTAGTTGTAACGACAAAAAAAGTTGGTACGTGTATTTTTATTTGAATTCAACGACAACTAAATGCTAACATATTTGCTAATTTGTAGGAGCCGATGGTGAAGAAATATCTGGCTTACCAAAGGGCATTGCTTTACGAAGGAACATCCGAGAAGTAATGGACGAGACTAAGCTAGACGAATCTACATTGGCTGCACAACGACAAGAAGCGGAGCGTCTTAGACGTGTACAAGAACAACAAAGACTATTGAGAGAATTGCAAAGGCAAGCAGCTCAAGAAAGAATGCAAAATAGGGTGATATCGATGCTGCAAGGAAATCAGTTTCCAAAGCCAGGCAAGTTTTATATAAATGTTACGGATATAGCTAGATAAATGACTAATTACCCAGGTAAACTGCGAAATACCCAAGAAACATGAGTAGGGTAAGTTAGGGTAGAGTAGGGAAGGTTTTTTGGGTTTCTTGGGTTCCCGTTATGTCACAAGAACCCTATCCCTCTTTCACACTTTACCCGGGTAAACCTAAGTTTAGTCGTTTATAATCTAACTTTACCCGTAACATGTACACACTCATTTGTAGGAATATTTGATTAATTAATAATTTTTTAGGAACTTCGAATCAAACGAGAATCGGTAACACTGTCTTGGTAAAATTACCAAACGGACAAACCAAACCAATGACGAGGGTGCCTAAAAGGCCATTTGAATTGTTAAGGGTACCGAAAAATATGGCGCAAGGTCCGATGGGATTGCCGCGGAACAATAGAGGTTTTTTGCCGGCGAAAAGAATTCCTACGGGGGCAGATTTAACGCCTTCTGTAAGTATCGCGCCGATCAACAAGAAGACATTGCCCCCTATGCCACAAAGGCACAGTGATAGCGACAGCGAGAGCGACGAAAGGAAAATTATGTCGCCACCTTTAGTAGCAAAACCTAAACGTAAGCAAATGCACGTTTAAAAATTGTGTAATATTAACGACGTATTAATTTCCAGCTAAGCCTCCTGTACAAACCATTGATATATCATCCGATGACGATTGCATAGTCGTGTCTGAACCGGAGGAAGAAGAGGAGGATACAGATCATGATGATCCCACTAACTCAGGCATGCATACGAATGATCAGTTTAACCAACCTGACGATCAAGGCAGAGTTTTGGTAAACGTGGGTCATCCAGAAGGTGATCCGGATGTTTTTATTGCTCCGCAAATTTCAAGGATTATTAAACCTCATCAGATAGGCGGCGTGAGGTAAATGAATTCAACATCCTGTATACAAATATCTTCATTGGAATTTGTCTTTTGCAGGTTTCTATATGACAATGTTGTTGAGAGTACCAGTAGATTTGAAAGCTCATCAGGATTCGGTTGCATTCTGGCGCATTCAATGGGTTTAGGAAAAACCTTGCAAATCGTGACGTTTTCAGATATTTTCTTGAGGCACACATCTGCTAAAACTATACTCTGTATTATGCCGATTAATACCCTTCAAAATTGGATGGCGGAGTATAATATGTGGTTACCTACAGATGAAAATATCGGAAATAGGTAAGTATTTTGTAAAAATGATTGTATAAAACAATAAATGTCGTTCGAATTTAAGTCCTCTAAACGCTCATGGAGAAGTACGACCCAGGAATTTCAATTTACATGTATTGAACGATAGCCATAAAACTCTGGTTGCCAGATCGAAGGTGATTCACGAATGGCGAACCAACGGGGGCGTTTTGTTAATCGGATATGAACAATTTAGATTACTTAGTCAAAGAAAATTGCCGAAATCGAGAAGGAAAATCAATCCTGAATTAGATGACGAGAGAAATATCAAATTATTTGACGGTATAAATATTCAAATTACATCTATAAGAGTGAAATTTTATTTTGATCGATTTTCAGAGGTTCATACGGCGTTAATAAAACCAGGACCGGATTTGGTAATTTGCGACGAAGGTCATCGCATTAAGAATTCCCACGCTTCGATTTCTCAAGCTTTAAAACAGATGGAAACGAAAAGGAGAGTGGTACTGACGGGATATCCTCTACAAAACAATCTAATGGAATATTGGTGCATGGTGGATTTCGTGAGACCGAATTATTTAGGTTCAAAAACGGAATTTTGCAACATGTTTGAACGTCCTATTATGAACGGTCAGTGCATCGATTCAACCGAAGCAGATATTAAACTAATGAGATACAGAGCGCACGTTTTGCATTCCCTACTATTGGGTTTCGTCCAGCGAAGGTCGCACGCCGTACTACAAACGGCTCTACCGCAAAAGGAAGAGTACGTTTTGCTATGCAGAATGACGCCGTTTCAAAGAACTCTCTACGAGACGTTCATGAATGAAGTAGTACGCATTCAGGCTGTACCGAATCCCCTTAAAGCCTTCGCGGTGTGCTGCAAAATATGGAATCATCCTGATGTATTGTACAATTTTCTGAAGAAACGCGCGGGCGCCGGCGAGGCTGTCGATATAGATTTGGAGGAAGTCGGTGGAGCGGCCGTGAGCAAAACGCCCAACGATAAACCGGAAAAACCGTTGCCAAAGTCGAAGAGGAAAACGCCAGCGAAAGGAAAAAACGGAAAACCGGCGGCTTCTATTACGCCCTACAACAATACCCAAGAGAATCCCGTCAATCAATCCATTCCGATGTCCGTAAACAATTTTGCTACTGCTCCCGTTACTTCATTTACTAACGCCCTATCGCAACAAGGGAAAGTTAAAAACGATTCGACGCCGGAATCGACGACTATTCAAGACATATCAAATAACTTTCCGGATACGATTTTGCAGCCGTATTACGATCAAGAATTCGATCAGAACGCACAATTTCCCTCATCTTTCCCGAACACGAGCAACAATTATTCATATCCCAACACCTCCACTTCGAACGAGTTTAACAGGGACTTCGGTATGACTGGGGAAGTTCAAAAAACGAATTTTTTAAATTTAGACACACAAGCCACCTCTTTAAACCCAGTTACAACGCTTTCCTCTGAAATATCACTAACTCCCTTGACGTCTAAAACGAAAGATCTGGCTATAAACAACACAAGTAGTACGGTAGCGTCATTTAATGAAGCCAATCCACCTTTAAATAATACTAGAAATAAATTAACACCGTACAAAAGTTCTACAGCAGCTACCCAAGGTAGTGGTAGTAACAGTTTACCAACGAGCGCTGATGATTTGATGGAGATCGGCAACAATCCAGAACAAAATAACGTTCGATATGACCACAATCAACAAACAAACTATAACGTAGAGGTAAATATACTACATTCTCTTTACCGTATTACCATTTAAAAACGAATATGTTTTTTAGACTAACAGTTATCGTAACGACTACCATCAACAGTGGAATTGGAATCAACAACAAGAAACTCCTCCAAACTTCGACCGGCAAAACGACTATTTCGGCCCTCCACACAACCACTTCAACCCGCATCTAATGAACGCGAATTCCAACAATTCGTGGATCAAAAAGGAGGACTCCAAGTCTTTTATAAGCCCAAAAAGCGAAACCAGTAACGACGTCAAGCCCAAAATAAACATCATCAGCGACATCAAAATACCGCCGGTGTTCTCTAATCAATCGAACGAGAGAAAAATTAATATAATAAGCGACATTAAAATAGAACCGAAAAAAGAAGAGGGTATGGATATGTACGACATCAAACCTCCCATCGCCTCGTCTACGCTGGCTCCGATTAAGACTGAAATTAAAAACGAAGTCAAGACTGAAGAAGAAGCTAAACCTCTACCTCCCGCACAGGAAAATCCTTTTGCCAAAATGAACCCGCTCGCGCTGCAAGGATCGAAAGAGGACAGCGGCATTCCTTATGACTGGGTAACGCAACAATTACTCGCCGAAATGACCCTTTTTTTTAATTTATACAACTTTATTTGCAGGCTATCGAATTACTAAAAGATTACATTCCCGGTCACATCGAAAATTCCGCCAAAATGGGCATTCTATTTTGTATAATACGCGAAAGTATCGCTCTAGGCGATCGATTGTTAGTCTTTAGTCAATCGTTAATTACGTTAGATTTAATAGAACAATTTCTCCAATCGAGTCAAGTACCAGGCGAAACGTTCAATTGGGCCAAGAATAGCAGTTACTATCGTAAGCGTACACTTCCTATTACATTAATTTCCTTGAGACTAATTAATTTCGTTTGCCAGGTTTGGACGGATCGACCAGCGCATTGGAACGAGAGAAGCTCATTAACGAATTCAATTCGAACCCGAAAATACATTTGTTCCTAGTTTCGACGCGAGCCGGCTCTCTGGGGATAAATCTCGTCGGTGCCAACAGGGTAGTGGTATTAGACGCTTCTTGGAATCCCTGTCACGATACTCAAGCCGTATGCAGGGTATACAGATACGGTCAGAGGAAACCTTGTTTCGTCTACAGATTGGTAGTCGATAATTGCTTGGAAAAGAAGATCTACGATAGACAAATCAACAAGCAGGGCATGTCCGATCGAGTCGTGGACGAATGCAATCCGGACGCTCATCTGACGATGAAAGACGTCAGTACGCTTTGCTGGGACGACAAAACGGACGAGGGAGAAGAAAAAGACTGGTCTCACGTTAAGGATAACTATATCGACGTGGTTTTACAGAAAGTACTTCAAAGATATGGTAAAACTCTTAACAAAGAACCTTTCCAACACGAATCCCTCCTAGTCGACCGAAAAGAAAAGCAATTATCGCAACAGGAAAAGAGGTTTGTGAAACTAAAGCGGTCTCTACACCAAGGCAACATGTAGCATGCAACAGATTTTGGGAAAGTATCCAGTCGCAGAAACAATTTATTGCAGTTTATTTATTTTTCACTTAAAGTTTTAAAAATATCCAACTGTTTCCTGTTACTCTTGAAATTGCTTAACTGGAGATTCCAGAGTATTTACAATTGTACAGTTTTTTATTTGACTTCATTTGAATAGTCGCCATTTTGTAGCTAAGTCGCATGTGTCATGTTGCCTGATACATGTTGCCTTGGTGTAAGGTCGCCTTAAAAACAGATCTGAATACAACAGAAATATTATTTATTTTCTCCAGGTTAGCTAAAAAAGGGTACGAAAGAGAAAAGCAGGCTTCTAGACAACCTACCTACAGTTTAATGGGTTCCTCGAGAGGACATCGTCCAGTGGCGTCGGTGAGGCCTATGCAGCAAGGAGAAAAAACTTCAAGGCATGTATACATAATCAAAGTATATAAAAATATTTCAATATACCGATTTTTTAGATGGATCCCAGCGGAACATTGGCAACGGCAAGGCATGACGGCGCAAGAAATGACGCTTCCTTTGGACGTAGTCATCCCGACGAATCAACCGGAAAAGGGCAATATCGTTCTGAAAGCGGGTCAAAAAGTGCTCGTGCTCAAATCGCCCAAAGGGGTTTACATGCAACTCGAAAACGGTAAAATAGTCGCTATTAAAACTGCCATTAAGGTGAAGGGGAAATCCGAAGATGGCTTGGGACCTGATATGTCCAAAATGGTGAAACCTCCCCTTCTTCCGCCGTCCATTAAAGGGAATCCCTCGCTATCGGTGGTTCCTCAGAAGAGGATGGTGAAGCCGTTCGTACCGGGAGTCGCCAAGTTCGGTGTACAAAGCGTTAAACAATCCGTGCCGAATCTGGTGTCTCGAATAAGGAGTATCCAAAAGAAAGTTCAAGCAGGTGAGGTAGTTTTGATTTTTTACGTGAATTTGAATCATCTGAAAGTGGTATTTAAAAATGTAGGTAAAACGAAACCGCAGAATGTGGGCTCCGAAATCGCCAAGTCGCTAATTAATAAAGAAGACGGGATCCCGGTGAGTAGTAGCGATGACGAACGGAAAGAAATGCGTCAATTTCCTTTGGATCGATCGAAGAGACACGCGCTATCGCACCAGCAAGAGAACAGCGACGATATCGAAAAAAGAATATCTCTATTGAAGAAGAATATTTCCATACAGAGGGTGACATCGCAAGGCGGAGCGAAAGCTCAATATTCCCAATCTTCACAATCTCAAGCTCCGTTTTCACAACTCAGATCCATCGATGACGGTGAGAAAGAAGATGACAGTCCGGAGAATACGGAAGATCACAGATCTCTTTTGGGAGATACACCGTTCCAGGTTTGTACTTATACTCTATTCACATTTCAAATACGGACGATGTAAACAATAAGTAGCGCGTGATCGGTGTATTTGAACCAACTTCATCCAATAGCGTTGCGAGAATTGACAAACACGTGACCGATTAAGCACCGATCACGCGCTAATCTTTGTACGTATTGCAAATATCAATGCACGTCACCTATAATTTACTACGTTACAACTAGACAGTGTTGTCGAACTTTTATAGATACAAAATCTAAGAATTTTCAAAAAATTGTCAAATGGCAAAATGACAAGAACAAATTGAAAATTAGGGGTACCTGTTTCACGTTTCTAAACGGCGGATGTATTCAGGGGATCAGTATAATTAATCAACAAATTCCTTTATCATCTGAAATATATTTAACAGTGCGAGTAAAAAATTTAGTGTACAATTGACCCTTAAAATAGTATATAGTGAAAGATAACTACGCAAAAAATTCTTATTTCTTGATTATTCGGCTGAATAGCCTTTAATAGTTGAGGCTAGTAAACTAGAAAAAATGTGAAGAAATTGAAAATTAAAAGTACCGATAGGATTACAACGGCAACTATGCAATTTGACAGTCGATGCCTACCTACCTACTATAAGAAAATAATAATAATTTTATATACCAACGTTGAATTTTGACAATATAATCTGTGCTTCATTCCAGATCGCAGCATAGGTTCCATTAACCACTTCCATTAAACTTTTATAAAGGAAAAAGAAAGAGTGACATTTGTGTCATTGCAACTTTTTACTCTGACAACTGTTATTTTATTAATCTTTCTTTGTTCAACTCATAGAAAGGATACTCATAGTTGCGGTCTGAATTGAAGGAATCTGTATATTTTTGGATGATTTAATTTTGCTTTTTAACATTTTCTATCATCCCTTGTTAATATTACATTAAATTCTGCAAGTATTAAGTTTAATCTATTTTGTGTATTTATTTTTAAAAGTTGGGCACAATGCTTGGCAAGTATGACGACAGTAGTGACGCTCATTGATATTTGTTTTGCACCAACAGTAATTATTTTACGAATTAGTGGATTTTCTAATAATAATAATAATGGTGTATATTTTAGGATACCCTAGACAGTATCACGAGTGCATATCACGCTACAAACGATGACAATTTGGAGTCGTTCGAAGACGACGTATCAGAATCCTCCGAAAATAAACATCAAGAACAAAGCGAAGTCAGCGATCACAGCGACGACGTGACATATATTTCCGACCAATCGCCTACGCCTCAATATCCAGCCTCGGTACCAGCATCGCATTCAGATCCTTCGGCCAAACCGCAGGAGGGACAGGACTATAACAATTACAATTACTACAATTACAATGCTCCACCTTATCAAGCGCCGCCTCCTCAGGGTTACGCGTACCCACCGCAGCCGCCTCCTCCGCAATACGACATGATGGGATACCCGCCGCAACATCAACAACCTCAGTATAATTACAGTTATCAGGGTTACCCGCCGCCGCCGCCTCAGCCCCATTATCCGCCGCATCCTCCTCCTCAAACGGGATACGAGTACGGGTCCCAGGCTCCGCCAGCGGCGCAACCCATGTATCCCGGCTATAATCCTTATCCGCAGCAATACCCGCCTCCGCCGCCGCCGCAGGGTATGTATCAACCGCCCCCGAGCGGCGCTCCGGCAGCGCCTTACGGCGATTATCAGCAGTACGCCTCGCCCATGAGTAACGTGGCTCCACCACCAGCGCAGTATTATCCTAATTCTTAATGTGTATCCCCTGTTGTAGACCAGTCGAATTCGGTGTGATATAAATTCGAAAAATGTATTATGCGTGATAATTGAAGGAATGATCTAATGGCATCCTTTAAAACGGTTTTTTTATCGAGGTAAAACCAGATAGTTACATTTTTCTTATCATGTATATTAATTTTAAGGTGTACATAAAGTATTATTTCAAACATAGATGTTATTAACAGTGTATTTTATATAGTTTTTTTTAATTCTTTCATTGTGTAATTTTTGTAAGAATAAAATTAATTGTTTCCTGTAACGCTTTCTTTATAATTAATGCTAGTTGTGATGAGGAAGTTTGATAATTAATTTGAAAATGGTTGATTAGTGTTTTTTATAAGACAGAATTACTGATTTGGTCAATTGAAAATCATACAAAATTACTGAATTTATTAAATCGTTGATATAAATTGGCAAATTTTTTGTTCAAATCAAAAATTGTTCTTTATTGGCTGTAATCCAATTCGATTGGTCTTACATATTTAGTAGTGCAATAGTATAATAAGGAATAAAGATCTATTAGGTTTTTTTTAGATGTTTGATGGTATAATAAAAATATTGCATGGAGAAAATCGTTATTTAATTTGCGCTAAATGTTTCATTATTTAGCACGTTTCGACAGTATTCAATTTTATAACATACATTTATTTTTCTGCATTTCAATTCAAGCACCACAAGGTATTCTCGTAAAACGTCCCTTCTATTAAATTTTCTTTTTTTGCATAAAATGCATTATACAACAACTATAATGAAACCGTAATTAATTGTATTTTTTATATTGTATACACATAACTGATTTATGTACATTTTTAATACTCACACAACGTAGTTCGAATTATGTAAATAAATAAAATTCATGTCCTTGAAACATTTAGTGCAAAATAATGCCCTATTAGATAAGTATCAGGAACACTGGCTTTTACATTTAGAATACATTTTAACTAAAATAGCGTCATTAATTGTAACTATTGTATGTTATCTTGTAACAAGATATTCTTTGCAGTGAACCTTTTCTATTCTTGTCATCATATTTAATTAATTTCATAAACAAATAAAAAGCATTTTAAATCTTGCATTTTAACAAAACATTTCACAATTAGGAAATTTTTTTGGTGCTTTACGATGAAATGCCATTATATACTTTTTTGAAGATTTGTGATATTTTCAGTTTTAAATTGAACATTTGATTAAGTTGTACCTCTTTGCTATTTTAGTTTCAGCATTTAAGGATATAGGTGTATCTTTATATCTTAGCATGATAAATTCACTCTTTTAGGTGAAATTTGGTCTTAATATAAGTATTTATTCATAAAATATGTTTTTTGTACATAATTTTCAGAATCCGTTTAATAAACAGTATAATTATACGATAATGTTTAATTTTGATACGATCTCTGAACAAATTAGTAATACTTTATAGTAGATATTTAAGTACGATAATTTAAGCTTTAATATAATTGGAAAAAGTATATAAAACATTGTATTATTTATCCAACCACACGGTATGCAAAATAATATTTAATTTACTCGTCGATTTAAAACAAACAATTTTATTATTAAAACCTTAGGTGTCCCACTAAACTATCGAGGCCAAAAATTGTTTTCTTTTAAACAAAATTATTGCTGACAATCAAATCGCGTTTCCATCCAAACTCGATACAATTCGATTCACCAATTCCCATTCGAATTCCAACGTTCAAAGCGACCTGTTCAAACGTTTTGATGCCAGCCGTAACATGTCCCGCAGGAAACTATGCTGCCTTTTAATTTTCTGCTACCTGCAAGTCGCCCACACGGCCGACGAAAACTCCGAAATTTCCTGCAATATAAACGTTAAAAAAGCCGCGCAGCGCGTCAGCGAGAAATTCCTCAGCATTTCCGTCGATCCCGCCGTTTTACTGGCCGGCGTCAACTTGAGGTAAGAAATTTATTATAAATTAAAATAATAGGTTTTTCAATAATAATTTTCTGTTTGAATAAAACGCAGAATAATCGAGTTATCTGGTTGAAATGTACTCCAAATGTAGTACACATATTACAATTATGTATAATGAACTAGAAGTAGTTCATATGACCCCATGAGCTCAATGGTATCGATCGATTCTTGAAGCCAATTTGGTAAATGTTTAATCACGAGAAATTGCCACTTCGCTTATGCGATTTGACACCGTTGGATTTTTTCTTTATTGTTTACATAGTCGAAGTTTTATGCCAGTAATCCAACCAGTTTAGAGGAGCCCAGGAATAATATCGAACGCGAAATTGCCAATATTCCAACCGATATATCTGTGAAAGTGTAATTGAAAATTGTCACCAAAGAATCGATTGCTGCTGTCCTGCTCTTGGTGGTCATATGAACTACTTCAAATACACCTGGAGTGCTTTGGAGTAATCTGTTTATTTTAAAGTGAAAATTCTTTACGTTTGGCCAAACACCTGTACCCCTCGTACATCCGAATCGCCGGTCCTTCGACCCGGTTCGTCAAGTACGTGGACCAAGACGACAAGTCGCTGAATTTCCTATCGGACGGCGGCGACGCCATGAAGATCACGCCGTCGGTGTGGTTCGGCGTCAACGAGTGGTTCAAACTGGCCAAATTGACGCCGATATTCGCCATCAACGACGCCGAAACGGCGCGCGGCCTCGTCTGGAACCCCAAAGCCACATTGCCCCTTTTCGAGCTCGCTGAGAAGCTGAACGTCAGCTGTTACTGGCAACTCGGTTACGGTAAGCAATCAATTATTAGAGTTAGTGCGCCATATATGGACTACCTTAAACAATTTCTTAACCATTTAGTTAAGAAAAACTCATAATAAAATTCTCCAAAAAAACAAAATCTTTGAAATAAACAACATTTTCTAAAGTATATCATTTAAATGAACTTTCAGAAAGTGATAACATAATATGGACCACATCCAGATTTTTCCATTTCTAGAATATAAATTGACTAATTCATCTTCCAATTCACTCGGTAATGTTAATTGTCTCCCAAGTTTTTGGGTGGTGATATCATTAAGTGATTTGTTTTGGGTGTATGTTTTGGAAGCATTCAAAAAGCCCATTTGTTTCTCGTGCATTTTCATTTGCCTCCGCCATTGCGTTTTTTATCCCATACTTATCTGGTCTTCTCTATTGTTTTAGAAGCCATTCTAGAACTTAAAAATTATTTTTTTGCCACTCCATATTTAAAACGTACCACTGGTCCATATTGTGATACTTACTCATTTTGAGATTATTATTTTTTTTTCAGAAAATTGGAATATTATAGAATATTACAACTTAATACAATTAATTGTAAAATGACTCACCTTCCTCGTGGTCTAATCCACTTTCACATAAAATAGTATTTTTCGGATTAAAAAACTTCCAAAGTTCGTTAGAAAATTAGATCGCGCGTTTGCAGAAAACTAAAAAAAACTGTCGTAAATATATGCATGCATCCAGAATCACTGCAATCGACAGATGGATCAAGGGAGATGTGATGCTTAGTGCATAATGATCATTTACTCGATATAAAGCACTTTCTTCTTAAAATGGCGGTGGTCCCTATTATAAGACCGGTCCATATTTGGCGCACTTACTGTACTCTATATTGAAAATTTTGTTAGTAAATTACCCGTTTTTAAGATACTGATAAGAACGAGACGAGGTACAAGCAGGATATTAATATTCTGCATTATGTACTTACCGCATACGGGACGAGCAACGACACGTGGAAAATAATCGGTAGCGACTTGAGCAGTCTCCCTGTGGACCGCGTGGAGAACGTGTTGATGGACGAAAGCGAGATACTCGAAGCTGCCATGTGGGAACCGTACGTACCTATAATAATTCCTCTAAAAATTACCTCCACAGAACATACATAAACCAATTACCTCTAACTGTAGCACCACCTATATTTGCGTAGCTCCATTAGAAAACTTTCATTGTAAAACGAACCATAGACCATGGTTTCTTTCTCAAATCCCAACTTCCAAAAGAACTCCACACTCTATGCGAAAAATACAAATTAAAATTAAATCCCTAACGTACAAAAATGAAGGTAGTGCTATAATTACACCCCACAGTGTATTATTACCTCGCTTTTTCGCAGCGAACAAGCACCGGAAAGTTTCCCCGGTAAAGACGCTGCTTACAAGATCCTATCCCGCCCGAGCGCGAGACCGAGAACTAAAGTTTGGACCACAGCGCCGAAATCTTTAGGACCGGTCACCTTCGAGTCCGCTCTTCTGTGGGCCAAGCAAGTGGGAAACGCCGCTAAAGCCGGTTACGAAGTGATTTTCCGACAACCGCGCATCTACGAGCTCTTCATAGACACACCAGTAAGAAAACCACCTAAAAAAATATAAAGTAGTAGTAAAAACGAAATACAATTTTGCAGGTTTACTGGTTCTCGCTGTTACACAAACAACTGATGGGCTGTAACGTTTTAGAGGCGAAATCATCGCTTTTCCAAGGCGACATCGACGTTTTCGCTCACTGTACGCGCAAACAAAACAGCTTCGTTAGAAGAGGAGCCATGACGGTTATGATCGTCAACGATCGCCCTGTTAAGTACAAGGTGAAAGTAAAATTAGGCAACAACTTCTCCGACAAATCAATGGAAATCCAAACTTACCTGCTCACCTCCGACCGCACGAACTCCACGTAAGCTACACCCCCAACGAACTCATCATCGTTTATGACATTCTAAATATATTCCAGCGATGTTTACCTCAACGGGCAATTACTGAGCTCCCAGATACTCCAAGAGAAGAACCCCTTCCCGCCGAAGATACGCCGAACCAAAACCTCATCGCACATTTTGTTGGCTCTACCGCCCTCTTCCATAGGGTTCTTCGTATTGCCCGGGGCTAGAGTTCCGGTGTGCATCGAGCAGGAAAACGAAACGCAACTGCTGCTCGAGGAAATCGAAGAGAACCAGAAAAGCGGACTGTCCGGCGAAATAGCCCTGCAATTGGGTTCGAGAAGTTCCTTCAACGGAAACAACGCGCTGCTAGAAATCACGCGAAAACTAAAACAGGAATTCGAATCCGACGAAAAGCTTTATAGCAAAGCCGGTGAGAAAGCAGCGACAGAGCAACACGTTGAATTAGACGCGAAATTAGACGACAAAAAAGATGGTAGAAAAACGTACTTGGACAGAGTGAAATTCGCCGATAAGCACAAGAAATTCCTCGACTTCCAAAGGAGAAACGACGCTTTGAAGAAGCTCTTTTTGGACAAATCGAAGCCCGTGCAAAAGCCGAAATCGATGGATCTAACCAGCGAGGAGATGGAGAAGATTTTGAAAGACCGAGCCAAGGAAAGGGCCGCGAAGAAACACATAGTATTCACGGACGAAGAACTCGAAGCGTTGATTCGCAAAACCAGCAAAAACTTCAACAAACGCGCCATAAATCAAGACCTTTTGGAAAAATACAGCAGGAAGAACGGCGATGAATTCGAAGACGATTGGTACACGTTGAACCAGCAAGGACCCGAGCTCCAAATAAGGGGTAAAAGAGAAGTCCAGAACATCGAAAAGCGCGTTCGAAGTCCCAGAGGCATCAATTTCAATCTGTTGGATTTGAAATCGAAGATTGCCGAACACAAGAGATTCTGGGACGACAAAAAAGAAGAGCTTCTCGGCAACTCAAACTCCATCAAGCAGAACATCCAAGAGAAAATCAAGGAGCTCAAGTCCAAATACCGATTCAAAAGAGACATTAACGCAAATGCATTGAAAAAGAAATCGAAATCAGTCAGCAACGAAGAAATCGAAGCGACGATACGAAAACCAGGACAAACCAGCGACGAACTCGCCGAAGAATTAGAGCTAAACCGATCCCATGATGAAGAAGAAGAGAAACAAATTAACAAAGGTAATCTAAACTTAAATCCTTTAGAAACGTCTTTAATCAATTATTATTAGGCGAAGTATTTGCCGAACTGGCGGATTCAGAAGACGAAGAGGACGACGACATACTAATCAACGACAATCCCAAGCCGAAGAAATTAAGCTTGTTCGAGAAGAAGGCGAAGATAGACCCCTTCGCAGTGGAGCGTCCTACCATCGACATCGTCGAGCCCATCAGGAGGAAGAGCAAGAAGAAGAAGAAGAACAAGGCTGAGGATACCCTGCAGTTTTTGACCACCTCCGAGGAATTCCTGGACGTGGAAGACGACGTGCCGTTCATTCACGAATTCGACATAAAAGCCGACAAAATGAAGAAAACCGGCCAAGCGAAACTCCACGAAATGAACGAGAATTACGATGCTCCCAGTTTGTTTAAGGTATTGATTACAGTTAGAATTGATGTATAATTATACACGTTATTTGTTTATAGAGAGATTTGGAACGCGCGAAAAGAGATACCGGGTTTACCATCATAGAAATGGCTGTTGTAAAGGACGATATGGAACCGGAGGAATTTATGCGAGAAGTGCTATCCCCCTTTTTCGGCATGTCCAAAATGGAAGAGGTATAAACTTTTATCGAAAAGCTATTTCCTTTGAATAATTGTTCACTCTTCATTTTAGATTTATAAAAAAATAAACAACATCACTGCCAATAAGAAACCAAGACACCGAAATCCAAACACGATTCCAAAGGATCAGGATAATGTAAGACCAGTTTTACTTAACTCATTCCATTACTATTCATTTTCTTTACGTATTTTAGTCGTTAAAAACTGCAGACGAATCCTTTTTTGCGATTAACAACAGATCAGAAGATAATTTGGATGCCACTTTGGGTGTTGTTCAATCTGCCACTATCAAGGATGATATAGTCTCCAATGAAAGCCAAAACGATGAAACTGATGATGCAATTACACCTAACAAAGACGATTATGAAGATACTTTCAATAGTCTACAATCGACCGATAAAGAAGATGACGCGCAACTCGATGGAATATTCAAAGATTTCGAACAATTGGTGAGTTAATCGCTCGAATCAAATGCAATTTGAAGTCTTAATTTTTATGTTTCAGGATAATTCTCTCGCGATGAGGAGGAAAAGAGACACATCTGAAGTAGTAGGGAGTCCAAAGAAGAAAAATAAGAAAAAGAACGTACCAAAGAAGCAAGGCAAAAAGACGAAGAAAGACAAGAAACCGAAAGAGAACAACAGCTTCGCCGATCAAATGAATATGTTAAAGGAGAAACTGCAGGAGCGCAAAGACGAAATAGACAAGATGATAAAAAAACAGAAGGAAATCGAGCAGAGTACAAAGGGCAAGAAAGCTTCGAAAAAATCCAAGAAAATCGCACACAAGCGATCCATACTCGACAATAACGAACAAGTAATACCGAATTTAAGAAAATGGAGACCATCCGATATAACACTATTCAAAAAAGACATCAGCTTTCCGAACAGAATATCGCCCCCTAACGATTACAACATCTTCAAAAACATCTTCAACAGAAACCGCAGATCCCTCGAAATGGACTCGAACGAAAACGACATTCAGCGAACCAACGAAATCTCCAAAACGGACGACATAAACGACATCAATCTTGTGTTAATCCCCGATTCGGCGATCAAGGGAAGCAAAAAACTAAAATCGATTATTCAAGAGTACAAAGACGAATCCTACTCATCAACTCCAAGCGAGGAAAACGGCACTACTGTCATCCCTGAGGAAAATAGTACTACAGCAACTCCAGCAGATGGTTCGAGCACCGGGAAAATTACGCTGGAAGATGGCGATTACAAGTTCAAGTTGGCCAACGAAGACGAATTCGATATCATCAAATCGGGGATCGGTACCGAGATTAAATTCGTGCGCCACGAACATTCCACTGAAGCGATATCGCCTAAACAACGGGAGAATGATGGTGATGTGGAAGGGACAACGTTTGTTCCGAAAATCTTGCCCAGGGCGCTCCAGCCGTTCGAAGATATCGAAAAGTTTTTGGAAAAGGTGAAAGACGTGTTCGAAAAGGCCGGCGAAGATATCAAATATTATTTCAATAATATCGGAATTAAGATTTAAGTAATTTATATGTAGGTATTTATTTATACGTATTTATGTAAGTAGCTGGTTTTTTATAACGATTTTTAATGGGGATTGTGAAGGGTATTTATTTAAAACTTTTTTAAACTGTATTAAGTGTTAAAAGGTATTAATAAATATTGATTTAATTAAATAAATGTATTTATATTGCCTTCATAAATTTAAAAATCTTCAACTCACTTAGAGTGCCATATAGGCTTAGAAGGTGCAGGATAAGTGTTAAACCACTTTGAAAAATTATTTATTAATATTATTGATTAATATAATATACAAATCTTTATTATATTTATATTATATTCCTTAATTATCATAGAAACAAATAATTAATACAGACTTTCTGAATATTCTTTCTATTTTTTTCGAGATTTCAAATGCTATATGGGCGAATCAATAATTGTGAAACCTTGCCTTAAAGTCAAAATTTAATGTAGTTTGAAAACAAATTGAACCATTAATTGTGCACGAATTAGAGAACCAAGGCAATCTAGCTCTAGACGAGAAGACTGCAGGGGCTATAAAGAAAAAATAAGACATTTTTTTCAATTTTAACACCCTGCAGATCGATAACGAAGCGTTTGCGGACCTATGTTTACATGAACTTTTAGTCATGAAATAAGCCAAGGAATTACTCCCTTTCGGATGTGCACGATATTTAGGAACACCCTCTGTATAAGAGTTTGTTATTTCGGACGAATTCGTCAGAGCTCATCAGAAGTCATCAGAACAATTTTTCGTTAAAATTCGCATGCATAGTAACTGTAGCCTACTAAGTCTAAAAAGTACGCTCACCCCACAGTTTCTAGAATAATATTCTAATAATAATAATATAATAATATAATAATATATTAATTAAATAATAAATAATCGTGCGCTCACCCTAGTTGAAAATTCTGGAAAATTTCTTAATTTTCAAATCCCACCGTTTTTGATTCTTTTACTGACCTTCAACCTAGTATTAATAAAACCTTCATACATTTAAAAATCTTGAGCTTCTCTATTCACTTATAACTGAAAATTATGTAAAATTACTCAATTTTCAAATTCCACAACTTTTGATTGTTCTACGTTCTACTGGTCCTTTACCTACCAAATATACAGACATCCAATAAAGAGATGTCAAAATATCAACTGTCAAAAAAGCGAAGAAAAACAAAAACCAATCAATGTTTGTAGGTTATGTTTATTTGTTTGTGCAATTTGAGCAATTTTTCTTTTAAATTAGCACTTATTTAAAATGTAACTCCTTTTAAAACAATGAGACTTTATACAGTTTTACAACTGGGAATATTGCTGTCTATAGCTTTGGTTATTTTTTATTTGTACAGTATTAGATTAATAAATTCCGCTGATATAGACGTTGAAGATGAGTTCGAAGAAATCGACGATCTCGCCACAACGGAACCAGTGTCTTTTAAAAAGTATTTAAACCGTTTAATAAAAGCGCCCGTTTAATAAAGTTTTCGATTTTCAGGACGGATATTGTGGTTGCAGTGGTTGCTTGCGGAGACAGGCTGTTCGAGACACTTAACATGCTCAAGTCAGCCCTAATGTTTAGCAAGAAAAAGTTGAATTTTATTGTCGTCGCCGAGGAGAGGTTGATCGATAGTTTTAATGAAAAGGTACTTCGATAAAAAACATTCCACGATTCGATACAAATACATTTCTTTTCGTTTTCAGTTAGGCGAATGGAAGACTTTTACGAACAACGGATTTACTTTTAAAGTGCTACCTCTCACCTTTCCATCCGACAATCCTTTGGAGTGGAAGAAACTGTTCAAGCCTTGCGCTGCTCAAAGACTATTCTTGCCAGTAAGTCTCTAAAAGATAGAACGAATTAATTCATAAAATTTTTGTTTCTAGAATCTTTTAGAAAACGTCGATTCGGTTTTGTACATGGACACAGACACGTTATTTTTGACGCCGGTAGAAACGGTTTGGGAGCATTTCTACAAGTTTAATTCTAGTCAAATGGCTGCCCTAGCGTCGGAACACGAGGACCCCAACGTTGGTTGGTACAACAGATTTGCCAAGCATCCTTATTACGGAAAATTAGGTCAGTATAGGATCGATTATTTCCTTATAAATTTTCTTTAATCGTAAGAAATTCAGGTGTAAACTCCGGCGTCATGCTGATGAACTTAACTCGAATGAGGGCCTTCCAATGGAAGGATTACGTTGTTCCTATTTATAATAAATATAAATTAAAGATTACATGGGGAGACCAGGATATTATAAATATAATATTTCATTATCATCCAGGTAGGTGGATAGATATTAGGTACTATTCCATTATACTAGAGAAATAGCGAGTGCAAGTGAGTGGAGTAGATTAGAATAGAGTATATTCAGAGTAGAATAGAGTAGATTCAGAGAAAGTACACCAGAGTAGAATAGAATAGAGTAGATTCTAAGTAATGTACAGTAGAAGAGCAGAGTAAATTCATAGTACAGTAGAGTAAAATAACACAGATTCAGAGTAGAGTAAAATAGAGTAGATTCAGAAAAAGTATATTAGAGTAGAATAGATTATGAGAAAGTACAGTAAAATAGAATAGATTCAGATTAGAATAGATTGACAGTAAAGTATAGTAGAATAGACTCAGAGAAATTAATAGTAGAGTAGATTGAGAGTAGGGTAAAGTCGAGTTGGGTAGATTGAGAGTAGAGTAGGTATTGTACAGAGCATATTTCTTCGAGTAGAGTAGATTCAGAGTAGAGTAGAACAAAGTAGTCAGAAAAAGTAGAATAATGTAAAATATAATTGATTTAGAATAGAATAGAGTAAATTCAGAGTAGAATGGGGTAAATTCAGACTAAAATAGAGTAGAATAGAATAGATTTAGAGTAGAATAAAGAATATTCTGAGAAAGTTCAGTATATTAGAATAGAAAAGGGAGAGAAATTCAGAGTAGAGTAGGATAGAGTAGATTCAGAGTAAAGTAAAGTGGAATGGATTCAGAATAGAATAAAGTAAATTCGGAGTAAAGTAGAATAAAGTAACTTCAGAGTAAAGTAAAGTAGAATGGATTCAGAATAGAATAAAGTAAATTCGGAGTAAAGTAGAATAAAGTAACTTCAGAGTAAAGTAAAGTAGAATGGATTCAAAGTAGAATAAAGTAAATGAGAGTAAAGTAAAGTAGAATAGAATTGATTCACAGCAGAATAAAGTAGATTACAGTACAATAGAACAGTACAGTAGAACAGTACAGTAGAATAGAATAGAAAAGGGAGAGTAGAATAGTGTAAAGTAGATTCAGAGTAGAGTAGTGTAGATTAGAGTAGATTAAGTACAGTAGAGTAGAGTAGAATAGATTCAGAGTAGAATATAATAAGTACAGGGTATGAATAGAGTAAATTCAAAGTAAGGTAAAGTAGAATAGAATAGAAAAGGGAGAGTAGATTAGTATAGAGTAGAATCAGAGTAAAGTAGAATAGGAGTAGATTCAAAGAAGAGGGGAGTAGATACTCATGCTATTTCTTTAGGATATTTGTGAAGATTACGAGTATATAATGGAATAGTAAAGATATTCTTGTGATAATAATGTTTCGTGATTGTTTAATCTTAACCTAACTATTTTTATATAGACAAGCTTTTTATATATTCCTGCCGATTCAATTATCGTCCCGATCATTGCATGTATACAAGCGTATGTAAACAAGCGGAAAACGAAGGAGTAGCGGTCATTCATGGTTCGAGAGGATTCTTCCATTCTAAAAAGCAACCGATATTTCAAGCCGTGTACAAATCGTTCGAAGAGGTAAAAAAATGATAATACGAATATTCTGAAAACCGAAAATAATTTGTTTATTTCTTCATACAGTTTCAGCTGGGAGGCGACATATACAAAGAATTCTATCAGCCATTGGAAGTGTACTTAGATAGCGTCCAAAACAATAATTGCGGTAATGTTAAGGATATATTCCTTAAAAACATCCGTAAATATATGGATTTCGACGTTGATACTAAAAAATGAACGTGCCATTATGAGCTCTAATAAAGATTTACTTATTGTTGTATTAGTATTAAAATGCATTATTGAGTTTAGCCGGTATTATTAAGTAAATATGAGGCTAATATTATGTGTAAGATTGCGCTTGAGTTTTTTAAGTATTTTGAATTGATGTGCTTTTAAATATTCGTACCTGCAAAGAAATTGTGCAATATCATGAACAATTTATTAATGTCACGAAATTTATTTTGTATTTTTTTTTAATTTCTCGTACTAAATATTTAGTGATATTAGTTGATGTATAAATGGAGTTCCTTTAAATAATAAAAATGTTAATTTTAGAAACGAAAATGTTGAAAAACCGGTTTTAAAATATGAATCCCGTAATAAAATTTGCTTTCAATATGATATATTCCAATAGTTGTTAAGTAAATGTCATGAACAATATAATATATATTTTTATAGCCTTGGGTGACATAACTTTAAATAAACGTTGTATAAAGATCTTACCAGATTTTTAATTTCGTCTCATCACAATTTAAAAAATAGCTACTGTTTTATTTTCAAAAATTCATTATACCTCATCCGACGTAGCTTGGCAGTTGAAAATTGCATCAGATGCGCGAACGGGGGAGGAAAAATAGACAAAGCATGTACAAAAATGCCAAAAAAATTAGATTTATCTCCAAAAATGTAGGTTGCATAAAATTACAGTGTAAAAAAATCATTATTTTTAAACCGATAAATCTAATTTAGATGAATAACATATAGGTGGTATTTTCCTCTTAGAAGTCTGTAGTTAAGACATGTGCCAACTTTTTTGCGACACCCTGTATATCTTATAACAACATCACTGGAAATTCTCCAATCTTTACTAATCGATCGACAAGTTTCAATTAAGCTTACGTTATCTTCACTCTCCCTTCTTTAAATCTTCTCATTTTTCATACAACTTCATGTTCTTTCGTTTCTACGGAGAATCCAAATACTTAAAAAAATTCCAACTGCAAAGCTACATTTGCCGAGGTACAATACAATTTCAATCCCTTATTTCAAAGATACTCAAGGGCACGTTAAATCGAAAAATGCTTCGTTATCGCCGCATCGTATCCTGCGAGCAAGCACAAAAACAGCTTACAAATTACAATTTACAATCAGCAACGCCACTTTAATCATCGAGCTGCCTTGATATGATATATCTTCGGTTCATTTCACGCAAGAGAGAAACCGCGCGAGGAGAGCAGCAACTAAATAAATCTAAAATCTCGCGTCAGTTGCGGCTGATGCTGATATCATTTCCATATATCATCGAGTTGCTCTTTGCATGTGGTCGGTTGTAGAAAGCGCGCGGGTTATGCTTTCAATCGGAAATTAACGGATTAAAATGCGGGGCGTGTTTCTTGTGTGCTTTGTTGTTTTCGCCCTTTTGCTAGCGGTGGAATCCCGGTGCCCTTCCAAGTGCAAATGTTCCAAAAGGGCGGTGAAATGTTTCAAGAATCAGTTGAGCAAAGTGCCAGCCACTTCCTCTTCTACTATCATATTGTGAGTATTTCCGAGAAGACACCATCACTTGGAGTTTTATAGGGTTTGGTCAAAGAAAAATTAAGTTTTGCATATGTCATTGCTATTCTCAGTAATTTAATATCGAGTTTATGTAAACAAAATTTATTTGAACCACAAACACAACTGTGCATATTTTATAGCAAGAAAACGTTTCTATAATAAGTGTGATTTGATTTATTCATTAGCTTCAAAGGAGTGTATACAGATAAGTGCAAATTTGTACGCAATATGGTTTATGGGTGCAACAAAGACAACTTCCATTAGTCTCATACAGGGTTGCCCATTTTAAACAGTCCTAGCTTGTGGAAAAATAACTCCTGAAATGATCCGAAATGTTCGAGAACATGTTGAACAAAGACTTTTATTTAGATGGGTCGCAATTTGAACATTTAATTCATTAAAATTTGTTTGGAAACCACAAGTCCACCCTTTAACCATAGGCCACCCTGTATAAAAGAATGGGTGATATTGTGAAATTGCAATTTTCTCACTCTAACAATTGTCATTTTAATAATCTTTCTTTGTTCATCTCATATAATTGACTATTGCTAACAAATTTGCACTTACCCATACGATTAAATTATAATATCGTTTAATTTAAATTCAGTTGTCTAACATAATTCGACCGTGATTTTATTATGTAGCTCCTAACAAGAATATTCGATTTATATTCTTCCGTAATAAATTATCAGTCAATATAATATGTAAATAAAAGACCGCTCGTGCCGCGTTATCAATATTCAACGATACTTGTAGTGAATATAAATGAGCAAACCGATCTCAACATTAAAAAATAATTTTCAGGGATCTAAGATTCAACGATATACCCCAAATTCCGCAAGGGATATTCAAGAGTAATTCCCGCATGTTGCACTTACTGTTGAACAACAATCAACTAGGCTATCTCCAAGAGGATAGTTTTGATGGTTTGGACCATTTACAAAACCTCTACCTCCATTACAACGAAATCAAATACATCCACCCCCGGGCTTTTCAAGGCCTTCCGAAATTAGAACGACTGTAAGTTTTCCACCGCAACGCTAAATCTTCATTAACAAATCGAATTGTTTGCAGTTATCTGCAGTACAACCAACTGGAAGAAATTTTCCCGGTAACGTTTTCGAATCTAGTTTCATTGAAACGTCTGTAAGTTAACTACTGGAAGACACACAACAAACAATCTTTAACTATAAAATATTTCAAGCAACCTCTATCACAACCAACTGAGGCATTTACCGGAGGACGCTTTCGAGAACCTACCAGCCTTGGAAAGGCTCAGGTTGGACCACAATGCTCTGGTGTGCAATTGCGAAGTGCTCTGGTTGTCGGAGATGTTCAACAAGAACTCCCTGGACGGATCGGCGCATTGCAAATATCCGACGGAAATGCAAGGGAAATCCTTGAAGGAAACCAACGCCCAAGACTTGCATTGCTGTGAGTACACCTCCATCGTCTAGCCACACTTCAACAATTTACCATTTTCCAGTAACATCTCTGATCAAAGAAGGACCGCAGGACTTGAAGATACACTTAGGCCAAGACGCTGTGTTCACTTGCAAAGTGCACGATCCTTCAGCGACGATTCACTGGATGCGCGACGACGAGGAATTGATACCGGATAGAAATAAATACGTTATCCTCGAAAACGGCACGCTAATGGTGCAAAAAGCGGAAGAAAGCGACGACGGTTATTACGAATGCGTCGCTAAAAATTTCGAAAAAGAAGAGAAATCGGCGCCGGCTCGAATGATCGTCGAAAGAAACCTCGACGAACTCGACGACGGTAAATGATTTGCTCCATTAGAATTCGTTGATTACTTTAGCTTTGCACACAGGAACGCTGAGGTTCGTGAAGACTCCTTCGGAATTGGTATTGGTCTCTATTGGCGATTCCGATGTTACTTTAAATTGCGAAGCTGCAGGGATACCGAAACCGGTCATTAAATGGGCCAAGAACGGCGTCCGACTTCCCCCGTCTCCGAATTTCATATACCTACAAGACGGTTCGTTGCTTATAAGAAGCGTAAATGCCGGAGACGAAGGCAATTACCAATGCGAAGCTGCCAACGCCAAAGGAAAAATAGCAGCGCACGCCGCTGTTCTTATAAAAAGTAAGCACCTATTGCACTCTGGTGCTTAAGTATAGCACCACCAACATTTTCGAATGTTATAAATTGTATTCTTCGCATAGTGGGTACAATAAAATTAAATAAAATACCCCATATTCTCTAAGCGATTATGTGCAGTTCTAAATGGTTCTTGATTAGTCTAATTCGTCCTAAATCTAAATAATTCTGGATAGTAGCTATAATTCGCTCAGAAGCGTTCTAAATCAGAATGATTCCAGAAATGGACAGTTCTAAATGGTCCTCAACAATTATGATTCGTCTTGAAGCAATCTAAATGATTCTGGACATTTCTAATTCGTTCAGAAGAGTTCTAAATAATATAGGACAGCTCTAAATCATTTTAGACAATTTTACATCATTCTGGACAGTTCTAAATGGTTCTCGAGAATTCTAATTCTTCTGCAAGTAATTTAAATGATTTTAGACCTACACAATTCTAAATTGCTCTAGATTCTAAGTGGATCTCAACAATTTTAATTCGTCTTGAAGCAATCTTAATGATTCTGGACAGTTGGAAATTGTTCTAGACAGTTCTAACTAGTTCAGAAGCGTTTTAAATCATTCTGAACAGTTCTAAATCATTCTAGACAGTTTTAAATCAATCTGGACAGTTCTAAATGGTTTTCGACAATTCCTATGATTCGTCTGGAAGTAATCTAAATAATTCTAGACACTTCTAAATTGTTCTAGTTTGCAAGTGGTCCTCAAAGATTCTGATTCGTCTTGAAGTAATCTCTATGATTCTGGACAGTTGTAAATTGTTTTAGACACTTCTAATTAGTTCATAAGCGTTTTAAATCATTCTGGACAGTTATAAATCATTCTAGACAGTTTTAAATCAATCTGGACAGTTCTAAATGGCTTTCGACAATTCCTATGATTCGTCTGGAAGTAATCTAAATAATTCTAAACACTTCTAAATTGATCTAAATTCCAAGTGGTTCTCAAAGATTCTGATTCGTCTTGAAGCAATCTAAGTGATTCTGGACAGTTGTTAATTGTTTTAGACAGTTCTAATTAGTCCAGAAGCGTTCTAAATCATTCTGAGGAATTATTTTATTGAGCTATATTGTGGGATTTTATCTTTTACCACACTAACATCTGTTATTTTAATAATATCTAAATTTTGTTCAACTTATAAGTTGAACTCATAAGTTGTATTCTGCCTGTATCTCTATAGTGTTAAAAAAGAGTACATGCGCAATAATAAAATGACCACAACTAAAATATCACACTTTTTTTCGAATTGTTGCTATTTTCTTTAATTTTATGTACTTTATTTTACCGTTTACCCTTATATTATCATCAAGTGAAACATACATACAGTGCTTTCATTTCAAAGTTAGCCACCCAAGATAACTTTTAAAATATCTTTAAAATAAAAGAACAAAAAAACACGTCAATTTTTATTTACGGGGGGACAAATTTTACAGGTATCTGTCACCCTGCAGTTTCAACCCCTAAGCGGGGGTGAATATCACTTCTAAAAGTTTAAATAGGAAGGGGTATCATGTGATAGCTCTTTTTAAAGTTCTCTTTTTTTCCAATCTTTTGACACATTATTTTTTTAATCGGATTATTTTTTAACGAGTTATGAGCTAGAAACCGTTAAAAATTTGAAATTTTGAATTGGAATTAAAAAAAATACATGAGTATAAATACCGAGATAAGCAAGTGAGAAAAAAACCTTAAATGTTTTTACAAAAGATATTTTTGACTATAAATTTAAACAATTTACTATTAGTATTTTGGTTTCGTTGTGTACTAACCAACAATTTTCGACAATGGTTTATTCTTTACAAGAAAGAATTGAAATAATATTTATTTATGGAGAAGAACAACACTGTGCACGCAGAACTACTCATGTTTTTAATCAAAGACATCCCGATAAAAATGTTGGACATCAGTATGTGTTGGATTTAGTTCATAAATTTCAAGAAACTGGAAGTGTGTGCAAAAAAGTGTCAAGAATTGTAGAGTTTTAACTGAAGCTGCACAAGTTGAGATTTTAGGTCATTTTGCCATAGATCCTCAAACATCAATACAAAAAGTCTCCAGGTTAACAAATATTTCCGTCGGCTCGGTGCATAACACGTTACGGCAAAATAATTTTTTTCCCTACAAAATACAGCTTTTACAACAGCTTTCTGAGGATGATTATGACAGAAGATTAGAATTCTGCGAATTAATGAGTCAAAGAGCAAATGAAGACCCTAATTTAATTAAAAATATTTGTTTTTCTGACGAGGCAGCATTCTTTTTAAATGGATTTGTCAATAACCATTATAATAATTATTAACCATTATTATTATTAATTAATAATAATTATTTTAATTTGAAACTTTAAAATGGCATAACTTTGTAAAAAATAATCTGATTAAAAAAAATAATGTGTCAAAAGATTGGAAAAAAAGAGACCTTTAAAAAGAGCTATCACATGATACCCCTTCCTATTTAAACTTTTAGAAGTGATATTCACCCCCGCTTAGGGGTTGAAACTGCAGGGTGACAGATACCTCTAAAATGTGTCCCCCCGTAAATAAAAATTGACGTGTTTTTTTTGTTCTTTTGTTTTAAAGATATTTTAAAAGTTATCTTGGGTGGCTAGTTTTGAAATGAAAGCACTGTATGTATAAATAAAAAAATGTAACAAACGAAAATAAAAGTAGTGCAAAAATATCTAATCGGTTACAGTCGCTCCGGTGTTTACCGTGCAACCGGAAAACGCGAACGTCCAAATCGGCGGCAACGCGAAACTGGAATGCGTCGCTTCGGGCACTCCACCGCCCGAAATCACCTGGTTCAAAAACGACCTGGAGGTGCTGCCCAACGACGCCGACGGCAGGATACAATTGAGCGAAGACAGGACGATGCTGGACATAACTAAAGTACAGGAATCGGACGCCGGAACGTACGTTTGCGAAGCCTGGAACGAAGTCGGGATGCGCGAGGTCAGCGCGACGGTAGACATTCAGAAAATCTCCTTCAAACCGGCTAAATTGGTGTACAAACCGACGAATATGGAAGTGTTCGCAGGTATTTACGCGGATGCTGAGCGCTAGGCGAGTAAAGTGCGTGTGTTGTATTTTCAGGAAGCACTATTGAATTGCCCTGCAGAGCTACTGGTGATCCCAAACCGGGGATATCGTGGCGAAAAGACGGCTCCACCATCCAGCGAACTGGAAGATTTAAAATAGCTCCCAGCGGGAATCTCTACATGTACAAAGTCGATCCTGGTGATCAAGGTAGATACGAATGTACAGCGTTGAACGATTACGGAAGAGATTCTGCTTCGGGTTACGTTACGGTTACAGTTAAGAAACTCACGGATCCGACAGGTTAGGATTCACTCGCTTTTACTAATAATATTTTGGATATACATTGGTGTTATTTAAAGGGATCGGCATCGGTGATCAATACGTTAAAATAGCTTTCGCCGAAGCCACCGAAGAAGTCGATCGTGCCATTAATAGAACGTTGGACAATATTATCAACAAAAAAGGAACGCATAATCCTGCTGAACTTTTCAGGATCATAAGGTATTGTTATCAAGATAACTACTCAAAATGGAATTATGTAATTATTTCATGAAATATGCTCTATTATCTCCGTCAAACTGTAATATTTGAATGAATCCGGCTCGAAGGACCAAATTCTTGTCTAACTTATTGTTTTTCGAAGGACCATACAAGTAAATTTCACTCGTAATTTGTTTACTTATTTATTGTTGTAATTGAAGACGAATAATAGTCAATGTAACGTGTGAATGCCAATAATGCTTGTTTTCTCATTCTTCTGGTCGAATGTTTATAATCAAATAATCGCTCTTCCAAAACCGGCACCGAATCACAAGAGTGGCTGCTTTGCCAGATTCATTCAAATATTACAGTTTTACGGAAATAATAGAACATAATTGGCGAAATATTAACAGGTATTATTATTGAAATTGAGTCCTCTATTACCTATAGGGTATGCCATGACGAGCTTAAACAATAACTATAATAACATTGCCTATAAGTTCTGCGTAATTTAATTAGATCACAATTCCCAGGACTTTGGAAACATCCATCGTATTTTAATTTAATTTCAAGAAATTAACATCAAAATTCAGAGATACAATTTTTTTGTTAACTTCAATAGTCTTGAATGGCTCATTGTATTTGCCTAATTAAAATCGGTCTGTGTATAAAAATTGGGAAAAGTTAAAAAAGTTTCGTCAAACATCCACCTTTCTTCAGGTATCCTGACGCACCTGCGAGGGAACTAGCCAGAGCATCCGAAGTATACGAAAGAACATTAACCAATATTAGAAAGTACGTGGAGAAGGGCAACGTTACCTTAAATCCAACGTCAGATTTTAACTACAGGGAAATTCTATCAGCGGAACATTTAGACCTCATCGCAAGATTATCTGGTAGGCTATTCCTTAATTTACCTTAATTTTTTAAATTACCGTACAATTTTGCAGGTTGCACCTCGCACAGGCTGATGAGAAACTGCACGAACACGTGTTTCCATTCCAGGTACAGAACGATCGACGGAATATGCAACAATTTACAGCACCCTACGTGGGGGGCTTCTCTGACGGAATTCAGACGCGTTTTGAAACCCGTCTACGAAGACGGGCTGGGAAAACCCGTCGGTTGGGACAAAAACAAAAAGTACTTCGGCTATCCCAAGCCGAGTTCCAGATTGGTATCGATCACCTTGATTAGTACGAAGAAAATCACGCCCGATCCGGAGATAACGCACATGGTAAAACCCGTGAATTCTCGAACGGACAAATTTAAGTGACCTTTTTATCAACAGGTGATGCAATTCGGGCAATTCCTCGATCACGACATCGACCATTCGCTGCCTTCCGTCACGTCGGAGAGCTGGGACGGAGTGGATTGCAAGAAAACCTGCGATTACGCCGCGCCCTGCTATCCCATGGACATCCCTCCCAACGATCCTCGCGTCACCAACAGAAGATGCATCGATTTCATACGGACCTCGTCCATCTGCGGCTCCGGCATGACTTCGATTTTCTTCGACGAAATCCAGCCCAGAGAGCAAATCAACCAGCTGACGGCGTACATCGACGCCTCGCAGGTGTACGGCTACTCGGAGGAGCTGGCCAGCAATTTGCGCGACCACAATTCGAATTGGGGACGGTTGCGCGAGGGCCCCGTCTTCCCGGGAAAGAAGGCCCTGCTGCCGTACGCCGAGAACCAAGGCATGGACTGCAGGAGGAACCTCACCGAGAGCGCGCTCAATTGCTTCGTCACCGGGGACATTCGAGCCAACGAACAAGTCGGCCTGCTCGCCATGCACACCTTGTGGTTACGGGAGCACAATAGAATAGCCAGGGAATTGAAGACCTTCAATCCGCATTGGGACACCGACAGGCTTTATTACGAGACGAGGAAAATAGTGGGGGCGGTCATGCAACACGTGACCTTCAAGCATTGGTTGCCGATAATTCTGGGGAAGAAAGGCTACGAGAAATTGGGCGATTACGAACGATACGATCCGAATTTGAATCCATCGATTTCCAACGTTTTCGCTACGGCGGCCTTGCGTTTCGGCCACACATTAATCAACCCAGTGCTGCACCGTCTCGACGCCGATTTCAAGCCGATCAGAGAGGGGCACCTGCCGCTCTCGAAGGCGTTCTTCTCGCCGTGGAGGATCGTCGAGGAAGGCGGCGTGGATCCGTTGATCAGGGGCATGTTCACCGTCGCGGCGAAGATCAAAAAACCCGATGAGAATTTGAACTCGGAGCTGACAGAGACGCTGTTCCAAGCCGCGCACGCCGTGGCTTTGGATTTGGCCGCGATGAACGTGCACCGGGGGCGCGATCACGCCCTGCCCGGGTACCTGGCCTACAGGGAATTTTGCGGCATGGCGCCGGTGCGCAGCTTCGATGATCTCAAACGCGAAATCGGCGATGCGAACGTGCGCAGGAAACTTCAAAAATTGTACGGGCATCCCGGAAATATTGATGTTTTCGTTGGAGGTAATTCCGAGATTTTCTAATAATTGCTAACGTTATTAAATGGGTGATTTAATAGATATAATGGATCCTTTAATAGTACAAAAGTTTCCTTTAACTATAACATAATTGTTTCTTTCTTTCTTTCTTTCTTTCTTTCTTTCTTTCTTTCTTTCTTTCTTTCTTTCTTTCTTTCTTTCTTTCTTTCTTTCTTTCTTTCTTTCTTTCTTTCTTTCTTTCTTTCTTTCTTTCTTTCTTTCTTTCTTTCTTTCTTTCTTTCTTTCTTTCTTTCTTTCTTTCTTTCTTTCTTTCTTTCTTTCTTTCTTTCTTTCTTTCTTTCTTTCTTTCTTTCTAAGACTAAAATTTTATAGGAAAAAAAGTGACTGTTTTCAAAAATACGACGAGCCTTTTACCAACTTTTTTGTCTAAAAAAAGAATTGGGTTTGCATCTTTTACATGAAATAGAATGGCTAATCATATTGTATGAATTACTGTTTCAGTTTTACATTCTAAAATATGTTTCAATTTTTCAAAATTTTTAAGCAACATTCCTTTTCTTATACGAAAATTTGAAGAGCGAATTTCTTGTTTTTCGAAATATCCATCATCCAATAAGAATTTGAAGGACCCTGAAAACGGTTTTTGAAACTGTTTTTGAGCAATTTCGAAACAATTGTAGATCAGTTTTAAAGCGGTTTCCGAGTGTTTTTAAAACTGTTTTTGAGCAATTTCGAAACGATTTTAGATCAGTTTTAAAGCGGTTTCCGAGTGTTTTTGAAACTGTTTTTGAGCAATTTCGAAACGATTTTAGATCAGTTTTAAAGCGGTTTCCGAGTGTTTTTGAAACAGCCTAGAGAAATTTCAAAGCAATTTTTGAAACTATTTTAGAGCAGAATAAGAGCGGATTTAAATTGCTTTTAGAGCGGTTTTGAAGGGGTTTTAGTGCGATTTTAAAACAGTTTTAAAGCGATTGCAATCAAAGGCAGGCTCAAACGCGATAGTATAAATTTTCCTATATCCAATATTTATAAAATATCTTTAAAAAGCAAATCTTTACATGTTATTATAAAACTATTTATCTTCAATTTTCCTCTGGTTAAAGTATAATCAAACGTTTTATTATGAAATCGGTCTTTAAAGGATACTTTAACGTTTTATTATGAAATCGACCTTTAAAGGACACTTTATCATTAATTTTCTTTTTGTTAAATGATACTTTAACGCTTTCATATAAAATCGTATCTTAAAGGATACTTTATCTTAAAAAATTTGTTTGTTAAAGGACACCTTAACTCTTTATCATGAAATCGTACCTTAAAGGACACTTTATCTTCAATCTTCCTTTTGTTAAAGGATACTTTAACGTTTCATTATGAAATCGTACCTTAAAGGACACTTTTATCTTCAATTATCCTTTGGTTAAAGGACACTTTAACGTTCTGTTATAAAATCTGTACCTTAAATCTTATCATTACAGGTATCTTAGAAGACCAAATAGACGGAGGAAAGATAGGCCCGTTGTTCCAATGCCTTCTGATCGAGCAGTTCAGGCGGCTCCGAGACGGCGATCGTTTCTTCTACGAAAATCCGGCCGTGTTCAAGCCCGATCAATTGGAGCAAATAAAACGCTTCACACTGGCGAGAATGATATGCGACAACGGCGACAACATCAACAAAATCACCAGGGACGTGTTCAGATTGCCGGAATTGCAAGGCGGCTACGTCGATTGCCACGAAATACCGAAAATGGATCTCAGGATGTGGTACGAATGCTTCACGGATTGCAAGTATTTCGAGAGGACCCGGCCGGATTGTCACGTTAACTTCAGGGAATACGAAGAGTACATTAGACATCTGAATAAAATCCACAAAATTAATAAAAACATTAGGATTCGAAGGAGTAGCTTGACGCAGACGAATCGAACGGTGCAGGCCAGTGACATCACGATGTTAAAAAATAACGTCGGTTAACACATTTTTTTTGCTACAAATTGATAATTTTTAGTTGTTTTATTCGTTTGTTAAAATTAATCGCTTTGTTTATAATAAAGATAGGATTTATGTATATAAATAGCAATATATTCTATCTAGGATTCTAGAAGTTAATTTGAACTATCCCATATTAATCAGAATCGTTATACAGGGTGTATCTAAATAACACGAAACAAATTTAAGGGGTGATTCTGTGGTGAAAATGAAGGTGCGTACTTGTAATTTAATACACATATTAGGCCGTATTTATAAAAAGAAGCATTTTGCTTAAAAAGAAGATTATTTTGCTCATTTTGCTAAGAATCATTTCCAACGCTCCAAAGTCATCTAGAACTGTCTTAAATCATTTAGAAATGTATAGAACCATTTAGACTATTTTAGACCCATCTAGGTCAATCTAAAACGCTCCATTTAGAACTGTCCAGAATCTTCTAGAATTGTCTAGAATCATTTAGAATGCTCCAGATTCGTCTAGACCTGTCTAGAACTATCCTATTAATTGGAATTCTCATAGATCTCAGGATGTGATATAAATGCTTCAGGTTTATCATCAGAATCCACAAAATTCCTGGATTACCAACTTTATGCTTCATATTGATGATCTTTAATTGTTTAATTAATTAGTTTGTTGCTTGAGGGGTTGTTACAATTAATTGCACTGTTTATAATAAAATATAAGATTTATGTACATATAAAGACCAATCGATTCTATCTAAAATTAAATTAATTCGACCTACCCCATATTAATCGGAATCGTTCTGTCGTAATTCGTTCACTTGTATCGATGAAAAGCGTTCGTAAAGCTTTCGAATCGTATCGATTTCTTCTTCATCATCGCTAAAGATCACATAATCCGTCGTATTATCTTCAATTTCCTCTAACGATGTAGTCTCTTGTAAACAGTCCTAAAAATACATTTTTTACAGTTTGCTGTAAAATAGTTTTTATATAAAACGCCTACTTCAAAACAATCGGAAAGCTTCAATTCCGATAAAGTACGTTGAAATCGCTCGCAATTCCGTTTAATCCCGTCATCATTCACGTGCAACTTATCCATAAATACATCGCAATAAGGGCAAACCACCTCCGACAGTTCCTCTTCGACGTTCTTGTGGGCCGTTGATTTACAATAGGGACATTTGTACTCGGGTATTATGAACACCGGCATCATCGTGAAACAACATCGGCTGTCCGAATGCGGCGGTAAACAAGTCGCCGCGAAAACTTTATCTCCGCACCAAGCGCACACGAGCGGCTCCGGATATTCCAATTCGTTGGCGATTCTCATCGCCGACGCGATATCTTCTACGAAGGTCTTGCCGACATTGGCCTTCGCCAGGACATCGCCGGCGATTAATTCTTTTAGATGGAAATTTTGGATGGAGATGCTTCTCATTTGGAAGTCGGTGAGCCGCTTCGTTTTGCTTCGGTGCAACAAACGCGACATTCTCTTGACTATCAATTGTATTTCTAATAGATAGTGGACCAGAATGTAGGGTTTCATCGTGTAGCTTTTTATGTAGGGTATTAAGTTGAAGACCATTTCGGAGAGCTTGGCGATTAATCTTAACGTTTTTAATTGCGTTAAGGAGAGCGTGTCGTAGTTTAAATGGGACGGGAGTCCCAACCAAGGAAATCGTTTTTCTTTGATGCAAAGCATTCTGAAATTATTTTTTTTAATACGAAATTGATTGATTAAAGCCAGTTACCTAAGTGCTTCGAAGCAATCCCAATAATCCATAATGCTATCCTCTTCGTTGTGCCAAAGTATGTCGATGGGTTTCTTCAACACGTCGTGATAAACGAAAATGCTAACGTGATTTCGAGATGATTTGGTGAAAGACTGCAAGTCCCAAGGGTATGCTATAATCGTGCACAAAACCATATTTTTCGAAAAGAAAAACCCATGAGTACGATACTTCATCATATCGTTTTTTAGAGAGATTAATGATTTTTTCACCGTAATCTTTTTCTGGTTAACTTCTAAGCGAAGCTCGGCGAATATTCCAGGTAAGGATAGTACAAAAATTTTGTCGTCAACATGATACAAACCTGCAAATTAAACAATTCAAATAATCCTTACTCGTTTTATTTCTAAATGGATCATTAATAAACGACTGGTATATTATTCGAAATGCAAAGTGCATTTTCCAAGAAATTTAGGAAGAGGAGGGTAAGTAGGGTGTAGGGAGGATAGAAGAAGATAGAAAAGGGGGTAGAGGAGGGTAGGTAGGGTGTAGACTACCCCAAAATGATTTAGAACTGTCTAGATCAATCTAGAAACCTCCAGAATCATTTAGAACCGTCTAGATCAATCAACGCTCCAGGGTCATTTAGAACTGTCTAGATCAATCTAGAACGGTCGAGAATCTTTTAGAACTGTTTATAATCTTTTATCACGCTCCAGAATCATTTAGAACTGTCTAGATCTATCTAGAACACCCCAGAATCAATCATTTAGAACTGTCTAGATCAATTTAGAACGGTTCAGAAACATTTAGAATTGTTTAGAATCATTTAGAACGCTCCAGAATCCGGGGTAGAGGAGGATAGGGAGGATAGAGAAAGATAGAAAGGGAGGTAGAGGAGGGTAGGTATGGTAGAGGCAGATAGAATTGGGGGGTAGGTAGGATGTAGGGAGGGTAGAGGATGATAGAAAGGGAGGGTTGTTAGAGGTAAGTAGGGTAGAAGAGGGAAGGGAGGGGTAGAGTACCTTAAACTGGGTCCTGCCTACTCTGACTGGGTAAACAAGCGAATAAATACAGTGTTGCCACTATTAAAATAGTTACCGAGAATTTATATCTTTTCTAATGCAAAAAACAGAACTTTCTAAACGTAGATTAGCGAGCATTTTTATGCATAAAGATCTAACGTAATTTGCTACGCAAATTGAATATTTTATATTGCGTTTTTTTAATAAATTAAGGCGTTTTTCATTATTTGATAAAGCAATCTTAATTTTTTACCGAGTCTTTACTATTTTTTCTGCCGAGCCAAAATTGACGCCCTTTCTAAAATTAATACCTGTGATGTAATAATCTTCGATATATTCCGAACGGCAATCAAACAATTCTCCATCTGCATCGAAACCGTAAATAGAGAGCATCCGTTGTTTGACAACAAGTACAAACGTGTAGTTCTTGTGTCTCATAACACTTATTTTATCAATTTTCATTTTGTCACATCGAGTCAAAAACGATTCTTCTGCATTAAAACATGCTAATGTATCATTCAAATTTGATACGTGAATTGCATTTAGTTTACCATCCAAATCGGAGATAAACAGAGCACCACCTAATAAAAATATTTAAATAAGTGACGATTAAAGTATTTGCAAACCGATTTTACCGACCATAATGACTATTATGTTGCCAGAACATAGTAGAAATTCTTTTTAAACGTGTCCTATATCGACCCAAAAATGTAGGTATTAATATTAAACCGACTTTAAAATCCTCGTTGTGAATTCTCCAAACTGTTATATCACCATTAATGTGTCCGCAGAATATTACAGCTGAGTTTTCGTTATTAATCCGAAACAAATGACTCCAAGTGAAAGCTAGAAAACAAACTGTTAATACAACACTAGTACAATAGTACAAAACAATAGTAAATACCTGTCGGTGTAACGGAATCGATTCTTCTCTTATATTCTTCCGACTTTGTTACTATCCCAAATCGATTGGCATCTTTCCAGTTATGTTTCTGTGCATGGATAATAGCCTCAGTTATGTTCGATACAAATATATACTGAATTTCTTCTCTTTCGTTTAAAATCCTCGCGTATATTTCCAAACTGAACATGTTTGTCAAGACTGCTATAAGGCATTCGTGCTTGTTCAATAACCCTTTCGGAGACCATTCAGCGTAAGTGGCAGCTGGTTCAATAGCCTTAGTGTATTTAAGCGTAGCGGAATACTCGGTTTTCATCGCCATCTCGTACACATCTTCCTTCGATAATTCGTTGTGGAAGCTATTTAAATCGATTTCTACGTGACTGCAAGGCGTGAAAGGCGAGGGTTGGAAGAAATGTTTGGTACATAAAAAACCGGGCGATTCGTCCGTTACGGAACCCGTAAAACCTAAAACGTAAACACCGATATCGTTGATTATGAAGAAACGATTGTCTTCGGAATAACCGCAGGCGAAATTCAGTGATACACTATCTGATAATTTGAAATGGTCTAATAACTTCAGTTGTACGTTCATATTAAATAATTAGCTAATATTATACAAATTCAACAATTTTACGAAGTAGTAAAAATATAACAAATAAAGTAGGGTTATAAAAATATTTCAGAATAAAATAAGAAGAAACAGAATATCCATGGTGGTGGCTGTTTTTCCACTCGCTGTTGTGGCAAAATACTAAAGAGAAGAATGTCAAAAATACTTGGGGTTCTAGCGCAAAAATGACGATAAGGCAGGAGGAATGTTTTCTATTGTTAAAATGATTTTTGTATGAATTAATGTTTAATAAAGTGTTTAAATGAATATTGACTTGTCCAATAAGCCTTGAACTACCAAACTTCGAAAGAAAAGGCCATATATATAAACTAAATAAAAAGAAGAATTATGTAAATCATAACATAACCTAAGTTATTTAAATTATTACAATTTTTGCTTCTTTTTAAATGTGTTAATATTTCCCCTTCAAATATAGTACAATAATGATTTCAACTTTACGACATACTTCTAAACATTGTTTATATTCCTTTAGTATTATTAGCCTTTTCGGTGGTAATTCATTAGATCAGGTTCCAAATGAAAATAGCACCGTTCCCAAAGAAGAAACCGGTTGGGACCGATTAAAAAAAATGTTTACAGTAGAGTAAGTAAGGTTTAACCGTTTCTTGTCGTTCGGTTATTATTAATTGTTATCTTTTTCCAGTGAGTTTGGAAATTTAACCCACGAAGTTCGATCAATCGTACAAGTAGGATGTATGAGTGTATTCGTTGGAGCACTTTACGGAGGTATCATGTCCAGCAAAAATGCCTATCTTGAGTTTATGAGAAGTAATGAAGCTACTAAATTTGAAGGCCATTTAGATGCAAAGGTACGAATTAATCTTAAATTGAATTGACAATTAAAAGAAAATATTTTTAGAAAAAATTGCAACACGAAGTAACGACGAGTTTTAGCAAAGGCGCTCTGAAATGGGGCTGGAGGTTAACCTTATTCAGCACTACTTTCGTGTAAGTTTATTTCAATTAAAAGAAATATTTATTTATAGATACTATAAATATTTTTTTAGCGGTATAAGTACTCTTATCCAAACATACAGAGATAAATCCGGGATTTCGGAGTATGTAGTGGCTGGAGGACTTTCAGGGTTTTTGTATAAATTTAACGCTGGACCAAGAGCATGGATTGTAGGTGGTGGTTTAGGTAAATAATATTCAAGTTTTTAATTTATTTCATTTACATATTATTGCTTTTTTAGGTTCAGTTTTAGGATTATTTTGTGGTGTTAGCACCACTCTTCTATTAAAATTAAGCGGAATCTCCATGAAAGAGGCTCGCTATTGGCAAAATCATTGGCAAGACGCTAGACTAGAATATGGGAGGAAAGAACTTCAGGAATATTTACATCAAGAAAATTTTGCCGTTATTAGTTTGCACGATGATGAGATTGGAGAAAGAGGAAAAAATATAGCAAATTTGGAAGACGTTAAAGAAGTAGAAGCAAATAAATAATGCTAATTTAGTTTCAAACATGTAATATAATGTAATTATAATTTTTTTTACCAAAAATTACGTGTTTTAATTTGAAACGTTTAAAAAAAAAGTAGTCACCTTTTGAAAAAAACTCATTCACTGACATCGTCACGCAATTTTCCTTAATTAGCTGACAGGTAAAAATACTCAAAAATCTAAAACAGCTTCTTATAGAGCTTTATGTATTACAATTTATCATTCATATTCTTACATTAAACAATCAACTTAAATAAATTAGTATAACATAATATTAGTATACATATAATAGGATTTCATCTTGCTTTGTAAACTCAATAATTATATAATTTATAATAAGATTTTGATTATCCAATTAAGCAAAGACCAACAATTTAAACACCTTATAAAGCAAGTGTTAGAATACTGAGCAAAACATTTATAGTAAATTTTTTATGATATAAATAATTTTATAGATTTTTTGTCACGCGTTTCGGGCCTCTATTAGGCGGTCCTTTAGGCCGGGCAAATTGAGGTCGGTGCAAATTGATAGTCGGATGGAGTTCCTCGTACAAATACTTTTCCGTTAACTCATCACCAGAATCAATTTCCAGCTGTAGTGAATTTGTGATATAAATAAATAATTAAATTTTTCAAAAATATTAACTTACTTTTTTGGCGATTTCCAATCCTAATTTTGATATGCTGTCTGTCAGTGGGTTTTTACAACTCGAGTAGAGCATTCTCTCTTTAACTGAACAACTGTAACCCGGCATCGAATATATAAATACTGCAAAGCAACACGATTATTTGTAGAGAACACAAATGAAAAAAAATACATAACACATACATACAGAGTGGCACATTAGTATGGAAAAGCTCAATATATCTAAGTAACTGAAATAATAGCAATAATAACTGAAAATAACGGGGAAAATGTTACTTTTGCGTTTGGAACCACCCTGTAAGCAGTATGATTAATTTGCCAAAAATATACATTCTCAACATTTTTAGGATATTTGCAATGTTATAAAACCAGAAATTTATTTTCAATTCAATCAATTTAGTTTCTACAGGGTGGTACTTTAGTTTCTACAACTTAGTACTATTTTCATGTAAAAGTGGTCCTAACTTCTAAACCACTCAGTATAACGTTATACAATTTTATATTTTTAGAAAACTAAAAACGAGCTAAATTTATTTTTTGAATAAAAAACAGAGTGTATCATTAAAAAAAAGTGTGGCATTCTACGGATAAACAGGACACTCTGTACAAGTGTAACTAATTTTAAAATAGGCAGTTTAAAAAGATCTACAACATTTTGTAATGAAGTTTTTTGATATCTTCTTCAAGAACATATATATTGAGCTTTTCCACACTAATGTGCCACCCTGTAAATAAATACAGGGTGTCCCTTGACTCGATGTCGATTTAAATGCCGAGTTCAGGTAGATTGGAAGAGGAGGTCCTATTCCCTGGCCTCCAAGATCACCGGATCTAACACCTCTGGACTATTATCTTTGGGAACAAATGCAAAGTTACTGTATTCTATTCTAATTCACCATAAAACAGAGATCAGCTAATTAACACATTATTACCAATGATTCCTTAAGTATTGACTTTTGGACAAGTGTATAAATGATTTTTGATGTGATACTTTCCTAAGCTATGTCTATCGAGTCACGGGACACCCTGTAAACAAATTATACTTACTAAAACTTTCCATGTAATCCCCTTCGTGGGTATGTTTGAACTTGAACAAATGATACCTTCCTTTATCTTTTGGAACCTTGGAAGCCAATTTTTCTAAACTAACATTCTCGGCAGTTACTAAATGTATGCTCTCTTCATTCATATCTAAAAGGAATAGTCACGAATAAGCGACATATACGATTGAATTATTCGATAGAATTCATACCGATTTTCAATTGAAGATAATTGTAAGTTCCACGTATCATATCAATGATAGCATCTTGAGTTGATGTAGTAAGAGGAAAAGCCACACCGCTCAAGGTTTGTTGTTTAGTATCGATACTGATTTCGGTATTAACTTCAGTTTTCTTCAATTCATTTAATTCTTCTTCCCTCATAGATAGAGGAGCGGGTGCCGCAGTGGATTTTTTATGTTTGAAATAACCATTCAAAGTAATATCGCTCTATAAATACAGGGTGTTAATTAATCGAGTGTCTGTACTTCAAAATGTGAATATTTCGATGATTTTGAGAAGAAAGGTTTATATCAATATATGTCATAAACCTCTTAGTTTTCGAGCTACAGGGTGTTACATAAAAAGTTATTTTTTATAGTTTATTTAGTTTAATCATCCAAATATTTACACCCTGAAGTATTGGCACTCAATTAAATAACACCCTGTATTCAAAATATTTGTAAAAATTTCAATGTTTTTTTTATAAATAATTACCGTTATAGTACAATGCATTTCTTCTTTAATCTGCGAAGATCCAAATTCTTGCTTCAGAGTGGCCTTCGTAGATGCGTAGAGCATTTTTTGACGGACTGGAGCAGTATCGGGAGTCCAACTAACGAGCATCCATTCGTAATTCGAATTATTCTTGCTATCTAGTCTGCAGAGAATGTTGTTTTACAATTTATTTGTTTTGAATTTTTTCTAAATGTGCAAGCTTATGAGATCATACAAACAAATATGTCGATGGTATCGGTATCATTCTAATACCTGATATCTTCCAGTTTTATAGTTGATTAATTGAATAAAGTTTATTGAAGATTGAGATCTTCATGCACAAAGAGATTGGCTTAGTAGTAATTTTTACCTGTACATTAGATAACAAGGTTGATTTTCTTCGATTTGTGGACCAATTGAAGGATCAAAATCTTGCTCCCAAGTGCCTTTGACATGCTCGTATCCATCTAGCACCAATTGCTCTATAAATAAAACGTATATTGAAACGTATTGGCACAAATAACCAGTAATATTTTACCTTCTTTTATTGAAACTTTGATCAATCTAATGGAACCATCTCTACTTGTTGCAAAGAACTTTTTAAGTTCATCATTTGCTGAAATAGAAAATTGGTTTTAACTTCAAATAAGCACAATTGAGTAAGCCCCAATATTAGAATACGTTTACTAAAAAAATAGAGGACATAAAATATAGGGGGTTACTTTTACACTTACCTTTAATTCCTGTCTGGTGAGACATTTTTTTATTATTTTCCCAAATTTAGTACAACTGTATATGTTGGCTTTACTAGCTAAACATCACAAAAATAACTAGAAAATTGTAAAATCATACATAAATAAATATCTGCAAAGACAAAACAGGCATTAATCATTCATTAAAAAAATAACTGACTAATTACTCACTTCATTCCATTCATTATTCACTGTCAAAAGTGAAATCGAGGTTTTGAATTTCCAATAAGATCGAGGCCACTTTTCGTAAAGAAGAAGAAGTGGGTTAAAAATATTCAATTTGACTTTGACAGTGACAGTTTCTGTAACGAGCTTAGACAAGTTAAAGTAAAAATAACGTGTGCACGTGTTGAAATTAATATAATGAATACATTTTAAATTATCCTGCTCTAAAAAAGAAAGTGTTATATACCCTGTATATATACGGTCTTCATAAATGTTATTAGCAAGTAAAAAGTGCACAAAACATAGTAAAAATGTCTATAAAAGGTTCTCTCCGAAGTCGAAGTTTAACATCTACACCTTCCTCGATCCTCAAAAGACCTAAAACCTTAGTGCACCGGCTTAGTGAAATAAGAAATAAGCCAACCGAAGTCAAATTCGAACTTACTAAGCAATTGAAATGCATTTTCGACGGCTACGTTCAAAAAACGGAGTCGAAAGAATACGAGAAACTGGTCATAATGATAAGAGATGCTAAACTAACAGATGCCGATATTTCTTCCATATTAAAGGAAATTAACGAGTGCATTTCTATTCTGGATCAAAAATTTAGATTATTTGTTGAAGCGATACTTTCCATTGAATGGACAAGCAGAGGATCGGAAGTTATTGAGGAGTATCAAGTTTTTATTGTTAATTTATTATCAGCTCATACGTATCATGCCAAGATGGTTATAGATAAATTGGTTAAATTGTTCTTCCCCGGTAAGTATTTTTTTGATTATAGTACTGTTTGTGAATAATTCAATGTTGTGCAATATTGAAAGTTGAATTGTCATGTTGGCAAACAGTTATTTAGTTGTTATACTGGGTGTTTTTTAATAACAAGCTAATACTGAAGACATTTTAAGAAACAAACTTCATATGATCCTATGTCCTAAACTTTTTAGATATGGGGTGTTAAAGTTTTAAGAAAAAAACAATTTTTGTCATTTCCATACCACTTTAAATATTTTTATGAAATTGGTGTACGGTGTTTATGCATTAAAGAGTACTTTTTGGCCCAAAACACTTTAATTTTCAACAGTGGCGTCTATACTGGCCTCAAGCCAGATATTGTTGAGGGTAAAAATGGTACGCCACTGCTTTCTCTTGAAATAAAATTTATTTTTGGAGGCCCCGTTCAATTTAGAACAAACTTGATTTCTTGACATTTTTTTGTAAGACTCACCGTTTCGCATAAAAAAATTAAATGCATTTCATTTGTAAGCAACTGCTGCATTAGCCGCTGTGCAGAAATTAGGTAGTACTAAATTTTAGGTTTAGAACATATGTTCATATGATGTTTTTTCTTAAAATAGGTTCAAGAAACACCCCCCTTCAGTATTAGCATGTTATTTAAAAACATCCTGTATATTTAAATTTATTCTTGTAGGTCCAGATGATTCTGATTGGGAGGATGGAGTCCCTGCCGATGAGGATTGCGCTAAATGCATTAATGTACATGCTTTGTTTAATTCTTTACTATCTGAAGTGCCTATGTAAGTATAAATTGTTGTTAATTCTAAATAGTTTTGTAACTGGTCATCATTTGTAGGTGCCAAGCTATATTTGTATCATCATTATACAGTCATTTCCCATATTACAATAAATCGACTCACATTCATGAGTATTACTTACACAATTTGTTATGGATCTTAGAGTACAGGCCAAATTTGAGACCGGAAATATTAAATCTCATATTTTCAAAGTACGTATTCAAACTCTTTTGATAATTACAAACTTCACCAACTCGTATTTGAATTGTTTAGGCTGATAATAATGGACGTAAACGCGCCGAGAGAAGAAATAGAAAAATATTTAAATGCAGACGAGGAAATGTTTTTAATGGACGAAGAAACCAAATCCATAAAATCATCGACTACAGCTTTTACGCAGGTCAACAGACACGCCTTAGCGCACACATTGGACGTTTGCTTGGATAAAATATTTAATTACTTTGTGTCGGAATGCCACGATTCCCAGACCAAGGAAATAATTTGGGAGAAAGCTAAAAATTTATATTTAGAAATGCTGCCGATCTTCGACCGACTGATTCTTCCGACCTATGATATACATCATGTACAGTTCATCATGTTCATGATGACGTGCTTCAAAACAACGATAACCGAAGGGTTTTTAAATTATTTATGGAAGAAAGTTTGCAATCTGAATGTCGCTCCTGTTCTCCGACAAGCAGCGGTTAATTACATAGCCAGTTTGGTAGCTAGATCAAATTTTGTTCCTTTGGCGTAAGTATATTGTAATTATCGAGTAGTATTAATGATATTTAATTGTTTTTTTTTTGTAGGATGATTAAAGGTACGTTACAACAGTTGGCTGAATGGATACATTCATACATTTCCTCGCAAGATGGTTTTGAATATGTAAATTCAGATATAAGATCTCATTCTGTATTTTACGCTGTTTGCCAAGCACTGTTCTATATCGTAGCGTTTAGGTATAAAGATTTTGTCCAATCGAAGAAAAGTAAGTTTGTTAAAATTACTCGCCCAAATTCGATTTGTAATTTTTGTTTTAATTTTTAGATATAGTATTTTTGCAAAGCTTGAATATGGCTAAAATGGTGACTTCACGTCTCAATCCCTTGAGAGTTTGTCAACACGCTGTTGTTCAAAATTTCGCGGCTGTAACGAGGAAATACCAGTTGGCTTATTGTTACAGTGTAATCGAACATAATTCGAGGAATACATTGCCTGTAATTTATTTGGATGAAAAGGGCACTACAGTGACATCTGATAATACTTTAAATACGTTCTTTCCATTCGATCCTTTTATATTAGAAAGGTGAGATAATTGTAGAATTAATGTAATTAAATGTAAATAAAATACGTTGTTTTTCAGGTCGGCTAAGAAAATAGAGCCTTTCTATAAGGAATACCAAGAAGCAGATGAAAGTGCCGAGACTGTAATGGAAGAGACTTCAGAAGTAGACGATTTTTTACTCAACGAATTTCCCAATTCATCAAAGAATAAAACTCAAAAATTTTCATATGGTAGTTCCCCGGGTTTTAAATTTAAATAAAGAGTTTCTGTTTTCATAGGGTGTAGAGTTCTTTTTTCTCTTGCGAAGTTATCGCTTTATTTTTATTATATTATCGACTGTGATGTATATAAACTTGTTTATTTGGATATTAGATCAATAAAAAATATTTTCTTTGATTCTACATTCTACTGCAGATTTTTATATTTTATTTTCCTATAAATTTATTGTAGTCCAATTGGACCAAAAAAAACCTTACAGTTGATTGACCAATAAAAAAAGCAGAATTTCTTCGAGTTGTCAAATTATCACGCGTGAAACGTCACCTTAATATGACAGAAAATCTATGAAATGTGAGGTTATGATTTTCATAACATTTTAACTGCTTGATGCAAATGTTAAATGTGTCAGGATCCAGGAATAAATTAAAAATCTATCAAAAATGGCAGATAAAGTTCCAGTTGAGTTAGGAGGAACAGATTTTACGCAGGTCTTCATTGCAATATTTATTATAGTCATAACATTGGGTAAGTATCTAAATTATTCCAAATTCCATATGGATAATGATAAATCACCATCAAATTTTCATCTTTCAGTTCTCTTTGCAATCTACAAAAAGAGGAAGAGTTCAAGACAAGGCATTTTGTTAACTGGTATTTGCGATAGTGGGAAAACATTAATATTTTCTCAGTTAATTCACAATAAGCACATTCAAACTCATACATCGATCAAAGAGAATGTGGCAAATTTTTCAAACGAGAAGGTAATTGTAATGATCAGATCTCGTATATATCCATCGATTTTAAGGGTAATATGTTTACATTTATCGATATCTTTTAGGAAAACCTCAGAATTATCGATATTCCTGGCCATGAGCGTTTACGAGACAAATTCTTCGAACAATATAAAGACATCACTAAAGGAATAATTTATGTGGTTGATTCGAACACAATTACTCAAGACGTCAGAGACGCCGCTGAATTTTTGTACAACATCCTTGTAGATCCTATAATCCTCAAGAACAAGCCAAATTTGCTAATTTTGTGCAACAAACAAGATTACACTTTTTCAAAAGGAGGATCAGCAGTGAAGGCCATTTTTGAAAAGGAATTGTAAGTGGACTTTTTTATAATTTTATATTTATATTCATTTACTGTTATTTATTTCCAGGAATACACTTCGTGTAACGAAATCCAATCAACTCGAATCTGTAGATGCAAAGGCTAAGAAGGCTGCTCTTTTGGGTAACCCCGAGGAAGATTTTGATTTTGCCACTTTACCGCTGAAAATTGATATTGCCGAAAGCTATGCCTACCATAAGAACGGTACTGTTGATATTGAAGGAGTGAAAAAATGGTTAGCACGCTTATAATTTAAATAAACTGCCAGTTATATTGCCTGAATAATTGTTTGGTAATTGTCACATTTTTACGTACTTCTTGAAATAAACGAATTATTCCTTTTTAATAAAGAAATTAAATGTAATCTGAATATTTTGTACGTAATTTATATTAGTTTTGAGTTGTTAATTTTGTTGTCGTTTATTTATAATTTTTTGATAAAACATTAAAATGATTTTGTTCAAATTCAATGAAAATATTTTAATTCTAATAAATTTGTTATAAAACACCAAATTTACATAATAAAGTTTTTTTTTAAATTAAGAATAAGATTATTTTTTTACAATTCGTTTATTTTTCTATAAACAGGTCGAGTTATAAATATTGATTATAAATTTAACAAAAAAAAATCATTAATATGATTCATCTAAAACAGGCACATTCATACAATTCAATTTAGATAAAGTACAGCTAAATAACCGTTATAAATCAAAGCCGATAGTACAAACATAATCATTGAATTTAGTGTAATAATAATTAGCTAATAAACAAATTCTTCATTAACGGCCAAATAAATATAAAAGGAGGATGTTTGGCATTTTCAGACATTGTAAGTGTATATCACTTGATTCTCTGTAATTGCATGATCTCGTTTTAGATTTAGATGATTCAATGTTATTTCGCCTGATTGGCAGCTTCTAATTCTTGCTCGACAATTGTACGGTACGCATCGAAACCACCTTCTATGCTTCGAACAGATCCATTTCCGCACACCCAAAGTTCGTTGCACACCATTCTAATCAAACGTTCGTCGTGCGAAACTAATATAACACCTCCCTAAAAACATATTGTTTATCATAAAAGTTTTTATATTGATTAGTTACTAATAACTAGAGCCTTGAAAATATGCAAGATCCATGTGAAGTGCATACATGCACATTTCTCCAAAATTTCAAAATGCACATGCAAAATAAAATTTTGCATTCTTCAAAATATTTCGCCACAAATTCTTAAATAGAACTTATATTTAAAGAGAACTCTTAAAATATAGTGTTCTGAACCATTCTAAAGGGTTCTAGATAGTTTTAAATGATTCTGTTGCGTTTTAAACAGTCCTAAATGGAGTCCTAAATTCTGGAGCGTTCCAATGGTTCTAAACAGTTATAAGTGATTCTGGAGCGGTCTAAATGGGTTTAGACAGTTCTAAATGATTCTGGAGGGCTCTAAATGGGTTTATACTGTTTTAAATGATTCTGGAGTGTTCTAAATGGTTTAGACAGTTTTAAATGATTCTAGAGCGTTCTAAATGGGTTTAGACAGTTCTAAACGATTCTGGAGCGCTTTAAAGGGTTTTAGACAGTTCTAAAATATTGCATATTTGGTTTTTGATTTTTTTGAATGGCATAAACGCATATATAAGTGCATATTTTGAAGGCTTTTAGTGTATATTTTGCCATTTTTTAGTGCATATTTTCCAAGTTCTATCGAAAACATGAATAACGTACGGTATATTTTTGGATTGCTTTTCCTAAAGCCTCGATGGTTTCGATATCCAAATGATTGGTAGGTTCGTCGAGAACCAAAAAATTAGGGCGACCCATGCACATTGCTGCAAATGCCACTCTGGATTTTTGCCCTCCGGATAAACTGGAAACTACTTGAAGGGCCAAATCGCCGGATATACCGAAACTACCCAACTGTCGCCTATATTCTTCTACAGGTTTTCCTGAAATAATCAGTTATTAATTAATGAAAACTTTAATGTAACATATTCACTTACCAGGATACTCTAGTTGCAAAAGTTCTACCGAGTTAACGTTCATATTCAATTGATCTACGTGATGTTGACTGAAATAACCGAATTTAAGATTCCTATGCACGTGTCTCATACCTCCAGTCGGTGACAATAAACCCATTATTATTTTTAGGAGTGTTGTTTTTCCAGCGCCATTATCACCAACCTAAAAAATAATCAAAAAACATATTATGCTATACGACCGAATTACAACTTTTTACAACGTACTATACATATCCTAGACTCCATTGTAGCACCAATATTGACGTTACTAAATATCACACGTTCCGAATTATATCTAAACATAACTTCATCGAGTTGTAAAATCGGAGGAGAAAGCGGTTCAGTATCAGGTAACTTAATTACCACTTCAGTATCTTTAATAATCGGTTTCAATTCGGGTCTGTAATATTAAAAAGATTTAAAAAAAATGCATCGATTAACGTCGAATCGGTACTTACAATTTTTCCAACATTTTAATTTTCGATTGTACTAACGCTGCTCTGTTAGCATTATACCTAAATCTGTCGATAAACTCTTGAACGTGTTGCCTTTGCATCATTTGCGCCTCGTACTCTCGTTGCTGGTTCTTCAATCTCTCGTTTTTAGTTTTCTCAAATTGTTCGTAATTTCCTCTATAAGGATCTATTCTTTGCGAATGCAAATGCAAAATATCCGTAGGTACTGTATCTAAGAAGTTCCTGTCGTGAGACACTACGAGTAACGTAGTGGGCCAATTTTGTAGGTAATTCTCCAACCAAATGATAGCTTTGATGTCCAACATGTTAGTGGGCTCGTCGAGCAGTAAAAGATCAGGCCTGGAAAAGTATCCCGTAATTATCACACAGTACAATAATTAGTATTTGTTTAAACCAACCTCGAGAACAGAGCCCTCGCCAAGGCCAGTCTCATTCTCCAGCCACCGGAAAAGGTTTTGGTAGCGTTCTGTTGCATCTCTGTAGTAAAACCCAAACCGTTTAAGATTATAGAGGCTTTAGCTGGCGCTTTATCTGCCTCTATGTTTTGCAGCTGAGTATACACTTCGGTAAGTTCGGAATTTAGCTGAGGGTCAGTTGAACTACAACATTACAATTGTAAACAAGTTTATATAAAGAGTTATATTCAAATTACCCATTATTAATGGCCGAACTTATTTCTCTTTCTTTCTTCAATAATTCTTCTCTAACTGTATCACATTCCAATACACTGTTTATAGCTATTGTGTCATCTCCTATTACCTAAAATGAAATTCCATTTAGATATCGTTAGATAATGATGATTAAGGTACGTTACTTCTTGTTCTACATGTAGAATACTTATGTGCGATGGTATTCTCAGTTGAGCGCCCGATATCATTCTTAATAGTGTACTTTTTCCTAAACCATTTCGCCCTACGAGACCGTATCTTCTACCAAACGCTAAGCAAATATCGGCTCCTTGAAGTAGAACCCTTCAAAACATTTATATTAGACAATTTATTATCAATCATCGTTTGTTATTACCTTTCTCCGTAAGCGACATCGAAGTTTTCTATTCTAATATCCTGAGTTCGATTCGTCCCTTTGGCTTCTAGTTTGCTATCTTTTTTACTGGTAACTTGCGAAGCCGAGGCAGTTTGAAGTTTAGGAGCCGTGACCGTTTTTACCTCTTTAGTTCTTTTGTCCTGCTTTTCTTGTAATTTAGCTTCTGCCTTTTCTAATTTTTTTGCATCTACTTTCTAAACAACGCAAACAACTTATAATTTATTCGTTCAGTTACAAGTAAAAGCTTACCAATGTCTCGTCTCTCTGTATAAGCCATATACTTTTTACATCGTCTATCGTAGCTTCCAAATTGTCCACCATCGAGCCTAAGTGAACCGGCGCGTTTAGGACTTTCATAGCTCCGTTATTTGAGGCTTTCTTATCCGGTTTCATCATACATAGCAAATCGTTGCAAATATTTCTAAAAGTTTCATTAATTAGTTAATAATTTCATGCTCAATGTTGCATATGTACCTTATATCATCTTCAGATTTATCGTTTGAAATTTCTTGTAAAACCTCGCCTATTGCCTCGTAAACTTCCTCGCTGTCCTCAAACTCGTCTGCACCATTTGATAATACCCCTAAAATATGTTGATGTGGCTTCAGTCACTATAGATTATTATCTAAACTTCTCTATTTACCTTCGACATATTGTTTTAAATCTTCGTCTATTGTAGGAAAGGTGTTTTTTATATATTCACTACACGTTCCCATTTTACCTTTTGCAAGAACCAATTTAATTCTATAAAGGAAGTTGACAATTGCGATTCATAACCTCAACCAAAGTGAAAGAAGACGAATGACAGGAGTACAAGTAAGTAAGGCCTTTACTTATTCTAGGTTACAGTTACTCAATTTTTGTTAAAAAACAGAAGATTAAGGTTATTTTGTTTAATTTGAAAAATGTGTGGGATCGCTTTAATAATTTGTAATTTACCATTTAACGACAAGTATTTATTAAAAATAGTAAGCTAGTCCATTTTATCTAATTTAAATACAAATTCTACTTTATTTATAGCTAAATTTACTGCAAGAAACTATATCAAGAAGGGGCCCCGATTATTTGGAAATAGTAAAGTTATCTACCCAAAATGAAATGAATTTGTGTTTTTTATCTAGCGTTCTTTGGCTACAAGGCAACAGCTTGTCCAAGCAACCCGTACAAAATGAACAATCTGTATTTATCTACAACGGAGACATTTTTAATGGGATATCTGAAGAGTTCCGTAAGAAGTACGGTGATACAAATTGTGTATTTGAAATATTAAATGAAAGTGATGACATTCACCATTCTTTATTAAAGTTGCAAGGTCCTTATGCATTTGTTTACTACGACAAATTGCACAATAAACTTCATTTCGGTAGAGACAAATATGGTAGGCGAAGTTTATTAGTAGGTAAAAATGGAGAAACAATTGTATTGAGTAGTGTTGCGAAAAGGACTGAAGATTTTGAGTTTATGGAGTTGCCCTCTATTGGAACATTTACTTGGGATTTGAATAAAGGCAACTTGGAGCTTTCTCCTTTCAATGAAAGTTATTCAACTAAATTAGGAGAGTTGGAATTATTCCTGAATAAATCGTTTCTAATAAAACACACCGCTTATCCTCCTGATATCAATTTCATCAATCCCCCTGCTACTCAACTCGATTTACTTAATAATTTACATGGTCTACCTACCGATGAAGCATTTTCTACGTTACTTGCCCATTCCGAGTGGCTTGAGAATGTAAAACAACTACTAGAATTATTAGAAGATTCGATAAAAAGGAGGATTTCTAATCAACCTAAGTTTTGCAAAGCGTGCATTCACGTGAAACCCAGTTGCACTCACTCATCTGTAGGCATATTGTTTTCTGGCGGTGTAGATTGCTCTATTTTGGCTCTATTAGCAAACAATTACGTTGATAAGGAACAACCAATTGATTTGTTTAATGTTTCATTCGATGAAGCCCATGGGTTTTCATCACCCGATAGATTAACAGGTAATTTAAGTCGTTTTATTATTTTTTACAATTGAAGTATATAAATCGTTTGTGCAGGTTTACAGACCCTCGAAGAGCTGCAAGAGCTTTGTCCGAATAGAAATTGGAGGTTCATCGAAATAAATATCCCTAAAAGCGAATTGAAAGATATTAGAAGCAATCGCATAGCAGATTTAATTTATCCATTAGAAACTGTAATAGATGATGATTTAGGCTGCGCTTTATGGTTCGCTAGTAGAGGCTTACACGATTCGAATTGCAGAGTAAGTATTGGGAGTTGTTTTAAGTTTCTCTTCGTTTACAAAATTTCTTTAAGGTTTTGCTCGTTGGTATGGGAGCAGACGAGCTATTTGGTGGTTATACGAAACACAGAGCGGCTTTCAAACGAGACTCTTGGTCGGGTTTGCACGATAAACTAAACGAAGACTGGCAAAATCTGCCTTACAGAAACCTCGCTAGGGACGATCGAGTCGTGGCAGATCACGGGAGACAACTACGCACCCCTTATTTAGACGAGAACGTCGTACACTTTGTTAGAAACTTGCAATGCTGGGCTAAGTACGTACACATGTTATTTCTAAACACGTTTTTATGTTAATTATTTATTAGATCCTTCCCTTCGGATAAAGTACCTCAAGGATTCGGCGATAAGCTGCTACTCAGAAGCGTAGCCTATCGATTGGGATTGAAAAAAGCGGCCACTTTGAAGAAAAGAGCCTTACAATTCGGCTCGAGGATAGCCGATAGTAAAAAATCCGCAAACGAAGTTTCAACGACGCTGCACTCCTAAAAGGTAAACGTTTATTCGAGCATCAGAATAATTATACAGGGTGTTAATTAATTGAGTGCGGATACTTCAGGATGTGAATATTTGGATGATTTTAAGAAAAAAAGTTTATATCAATATATGTCCTAAACCTCTTAGTTTCAGAGCTACACAGGGTGTTAAAGTTAAAAAAAAATAATAACTTTTCTGTTATAATTTACTTATTACTCCGGATATTTTTATGAAATTTTGTACTCACTTTTTTGTTATTAAGAAGCATTTTTTAAGGCAAAAGATTAAAAAAAATTACCAGTGACGTCCGGGGTTTGAACTGAATATGTTTAAAAAAATGGTGCGCCACTGTTTTTTTTATAAACCAAAATTATTTTTAAAATCCTCATTTATTTTGAAGCAAATTTGGTCCCAAGACTTACTTTCGTACGACGCACCATTCCCGCGTAAAAAAATAAAAACCAAAACATTTTTTCACAAGTTCATTTTGAGACTGCTTTTGATATTTTATTGAAATTTGGTAGGGGCCCACCATGCATGGAAACACTTTTTTTGGGACAAAGATTAGTTTTCTACTATTACCATTGACGTCCACCTCCGAAATTTCATAAAAATAATTGAAGTAATAAGAAAAATATGATAAAAAAGTTATTTTTTTCTAAAACTGTAACACCCTGTAGCTCGAAAACTAAGAGTATTCAGTTCAAACCCGGGACGTCACTGGTAATTTTTTTTTAATCTTTTGCCTTAAAAAATGCTTCTTAATAACAAAAAAGTGAGTACAAAATTTCATAAAAATATCCGGAGTAATAAGTAAATTATAACAGAAAAGTTATTATTTTTTTTAACTTTAACACCATGTGTAGCTCTGAAACTAAGAGGTTTAGGGCATGCATTGATATGAACTTTTCTTCTTAAAATCACCCAAATATTCACATCCTGAAGTATCGGCACTCAATTAATCAACACCCTGTGTTTGGGATTCTTTTCCCCGTTCCGAGGTCAAGTTCGTATCCTTGTTAACCTGGTACGGTTACGGCGATATCGCGTGCGTGTCCTTGTTGCGAGGAAAATAGCGCGCTTGCAATTTATTCCTTTTGTATGTGGATGTGTATCAAACGTTCGTTTCACGTGGCGTAAGTCGTAAATGAAAAATGCGAAACGCCACCCCCTGCGGGTTTAAAACGGATAATTGTGCGGTGCGAATGCAATCTAATTGATTGAACCATCGGTGTTATTGGTTTCGTAATGGGTCCGGGAAACTCAATTCGTTGCATCGCCTTTTAATTAGAATACGAGAGTTCGAGTTCTCGTCACAAACAATCGGTAACTCGAGAGCGCGTGTTTGGTTTGTTTGCATTGACAAGGGGTGACTTTACTTCGAATGACAACGGGCTATTTTTGAACAAAAACTCGGAATTATCGAAATGGATTTGAGCGTGAATAGCAGAATGTCGGAGTATTATGAGAGGTTTATCGAATTGCAAGAAAAGTTGAGGAAAAGGTGAGAATTTCGATGATTTTTTAGTGATTGTTTGTATTGTTGGGAACGTCTGTGAATAATTATTCATTAATTTCAGTAAGTTATTCGCTTTATTTTTTTTTGTAGCGAAGAAGAGCGCATGAAACTTGAATTAAAGTTCAATGAGATGATGCACAAATCCAGAGAAGAGTAAGTTTATTAGGCCGTATTTATAAAAAGAAGCATAACCTATTGCTTTCAAAAAATGAAGAATTTGCTCCAAGGTTTCGCTTCTAGGACTTTGTTGTTGCTTTAAAGCACAAGGTTCTATGGTTATAAAACCTTTGTTTAAGGTTTTAAACCCTTTTCCTCTTACCGTTTTACTTCAAAGTAAATGCTTTATTTTTATAAATATGAACTATTATCTACACATTCCTCTTATGCCGCATACCCACCACTCTAGACTCTAGAAAATTAATGTACTTCGCGAAATTTCAAGCGTTTTTTATTCCAGGGAACAAGTCCATTACAAAAGATTGAGGTCGCAATACAAAAAATTTTTGGACGAAGATAGAAAGCGGCAGGAGCGAAACGAGAAAATCGTAAGGACATTGGAGCGCATAGAAACGCGCATAGACGCTCTGACGACAAAAACCCAGCGATTCAAGAGCCTGCGAAGGGAATACCACGACTATTTGCATCGAGTGAACAACCGACAACCGAGCACCGATATCCAGTTCGATTTGCCCTCGAAAGAAAAGCCTTTTCCCGACGACGAAGCGCTTCGGACGGACGGAAGGAATTTGAACGATGAGAAGTTGGAGATTCTCGACAGGTATCTGGAGAGCATATCGTCGCAACGGTGCAAGGAACTCGTCGAGAAGAGGAGATCCGAGAACGAGCAATTGGAAAAATTGGAAATTCTCAAAGACAAGCTGAACGATGGCTTCGATTCGGGCAAAGCACAATCGATCGCCGAAGATATCATGAATTCGATTTATAATCGGCACTACAAAAAGGACGCGTTCGATGAGCTTAAATTAAAATACCCTTATGTATCCAAAAATCTACCGGATAATGTTAACTCTAACGAGGAGAAAGGTAAAGTGGAAGAAAACATCTCAAAGTTTAATGACGATCTGGTATTACACGATGCACAATTCGACAATAAAATAGAAGAGAAACGTACGTATGTTGAGGATACCCACGAAATAGGCCTCGTATCTAATGATAATACAAACGAGAATGAAATCGATGCTAACGAAAAATCGGAAAAAATTGATAATTCCAATAGTAACGATAATAAAGAATCCATTAGTGCTATTACAACCGAAACAGACGAATTCGTTGAAATCAGAAAAATAAACCAGGGCGATGGGACAATTCCAAGTAATAAACATTACGAAGATGATGAAATTCCAGAGAAACAGGACATATCTAATCACTCAGATACTATAAAGGTAGAAGAGAAACTGATCGATAATTCAACGAAATCAATCAATAACGAAGAATTAGATATCCAAAAGCAGCCCGATGAACAATTGATTAACAGCCCCGAAACAAACGATTCACGAATCGCAGAAGAAACTAACGAACAAGAACAAAATCAGTATAATGATGACAATCCCGATGAATTAGGACAGTTTGTTCAGTATAACGAGCAAGGTGAAGCAGTTCAATACGACGATAACGGACAAGTTATTCCAGCCAATAAACCAATCCAATACGAAGATAATGCTCGAATCCATTATGATCAATACGATCAACCGATCCAATACGACCAGAATGGTCAAGGATATGATCAAAATGGCCAGCCCATTCAGTATGATGAAAATAATCAGGCAATTCAATACGATCAGAATGGTCAAACAATTCAATATGATGAAAATGGTCAACCAATTCAATATGATGAAAACGGTCAACCAATTCAATATGATGAAAATGGCCAGGCAATTCAATATGATGAAAATGGTCAAACAATTCAATATGATGAAAATGGTCAGGTAATTCAGTATGATGAAAATGGTCAACTAATCCATACCGACAAGCCTATATCATACGATGAAACAGATCAAATTCAGTATGATGAGAACGGCCAATCAATTCAATATGATCAGAATGGGCAACCAATCCAGTACGATCAGAATGGTCAACCAATCCAATATGACCAGAATGGTCAACCAATCCAATATGACCAGAATGGTCAACCAATCCAATATGATCAGAATGGTCAACCAATCCAATATGACCAGAATGGTCAACCAATCCAGTATGATCAGAATGGTCAACCAATCCAGTATGACCAGAATGGTCAATCGATTCAATATGATGAGAACGGTCAGCCAATTCAGTACGACGAGAATGGTCAGTTGATTCAGTACGATTACACTGGTCAACAAATACAATACGATCAAGATGGACAGCCGATTCAGTACGATGAAAATGGACAGCCCTTGCAATACCAACAGTACAATGAGACGGAGCAACCTGTACAGGATTATTCCAACGAAAGCAAGCAAAGCGCCGGCGCAGAAATCGAACATTTTGGAGAGGAAGTATTGCCTGTTACCACTGAAGAACCGTTTGATAAAAACGCAGACGATGCCGAGAAACAACCTGAGAGAGTTAACAAAATACTCGATATGCTGGACACCGATACGGAAAGTTTGCAACAGAATGTCAGCAAGGTTTCTAACGACAGTGATTTTACTGTCAGTTCCTAAAATAGTTAATTTTTGCTTCTATGGAATTTAACATTTACAACACTAATAATTCTGTGGATAGTTGCAATAACTTAATGTGAGCTGTTGAAAAGCTCATTTGGGCTAATGTGGACTTGAAATTTAGAAAATATTCAGCACTTTTCTGATTGATTCCAGCTAATTCAATTTCGCAGTTGGGCCGTTCTGGCGCTGAGCGATTCAATTATCAGCACCATCATGTTTTTATCATTGAGATCTACAAGATGGTGGATTACATACAACGATAAAAGTTTAACATTAAAGCAAGCACCTATTTACTGAAGTAATTTGGAATAATTTTAAAATTTTCATTGTACCAGTAATCCAAACTCTCCTCTAAAAGTTATCTATCCACGGAATTATTAATTTAGAATTAATAGTAGTAGATAAGTTAGGTATTATAAAATTTCTTCTTGTTTATAACCTTGTATTGAAAATTTGGAAAGTATAATTAGATATAATTATTTATAGTTTATGAAAATATTTTTGTTTATCTACAATATTATAAGAGCGTACTCGTTTTAAGTTGTTTTTAAGAGTAGTAATATAAAATGTTCGTTTATATTCGATATTTCACGTTAGTTATACATTTTCGGTGAAATTAAATCATCCAATTTTGATATTTGTTTTCGTTATGGAAATTTTATAGACTTGGCAGCGATTTTTAAATACCTACTTCGATCTCTGAATGTATGTACAACAAAATTCTTTGTTTCCGAAAATAAATTAGTAGGTAGTCAAAAGCGCTTTTGTCATCATGTTGTTATGACTAAACAAAAAATCGCTTGTACTTGGAAGAAAAACACGCCTCACCGTTTTCCGCATTTCGATAGAAATTTCCCGATTTTCACGCTAATAGACGCGCTTTTCCATCGCCAGAATTTTAATGACGCTCATTCGCCATTGCCAAATCCTCGTCCGTGAACTTTAGTAGGTATTTCAGGCATTTATAATACGAGAGAGAATACAAATAAAGTTTAACGTCAATATTTGCTTATAATTATCATTGCTTGCTACATTAATTAAAAATAAATTTCTTTCGAAATGTGCAGGGTGGCCAATATACGGGGTGTTCCTAAACATCATGCACATACGGAAGGAAATAGTTCTTTGAGCTAAATATCACAAAAACTGTAGGAAATCTAAAGAAAAAACACAAGAAAACTCTCGAAATTTCATCACTCTGTAGATCGGTAACGAAGTGCTTTCGGACCTATACGTTTAGAGTTAGATAAACGACTAAACCTAGGTTTACCCGGGTAAATTGCGAAATGCAAGTAGCGTAGGGCCGAGTAGGGTGAGTTTCTCGTGACATAACGGAAACCTAAGAAACCCAAAAAGCCTTCCCTACCCTAGCTTACCCTACCCATGTTTCTTGGATATTTCGCAGTTTACCCGGGTAAACCTAGGTTTAGTCATGAAATAAGTCTTAAGAATTACCCCCTTCTGTATGTGCACGATGTTTAGCAACACCTTGTATATAACTGACTTGTTTGGGTCTTCAATATTTATGAAATGAAATAAAATGCATACATTTTTTTCATCTTAATCTTTTATTGAATCTTAGAAATTAACTATGAACAATATAATCAGACAAATGTCTGCCTTCGGAAGCCACACAAACTTGAGCCCTCTTGATTACATTTTCCATCCATTTTTGGTAGGTTTCGGGAGGAATATTTTGAATTTCTTCCATAATACTTATTGTTCTTCAGCTGCTTGTCCAGTACAGTATTTGGTCTGTTAATATAAACCTTATATCTTTCAGAAATCTTTTTCAGGGTTTCCCAGATACACACCTGTTTATTAACAATTCCCGAAACCTACCAAAAAGTGATGGAAAATGTATTCAAGAGGGTATTCAGTCAGGTTTATATTACTGGCTATTGGCTACCCTGTATATAGCAAATATTTTTGTTTTTTTTCTATCGTTTCTGAAACTTTAGTTTACAAAGAGTAGAGTGGCCGTTCGTCCAGCACGTGTGTTTGTTTTGATCGCGATCGCGACTCACCTCTCAATAAATAAAGATCAATAAAACTCGCGGATACATCCAATAACCTCAGCGCCGTATTTATAGAAGTCCCGAGAAAGACTATTCGGGTGCATGTGGGAGAGAGGCCGCTCGCCTTTATATCTATCGAAGCTCGGGCGAAATAGCGCGTTATAGAAATCGATAGAATAGCGCCGTCTGTGGTGTCGCGAACTCCGACGTCCTCGACACAACGAAAACACGCACGTCGAAAAATCAATTAGCATTCGCAATAACCGCGCTGATAACGAATTAATTGGTCGAATTAAAAGCGACCGGCTCTCGAGTGCTGCTCTCACGACTTTTCCCATGCGGTCTTACCCACTTCAACTTCAACAATCGTTCGTTTAGCGTGTGTGTAACATCAATTACCTACCACAAAACTATAGGAAAAAGGTGTTCCTCGATTCGGTTCAGTATTCAGTAGTGTACAGATTACTGGAGTGACTAGAAGCAGTTAAAGTTGTTCGTAAATAAATGCGTTGAAAGAGACGATGGCCGACGTTTATTTGAACGGTTTGAAGAAAACCAATTCCATTATCGAGTTCTATAAAGACGGCGAGGGCGATGGGGATTTGGACGTGGAAGAGAACATGCTATCGCAAAGGGACGGTACGTAAATGCTACATAATAACAATCATAATAACATACTGTGTCTTTAGGTTATGTTTTCGTTTACGCGCTGTGAATGAGTACATACAAAAATGTTTATCGATTTTTGCGCCTCGTTTGTTCGAGCATATGGTGTATGCGACGTTGTAAATACATTCGTATTTGCTCTCCTATCTTTGAATGATTTTAATTAATGCGATTAAGAGAAATCGTTTATGAGGTCGCAGACGATTGTTGTGTTATCGGAATTCGTACTTCTTATCAGTTTTTGGTAATCTTAATTCAGAATACCACTACTGAAGTAGTTTGAAGTTCGAAAATTATGCTGGTTGCTATAATTTAATTTAATTGAGCAATTTGCAGTTAATTTTTATTGTCGCTTCAATGGTGCTAATAGTATTTTTTTTTTTCTGTATTACCTAAATAGTATGTAGGCAGAAGTGAGTTTCATATCTGAAAAAAATTCCATTACTAATGAAATTTGCTTTTAAATGTACTAATATTTCCACTGGTAAAATAACTAGATTGCAAAATAAGTGCTTTTAATGAATTCTCAAATAAATTAGGTATCCTTTCAATATTGTTAGACTCTACTTATTGAAGTGCTCCATCAAATTTACGATTTTCAAGTTGGCCGCTGTCCAGAGGTTTCCTTGGGAATTGAGTCAGCATTTATTCCCTAAAGTATGTATTCGTTTTTTTACCATAAAGGTTTTACTAATATTTTCAATATTAAAAATCAATTCGAACCACTTTTGAAGCAATAAAAAATTGTGTAGGTTTGGTATCAGCACGACGGAGCTCCTGAATGATCGATTTTTTGATCAATTTGGAAAAAAATCTTTGATCAATAGTCGCAGCTGATTTTGGCATCAGCTCTTGTTAACCTTGAAAGTGAAAAGGACATAGAATCCTTTATATCAAATTGGTGTATAGCTATAATTAACGTCGTTGGCATCTCCATTGTCGTTTCCATAAGGACTTTCCTGGTAGGGTGTGAGTTCTGGACCACCCTGTATATTGGTTATTTATGAAAGCAAATCTTTGATCAATAGTCACAGCTGATTTTGGCAGCATTTATTAACCTTGAAAGTGAAAAGGACATAGAATCTTTCAATTATGTCAAATTGGTGCATAGCTCATTCACGTCATTTTCGCATATGTGAACTGCTACTGGGATTGGTCAACTTTAAACCTCTTTTTTTACCAAAGGAATAACTTTTTCATGTTTTTGGCTGCAGTTTTGGCATCTCCATTGTCGTCTTCATAGGCATTTCCCGGTGGGGCGTGAGTTCTGGGCCACCCTGTATAAGTAATCCGAATCACTACAAGAAAGTTTTACATTACACTGATTGGTTAGAATGTGATAGATCCGATCTGTACATTTTACCTATCTATATTACTCGGTTTATTTACCTTGATATTGTGTATCTAATCCATAAAAATAGCATGTAATTGGCATACGAGTCACATGACGAATAACTACTTAAACGGAGCGCACTTACGCTCAAAACACATATTGTTTTCTCGCTAAATTTTCCTTCCACAATCGTATTTCTCTAAATTTCCTTTCCGTTGTTCGGTGTTTTTTTTGTTTTGTGAACCTGTATTTCGCGGATATTTTTATATATTGAATACGTGCCAGTCAAATCTCGGTTTAGTTGTTGTGGTATGTTTGTTACGGCTAGTTGTGCCGTTGGTTTCGTCTCAATTGTCTGTTTAAACGAATTTTCGTGATCGCGAGGAAATGTGCTCGAGAGGAGTGTACCTGCCAACGAACACCGACGATTTGCAAGTCGTCAACGCGCCCAGTTATCTCAGGGTTAATTCTTTTGTCGACGATGATCAAGGACCTGTTTCAGGTAAAATATTCTCTCGTTAATTATTGATTACACAAACTTACCAAAAAGATACCATGTAAACTTATAAACTATGAAAGATAGCCTAACCAGTTTTGTACAAGTATAGGTATCAGTTACGAGGAAATGAGGCAAGTCTATTGAAAATATGCTCAAATATGCTTTCGATTTGTAAGCGGTTTGTACCCGAAATTGAAAAGATTCAATAGATTTCAATAATAATACAGATACAAGGAACTATACAGGAATAATACAAGGAACTAAATAAATAGTATGCAAAATTTTCATGTACTGGTGATACTTTTTTAGCAAATTATGCGTGTAGCGCACCTGAAATACGAGGGGCATCTGGAATATTTAAAAGTGTCATTCATTCCTACTTGTCTACATACTAACAGAAACATTCGTATAATCTATTTTTAGCCCTAGACAATAAAGTAAAATAAACTGTGTTTATTATTCGCACAAAAGCCACAACACTTTGGTTACCTACCATTTTTTTGTTTCTGGAAAATGAAGGTCATTTTTGTTTGTAGGAATTTTACTGTATAGTTACTGAGGAAGAATAGGCGCTTTATCTTTAATTGTACACGTATTATTTACATTGGAAGCGATAACATAGACAGTTATGTGAAATTTACGTTAAAAGTTTAGTTGTGTTATTGATTCTTATGCGAAAAAGTAGTGAAAATCTAAGAATTATGTTAAATAAATACTTTGCAGGTAATTAATTTATACATATTACTTTATAAACATTTCAAATGTGCATTAAATAGCTTTAATTTAGTGGTAATATTGCAACACGATCAAATAAAAGGTTTGGTACCTATTAAACTGATCCAAATTATTCAAGTAAACTGATCATATTTTCTGACTCAATTAACTATGCTTCAATCAAACTAGTTATATATCTTTTAATTGTATCATTTTATTTTTAAATGTATAACAATATTTCGCAATAATTAATTAACATATTCTAATTTATTAAAATTTTATTCGAAATTAGAATCGTACTTGACAGTGCTGGATTTAGTTTAATATCAAATATTTCGTACACGAAGAAATTTTGTTCTATTTTTATACGATATCCACGTACACATTTCCAATAGGATAACCCGATTATGCTTCATATTGTCCCAGCTGGAGCAGGGACTCACACACAACAGACGCTATTTTAATAGAAAAATTTATTTACTACCTCTTAAACCTCCTTTAATTCAATTACAACTAATCCTTCAAACAGACGCCCATAAGTTCTATATCCGCTTTATTCTTCCACATCACGTTCGCCCGTCCGATTCTCTCGACATTTAGAATCTTCCTCACGTTTAATAAACGGCATTCGATTCGCATTAAGTATCGGATTAATTAACGCCATCGTCGGGCGCCTACGGATACAGTCCTGCTCCTTGTTTTGTTATGATAATGCTAAGTTCGCATTAGGCAACGAAAGTCGATAGTCGTCGGCATACGAAAATCTAATTAATCGGCGTGTTCGTTTCGAAAAATGAGCGCAGAGAAAAAGTTCGCGTCCGGCTGTCGTTTCAACCTGCATTTCAACGAACCAGATGGTGAACATTGTGATAATGATAGTGCTGTAGGGTCCCAAGGTAAATAGTGCATTAACATGTTTAGGTACTATCTGCGAGAGGAATTCATTCACTGTGTTCTTGCTGTGGTGTAATGTTACTTCGCACTCACGGAAGGTCGATAAAATTCGTAGGTCGCGTTCGATTTATGCCAAATCTCGGTTATTTTTAGTGACGGAAATTCGCCGAAAATTAGAACAAAATTAGAATTCGCGCTAGAGTTGTGGGAGAATGTCAATGCTACATACTACATAGTTTATTCATAGAGAAGTTGCTTTAAAAATATAAGTACCAGATACATTTTAATTCCAATATTAAGTGCGCTCGAAGACTTATATTATAATCAATAATCTAATCTACGCAAAAAGTTTCTATAAATAAGTGACGGCGTAGACGGGCATCCGGTTGTAAAAATAATGTTATAATTCCGATAAATTTTCTAAAGATTAATTCTTCTCTTGCAGGAAATGAAAGTCCAACATTCCAGGGTAATTCGAACTACCAAGGGGGACAGTCCGAGCTGCCCAACGAGATATCGGCTCCATACGAAGTTCCACAGTTCCCCATCGAGCAAATAGAGAAGAAATTATTTATACAGCGCCAGCTTAATTTCAAGTAAATCACATTTTTATTACTTTGTAGTTTGGTTTTTTAAAGTTTCTTGAATTCCAAGTAAGACATATTTGTGTAGCTAATAGCAGCAATTAATTTAATAACTGTATTTGTGGTATGCTCGTATTTTGATAATTTTCCCTGTTGGGTATATTACGTCGACGTAAATACATCAATAATGAACACGAATATCCAATTTAATAGTTCATCCTTCTGTCGTATTCGCTTCATTAGCGACTCAAATTGTCCTCAAATTATGTATTGTGTTATTGTAGTTATAACGAATATTTTATCATCATCGCCGACACTGAAAGGGTTCAATAACTATCTCTAATTTGAGGTATTTATGTAATTGGTCTGTCTGTTCTTTTCGCAACGTACTTAGTAATTTCCTCTTCATATTATTTGATTTTGTGGCAATGTTTTCCTAAGATTGCGTGCCGGCTTTTTCCAATTTACTAATATAAGACACTTCTCTCGAGGAATATCGGTTTCATAATTTTTTCATTTACTGCAAAAGAGAGTGCAATGTCGCTGCAGTTTTACCCGAGGTGTTTATAAATGTCTTCAATAATCCAGCAGATATTTAGTAATTTCCTGCTTACAGACAATTCGAAGACAAAAGAAGCCATTATGAACCATCTATTAAAGGAGCAGAGGAAGTCGACGAATTCGACGAACACGATTTGTATGTGCCCCATTTCCAGAGAGTATCGATATCCGGGGAAGACACCAGCGGGGTAAGTGAAGGGAAATAACTCAAAAGACCTCGATTAAGCGGGTCGTTCCAGGTGCCTCTGGAAGATCTGGAAAGAGCGGCGAAGCTCATCATCCAAGCGCTGGAGCTGAGGAAGCAGTACATGGAAATGTCCAATCAGAATTTCTCCACCACCGTCACCACGTTCTTGGATCCGAAGAAAATGCAACAACACCACGATGAGAAACAGTCTATAGAAGGTGAGATGACCATCGGTTAATAAATTTCCCGAGTAGATTTCAGCTGGTTGATGATAATATTATTACTATGATGAAACATTTATAAACTTTTCGCTCTATTTTAGCGAGAGTAAAAACGGCAAACTTGGTTTGTAATGATTGAAGGCAAATTATTCTTAATTAATTTACCCGCAGCTACCTTTACACAAAATCAGTTTTATAAATGTTTGTTGCCCGAAACGCTGTAATGTAGTAGAAGATATTTTTAGTTTGATTTTTGCTATTAAGTAGTACCTACCCAAATTAAGAAACCCTTCGTTTACCCGATATTTCTACCCGTCCCTGGTTTGTTGTTTTTACTTATAAACATGCTAAAATATAATTTTTTCCCCTTCGTATTACGTGCTTGTATGACTTAGATCGAGAATACGCAGAGTTGCTGCTAAGAACCGCAAGGACCTCGTTCGACGATTCTCTTTTGAAGATTTTGACTAAAGAAAATGTCGAGCGGCTATTGAAAGGTGGTCCAGGTAACTGTAAATAAATTAGTGGAACAAGTTCTATCAACACCTCATTAGACAGGTTCTTAATTAACACACACACGATGTTTAATCGGCGAAAGCGATATCTTCGACGAGCTTTTACATCTTTTTTTTTTCGTCAGCGAAGTAGTTTTTGTAGCTTTATAGAAAGTGATTTGGAGTTCTTGTACGTTGTTAATTTCCCACCAATGGAAGGGTTTCATTAATTCCGTGTTTTACACTTATTTTTTATACCTAGTAGTTTTCGCTAAATTTTGCCGTAGTTATATTTGTCGTTTTGAATAATTTGTTTTCGAGTTAAAATAAAATGATTTGAATTGGATCGGAAGAAAAAAACATTTTTCCACTGTTGTGTTTAATAAATATTAAGATAAAGTTGACCTTTATGTTTAATATTATTTTTATTACGTTCATGCTTTTCGTGTACTTATCGAAAACAATTATATCCATATGGTTTTTAACTAATGTTTTGTGTTAGTTTGCTTATTAACACTATTTTTTACTTTTTATATCTCTTATAGCAATAATTGTGAAAACTACGTTTATTTATTCAGTCCAACAAATGAGGTTCCTTTGATGAAAATTTTCATTGAATAGAAAACTGTTGGAATTTATGGCTTATTTTAGCGCTTTTTATGTGGTGTATAATGACAATAATCTCGATGTTGATTACGCCTCTATTAATACCCGATGGATTCTTCAACGTAATTACCATAAAAATTACTAATCGTACTGGTGAATTTCTTACAGGCAACCCTTTTTATTTATGAAATCAATTTATTCACCCAACTTTTTTGCCTGTAAAAACAAATAAGGCTTGCCTGTAAACTCCCCATTATTCACCCAAAAAAAATCAAAAAATTTTCGCCTTTTTAGATCACGGAATCCACCCACCCTTTCACACGGCTTGGAAAGCGCCCGACGTGCCCGACACGTCCCACGTGTTCAAAATCCAAAACGGCGTCTACCAAGTCTACAAAACCGAAACCGATCTACAAAACGAAACTCCCTGCGACTACAAGTACCCGGACGTCATCAAATTCACCGACGATTTCTACACCATGTGCAACATGATCGCGGACGGACCCCTGTAAGCAAAACGCACATCTCTCTTTCCCATAAATTACTTACCACGTACAATTTCGCAGGAAATCCTTCTGCTACCGTCGCCTGAGCTACTTATCCTCGAAATTCCAATTGCACGTGCTGCTCAACGAGCTGCGCGAGCTGGCCTCGCAGAAGGCCGTGCCGCACAGGGACTTCTACAACATAAGGAAAGTGGACACTCACATCCACGCGGCCTCCTGCATGAACCAGAAACACCTGCTCAGGTTCATCAAGAAGACGTTGAAGAACAACGCCGATGAAGTGGTTTCCGTCACCAAAGGCGAACCGATGACTCTACGTCAAGTGTTCGAGGTATGAAACATCGCATCTTCTAAATTTATTAGATCGCTAGCGCTCGTAAAGGAGGCGGAGCCCCCTTTAAACCACTTTTTATCGAAAACCTATGAAGCTATATTAAAAAAATCACCCTATACATTGTCCTGCCTATACATCACCCTAATCATGTTCAGTTAGCAATGCATCACCCTTTAAACGTCCAGCTAGTTCGGAATAACCCTGTGCATGTGCATCACCCCGCATTTGGCCGAACTATGGGAATTAGACGTCACAACCCAATCGCTCGGAAAATTTTCTTTTTCGTAGAACGTCGCTTTCAGATTTTTCCGGCACATACGGTTTGTGGCAAGTAATTAGTTATAAAGTAAAGATAATTTTAGGAATGTTTCAAAAAAATTGTCGGAGTACTTTCCGAAAAAATCCCGAAAAACCCAAAAAATCCCAAAATCGGCGCGGAAAATCCGGTTTTCACAGGGAAGGAGACTTTTCCGGGTTATGAAACGTCGATTTTCTAATCCTTCGTGTCCCTTACGTAGGATTAGTTAGTTTTCCCCGTGAAAAATGACGAATTGCGACCGTAAAAAACCACGCCAATCAGTCAGTGCATGACTGTCTCCTATTGTTGTATAATTAGAATTAATATTTCTTGGAACGCCGCTTCCAGAGTTTTCCAGCACATGCGGTTTGCGGCAAGTAATTAGTTATAAAGTAAAGATAATTTTAGGATAGTTAAAAAAAATCGTCGGAGTACTTTCCGAGAAAATCCCGAAAAACCAAAAAAAATACTAAATCGGCGCGGAAAACTCCAGGAAGGAGACTTTTACGGCTTTCGAAACGTCGATTTTTTTTCGATAATGACGAATTCCGACCGTAAAAAAACGCCAATCAGTCGGTGCATGAATGTCTCCTACAGTTGTCTAGTTAGAGTAATTTTCGTTAAATTTGCGCAGTCGATGAACCTCACCACGTACGATCTGACTGTCGACATGCTGGACGTGCACGCCGACCGCAACACCTTCCACCGCTTCGACAAGTTCAACGCCAAGTACAATCCGATCGGCGAGAGCAGGCTGCGCGAGGTGTTCCTCAAGACCGACAACTACCTCAACGGCAAGTACTTCGCCAACATCATCAAAGAGGTGGCCAGCGATCTGGAGGAGTCCAAGTACCAGAACGCCGAGCTGCGTTTGAGCATCTACGGCAAAAGCCGCGACGAATGGGACAAGCTGGCCAAATGGGCCATCAACGGGAACGTCTACTCCGACAACGTGCGCTGGTTGATCCAAGTACCGCGACTCTTGTAAGCCACCTACTATTTACTCTCGCAAAGCGATCGTTACGAGTACTAAAATATATTTCAGTGATATCTTCAAATTGAACAAAGTCCTGGATTGCTTCCAAGAGGTCATCGACAACATTTTCCTGCCGCTGTTCGAGGTGACGGCCAGGCCGAGCTCGCATCCGGAGCTCCACAATTTCCTGCAGTACGTCATCGGCTTCGATTCGGTGGACGACGAGAGCAAGCCGGAGAGGAACCCGCTCTTCGACAAAGACACCCCGACGCCGGATAAATGGAACGACGAGGAGAACCCGAACTACGCCTACTACTTGTACTTCATGTACGCCAATCTGACGGTGCTGAATCGCTTCAGGGGCGACAAGGGGCTGCATCCGTTCGTGATGCGGCCGCATTGCGGCGAAGCCGGCCCCGTACAGCACTTGGTGTGCGGCTACATGCTGTGCGAGAACATCTCGCACGGGCTGCTCCTGCGCAAGGTGCCGGTGTTGCAGTACCTCTACTATCTGGCCCAGATCGGCATAGCGATGAGCCCGTTGTCGAACAACAGCTTGTTCTTGAACTACCATCGCAATCCATTGCCCGAGTACCTGGCGAGGGGTTTGATGATTTCGCTGTCCACCGACGATCCGTTGCAGTTCCACTTCACCAAGGAGCCGCTGATGGAGGAGTACAGCATCGCGGCGCAGGTGTGGAAGTTGTCCAGCTGCGACATGTGCGAATTGGCCAGGAACAGCGTCCTGATGTCGGGATTCTCGCACAAGACCAAGCAGTACTGGTTGGGGCCGAATTATACTAAAGAGGGCGTCGCTGGCAACGACATAGCCAGGACGAACGTGCCCGATATTAGGGTGGCTTTTCGTTACGAAACTTTGATCGATGAGCTGTCGAATATATTCAAACCGCATCAGCAGAACAAACCCATTAATTAGACCAAAAAGGTTCGTGATTGTAAGATTTTTGTTATACAGGGTTTTCCGTTGAAAAGTAGCCCATTTAATCGGCTTATAACTTTTGAACGACTAATCATAATAACGTGCGGTTTTCGCAGATATGTTTTATTTTGCTCTAAGTTTTGTTACAGTAACACAGACATTACTTATTACCAGTAGAGGGTATTTCATAAAAATCCCCTATTTCAAATTAACATTAAGCGAATTTTATGAAATAGGGCATCTTCTTTGTAGAATAACATGTACAAATAATACATTTTTAAATAGTAGAAGAGATCTTTCCGAATATCTCTACATATACGGGATGTTTCATTTAAAATAATTTGGTTAATGTGAATTTAAAAGAGGTGATTTTTATTTTACACCTTTTATTTGTAATAAATAATTTCTGTTTTACTGTAACAAAAGTTATAACAAAAGGAAACATATCTGCGGAAACCGCATGTTTTTTTGAATAGGCGTTTAAAAATTATAAACTATTTAAATGGGCTACTTTTCATTGGGACACGATGTATTAAGTATTTTTTTGTTTAATTTTTATTTCGTTCATTATCATCGAGTTTTGTCTTGTGTTATCGATTCGTTTACGTACAGATTTTGGTTTCGTTTGGTGAAAATATATTTTTTTTCGAATAATTTTACAATTAAATCCAACGAATGTTGATATTGCCCTACGAGAAGAAGCCTTAATTGTAGTGATCATTCTCTAATTAAATCGTTAATGTTTTTAATGTTGTTAAATATTTTTGTAGAATTTTTATATCTTCATTTTTATTTAGCGGAAAACTAAAATGTATTTATTAGGATAGCGAAATGCAATGTTGAATATTAATTTACAGAAAATAACATTGTGTAATTTTATTAGGTAATTTAAGAAATGACGAATTTATATAAATCAGATTTTATTTATATAAACACTGTGACTATTAATAAACCAGAAAATATGTTAATGTGCTTTTAATTATTCACAAATCAAAAAATTTTCAAAAATTCTATCGTAGGTACAAAAATATTTCAATTCGCTAAAATTGAACTAATATTAATCTAAAACATCTCTCTTTGATGTATTGTCTTATCACATACCTACCTACTTAGTTCATTACTTATTTAAGCTATATTTACAAAAAAATATAATGAGCCATAACTTAAAATTTATTAGTTAACAGAGAACTTTCATATAGATAAATGCAGTTCGCAATATAGCCTATGGGAGCAACAAAGACAATTTGCATTATAGTATCATGTAAAGTAAAGGAAAAAAAGGAAAGATTTACTCTCCAGTTGTCCCTTAACTCACGAACGAATTTAAATAAAACTTTAAAGTTTTTAAACTTTAAAAGTTTAATAAATATTAATAATTAGAAATTTATTGAAATTGACAAAAATTCAAAATTTTAAACTAGAATATGCTAGAAAATAAAAATCAATCAGGTGCTCTTATACGTATATTTTGAAATTGTTGAAAGATAAATTATACCCAATTATACAGGGTGTCCCGCAACCTTTAACTTAATACAGCCAACTTTTGAATTATTGTCGATTTTAAGTAACCGTAATAGTGTAGACGACTTTATTTTTTAGCGTTTTTCATCAAAAGGACAAAGAATTTTAAAAAAAAAGAGAATAAAAAAGTTTTATAATGAAATTACATATGAAATGAACTATGGATTTTTTAAATCAACCCTTTAAAATAAATCAATTGATCTCTCTTTACTATCGATTAACTCGTAACTAATAATTCGATTAACACTTTTAGTACGCTCATAACGTATATCAAATTTGGTTAGTTTAAGTTGAGTATCTATTTTGAAGGCATATAACTAAGCAGGAATGTAACTTTGTATTAGGTTATGTTGGGTTCTTATGCTGGATACCCTGTATAGTGTAATTTAGTTCGCGGGGTGGGGATGGTGAATGTAGGCAATCCAGAGGGGATTGAAAATTTCTCACTCTAACCACTGTCATTTTAATAATCTTTGTTTAACTCGTAGAATTGACCATATTGCAAAGAAATTTGCATTTATCTGTATACGAGGAGGTACTCTATGTTTGCCTTAAAAAAGTAATAAAGTGGAATACTTTTTTAATCAGTGAACATATTGAGGTCTCTGTTGAACTTCTGAACACACTGCTAACATAAATCTTATCATATTAATTGAGCTGCCTCTATAATTTACTATCACAGGTAACTTCGCTTACGCTTTCTTGGTCCTCGCCTTGCTTAGGTTTCTGCTTCTTATCCTTCGAGGGTAACAGAAGCAACGTAAATATATTCCTAAACGGCGCCTCGACCACCAAATACAACACTAAAGCAGTCGAGAACGCCAACACGATATCCGACAAAGCGAAACTAATCTGAAAAACAAATCGAGTAAATAAATCATCGAAACTACTGATGACGGTGCTTACGATATCGAAATAAGTAACGAAATCCGATCCCCCTTTCCTAGCCACCGCTCGCATTTGGAACTGCATGTGGGTGAGGTACGCCCCGTACACCAGCTTGCTGATGGGCACCCACGGTCTCCACGACAGGAAATTGTAGATCAACTTGGCGTGGCCGTAACTAGCGGCGTACAGCACCCCCACGGTACCCACCGACCAGGCCACTCTGCGCATGCACGCGTACAAAGCGGACTCGGCCGCGTTGTACTCGTAATTGGGGTCGTAGAAAATCATCCCGGTTAGAACCGACGACACCATCAGCGCCAGGGACACCAGCAGGATGATGCGAGAGTACATCTGCAAGGTATATCTCGTTTGGAATACGGAAAACGATGGTGAAGTACAAACTTGGAATTGCTCGGTCTCCCATAACTAGTTTAATTGGCTTGATTTATGCTTAGTGGATTTGTACATGTGTGTCGATTAGATAAAGAATTAATCCATTTTTCCACGTTCGCGAAGGACGTAGTGCAAACGTAAAATTAAAAATAGTTTTAACTACTTCCTCATTTCGACGCGTCAATTATTGCATTACTTATTAAGTACGCGTTTATGCAACTGTAATCGTCGATTAAATTAGCATTTGCAACATTTGATCTGTTTACGCGAAATGCAGGTGCATTTTTATTTAGAGGATAAGCAATTTAGACTCGTGTTCTTTAACATGGTGGAACATTTGTATGGAAAAGTTCTTGTATCTGCTACTGTAGATAATATGAAGAGATATTATTAGGAAAAGTTGAAGATACTCTTATGTATGGTTACATTTCTATTAGTGTGTTCTATGTATTTTGCCATGGTAGACCAAAATATATATTTTTTTAAATGGAATCTATTTTTTATTCAAAAATTTAATTCAGCTCGTCTTCAGATTTCCAAAAAATTTAATATTGTACAAATGTTATAATGAGCGAAGATACAGATACAGTTACAGTTAAATTTAACAAATACTAATGTCGATACTAATGTTTCCTTAAAGTTCCACTGCAGTACACTCAAAGGGAACTTAATAATAAAGTGATAAATTTAACCAGTACCAATAACTCACCTTTTTGAGGCATTTTTCTGAGTCGCGCATCCTGTAGTACAAATACCCGGCGATCATGCCGATGAAGTACGGCGAGGCTCTCGTGTGGGACTTGGAATATGTAATGAGAAAGTCCTCTTGCTGTTTGGGCAATCTCAGGAAATCTGGATAGAAGTAAATGACGGGCGATCCTTCGTATAGATAAGTAATCACGAACGGTATAATGATGGATATCATCGTAACGATCGAGAGGATTATTAAACCAGCTCTTTGGTTCTTGTAGATGATGACGCATAGAATTATAGCGATCATGAAGTAGTGAAAATCGCATGGTAAATACCAAGAATGCACCATACACTATAAAAAAATACGCTGGTAAACCAGACTTAATTACATCAAAATTACTTACTATTTTATCAACGTTGACGTAATTATTGATGTACAGCAAATTGGCCCACCAGTTATTCCTGCAATCCTCCACCTCTGGATAAATGATGGTCTTCCACATGGGACCGTTACCGGAATATTTGAAATACGTGGCGTAATAGAAAACGACCACCGCGTACAAAGGAGTCAATCTAATGTACCTCATGAATATCAACAAGCCGGGATTAATGAACCTCTTGTCGTACTGGCTGAGCAAACAGTACGTGCCCAACAGGCCGCTCAATATGAAAAACGAGTCGACGAAAACGTCGCCGTGGAAGAAAATGCTGCCAGAAGGAGACCTGTAACTCTGTCGAAAATCTAATTTAAACTTTGCACGTATCGCCTGATCGCTGGAATGGGAATTAGGTGGAGGTGTGGTTACTTACTCGCTCGACTTTGTCGAAGTTCAGTATCCCGGATGCGAGGTGAGTACCGAATCGATGATCCATGATAATCATGCAGATGCAAATCACCCGCATGCCGTATAAAAGCGTCAACGCCTCGTTCGTGTCGTCGTAATACGGTAGTTTTTTTATGTTGCTCTTCAAGGAAAATGTGAGCAGAAGAGACGATAAAGGAGATCCTACAAAATTAAATACCGCAAGTATAGTTGTTCTTTGTGCTAACAATTCCTTAGGGAAAATTAGTTGTTGCATGGTTACAGAAGAAGAGTAAATATACTTTTATGGTTTTTGAAGCAACAAAACTTACTTTCAACTAATTTATCGTTACTGTAGTTCCTCAGGTTATCGTAGAGCGTCGATAAAAATACCATCATAATTAGAATAATACAAACTAATCTAAAATAAACGATATTCAATTAATACTCGGCGCTTAGCTTAAATTAATTCGTGACTCACCCGAATGATATATCGACTTGATCCAATTGGGAGTTCTCGTCCATTTTTTGACAATTACTTTCTTCGACTTGCCCTGTATAACTGACGTTGTGATGTTTCAGAGGAAAATCGATGGTTTTTAGGTAGTGATTCAAGTGGCTCTTGAGGTCTAGTGCTGTACACGAGGCGGGCATGCACCAACCCTTCAGTACCATGTTCCTTCTTTGCTGAGAAGGATCCTTGTGATCCTGAAAATAGATCATTTTAATTAATCCATTAATACCGAAAGGAGATATTTGACGAAAGTGATATTTAATTGTATTATGAAATGTATCAAATTTTTCCTTGAGCACCATATTTCTTTTTTGCCGAGAAGGATCCTTGTGATCCTGAAAATCGATCATTTTAATTTATCGAATAATACCGAAAGGAGATTTTTGACAAAAGAGATATTTAATTGAATTGTAAAATGTATCACATTTCCCCTTGAGAATCATATTCCTTTTTTGCTGCGAAGGATCCTTGTGATCCTGAAAATCGATCATTTTAATTAATCAACCAATACCGAGAGGAGAGATTTGACAAAAGAGATATTTAATTAAATTGTAAAATGTATCAAATTTCCCCTAGAGCACCATATTCCTTTTTTGCTGAGAAAGATCCTTGTGATCCTAAAAATCGATAATTTTAATTAATCGAAAGGAGAGATTTGGCAAAATAGATATTTAATTAAATTGTAAAATGTATCAAATTTCCCCTAGAGCACCATATTCCTTTTTTTTGAGAAAAATCCTTGTGATCCTAAAAATCGATCATTTTAACTAATCGACTAGTAACGAAAGAAGAGATTTGACGAAAGAGATATTTAATTGAATTGTAAATTGCATTAAATTTCCCCTTTGAGCACCATATTCGTTTTTTGCTGTGATCCTGCAAATCGATTATTTTGGAAGTAATAAATATTCAAATTAATCGACTAATACTGACTTGAGGAAAGATATATTTAATTAAATCATGTGAAATGTATCAAATTTCTAGCTCATATTTTAATTTTTATTCAAGTTAGGTGCTAATTAAATTCGTGAATATTCTCCGCAACAGCCGCTCGTTTGCAATTCAACAAAAACCGGCAGTGTGAACGATCGCCCGTTGAATTGTATTAAATTATGTAAGCGTCCAATAAACGATCTATCTTATATAAAAGCGAGACCGGTATAACAAACCGTTAAAAGCTTTACCTACTTTCTGACTTGTAGGTCAGTTACGCCATCCGGATTTCAATGTCGTACTTACGATGGAACAAACATTGCGTTTAAATGATGCGATTCGCACAGACGAGCTTCTACGCTATTTAGCAAGTACCTGTTGTATTTTAATTCGAACTAAAAAAAATCGGGTCTTTCGTAATCGTGTGATAATTAATTGGATTATTAATGGCTCATTATGATTGTGTTAGTGTAAATATGTAGAACAAATTATTAGGAGTTTTCTTGAATGAAAAGGGGTAACTTCGCAATATAACATGTATCTCGAATAATCGCAAAAATGTATACGAATTATCCAACTTTCATAACACACAGCTATGTCGTTCTCGCCATGTTACAAAATATATGAAAGTTTTTGCAATCAATCGGACGCAATTTCTTAATAATCACAAAGATACAGAATCGACTTGTTGCCGCTAAGGATAATTTAGATATCTGCGGATAAAAAATCAAAAATTTTATTTTCTTTTATTGGCGCGTTAGTAAGTAGGAAGCTCTTTTATTGTTTGCCCAACGAAATTCAACTTGATTCTAATTACGCGTGATATTCCACTTCCTATTCGACAAGTATGCGACATTGCTCACAGTCAAGGTAAAATCCATTCGTACAGCTTTCTCTCAGTTTTCACCAAATATTAGTCAAAATTTTTATCCCCATAACAATATTTTATTATTAAGTAAGGTAATTAATGAAGTAAACAATTAAATAATCGAGAAATTAGCCAAGGTTTCTTGCGTCGAATAAACGCGAGATTTTTGTTATTAATAATTTTTTCGACCTTACTTAACTGGGTTTTACTACATAAATGATTTTAGTATGGAAGTAATTGCATAATCTTAATACCAATTTTCATAAAATCGCAATAATGGCGTTGAAATATTTAATCTAAGAGGGTTAAATCTGGGAACCCAGCAGGCCATTCTAATTGAGCCAATCTCACCATCCTCATGCAGGAATTCCAAGCAATAACATGACGCACGGAAAAACGCCCATAAATTCAAAAATTCGAAACGTTTCCAAATCGAAAACCTCGTAATACTTACGTAAATCATCCTGAGAACCGATTCGTTCGGCAGGTATTGGAGAGATTTCGGAGGTCTGGGCGGATCGGGCGCGGGCACGTCTGCCAAGATGGAAGTTACGCAATATTGGGTCGGAAACGGCGATTTTGCCGTGAGGCACTCGTCGAATTGCCCGAATTGGGCGATGCTTCCTCTCAGGATGCCGGTCACCGATTGCGCAGATGCGTCTCTCACTGGAAAAAAAATTATATCAGTAGAATTTTAATTAATCATTTAAGATAAACTGCTCCACAAATGTTAAGGAAGTTCGCAAATTATGCGATTATTTTAAAAGTTACAGGCTTTTTGACCACCAAATATTCAAATATGCGAAATTAAATGTTTTCAAAATCAAATTTGTTCTAAATTGAAAGGGGCCTCCAAAAATAATTGTTACTTCAAGAGAAAGTAGTGGCGTACCACTTTTACCCTCAAAAATATTTGGCCTGAGTCCAGTACGGACGCTACTGTTGAAAATAAAAAAATGTTTTTAAGTAAAAAAATTCTCTTTAATGCATAAACGCCATACATCAAATATGATAAAAATAAACTGCTCCACAAAAGTTAAGGAAGTTCGCAAATTATGCGATTATTTTCAAAGTTACAGGCTTTTTGATGACCAAATTTTCAAATATGCGAAATTAAATGTTTTCTCTCGTATCCGAGTGGATTTTTTGCCCCTACCTCTACAACTCATACTAAATTTGGCGATCAAAAAACCTGCTAATTAAATTAATCTCAATATTTGTGAACTTCCTTAACTTTTGTGAAGCAGTATATTTACAAATGGACCAACAAGTAAAGGTAATTTCGATGTAGGATTGTGCTCAAATAGAAGCTTTATGAGCTTTGGGTTGACTACATGTGTACTGAAAGTTTAGTTGGCGAGAAAAAATGTTCGAATTATGTGCCCAAACGTTGCTAATAAGAGCTTTAAATAAAAGCTTGATGAGTTTTGGGTTAACTGAACTGAAAGTTTGGCTAGTAAGAAAAATGTTTCAGTTCTCTATCCATAAGTCGCAAATCAAAGCTCAAATAAGTGCTCAAATACAGCTTTATAAGCTTTGGGTTAACTGAACTGAAAGGTTTGCTATTAAAAAATTAACTTGAGTTTGAGTTTTTTACGCATACGTTGCAAATAAAAGCTTAAGTAAACACTCAAATAAACGCTCAAATAAGTGCTTAAATATAAGCTTTATGAGCTGTCGGTTGACTGAACTGAAAGTTTGGCTAGTAAGAAAAATTGTTTGAATTCTGTACCCATATACGTTGCAAACAAGAACTCCAATATAAGCTTTATGAACTTTTGACTAAACTGAAAGTTTGGCTAGTGAGAAAAACGTTCTGTACAAATACATTGCAAATAAAGCTCAAATATAAGCTTTATGAGCTTTGAGTTGACTGAACTGAAAGTTTGGCTAGTAAGAAAAAATATTTAGGTTCTGTACGTATCCACACTCTACAAATAAGTGCTCAAACACGATAAAGCTTTACAATTCTTAAGCAGCTTTGAGTTGAAACTGAATGTTTGACTAGCAAGAAAATTAATTATTAAATAGGTACCTATGTATACATAGGAAGGTAATTTAATTTTGGAGACTACCTAATTTTTATTGTAAAATGAAATTAATACACCGGCAACTATGAAGTTGGAATGAGCCGGTTTTTATAGTCCATAAAAAATTATTGAGTCCAGCAGTATTTTTCCTTAAGCTTTTTTTTGTTGTGCTTGTTTATTACATTGCTTGTTTGTTATTGCCACATCTTATCATTAATTAGAAAGGTAAGTATTTCAAGGATAGGGTAGGTTGAACTTTTATCGAAAAATATGGTAATCGTATTAAGAAATAACCATATAAGAAATTATATAGGAATAATAATTATTAATAATTAATTATCAATTCATATCAATTATTTTGTGGAATTTATATAACATGCCCAAAAAGAATTGTAGATATTTATTAGATATTGCCTATCTTTTATATGAAAATAGGCAATAAAACGAAAAAAAGGTAGTAAATATTAGGGTATTTAGTTATAAAGTATAAATATTATATTTAATAAAAGAGTCGTTACAAACCACTATTTTTAAATCAACCATGCACTATTTTTGCAACTATTTATCATATTAAAATTGACAATAACCAATAACAGAAGTTACTCAGACAAATTTATTAATTTTTAATTACCTAAGGAGAATTTGTAGATTTTTTGTTCGATATTGCTAGCGACTTTTATAAGAAAATATTCAAACAAATTCAAAAAAAAGGTTATGGTAAATATTAGGGTATTTAACGGTATTTAATAAGGACAATTAATAATAAAAAATAGGGCATTGCATATAAATATTATAGTTAATTAAAGAGTAGTCAAAAGCACTATTTAAAAAACAATTTTATTAATTTTTAACCTTATATAATTTTGGCTCATAATTCCTGCAAACAACAAAATTTGTTACATTTTTAGCCGGTTTAACATAATATCTAAAATTTCCAAACTTATTGTGCATTCCTTCCACAAATTGCCCATATAAACTACCAGATATGTAATTCTCATGCCCACGAAATAATTACACAGCGTCTGATCTGGGCAAAATCATTAATTGGAAGGCTATTAAATTAGACTTTGAGTTCAAATTTCGATGTTGTAATATTATACAAGTGTTCGTACATTCGAATCTCGTATGACACCGTTTTCATTATAAACATCAGCAAGAGAAAGGTTTCTTGCAAATAATACGTTTCGTTTGTTATTTAAAAAAATAATTCGAGAAAAAAATACCTATACAAAACAAAAATTCGTACGCATCCAAGTCATTGATGGTACTGATTTTTTTTTAAACTTACTTTCGTACGCCCACAAGCTCAAGTTCCTCAAATGCTCGTAATAAATCCTCGAGTGCTCCCTGCACAGCACGTTGTCCGTCATCACGACGCCCGTGGGCAAACTAGGGAACAATGCCGCCGCGACGCCGTCCGTCTCGACGGCGACGACCGCCCGGGCGGCCGCCAGCAGGAGGAGCGCGAGCGAAGCGACCATCACCGCGCGTTACTCAAACCGTTGTATCCGCAGGACTGCGGCCTGTCTGCGCGCTTTGGTGCTTTGTTGCCGCTGCGTGAGTGTGTCTTCGCATGTCGCAATCCTCTTCGCGTCCTTCGGCTTTCCTGCCGTCGAGGACTCGACGTTTCTTCGACCACTGCAGGCGCATCTTTTACGGGAGGAATGAGTCCGCTGGTGGAATGGGGTTAAGTGCATCTCGTTTATGTAATCTGTTTGGCTTTGAATCTTTTATCGATATATTTGAGTTGAATCATAAAGAAACGGAGTTTGTTTGTTATTGTATACCTGCAAATATTATCTCGCAACGTGAGTTTGTTTAAATTGGTGTATTTTACTTAAGCGACTATACTTCATTACTGGAGACTGGAAAGTTTAGGTTTTATAGGTCAATGCAAATGGATTTATCCTATGTGCAAATTTAATATAACTCGCAGGAGAATCAGGAATCTTCTACCCCAGGATTTACCGTAGAAAGTTTGATAGGCATGGATTTGTCATGGAAATAAAGTAACAAAAGAGATGGGAAGTAACTACTAACTATCACGAGAAATAGAGGATGGTTATATTTCTTACATATCAGTTAAATCAAATGATCGATTTGAAAGCAAATCTTTGATCAAGTTGCAGTTGATTTTGGCAGCTTTTGTTAACCTTGAAAGTGAAAAAAACAAATTTCAATAATGTCAAATTGTTGCAGAGCTCATTCACGTCATTTTCGCGAATTTTAACTTCTACTGGGATTGGTCGACTTTAAACCTCTTTATTTACCAAAGGAAAAAGTTTTTCATGTCTTCGGCTGAAGTTTTGGCATCTCCATTGTCGATTCCTTAAAGCCTTTCCTGGTGGACCGTGAGTTCTGGGCCACCCTATATAAATGGATCCTGGTCCATCATCGTGACACACACTGTATATAAAAAATAAATCAATACACAGCATGTCCTGTTGATGAACTGCAACAATTATAGCAGTGAACATTACTTTGAATTTAACAAATAGAAGAAAAAAACGAAATGGACATCAGATTGTTACGCAATGAAATCGAATGTGTTTCAGGTTCAGTAGTATTTGCATTTTTGTATAAGTGTGCCATCACGGTCCAAAATTACGCATTATCATTTACACGTCCGACCATTAGCCTAAAACCTAGAATCTAGATCTGCAATACAAGAAAGTGCGAACGATCGACGCCCGAATGACTTGCGAATCGCCGATACTAACGCAAAAACTTATGCAAGAGGTTTGTTGTTAATAATCGTGATTCATCATATGCAACTAATAAGTCGGGTTTTGTTTCTCTTCCTTGAATTGTGCTTTGGTAGTGGTGAAATTCAAAGACGTAATTGTGTTCGAATCGATTTGCTGACTGATTGGAGTGTTTATTTGATGAAAAGAAACTCGAGAAAAATGCTATCCTAGGTAACCCAACTAGGTCTATTGGAAGATGAACATTTTCCGGATAATCGGATTTTTCGGGTTTTTCGGAATTTTCTCAGAATTCACGCGTACGGTATTTTTGAAAATGTCCTAAAATATTCTTTAATTTATTACTTGTTACTTCCTGCAAACCGGATTTCCTATAGGAAATAGAAAAGTAGTCAACCGGGAGAATTCCCGAACACTCGAATTAACGTTGCGACTTTAGAAAACTTCATCTTTACTGTAAAATGAGCAAAATAAACTATTTTCCGGTTTTTCCGCTTCTTTCAAATTATATAGGTAACTAGGTATTACTTCAAAATCTCTTCAAGATATTTAGAAAAAGAGATTTTTAAGGATTTGTTCAAAATCGAAATAACTCTTAAGGCCGCCAAGGCCTTCGGTTAAAGGGGGTTTAAAGGGGACGCAAGCGATTCCTAAAATAGAAGCGTTTATTTCCAAATTTTTTAATGTTATGCGATACATCCACTAGCAGTTTATTGGTGAAGTAATTCTTCGTGCAAACACCCATTGTGTAAAAACGTGTAGATTCATTTACGTTATGTAATAAATCGGATTTGTCGTCAACGATGTAGGATAGATTAATTAGTGCCGCTATGATATCGCCACGTTGTTACCGATGCGAGCCTCTGATTCACATTACTAATTGTAAAAGTAGAAATTATTTTTCTATTTTTTTCTATAACAAACCAAGCGATAAAATCGCACAGTCTGATAAACCGCGATGGCGTTGGTAGGATGAAAAAGTTATTTAAAAATTACGTGTAATGTTTAATTAGCTATTTATCAAAGGGTCTTATGTATGTATTACATTATTACGTTCCTTACTAATAATTTTTTATTACTAATGTAACAAGTGTAATAATTATTAAGCTTTCTTTTTAATACAGGAATTATTTAGCAAGCGCAATTTCTCTCAAAACAAAATTGGTCAATCAAAATTTTAGTTGGCATTAAAAATACTATAAAACGTTTTACAACATTAGATAAACCAATATTGTTGTCAATCTTACTAACTACTTTTTAAATTGAGTTATTAAAAATCAATAAAACTGATTTAGTTTTTTCATATAGAGCACCCGAAACGTTATAAATAATTTGATATTTATATGTATAACAAACTGTATAACAAACATATAACCAAAATCGGGGTAAAACATACTCTTATATCGTAAATTAATAAGCATTTTGCATTGTGAACGTGCGTTTTACAAGTTTAAATACAAATATTGCATTAAAACTCTAGTACAAATTAATTATTACTACCTAATAAGTAAAATTTCAAACTCTCTGCTACAACCTACTATCCTCTTGTACATTGTTGTTATGATTAATCATATTTTCATCGACCGACAGCCGTCCCGTTGGCACTTTCACCGGACTATTCCTCGAAGGCATCATTATTTCCCGGAATAATTTCCTAAACGGCGCCTCTATCATCAAGTAAAGAGCCAAGGCGGTGGTAAAGGCCAATACTATATCCGACAAACCTAGACTTATCTAAAACACAGCAACAATACAATTATAAGAAGGAATCATTAAAATAACAATAATGCCGTATTCAGAAGTAGCGAGTATGTACAATATAACTGGTTGATAAAATTATAACCAATCGGTGTAACTTGCCAATATAATCAGTTGATTGAATGATAACCAACCGGTATAACTAACCAATATAACCGGTTGATTAAAATATAACCAGCCGGTTATAATGGTACAAATGTGTTTACTATATAGTCAATTCGACGAGTTGAACAAAGAAAGATTGTTAATAAAACAGTGGCTGGATTGAAAAAGTTATACCACCCTTTCTTTTTCCTTTATACGAAACTAATAGAAATTGTCTTTGCAATTTCCAAATGCTTCCAAATTTACACTTAGAGAAAGTGCGTCAAATATGGACCGGTCTTATAATATGGACCACCGTCATATTTAAAGGTTTAATTTGAATAATAAGGAATTGTTTAATATAAATAAAGCTGATTAAAATTTAAAATTCTACTTTTTATTGAGAAAAGTGCTTATGGTGGTCCATATATGGCGCATTTCCTCTATGTATATAATCGGCTGGTTACAAAACCAGTTGATTATCATACGAAACTTCTGAATACGGGAGTAATACTCACCACATCGAAGTAGGTGATCTGTCGAGGACTCATGAACTTGGCGGCGCCTCTCAATTGGAAGCTCATATGGCACAAGTACGCCCCGTAGACGAGCTTACTCAACGGTATCCAAGGCGACCAAGATAGAACCACCTTCAAGAAACCGAAGTGCCCGAAACTGGCTGTGTACAGCAAACCACCGGTACCCACAGCCCAAGATAACCTATGCAGAGATGCGTAACTGGCCGATTCCAGCGCGTTGTACTGATGGTACGGATCGTAGAAAACCCGCGCGCTGAACAAAGTCCCCAGCATCAGAACGAAAGATACAGCTATTATCAAGAAGGACTTCACCTGAAATAACCAAAAGATACTTCAATAAAGCGACTATTTAAAACACACAAGAAGGTACCCTGCACACATGCTTGTTGGTCTCTTTTAACTGGTAGTACAAGTAGCCGATGAACATCCCGATGAAATACGGGGTCGCCCTGGTGTGGGTTTTGTTGTAAGTCAGCTGGAAGTCTATGTAGACCTTGGGTCCGGTGAGGAACTCCGGGTAGAAGTGCATCAGGCCGGGTCGTTGGTAGATCATCGTGATGGCGAAGGGGATGGCCAGAGATACGATGGTGAGAACCAGGAGTCCGGCGAGTCCGATTTTTTCTCGTTTCTTGATGAGCGCCACGAGGAAAATGGCGATGATGAAGTAGTGGAAGTCGCAGGGGAGGTACCAGGAGTGCGTCATGCACTGGAAAAAGCGGCTTTAGTATATTGAAAATATCAGAAAATTGTTGATGAATTAGGTAAGGCTTATTTGGACAGCCTATTTCCAACGGATGGAATGAAGAAATCGGAAACTGGAGGTTATCTTCAGCAAAAAGATGATTCTAAATGCGATGGGAAGGCGAAGTGCAGAAGTATGCAGGTCGAAGGGTGAAAAAGAGGAAACTCAAGGTAGAGAAAACTGGAGAGAATTGGTAGAGGCCTGTATTCACACATGATATGAGTATATAAATTGCTGAATGATGATGATAATAATGATTTCATTCCAGAAGACTCAATGTAGTAATGATTCAGTTTATTTTCGATTTTTGTTAAGTTACATAGAATAGGGAATGTAAGTTAATGTTTCATTACTAGGTAACATACAAGAAAAAATCATTACACCAAAATTTGCAAATAATACCTTCACCTAGATCCTCGACAGAATGATGAGTGAAAAGAAAACAGCAATTGCTGTGGGTACAGGCATTTTGTCACGTAAGAATCGCATTTTCATTTTCTCGATGAGGTGTTTTTTCCGTTCCATTCCGCAACCTTCCAGTTAGGTAATTTCGATTTCGGCGTAAACATATTCAGCGCAAGACAATCTTTTCGGTTATTTAATAACTCGCAACGTTGCCGGTGGCCGAAGAAATGAAATAAAAAGGCAAATTTTGAACACTATGTCAGTACCTCCGCGTGAATTGCGTAACACATCCTGACCTCTTCGGTTGCGTTCTAACGAATTGCCTTCGAGAAGAGAACGCTTGGGGGTAAGCGGGGCAAACGAAACCATCCATACGTACAATACATATGTACCATAATTAGGCGTTTAATGCGTTTGTAGTCGATCGTTTTTGCTAATTATAACATTTGGGTTAAATGTACTTTTCGTTGACCTTGCCCCACTTTCCCCTACACTACTGTTATGAAGATCGGAGAAATTATTTAACGGAGCCCATTATCACGAATTACATAATCGCATAGCACTTTTGTAACCAGCCAAAATAAATCGTTGCCTATAATAAAATCGGGTACTTTCTATTTATTAAAACAATAGATTTCATTATTTTGCGCCTTTTTATTATAAAAAATTATATACCTATGTGTAAAATAATAAATAGTGCAGTATCTCCAAATTTAGATGCTAATTAATTTTTAATAGAAACAAACGGCGTATTGTAGTAAATTTTTATTTGAATAGGAATTGCGAGTAATTACAGTAATTAGAATTGATAAATGCAATTAAATATTTTATTTCGTTCTACTTCGTTCATAAATCCAACAAGAAATAAATGCTGTATCATAGAAAATTAACTCAGTGGCGCTCGGAATTTTGTAGTAAATAAATACAGGGTGTTCCATAATTACCTATAGTGCAATGAATTAATCCGTGTAATCGGAATATTATAATAATGCACTTTAGCTCTCTACACTTTTATTAAATTTCTACTGATCAATGATTAATGTAATTGGTATAATAACTTTCATAAATATCATGTAATTTAATCGGAATATATGGCTGTAATTGCCAATTCCCTTGGTTAAAAGGAATAAAGAATTGCCCTCTGAGCTACAACTACAACACTGATTGTCGCTTATACAATGCATGCATAATATCTAACCTTGATTGAGTTCACAAAAAAATGCATTATGTAATTTCTCCTTTCCCTCACGTTCGTATATAATATCCACTGTTCTTGCAATTTTATTCAGAATTTACCTTCATAGAAACGTTCGAAAGCCGAATTAAAAGATAATGCGATAAACGACGAAGAACAATTACTCTGCTTTTAGAAAGAAATTAGTCTATCGTTCGTATTCAAAAGGTTGGTATAGTCGAGTGGTTTTGTAACCAACCGATTATTTGTATAATACCTATCGTTATATTTCAATCGGCATTCAGAAGTCGATACAACCACTTGGTTACAATACCAGTATGTAAAAATGGCAACGTTGCTTATTTGATTCGTTTTAACCCGTAGAACTATCAAATTTAGGGGTAACAAGGTGAAAATAAATTATTTTTGGCTTTCTTCTTCCAAATAAGACCTCATCTACTAGGTTTTGTAAAACCTAGTTCATCATGTATTATAAATTATTTTTTTAAATAAATACACTCTGTATACAATAAAGAAATTTTCACTCTAGGTTCAAATACCTTTAACTGTGCTAGTAGCCACCCTATAAAAATATTTTCCAATTCTTTAAGCGAATGCTCGTCAAAATATATATTTAAGGATATGCTTCGGTCAAATTTTGAATACCTACTCTAAAATTATCTAATTACCTACATATATTAATAAATGTGTACTGTTTTTATTATTATAAAGTATTTAACAGCGTGCCTGAAGTAATATAATTCGTCATGGGGGTTTGATTAAATTTTCATATGATTATTTGGTTATATAGGTAAACCAAACGGTTATTATTATCAACCGTTATAGCATATTATGGGTTGGTTAAATTTTATATAACGGGGTTAAATTTAATAATACGGGCATATTAGTGGTAGAAAATAATGAAAATAATAAATAACGACTACTCACCGTATGATCTACATTATAATAATTGTTAATGTAGAGCAAATTGGCCCACCAATTCTCCCTGCAGTCCCTCCAATCGCCTCCTGCCACCAATTTCCACAGCGGCCCGGCTCCGGAATGGTTGAATATCGTCGCATAGTAAAATATCACGAACGCGTATACCGGAGTCAATCTGAAAAATCATCATTTCTCATTTCACACATCAACGGATGCGAATCGTTTATTATTATTATTATTATTATTATTTTGTTTTCGTCCGGAAGGTCAGTTTTTACGATCAACATTTTTCAGCTTGCTAATTTAAATGGAATGAGTTTTTATAGTATAAAGAAAACGCAAATAAAAATAATAATAAATGTCCTTAAACGGGACGTGTTTGTTAACAATAATGTGTAATAAACGTTGGAATTCCTTACATGATGATGAAATGAAGAATTGTACGAGAAATGTAGTATATCGAGAAAAATATTTTTTAATAATTCGCTAACAAAAAAGCATTATTAATTCGTTATATGCAGTGTATAAGGAAGAGATGTAATGATCAAAGTATTATCTAATTTAACGCATCGTGATTTTGTTTCATTGAATTCGATAATTCCTTGATGGAATTACGAATAAATGCATTTTAAAATAACCTGCTATTGTAAAACGGATATGCCAATTGATTGACTGAGGCGATGAGCCTATAGTATATTGGCACGTTCCATTATTTATTAGATACTTAATTTTTATAGCAGCGATCTTCGTCGAAGTACTGATTTAAATCGTGATAGCATTACATTGATTAGTTCTCTGCATTATCGTACACAACAAAAAAAATCCTCCTATTTTCCACGTGCTTTTTTTAATTAGAAAAAACTCATTGAATTTTCAAAGTTAATTAGATTATTACATTTTGCACTTGTTCGATAGTTAACAACTTACAATGCATATTTATTGCGCTAATCAATGCAAATAGTAGGTCGATAATTGCCAATCTAATCGCATTGTTAATAATATTGGTGATTACATCTTGATGTCATTCTTTTAATAGCGAGAGTGTTACAATTATTGAATACGTACGTTTATTTTATGAATCGAGCAAGTTAAGTCATTAATCCACTTGTTTTTTATATTCTTAATTAGTTGTTACATTAATAAAAAGTGTATTATTTATTTTTCTGCTCTAGTAAATTTTATATTCTTATAAAATATGTTATTTTTTAACTACCGCATTTTTGACGGACCTAATGCTTTATCAACTATTCAATATTCTCTCCCAATTACAATTTTGTAAGCTACATTGTACCTATGAAGGATATTATATATTTTTTAACCCTAGGTTACGCCAGTGACTATAAGCTTACCTCACGTATCGCATTAGTATCACGAATGCGGGGTTCATTCGGTGCCTTTCCATTTGATTTAAAAGACTATAGACTACTAGAAGGCCGCTCAAGATAAAAAACGAGTCGACGAACAAATCGCCGTGGAACAGGACGCAGGCGATGGCCGATCTGTATTGCTGCAAACGGAATTAGAGCGATTGATTCGCCAATGGAACCATCCTTACCTCTTCCAGATAATTGAAATTCAGCACAGCGGATGATATGAAGGTGCCGAATCGATGGTCAATGATAATGGCGAATATGCAAATGGTTCTCATTCCGTACAAAATGGCCAGGGCCGGATTGGAATCGTCGGATTTGCTGAGTTCCAGAAAGTTGGCTCTCGCTGAAAATGCTGTTAATAATTTTGAAGATCTGCTCTCTGCAAAAGAATCGCAGATAAAATGTATGCTTGTGATTGTTTTGGTTGGCTTACTCTTGAAGGGTTTCTCTTCGCTTGCTTCGGTTTTTGTGTAATCATAAGCAGTCGCTAAAATCACGCAGGCAATAAGGAGTATTGCTAAGAAACTGAAAATATTTCCATTAATAAGAATGTATTAATTTCATCGCTTCTGGACATTAATATTCATATTAATAAAATAATGTTTATTGGTTTCGATTACGATGGATATTTCCAATATTCTGCGAATTGTGTTCTAATTAAATGACGCAGAACTTATAGGCAATGTTACTGGTGATGGAAAGTCTTGACTTGTTTATGCAACTATTAAATTATTTCCCTATAAATGACCCTGCTATATAAATATACATTTCCTTTTTAGGGCAGGCTTCTGGTCATATTCTATTATCGTATCAACTCTGGAGAACATGAGGGAAAATTGTTAAATGTAAATAGACAAGATGATAATACTGCACATACATACCAAAAGCATATATCAGCTACATCAAAATAATCATTTTCGGCGTTCGTTTGGCAAAACACCTCTGAGAATTTGGCTTTGTAGGAAACATTTTGTTTTTTAAACGAATTATCGACTTCAGATAAATAACTATTTAGGTATTCTTCGAGATCTAACACTGAACAGGAAGAAGGAATGCACCATCCAACGTTTACCATGTTCCTAGATTGTTGCGATTTGTCTTCATATTTCTGTAATAACGTTATTAGAAATCATTTCCAACACTTCCAGAGATAATAATCATCTTGATAACACGATTGGTGCAATAATTAAACAGATTCAGATAATATACTTACGTACAATCTGTTCATTACGGAGGCGAAAGGATCGAAATAGAGCGAAAGAGGATCTCGATCGTCCTTTGGATGAGGCACATCAGCTGTTAGAGTAGCCAAGCAATACTGCGTAGGAAAAGGCGCTCTAGCCGAGAGGCATTGTTCGAAATGCCCCATGTGGAAGACACTTCCTCGAAGTACACCAGATGAAGATTTCGAAGTTGCATCCCACACTATAAAAAATATCCCACGTGCACTCCATCACCAGAAAACTCCTCTAAAGGGATACTCACTTTCGTGCGCCCACAGGGTGAAGTTATTCAAATTATCCACGTATAAATCGCTGTGTTCCTTGCACACGGGATTCGAACTTTTAGCCACCGATACCGGCAGGGGCGGGAATATTTGTAAAGCCTCATTTTCACTGTAGGAAAACGCGAAATTCGAACACAAGACTAACAGCGCAAAACCGATTTTGAGCCCGATCATCGTCGCATCGACATTTGCTCTAGCCGGATCTATTTTACCGGAACGGTTGAAATGAAGAAAAATCGCCGATAGAAAAAGCTTTTATATAATGCGTGAAGGTGTTCTGTCCTTCATATCCTTGACAAAGGATTTCAGTTCAAGTTGATTGTCATGCACAATATTAATACACATTATTATTCGTCTGCGCTCAATTAAGCGTTTATTAATAAAATATAATGCATAAATATTTCTAAATCATTAATAATTGTTATTGTTTTATGTACCAGAACACAACAATTATATTTTAATGATGTCTTTTTACGTTTTATCATATTTTTTTATTAATCTAATACAACATTTTTAAACTAAAATTAAACAGTTAATATTCAGACTTCAGAGATCTTGTTACTATGCATTTTAACACCCTACAGATTAAACAAATAATTGTCAAAAGTAATTTTTAACGAACATTGTCAATCATTAAAAAAGTGTATTCGAACAAATATTGTAGTTGCATTTAATTAAAAAATGATTGGAGATTATGATATACAAGATGCCGAAGAGCGGAAAATATCAGATGAAATACAAATTCCTGCTTACGAATCGGAGTTTATGAACGCCAAAATGTTCCTGCAACTGGCTAGCACGAACACAGGCGATAATTTGTAAGTCCTCTAATTATTCTTTCTATACCCAGTACTAACATTCCAAATTTATTACCCTTTTAATCGTATACTTCTACCTCAAATTGCTACGAAAGTAAATCATAAAAGTGGCATAACTTTTTAGGTACGATCATCTATGCGAAACTTTGAACAAAATATTATCAGAGAGACCGCTCAATGTCATCGACTTCTTCGAGGAATACAGCAGGAGGATAAAGGAGAAACGTTACAGGCCTCAAACGGATCACCTCGAAGATATTTACGTATCACCCTCCAGTTTCGATGTTGCAAATCTCATGGTGCCCATGTTGAAGGTATTCTAACAGAAATATCCACAAAACCCTTCAATAAATTACCATAACAAGCCATTTTTTCTAATTGTCCTTCATCATGAAATGAATGGGGTGTGAAATTTCAGCCATTGTCTCCATTGGAACCTTCCACTGTGGACCCGGCAGATTTGGAAGTGGCCGATATGTCTGAGAATAACATGCTAGAGTTGCTCTATTATTTGGAACATTGCGGTTTGGGACTTCCTCGACCGGAAATGTTTTACGTTATGCTATCGATGAGAAAACTCGTTCACACCGAGCCGATTTCTACGATTCGGTAAGTTAATTATCGCGCTGATTAACTGTTCAATTTTAATTTAATGTTCGATTTGATGTCCACTTTTTACGAGACACTTTGCAAGAAATAACTCAATTATGGTCGATTTCCTTATTGAATTGTCTGCGTAAGTTACTAAAAACGTTGCCGATACGTTCGAATGGTTATTTTCAAGGCGTAAATTTTGGAGATTTACTTGTATTTTTTTTATTTATTACGCTTTATATTTTCCTTGAACGTGATGTTTCGACTGTGACATTTAATTCCTAATTCTTTCTTCAAATAGGGCGATTAAATTCATATATACTTTCAGATTCTGGGGCAAGATATTCGGTACGCTCAAAAACTATCTAATTGTCGAATGCGAACTAAAAAACGAGGAATATTTGAAGAAAAATGAGGTAAGCAATTGATAGAAAACGTTTGTAAATCTATTAATTATACATTATAGGCTTACAATGAAGAATACTTTGATGAAGCGAAAAAGCAAGAATCGGTAAATATGGAGGCTTTAGACGAGAACAGAATTAGAAAAGCCCTCGACGAAATAGCCAGAATGCAACAATTTGGCGGGGAAGGCTCCAAATATCCACGAAATTTACCCCCCGAGCCCAAATCGCAGTACGAAGAACCACCCGAACCGCCACCAGAACCATCAGGATTCGGCCTAAACAAACTGGTACAATTACACATTATACAACCTTAACCTCTTTACCTACACCCCATTATTTAGGTGTACTATGTAAACACTGGTATAGGAGAACCATGGATCCAATTACCCGACGTGACGCCCAAGCAAATCCGCACCTCTCGCCTGGTATACAAATCCTTCACCGGCAACTTGGACGAGCCTGTGTTGACTTACCCCAAATTCCCCGGCAACGAGAGGGAATACCTGCGAGCTCAAATCGCTCGAATTACCTCCGGTAAGGTTGGTCGTCACTGAGTCTTCTTCGAGAGGGAGATAATGAGGCACGTTGCAGGCACTCAAATATCACCGCTCGGCTATTACACCTTCGGAGGAGTCCAGCTAGGCGAAGGTGAGGAAGAGGAAGAAGAAGAAGGTCAAGGCGAAGAGGCCGCGGAAGAGGCTAAATCGGATTTTCGGAAAAACCCCAAGTACGAAGCACCGCCTTTGAAGGATTTGTTGGATCCGTCTATGTCGTTTTGGGTTCATCACACGCCCTTCATTCTACCTCAAGGTCTGCGTTTATCCTCTAGATGCTGCGCGATGTCGTGCTGATTTCTGTTGTACAGGTCGGACCACTTGGTGGAATCCCATTCCGCTGCCTGAAGGAGCCGGCGAGGGGGCGGAAGAGTCTGAAAACGAGGAAGAAAAGCTGGGCGAAGAGGAGGAGGAAATGGATAAGCGAAGGTTTTCGGTCGAGCCGGAAACCGGGCCGCCTTTGCTCACGCCTCTTTCCGAAGACGCTGCTGTCGAGGCGATTCCACCGTGGAGTATCCGGTGCTCGTCCAGCATAATGGACGATTTCGCCTTGGCCATCGTGCGCTCCAACCTGTGGCCCGGCGCTTATTGCCTATCCACGCAGGGGCCGATATTCCACAACGTTTATTTAGGTAAAAACTAATTACAAATGAAAAACATAATGCACTATAGCGTTGGTTAGGTTTCGGTTTGAAATACATGGAGCACAATTTCTCGCCCATGCCGCTTCCTCCCGTACAACAGGAGTATCCCATTGGACCCGAGGTCATGGAAATGACGGATCCGACTGGAGCCCAGGAAGAACAGTGGCGTATCGATCATTTGCCGAAACCCATGGAGGAATTTTTACCGATGGGCGAAGAGTTGGGCGAAGGTGAGGAAGAGGAAGACGAAATAATAGAAGACGATGATTGAATGTAACGTATATTATATCTATTTTATTTATTTTATGTGCGCAATGATTAATTTTAACTAAATATACGTATTATTTTTAATATGTTTTAACTACAGTTTGCTGTTTTCAAATTTATTGGGCAACTTCTCGACCGGTATATTTAATGTAAAGTTTTTCTTCTTACCCATGATTAAAACATTTATGAGCGCCTTGAAAGGTTGTTCTATAGCTAAATAAAGTCCAAACGACAAAATGAAGCACCAAACCGCATCCGAAATAACCGTAAGCAACTAAAAAACTTCCAATGTAACTTCCACGTTTGGTTACTTTAGAATTACTCACCATATCGGAGAGCCAGAATTTGCCGGGCGCCACCGATGAAGCAACGTCGCGGTACTGGAATCCGATGTGTACCAAATAAGCCCCGTACGTCAGCTTAGCCAGTACTTCGAAATTGCTCCAGGAGAGAAAATTGTAGAGGATTCCATGCGGTCCGAAGCTGACCGCAAACACGAATCCGAACGTACCTATCGCCCAAATCAACCTGAACGTCGACCCGAAGAAGGAGGATTCCACAGCGTTGTATTCGTGGTACGGATCGTAAAATATGTTTGAAGCTAACACCACTGCTATCAGTACTAGGTACGATGCGAAGAGGGTTATTAAGAAACGTTTCTGAAATGTAAGATTGGCGTATTATAGAACGAATAGTTGAATAAGGAAGGAACACTACTAACTTTTGAAAGATTAAAATCTGTATCTTTTAGTTTGTGGTAAAGATATCCGGCGCATATCCCTACGAAATAGGGCGCGCCTCTCGTGTAAGATTTTATATAAATCAGCTGGAAGTCTATAAAAGGCATTGGATTGGCGAGAAAATCTTTATAGAACCTCAGCATGGCTGGTCGTCTGTATGCATAAGTAAGATAAAAGGTAATCGCCATCATTAGCAGTGTACCAACGCCTAATCCTGCGAAACCTATCCAGTTGTTTTTATGGAGAACGTACACGAGTATTATGGCTAGCAGGAAGAAGTGGAAATCGCAGGATAGATACCAAGACGATATGATGCACTAAAATTCAACTTGTTAGTTATATTTCGTGAGCTACTCGATGAACTTACAAAGTTATTCGAATTAACTATGTTAGAAATGTACAGTATTCCTGTCCACCAATTCTCCCTGCAATTCTTCCTTTCGGCTCCCACTACAGTTTCCCATAGAACCCCGCTTCCAGAACGGTACAACAATGTAGCGTGGAAGAAGATAATGTAGGCGTAAATCGGTGTTAATCTGGAATAACAATGAAATTTAAAAATGCAATCAAGAAGCAAATAACTACGTTTAACGTACCGAAGATACCTGAGCAAAACTAGCAAAGAAGGATTGTAACGGTTCTTATCTAACAAATCCATTATCCCGTAAGTGACAAGAAGACCACCGATGAAGAAAAACGTGTCCACAAGTAGATCCACGTGTAGCTGGGTTTTTATCAAAGGCGAACGGAAAAGCTGAAATATAATTTTATTTGAGAAGGGCATTAGTGAAACATCAAAAATTTTTAATTCCCTTCAGGGGCAAATGATCTAAGTGATTATACAGGGTGGCCCAGAACTCACGCCCCACCGGGAAATGCCTTATGGAAACGACAATGGAGATGCCAGAACTGAAGCCAAAAACATGAAAAAGTTATTCCTTTGGTAAATAAAGAGGTTAAAATCGACCAACCCAGTAGGAATTCAAATCCACGAAAATAACGTGAATTAGCTATACACCAATTTGACATTATTGAAAGATTCTATGTCTGCTGTGACTATTGGATCAAAGATTTGCTTCCAAATCGATCATTTAGGAGCTTCGTCGTGCTGATAATAAACCTACAGAATTCTTTATTGTTTCAAAAGTGGTTCGAATCGAATGATCCATTTTTTGATCGATTTTAAAGCAAATCTTTGATCAATAATTACAGCTGATTTTGGCAGCTTCTGTTAACCTTGAAAGTGAAAAGGACATAAAATCTTTCAATTATGTCCAATTGGTATATAGCTAATTCACGTCATTTTCGCGTTTGTGAACTGCTACTGGGATTGGTCAATTTTAAACCTCTTTTTTACCAAAGAAAAAACTTTTTCACGTTTTCGACTGCAGTTTTGGCATCTCCATTGTCGTTTCCATAAGGCATTTCCCGGTGGGGCGTGAGTTCCGAGCCACCCTGTATTTAATAAGTAAGCAATACTTTGTATTTTTTATCTTTGCAGTTATTATGTAAGTAGTTATGATGGAGTGATTTATATTTGAGAATATTGAACATCTTGAACACTTAAAGCTCCGATGCCAGTGTTTCTTGTAGTTCAGGAATTTACCTGCAACTCGAGCAAAAGAACATGGGAACAATGTAATTTATATGCTAAAAGCGTGAACAAAAGAGTTGTTACTATTGATAAAAAATAGTTACATGTTCTAAATAGTCCTCGGTGAACATGGGACCGTTGATAAAAATACATAATCTGTGACCACCAATAATTCCGAAAAAAGCTAGGGATTTTATACCAAATAAGATCCTCATTGAGCTAGCGGATTGGCTTCGTTTGGTCAGACTCTGGTAGCTTTTTATGGCAGAAAAAGCGACTAGTATTTCTCTCCACATCGAATCTAAAACGTTATTTTTTTAATTCACTAAGTTCTGCACTAACTATAATTCATGTACTTTCATTCGACTTGAACATTTTTCGATAATCCAACGTTGTTCCAACTCCAACGATCAACAGAAGCGTTATCGTTACAACGCTAAAAAGAGGTTGAATTGACACAAAAAACAGTAAACTAAACTAGTTATAATTTACCAGAAAGCTACATCCAAGTTATCCCATTTGGACTCATCAGTAGATGTTTTACAAAGAACGGCTGGAATATCCACTGAAAAGCTAACGTTCTCTTCTTTCAGGAGGTAATTATGATTTTTCACGTAATCATTTAGCGCTTTTTGAGCGATTCTCGGGTTACACGAGGCCGGTGCGCACCAGCCCATTCTGATTGTATTCCTAGGCGATTTAGTAATATCTTTATAATCCTGAAACGCGACCATTAATGAATCATATAATATTATTGAAGATTAGTTTTTGAATTATCTTACGTAAAGTTTATCGATGACGTTCCCGTTGGGATCGAATTCCAAGGACAAGGGATCTCGATTGGTGGTGCTTGATGAAACGTTGGCTTTTAATATTACGAGGCAATATTGAGTTGGAAATGGGGCGTTTGCTGTTAGGCATTCCACCATGTTTCCCATGTTATAGCCGTTTCCCCTTAAAACACCTGTAGCGGTTTGAGCACAGGAATCTCTCACTGAAAATAAAATATACAAATGCAGACAAGGGGATATTTGCAAAATGAATATTTTGTTCAATAACTTTATCAAATCTAAACAAATTTTTAGTGACCAGAGTATTCGCAATGGAAAGGGCTTTGAAATGGTGTATTGGAAGTAGGGAAGTTTCATTTGAAATTCTAAAGTTAGAGTTGTTATTGTTTTTAGTTGATGAACATATAATATACAGGTTGCTCCATTTTTGATCGCAACATAGGTTATATAGGCCATGGGTGCGATAAAGACAACTTCCATTAGACACTTACTAAGGAAAAGGAAAGAGTGACATTTGTGTCATTGCAACTTTTCACTCTAACAACTGTCATTTTAATAATCTTTCTTTGTTCCACTCATAGAAATGACCATGTTGCAATCGGAAATGGAGCAAGGTGTATGTTAGGTTAATACATATTATGTTGGCTTGACTTAAAATTTTTTTTCAAAAAAAAAAAAATTGAATGGTCTTAGAAAATTTCGAAAAAATATACTTCCACATTCAATTACGACTAATAGCCGGTGCTGTGAGATATATTCTCAGTACAATTAACGGTCAACAAAGTGTTCATTGCGCTATAGTTATTATTTTTATATAATTTTTTTGGCTTCAATTTATTGGTCAACAAAGTGCTCTTTGCACTATATTTTTAAATAATTAATTTTGCAGCCTGTAATTTATTGGTAGGTAAATATGACATCATTAAAAGTTTAACATGATTTAATGCTTGTCCGTATTTGACAGGAATAGAAGGCGGTTTACGACTTTATTGTAACCAGAATAGTAAAAATAGGTAATTACCTAAGAATTTCATATAAAATATTGGGTGTACATGAATTTCTCGTTTGCTTTTTATTCTTATAGCATGCATTTCAATAAATTTTTAGGTGATTGCGTTCCTGACTGGCGTATTTTACATGTTTACATGTAATAAAAATTCTCATTAAAATAATTTAATTATTTTGAACCGATGGAACTACTTAATGATTAAGGAAAATGATGCGTAATAATGATTAAAGAAATTGAGAAGCATGTACAAATATTAATTGTAGCACTCAAAAACAGAATTATTGATTATAAAAAATCTTTGTATAGTATAAAATTCTACAGTTATAATGTTCCTTTCATACTGATCTCCTATAATAAATTATTTTAATTTTCCACAAAAGAAAGTTTTTTTACCATTTCAACGGTTTTAACCATTTCAATTTCAATTCTGATTCCGGGATTCTGGCATTAACTTTTAGTAGGTATCTCAAGTTATATGAACTTTTAGACATGTTAAAAGTGTATATTATTAGTTCACATTTAAATTAAACTAATTTCCAATTCCTAAAATAACTCCTAAAGTTCCAAACAATTTTTTTTTAAACTTGAAGCACCGGAATTATTTAGGGGGTCTACTATAAAAACCGCAAAACTTTAGAAAGTGATTTACAAGTAATTTCGAACCAAAAATGTCATTACACTTTTTCGAAAAGTTGATAGTTTCTCTTTTATTTAACATTTCATAGGTCAAAAAAATTCAACATAAAATTGTTATAATTACAAAATGAACATAATTATTTGTATCTTTTAATGGTCGTAAAATCAAAACTATCTCAACTTTTGGAAAAAGTGTTGTATGACATTTTTTGTTTAATTTTTGTTCAAAATTACTTGTATAGCCCCTCCTGAAGTTTGACTATTTTGACTATACTGTATAAATAATTTTTATACAATATTATGTGGATTACAGGTACTTACTTTCGTGAGCCCACAAAGTAAAATTGTTCAAATTTTCCAAATATTGCCGGCTTTCTGCGTCGCACAATTCATTTTCACTTTTTTCAAGAATAATAGGAAGGGTTGGAAAAACGTTAATTTCGAGAGTTTGAACAACTCCCATTAGAAAACAAAAAACGACCACTTTCGGTGACATTTTATGACTTACTGCAGTACTTTGCAACTATCAATTACCCATTTTTTAGTGCGTACTAAATTTTAAACGGCAGTATTTGTTTAAAAACTGGTTTCTCGCAGAATCCACCCATAGTTATATTAACGGGATTAATATAATAAAATATTATTTCTATAATATACCCTAATATTATTCGTGCAATTGATATTCTTAATACAACTCCAAAATAATCGTAATTTATCAAGCATACAAATCTAAAAGGCGTTTTACTTTGCAAGGAACTATTAACAATTGTTATTAAATTACCTAATTAGTTTTTCCAAGAAGTGTCTAGTATGAGACATGTTTTAATGTTTTTGGTATTAATTAAATTTCGCATAGGTACTTATGTAAAAATTACAGTTTTTATTTTCTTTAAAGTTCTCCTCTCAAGGCAGTTAGAGAAAGCCAAATGGGTGTCAACGAAGCCACCAGAGCATTTGGAATACCCAAAACTACATTCAAAAGGCGATCACAATCAAATAAACTTGACAAGTCAAAGACTTGTACCTGAGGTCTCTCGGAATTAAATGCAGAGCAAAAATTAGTGAACCACATAAAAAAACTCCAAAAATCAGGGTTTGCACCGACAAGAACTGAAGTGAGGATTATGGCATTTAATTTAATGCTGGCAAGAAATGGCTGGAGTTGTTTTGCGCTGAAGGTCTGATAGTTCGATCAAAAAAGCTAAGAACAGCGACCTAGAAATGAATGTATAGGCTGCAGTGAAGACTATCGATTGACAAAAAAAAAAGAATGGTTATAATACATTTTTTGGAAGCGCTGGTTGCATTAGAGCTGCACAAGTTTTTCTAACCCTTGCCAGAAGTGTGGCATCAATGCAGCTCGTAAAAAGAAAGAAAAATAAAATGGTCCATCTCTCCTACCTATTTTATTTTTAGTTATTTCTTATTGTGTAACTATACCAAAAGAAATGCTAAAGTTTAGTTATTTTATGTAAAAATATTCATTTGTATCTTTTTGTTAATAAAGAAAATTATCTTTACTTTTTTAAATGGCGGTCCATCTCTCCTCCCTTTACCCTACATACATATGTACAAATCTAACATTAATTAACCCACTGTATAAATATTTGATACCTTTATGAAAGGGTAGTGCTTTAATAATGCTTTAGGCATGCTTCTCAAACTTTATAGTCAATAGAAAAGAAATAAACTAGATAAAAATATAACGCAAAAACTTTTATAGTTTTTTATTTATTATATTATTTTATACATAACAGTTATCCTACTATTTTTATAGAATCTACAAGTAAAAATGAGTATTGTTTTCTATTTCAATATAAAAACCTAATTTAATACAACGAAACATTTTTTACATATGGCAGTTTTTGTTAAAATTAAATAATACAAAAAAATATACAAAACAAATTACTGGCATTCTTAAAAATAAATAAGTAGTCTGAAGTTTTGTTACCGTTTATCACATGCTTTTTTATAGGTATTTATATACATTAACAAATACATTACATTTTAACAGAGACATTATTTGAACATGTCGCCAAATTCGTTATTTTCATGTTGTACTCAAAAAAATTTCAGGTAAAAAAAGCTCTGGAAAAAACATGTTAAAATTCCTGCAAAATTAACTTTAATTTAGGTCTCTTGATCATTTCAACTTCAGCAAATTAAACTTCTACAAAATACTATTTATATTACGTTGTTCGTTGTTTTCGTTCTAATCTACTTTCTGCTGTTGAGCAAATATTCCTGATCCAACTTCTTCAACTCGTCCAGCGGCTTCTTCAAGCACTCTTGCACCCAAGGCGTGTCGGTCTCCGTGTAACCTCCTATTTGGTCTTCCTGCTTGCAGCCGGTATCCCAGGCGAATATACCAGATGCTACATAAACACCTTGATCGTTTGTGCAGGCCAATGCGCTACCGATATCCACCTAAACAACCAAACAAATCACGAAGCTGCACATCAAACTTCCACTCGTAAAACTCACCTTGCATTGGTCTATATCGGACGTGGCGCAATAGAAATGCTTGTTGTAGTTAGGCAGAGAGTCTTGGAATTTCTCGCTCAATGTTCGCTGGCATTGCTGGTCGCTGATCACATCCGCGTCGATTTGGTGCATTATTGCACCTCTCGCGTGCACTGCGGATTACAATTGTTCGTTTAGAGGACACCTTCCAAATAAAATATGCTAGTAGTACTTACGTTGGAGTATTCGTTTTCCCCATCCAGTGACCTTGCAGTTGGCGGGTTTAGATTTGGGATCGGGCAGGCAAATCGGACCGACGTTCTGCGCCCACTTGAACTTTCCGGAGAGCTTCAGAACAGCCAAATCGTAACCTTCGCTTTTGTATTTCGGGTGTCTAACTATCGCGGCTACATTAAGTATTTGGTAATCTAGAGGTTCGTCTTCGATGCCCAATTTCCATTCGCCACCTTTCACTTGAACGTCGCCGGTTTGAAGTCTACAAGTCAAAATTATTGTATTATTTACCAGTTCTGTGTGATATTTAGTTTAATTCTCACCCTTCCACGCAGTGAGCGACCGTCAATACTGCATCATCTGCTATGATAGCTCCACCGCAAAGCAAGCTGCGGTTGGTATTTCTTAAAATCATCGCTTGCCATGGGAACTCGCCGAAGTTAGCGTCCAACGGTCCTGGACCTCGTGGAATAGTGTCCTACAAAAGATAATTTTCAAGGTATTCGCTAAGATGTTTATACTATCAATGGTACCTTATTAATTACTCCGCACTTTCCGTAAGATTGTCTGCCTTTTCTGTTGATGTTTATATTTGGATTGGTGTGTTGCCCGAAATGGTTGTCTTCTTTGTACGTTCCATCATCCACGCCGTCCACTAAGTTTGCTGACGGCCATGGATCCTTGTAATAGGGATCGCGACAACATTTACCAATAATTCCTGTTTCCACTTCTCTGCAAGCCTGTTCGTAGATAATCAAGGATTAATAGATAGTTGAAAAAGTTTGAAAGATTTCCTTACTGTTGTCGGAACTCTCATTAATTCCTGCTGTTTGGTGAGAACTACGGGTACCGGAGAAATGGTACCTTCGGCTGTACAGTAGATTTCTTGTACGCACTTCAGCGCTGCTGCGCATCCAGCGGGAACTTGGACGTTTATGTCGCTGGGGGACGGTGTATGAATAACATCGACAAAAGTCTTGGCAGTAGTTGTTGAAAGATAGACGTCGTGTTCATTGTCCGAGTCGCCGTGATTGTCAGGTTGTGCTATCTCGCTGTGGATATTTGTACCATCGGCTGGAAACGAACGTTAATTTGGTCTTCTTGCTTGAAAAAATCGTATCGAAAATACTTACAGTCGTGCTCGGTGGTCGGTCCAGTCTCGACTTCACTGTTACCTCTCGAAGTCGAAGTGGGCAAATCGAAAGGTGGATTCGGCTTGTCGTAGTGGTAGCCTCCTTCCGTGACAGGCCTATAAGGTTTTTTAGAGGAATAAGTTGGAGTAGATTGGGTGTTCGTGTCTGTTGGTCGGCCTGTGGGCTTGTTAAAGGTACAATCACCTGTCGGCGATCGGAAGGAACCGGGTGGACATTGTCGTTCGCAAATACCCGTGGAGGTCTTTCTTGTCCCGGGCGGACACACTCGTTGATCTCCAGGGGTACTTGGAAAAGGTTTCACGGGTTTCGGATAGAAATATCCTTCTGGAGGTGGGGTTGTTGAAGGAGTTTTTGTAGGGTAAATGCATTTGCCGAAAGACAGGATTTGACCAGGTCGACATGTTACACTTGGCTCAGTACTTGGTGCAGTGGGTCTTGTTGGGAAGGTGCATCGACCGGATGAGTCCAAAATTTGATTAGGAGGACATGTTGGCTTAGGTGGATAGATGCATACTCCTGTAGGAGATTGTATTTGTCCAGGTCGACAAGTTACAGGGGATGGTATTGTTGGTACACATTCATTACTTTCAGGAGACAATTTTGTTCCAAAAGGACAATATTTGGGACGTTGTGTAGAAGTAGTAGTTTGAGTCGGTATTCTAGGATATTGGCAAGCACCAGATGGAGTCAATATTTGATTAGGAGGACAACTAGGCTTCTCAGTTGTAGGTGGGTAGATGCATACTCCTGTAGGAGATTGTATTTGTCCAGGTCGACAAGTTACAGGAGATGGTATTGTTGGTACACATTCATTACTTTCAGGAGACAATTTTGTTCCAAAAGGACAATATTTGGGACGTTGTGTAGAAGTAGTAGTTTGAGTCGGTATTCTAGGATATTGGCAAGCACCAGATGGAGTCAATATTTGATTAGGAGGACAACTAGGCTTTTCAGTTGTTGGTGGGTAGATGCATACTCCTGTAGGAGATTGTATTTGTCCAGGTCGACAAGTTACAGGGGATGGTATTGTTGGTACACATTCATTACTTTCAGGGGACAATTTTGTTCCAAAAGGACAATATTTGGGACGTTGCGTAGAAGTAGTAGTTTCGGTTGGTATTCGAGGATACTGGCAAGCACCAGATGGGGTCAAGATTTGACCCGGTTTACAGACACTAGGAGGCCTCCTGGTAGGAAAACCGGGTCTTTCGGTGGACGGTGTACTCGGGGGATAAATGCAAACACCTTGTTGTGATAAAATTTGACCAGGTTCACAAGCCGGTCTTGGAGGATTTTCGCAACGACCAGAGTTTGTTAATACTTGTCCATCCCTGCATTTCATTTGGGAAGGCCTTGTAGGTCTCTTAGGAAAAACACATTCACCTGAAGGTGATAAACTTTGTCCAGGAGGACAAGGTAATTTACTCGTTGGCCTTGGCTCTGGAGTAGTAAAAATAGTTGTAGGTTTGGGGTAATCGTACCCTGTAGATTTTGGATATTCACATTGATTGATATTAGTTTTCGAGGGTATCTGACCCGGTGGACAAGTTGGTTTTGGAGTTGTCGGTCTCACAGCAAATTTGCAGGTACCCGAAGGCGATTTAATTTGGCCTGGAGGACAAGTAGGTTCTATCTTTGGTGGATAAATACAGGCCCCTGTAGATGATTTTATTTGTCCAGGGCTACAAACAACAGGTCTAGGTGTAGAAGGAGAAGAAGGTCTTGTTGGATAACTACAAGAACCAGATGGCGTTAAAATTTGTCCCGGTAAGCATGTAGGTTTTGGTGTTGTAGGATATATACAAACGCCTGTTTCAGATTTTACTTGTCCTCGTCTACATACCGAAGGACTCGTAGGATAAACACATTCACCAGCTGGCGATATACTCTGACCGGGTTTACAATTATTTTTAGGGGGTTGATATGTTGATGGTTTTGGACTTGTTGGATATATGCAAACGCCGGATTCCGATAATATTTGACCTTCTCTACACCTTGGTTGTTGTGTTGGCTTTGTTGGATATTCACAAACACCTGAAGGTAAGAGGATTTGTCCTCTTTTGCAAGGACTTTGAGTTGAAGTAATTGGTGCGATGGTGGTTGTTCGACTTGGAATGCATCTGTTTTCCTCTTTAGAGAATACTGTTCCTGGTGAACAATATTTGATTGAAGTAGTTGTAGTTGGTTTTTGTGTAGGGAATGTAAAAGGTCTTATAGTAGTAGCGGGATAAATGCAAATACCTGTTTGCGACAACACTTGACCGGCTTTGCAAGATTGCGTTTGCGGTGGTGTTGTAGAATAAACACAGTCACCATTAGGTGATAAAATTTGTCCAGATAGACATGAGGGTTTCTGAGAAGGCTTTTCTGGTCTAACTGGATAAATACAAACTCCAGAATTAGAAAGAATTTGTCCAATTTTACAAGTTGGCCTAAATGTAGAAGTGGGCGGTCTGCGAGTAGGATAAACACAATCACCTGATGGTGAAAGAATTTGACCTGGCTGACATAATGGTTTTAAACTTTGAGTGGTCGGTTTAGGAGTTGTTGGATATATACAAATTCCTGCAGGGGATAAGGTTTGTCCTGGTCTACAAGTATCCTTTGGCTTTAACGGTGGGTATTCACAAGTTCCACGGTCAGTTAATATTTGACCAACGGAACACTTTGGTCTAGAAGGCTTTGTAGGATAAACACATTCACCGCTTGGTGAAATACTCTGGCCGGGTTTGCAAAATGAAGTAGTAGGTCTAGGATATGGGTAAGTGGTAATTTCTGTTGTCTGAGAATATTGGCAAATTCCCGATGAAGATAGATATTGACCAGGTTTACAAGTGAATCCAGGTTTAGGAGTAGTCTGTACAGGATAAATACAAGCTCCCGATGGAAGACGAGTTTGACCTGGAGAACAAGGAGATTTTGTAGTAGATGTTTGAGGATAGACGCAAACTCCACTAGGAGTTTTAACCTGCCCGGGGCGACAAGTTATTGGTTTTACTGTTGTAGTAGAAGAAATAATCGGTTTTTCTGTCTGGGGGAATACGCATCCTATTCCGGATAGGGCTGGTACTTGGCCAGGCGCACACTGGGGTCTAGGTTTCTGCGGATAAGTACAAGAACCAAATTCGCTCAAAATTTGACCTGGCGAGCAAGGACGTTTAGTGGTGGGAGGATTAGAAGGGAAAGGCCTCTGTGTATCAATTGATGGCTGATATGGTTTTAAACTAGTTAATGGCGGTTGTGGAGTGGTAAATGGCTGGAATGTTGTTACTGATGGTTTAGACGGTATAAATGGAGTAACTGCTGTTTTTTGTGTCGTGACCGATGGTTGTAATGGTTTGCCGGGTGTTACTGATGGTTGAGGTGGTGTTTGAGTTGGTACATACTGCGGTGTAGTAGTCCCACAAGAACCATCAGGTAGCTTCACGGTTCCAAATTGACAGCGTACTTCGATTGGTCTGCAACTTCCGTTAGGTTGTCTAATGGTATCAGCTGGACAAGGTCGTGATGTAGTTGTTGGACTACAATTTCCGTCAAATTGTCTGATAGTTCCCGGAGGACACTCGATTGTAGGTATTGGTATTGTAGGGCTGCATAATCCATCACGTTGTTTGACGGTTCCACTTGGGCAAATGATTTCTGGTTTCCTACAGCTTCCGTCTTTTTGTTTAGTCGTACCTGATGGACAGTATGGTGCACATGAACCATCAGGTTGCCTGATAGTACCAGACGAGCAAATCGTTTCGCAAGAACCATCTGGTAGTCTTCTAGTGTCAGGCGGACATTGACGTTTTCTACAATTGCCGTTTGGATCCCTTGTAGTTCCAGGGGGACATTGCCGTTCTACACATTCACCATTTGGTCCCGTCACAGTCCCAGGTGGGCAGGGCTTTTTGCATTCTCCGTTAATTTGTTTTATAGTACCAAGAGGACACTCGATTGTAGGTTTTGGTGTTGTAGGGCTGCACAATCCATCACGTTGTTTGACGGTTCCACTTGGGCAAATGATTTCTGGTTTCCTACAGCTTCCGTCTTTTTGCCTAGTCGTGCCTGATGGACAGTATGGTGCACAAGAACCATCGGGTTGCTTGATAGTACCAGAAGAGCAAATTTTTTCACAAGAACCATCTGGTAGTCTTCTAGTGTCAGACGGACATGGCCGTTCTGTACATTCGCCATTTGGTCCCGTCACAGTCCCAGGTGGGCAGGGCTTTTTGCATTTTCCATTAAATTGTTTTATAGTGCCAGGAGGACACTCGGTTGTAGGTTTTGGTGTAGTAGGGCTGCATAATCCATCACGTTGTTTGACGGTTCCACTTGGGCAAATGATTTCTGGTTTCCTACAACTTCCGTCTTTTTGTCTAGTCGTACCTGATGGACAGTATGGTGCACATGAACCATCAGGTTGCCTGATGGTGTCAGACGGACATGGCCGTTCTGTACATTCGCCATTGGGTCCCGTCAGAGTCCCAGGTGGGCAGGGCTTTTTGCATTGTCCATTAGATTGTTTTATAGTGCCAGGCGGGCATGGAGGTTCTCCACATTCCCCATTTGGTGCCCTCACAGTTCCAGGTGGGCAAGGCTTTTTACATTGTCCATTAAATTGTCTTAAAGTGCCGGGCGGACATGGTGGTTCTCTACATTCCCCATTTGGTCCAGGTACAGTTCCAGGTGGGCAAGGTTTCTTGCATTGTCCATTAAATTGTCTTACAGTGCCAGGTGGGCATGGAGGTTCTCTACAATTTCCGTTTTGATCCCTTACAGTTCCGGGCGGACATGGAGGTTCTCTACATTCACCATTTGGTCCAGGTACAGTTCCAGGTGGGCAAGGCTTCTTGCATTGTCCATTAGATTGTCTTACAGTGCCAGGTGGGCATGGAGGTTCTCTACAATTTCCGTTTTGATCCCTTACAGTTCCGGGCGGACATGGAGGTTCTCTACATTCACCGTTTGGTCCAGGTACAGTTCCAGGTGGGCAAGGTTTTTTGCATTGTCCATTAGATTGTCTAACAGTGCCAGGTGGGCATGGAGGTTCTCTACAATTTCCGTTTTGATCCCTCACAGTTCCGGGCGGACATGGTGGTTCTCTACATTCACCATTTGGTCCAGGTACAGTTCCAGGTGGGCAAGGCTTCTTGCATTGTCCATTAAATTGTCTTACAGTGCCAGGTGGGCATGGAGGTTCTCTACAATTTCCGTTTTGATCCCTCACAGTTCCGGGCGGACATGGTGGTTCTCTACATTCCCCATTTGGTCCAGGTACTGTTCCAGGTGGGCAAGGCTTTTTGCACTGTCCATTAGATTGTCTTATTGTGCCAGGCGGGCATGGAGGTTCTCTACAATTTCCGTTTTGATCCCTCACAGTTCCGGGCGGACATGGAGGTTCTCTACATTCACCATTTGGTCCAGGTACAGTTCCAGGTGGGCAAGGCTTTTTGCATTGTCCATTAGATTGTCTTACAGTGCCAGGTGGGCATGGAGGTTCTCTACAATTTCCGTTTTGATCCCTTACAGTTCCGGGCGGACATGGTGGTTCTCTGCATTCCCCATTTGGTCCAGGTACAGTTCCAGGTGGGCAAGGCTTCTTGCATTGTCCATTAGATTGTCTTACAGTGCCAGGTGGGCATGGAGGTTCTCTACAATTTCCGTTTTGATCCCTTACAGTTCCGGGCGGACATGGAGGTTCTCTACATTCACCGTTTGGTCCAGGTACAGTTCCAGGTGGGCAAGGTTTTTTGCATTGTCCATTAGATTGTCTAACAGTGCCAGGTGGGCATGGAGGTTCTCTACAATTTCCGTTTTGATCCCTCACAGTTCCGGGCGGACATGGTGGTTCTCTGCATTCCCCATTTGGTCCAGGTACTGTACCAGGTGGGCAAGGCTTCTTGCATTGTCCATTAAATTGTCTTACAGTGCCAGGTGGGCATGGAGGTTCTCTACAATTTCCATTTTGATCCCTTACAGTTCCGGGCGGACATGGAGGTTCTCTACATTCACCGTTTGGTCCAGGTACAGTTCCAGGTGGGCAAGGTTTTTTGCATTGTCCATTAGATTGTCTAACAGTGCCAGGTGGGCATGGAGGTTCTCTACAATTGCCATTTTGATCCCTCACAGTTCCGGGTGGACATGGAGGTTCTCTGCATTCACCATTTGGTCCAGGTACAGTTCCAGGTGGGCAAGGCTTCTTGCATTGTCCATTAGATTGTCTTACAGTGCCAGGTGGGCATGGAGGTTCTCTACAATTTCCGTTTTGATCCCTCACAGTTCCGGGCGGACATGGAGGCTCTCTGCATTCCCCATTTGGTCCAGGTATAGTTCCAGGTGGGCAAGGTTTTTTGCATTGTCCATTAGATTGTCTTACAGTGCCAGGTGGGCATGGAGGTTCTCTACAATTTCCGTTTTGATCCCTTACAGTTCCGGGCGGACATGGAGGTTCTCTGCATTCCCCATTTGGTCCAGGTACAGTTCCAGGTGGGCAAGGTTTTTTGCATTGTCCATTAGATTGTCTTACAGTGCCAGGTGGGCATGGAGGTTCTCTACAATTTCCGTTTTGATCCCTCACAGTTCCGGGCGGACATGGAGGTTCTCTGCATTCCCCATTTGGTCCAGGTACAGTTCCAGGTGGGCAAGGTTTTTTGCATTGTCCATTAGATTGTCTTACAGTGCCAGGTGGGCATGGAGGTTCTCTACAATTTCCGTTTTGATCCCTTACAGTTCCGGGCGGACATGGAGGTTCTCTGCATTCCCCATTTGGTCCAGGTATAGTTCCAGGTGGGCAAGGCTTCTTGCACTGTCCATTAGATTGTCTTACAGTGCCAGGTGGGCATGGAGGTTCTCTACAATTTCCGTTTTGATCCCTTACAGTTCCGGGCGGACATGGAGGTTCTCTGCATTCCCCATTTGGTCCAGGTATAGTTCCAGGTGGGCAAGGCTTCTTGCACTGTCCATTAGATTGTCTTACAGTGCCAGGTGGGCATGGAGGTTCTCTACAATTTCCGTTTTGATCCCTCACAGTTCCGGGCGGACATGGAGGCTCTCTGCATTCCCCATTTGGTCCAGGTATAGTTCCAGGTGGGCAAGGTTTTTTGCATTGTCCATTAGATTGTCTTACAGTGCCAGGCGGACATGGAGGTTCTCTACAATTTCCGTTTTGATCCCTCACAGTTCCGGGCGGACATGGAGGTTCTCTGCATTCACCATTTGGTCCAGGTACAGTTCCAGGCGGGCAAGGCTTTTTGCATTGTCCATTAGATTGTCTTACAGTGCCAGGCGGGCATGGAGGTTCTCTACAATTTCCGTTTTGATCTCTCACAGTTCCGGGCGGACATGGAGGTTCTCTGCATTCCCCATTTGGTCCAGGTATAGTTCCAGGTGGGCAAGGTTTTTTGCATTGTCCATTAGATTGTCTGACAGTGCCAGGCGGACATGGAGGTTCTCTACAATTTCCGTTTTGATCCCTCACAGTTCCGGGCGGACATGGAGGTTCTCTGCATTCCCCATTTGGTCCAGGTACAGTTCCAGGTGGGCAAGGCTTTTTACATTGTCCATTAGATTGTGGTATAGTGCCAGGCGGGCATACTGGTTCTTTAGGTTCGCAGGAACCATCTGGTTGAACAACAGTCCCTGGAGGACAATATAACACAGGAGGTGGTGTTGGTGGGCATTTACCACCTTGTGATATTAGGGTTCCGTCCGAACAAATGATTTCTAGTTTCTTACATTCTCCATTTCGCCCTCTAATACTACCCGGAGGACACTCAGGTTTTTCGGCACATTTTCCATTAGGTAGTTTAATGACACCTGGTGGACAAACGATTGGTGGTACAGGTCTTGGACTACATTTTCCATTAGGTAGTCTAATGTAACCTGGCTGGCAAGGTGTGTACTCACAGACGCCGTTTATCAATTTTTTATCGCCAGTACAAACTACTTGGCAAGAACCATTTTCTTGAAGAACCGTCCCTGGAGGACAATACAACACCGGCGGTGGCTTGGGAGCACAAAGTCCATTCGGTTGTCTAATAGTGCCTTCAGGACACACGGGTATAGGTTTTGGATCGTTGGATTCATCGGTATTTCTGTCGCAAGTTCCGTCAGGCCGCCTGATAAAACCTGGCGGACACTGTGGACGTGGTGGTCTGCTACAACTACCATCAGGTTGTCTAACGAAGCCAAACGGACAAGGCGCCGGTGTGACTGGTTCTACAATAAAACAATGTTATACATATCATCGAAGCTCATTGTATTAGGTTTGTTCCAGCAGCATGTTCAAATTACGTTTGTATCAGTATTGTATCGCGCATGCTCTGATGTATACAAGTTCGTTATAAGACTGGAACATTTCTTGCTGGAACACCTCGAGCAGTTGGGTATCATGTAATACGGAAATGTTCTTTGAATTCTTTTTCCGAATATTGAAGACGGTTTCCTGGATTTAATTTTTATTTTTTGATCTCTGCGTTTCTTCCAACGATTCTTCAAAATCGTCTTCCGATAAATCATCATAACTAATTTCGCCCATACCTCCAAATAAGTCTACTTCCATATTTTAAAACTAAATTGTAACAAAACAAATATTTATAGCCAACAACAAACTAATATAACCATACTTATTTTCGAATTGTTCTAAATGTTCTCACTTCAAACGAGAACAGTTTGGCAGATCTCAAACATGATCCAAACAAAAAACGGATTCTGCTTAAACAGCAAACATTTACTCAGAACACCAAATAACACGCTGCTGGAACGTTTTTAAATCATCGCGCATGCTGATAATGTTCGTAACAACACAAAACATGCTCCTGGAACAAACCTATTATTTACACTGTTTATTACCTATTGGAGGAAGATAAGCAGGTCCTCTTATGGTCGATGAAAACCTCACGCCGCTGTCGAATTGTACGTTACTGTAATCAGGGGTCGAAGCAAAGTACGAATTACCATTTGGCGGTACTTCTCTAGTGGGTTTGCCGGTACTGGCCTTATTTGTAGACCCGCTTTCGCCCACATGCAATACTTGGGGTTTTATGTTATCCCTGTATACGTCGGTCGGACCCCCCGATAACTTGGAGGTGGATTTTTGTGACGAGGAACTTTTGCCGGTATTGTCGAGGAGCTCGTTGATGCTCGTCGGGAAGGAGGATTTCGGCGATAGATTCGAAGCATCCGCCGCCAGTAAGGAACAACAGGATTCCGTTGTTTTGTCGCAGTGTTGAACCTATAACAGTGCAACAAGATGTAATTAAAATTATACTTGGTACTGTCAATCACGTATGATAATTTTACATCTTATACTTCAACATCAATAACGAAATTTATTGCGCAACCACTTTCACCGAATAGCAGTTCTTTTACATAGGATTCCCACATGAATAACTGACCCGATTGAAAGGGAAAACTGTATATTTTACCGCTGCGCGACCTTGACACTGAGTTATTTTGTCGTGAATACGTGACTTCGTGGATATTTATGGTTCATTCATTACTGCAGTTAATACCAGCCGAATTGGCTCGAAAGCCTGAAAATTATTAAACCTGTAGGTAGGGCATTTATTGAACCTTCTCGCTAATAAATAATTCAAATAATTACATGTTCAAGTAGGCTTTTTATGACTTTTATCGTATTGAATAACACCGAGTACTTATCGAGTCCTGTAAAATCGCCATTCCGGTTTCACTTGAAGAATTTGTTCGCCCGGTCGAATTGCAGTTATCGATCGAGTAATTGAGATCGACCGGGTGCAGTTGGGTAGGGAAACTTTCTCTTAAAAAGTCCGTTTTGCTGGTTTCATTGGAAAATTTTGGGCGGGTTTGAATTCCACTCGAAAAAAAAACGCAATGCGAATTGATTATTGCGCAATAAAGCGTTTGATGTTGTGTAATAGGGTCAGAGGTTGAGGATCTTGAAATGTATTCCTTTTTAACAATTAATAAATTAATTTTGTGTTGTAGTGTAAATATTTTGTTAGTTTCATGTATTGAGGTCGCAATGGTGAAAAGGGTCGTTTTTTCGTCGGACATAATAATTTATTACGCATATTTATTTTCTCATATTATTTCATAATAATTTTTGGTAATGTATTGAATAAGATAAAAACGTTTAATAATTTTTGCGGTTGATTTAAATTTGTAGGTATTATATCTCGGTAATAAAACGGTACGTCTAAACGATCTCGAGTCAATTAGATAGTTAAATAACAATTATTATGTTCGAAAAGTTCTATAATTTCATCGGTACCTACATCACGCCAATTATATTATTTAGATACATTATTATCGGCGAAAGCATCGGTTAAAAGTTCGACAATAAAATGTTTTGTTGCGTGGATAGTCCTAGGATTAGACAGACGTATAATTTTCTGACCTTTTAACAGCGCATTTTATGTAATGTGTTCGTTTAACGTGTTTAATGTGTTCGGTAACGTGATAACCGATCGTTTAGGTAACCGATTTTAGAAATCTAGAATTAGACGTACGCCCGTCTTCAGAAGTTTCGTATAATCAAATAGTTTTGTAACCAACTGATTATTTGTATATTGAACTGTCAAATAGATGAATGATATGAAAATGAGTTTTTTGTCCCTGATGTTCTTCCCAATAAGGCCTCAGCTACTAGGCTATTCGGCTATTAACTCAGTTTTATAAGTTGTTATAAATTTGTAGAATATTAGTCAAAAATTTTACGTTTTAATAAATTCATAAATAAATAAATTTAATTCAGAAAGCAAACAGATAGTACGGCTATTATGTATTATAAACCGTTATAACATATTACCGATTGGTTAAATTTGATATAATCAACCGGTAATAATATAATCGACACTTCTGAATACGAACATGACAAAATACTTAGAATAGAACACCCTTATAGATTGTATTTGATAATTTGTCAAATAGGAATGTTGAAATTTTAATCAACGAGTGTGTTATGAAATTTTTTTGTTGTATAACTTGTTTATTAAATGAAACGAAGAAGATACACGTTCGATTATAATAAATCCAATGTTAATCAACATTTTTCACATCACTTGCTTTTGCAAAACACCTGTTAATTTTATAAAGTTTAAATTATTTCATTATTTAATATAAAAAAACGCCTACGATTTATCAATAAATAATTATGTGTATTTTAGTGACATAATGGTTTATATTATTGAATAACAAATAAGCGATAATTTATGAAATTTTTTCGAACAGAAACGAAATTAAAAAAAGCTGTGGAATTTAATAAACGACCTTCGGTCGCTTCTAATATAAAATTCCATCATCTCTAAAACAGTAAATCAAGTTGAATTTGTCACATTTGCCAATTTCTCGAATTGTAGGAGTTAATTGATTGATAATCGCCCAGAATAAACCTTTAATCGCCAAAAATTGGAAATCTTTTAATATCCAAAAATCCCCCGTTACTTTTTCAACTCACTTCATTAGCACTAAGTAATCGAATTTATCTTCCAATTGTCCCACTTTAGCCTCATAGAAGTTACATAATTCAACCGTTTCTCGATTATTTTTACCGGCTTTATTCGGCGATAATTGCAGATGCAAATTAACCTCTATTACCAGATATTCGCTGATGAAACTTTTTGTTTGGCCGCTGTCGCAACCGACGATGCATCTTTCCCTCGAGCGTTACTAACGAGGTGTCAAGAAATTCCAAACAATGCACCTTCTAAGGGTATGTATCTTTAATTTATCGCGCAACTTATCCAAATTAATTACTCGTGTATATGTTCTGTACAAGTAGGTGTATTTTACTTACTTCTTCGTTAATTTCGTCCGCTTGGACGTCCTCACTGACGACGCCGTTGATGCACGAACTCTTTTTCACGCACGCTCTTCCTTGACCTCCGCAGGGGATTTTGTCAGGGACTTTGTCCGAGACGACTTCGTTGTCATTGTCGTTGGCTGGGTAGCCGAAGGGTTGGGGAGCTCCCGGCCTCTTGTCGGGAAAGGGTTGCTTGTTTTCCAGCGGATGGGAGGTGGGGAAACTGGGCTTCTTCGGTTGCACTCCGATGAAACCATTCTCGTTCTTTACCGCCTCACCGGAGCCTGAAAATAGAATTAGGATGGTTAGTATTAGTGATGTTCGATTTGGAGATGAGTAATTACCGGCGGTGGCGAATCGTTGTTTATCAGAAAATGCTGCTCCGTTTTCCTTCGTTTGGAACGAAGAGCTGGAGCCGCCGGCTTCGTAAACTCCATTTAGAAAAGGGTTTTTCTTCACGTCTATGGGGCCGAAACTGCCTTCTTCTTCTTCTTTTTGTAGGTTCACGGGCGGTAAACAGTTTCCTAATCGTAACGCAACGTGTTTTAAAAGAGACTCGCAGAGATTTTTTTAGATTATAAATTACCTTTTTCCGAGCATTTCTTGTAGTAATCGTAAGCGGCTTTCATGGGACTATCGGAGCGCATCCACCAGAAGTCTTGGGGATCGCCCGATTGGTGCGCATTTTGGTGGTTGACTAGAGAGTTTATCTCGCTCGGATTGGCCGAAAAGCCCCCCTTCACGTGGGGATTGTCGGCGAAAGCCGTGGAGATCAATATCCCCACTAATAATAGTGGAGACATATTAAATTAAATCTGAAAGTAATTTCAATTAGTAGGTATATTTCATGCTGTTTGTTTTGCGGAATACACATTGGTTTGTGTTTGTAGGAGTACTACATATATGAAAATAACTTTTAATATTTATTTGCGATACTCACGCTAGCCGAGTGAATTTAATATACATTTTTTAATCAACGAGTCATGCTAAAGTAACAACATTATTCAAATTAACACGTTTGAATTAAATCATTGCTCAATAGTAAGATTTTCTTCTATTCATATCTTCGAGAAGAACATACGTGACATTTACGCTTTGGATACACATCGTGGGTCACGAGTTTTTTTTGTGGATCTACAAGGTCCAATCTCAAAATCGATCGAGCGTTAAATCGCAATCAAATCGTAATAAACAAAATATACCGTGTAATTACATAATTAGTAATAAACAATTCGTTTTCATTCAATCACTTCCATAGATATGATGTTACATTTAAAATGTGCATCTTATTGTAAAGCATCACGTTGTATATTTAATTCGAGATAAATCTTCAGAGGTCATTTTTCTAATTTATTAAAGCGTTAAATGCGCTGGCCTTTACTATAGTGAACCCCGCTGTCATCGGCTATAAAACACAAAATCTAGAGGTAATAAAAAACGTCTATTGTAAAAATTTCAGTCATTGTATATCATAATTTAAACTAATTAATATTCGTAAGGCCAAACGGTTAATCATCCGATGTTTTCGATCCTGATAGATTTACGAGGCGTTTTTGATAGAACCCTGCTTAATTCAGTCATTAATGAGTCATCATCATCAGGTAAAGGGAATTGGAAAACAGTAGTTAATTATTGTCTAACCTTAATTAGCCACAAAATGTAAACATAAAAACAATGTAGAGGACCTTTATGCATCCATAAAATAACTTAAAAATTGCTTAATATTAATTTACAGTAGGTACTTATTTTCTCGTATTAAAGATGAAATTTACTACATGCATGTTAATACACGTTAGATTATTAGATAAACTCATATTACTATATTGGCATTTAAGGCAACGATAGAGACGCCTCATCTATTTGTATAATAACGTTTCATTGCGAAATTGCAAAAGACGGTTCCATAATTACTTTAAACTTATCGTCAAACATCGCCCGATAAGTATTTCATTGCCCAATGGGTTTTGTTCTCACTTCTCCATCCGTAGTTTCTTCAGACCTAATCAATTCGATACGATTTAAAATGTCGACATGAAGAATTATCAGCAGTTAGATCAGACAAATCAATTGTGTCCGTTTTTTATGGATTAATTCATTTTTAGCTAATTTCGATTAATATTTACTTTGAGTGTATGTACGTTGTGTAGCAATGTCTGTTTTCTGCATATCTACAAGCTTTAGAGAGAATTTTATTATAATAGTATTTTAAGCATCTTATAAGAGACACTTTCTCTCGTGATTTTGCGAATACTTATATCGTTACGTAAGATTAAGTAGCATCTTCGTCTTCAACAAAGAGCATATAAATATAGTCATAAAACATTTACTATACTATGTTGAGAAATTATAAAGTGTTTGCATTTCGTCTCATCCCAATATGGTACGCAAAATAAATAAACTAAATTCAAGCAATATTTAAATTCTGTTTTATTTAAATATCCAGAATAATTTTTCTATTAAAAATAATTAAAGACCTGCAAAACTATGTAGCAAGTTCTTTGGAAAAAAATGAGAATTTAACACGAAATTGCAAAGCCTCTATGATTATTATAAATGAACATCAATTTAAGTTCATAGAATATAATTTTACTATCTCGGTGTTAATGAACGTGCTAACAACAAAATAAATTACAGGCTTCGAGACAAATTAATTCCGTTACTGACCTAACAGCTTATTTATATTTAATCCTAATTATCGCGATGCGTAAAATAAAGAACTCGCAATTACTCAACCGAAAAACAATCTGCGATCGCACACCATATATTTTATTTATAATAAACGCCTCGATGAGAGTAAATCGTTATTAAAATATTTAATTAAAACCTAAACCATTGTTATTATCGCGCAATTAGAGATGGTCTCTGTACGAGTAACGTAAAACGCATTGAACACCTTGAATTAGTAAAATACATGTTTCGATTACCTTCATTATTTGTAATCTTTTATGTAAAAAATAGCCGGCAAAATAATTTTGTTAAGGATTCCATATATTCACCTTTGCATAAAATATAAGTAACCGCAAATTTTTATTTAGTGGATTGTAATAATAATTAATTGTTAAGAATTCATTATGATGTTAAAATTAATATATTTTTTGGTAACTTAATTAGGTGTCTACATATGAGTTAATATACTGTCCTATGGTGGATTTATTAATTAGGAGATCCATGAATTAACTAGGAGATAAGTGTACAGGTATCAATAAAATGTAATCATATAGTTAGATTTGTACATATCCTTCAAATTTAAAAATATTGGAGTGTAATCGATTAAAAAATTCCTTTAAAAATCATTCAAACACGTTTACCTATATTTGCGTTAATGGCGAGTTCTCGTATTTTGTTTGGTTTTCTTATTAACGAACCTTGTTTTTATTCTTTTGACATTACCAATAATTATGTAATAGAAATTCCATCTTTATGCTGTTTATTCAAATATTTGAAATCCGGGAAGGTTATCGGTAATATATTAGTCGATTTAATGGCGATTTTGGACGTTACTGTGTTCTAGTATCAGATAAAAATGATAATTTATCAGCGATACATCATAAAATTCTTGTTTATTATGTTATAAAATTCGGACCTTGGGAAGTGAAAACGAAAGGTGAGAATAGATGCGCGAATTCGAAATTTAACGCCCACTTTATTGTACTATCCAACAACCAATTAAAATAATACAAACGAGCAAATTATAAGGGTAAAATTTATAAAAGTATACCCGGAAAATCTTATACCCGCACACAATTTACAAGATGTTTAGTAAGCTTAAAACAATTTTATTGCTTCTGAGATAAATGTACATATTCAAGTACAAACCTATACAGGATGCGCATGTGAATTAAAACCGCTTTGTTCTTTTTTTATCTGTACGTCGCGTTACGAATTGATTAGGCAAATGCTCTATGTTTTGCATAAATTCGACTCTAATTTTCCTTGAAACGAAGTGAATTCATCGTGTAAATCGCTTAATTACATATAAAAGATACCATCTGTTGTAGATGGATGGATTTGATAATGTTAATTTTATTATAAATCTTCGAATATACGAGTAAGTCGATGGAAAACTGACGTCTTATTGTACAGTAAAAAGTTGTGAATATGAGCGTAAAATCAGATTATATTATAATAATTGTTATGAGCGCGAATTGAGTAATGACCTGTTACATTCTATTACAATCGTGCGTCTTGTTTGTCCCATTGTTAAGTAGATTTCTTCATGATTTTAAAATTAAAACGTGGAGAAATAGCTGTCACTATTTAGACATTTTATTTCGGTACTGATCGAAACGGTTATTATTCATTCGCTCGACTCGCTCGTAACAGAGCGAATCCCGATTAATATTGAAGACGGTAAAAAAATCCTGTTTTCGTTAACGTCAGTTTTCACTTTCGACATTTTAACCTCAGCTGGCCTAAAACTTGAATATCCCGCGGCTACAGATGGATTGTAAACCTTTACGTAACTCACCGGATACTTATTTACCGTATTTACTCGCTTAAAGTGCGGTAGAAAAAGTTATCTGTACAACTAGAGACATTAAAGCTTGCTGGATATAGGCGAGCGCCTATATAAAATCTCAAACTTTATAGGTAATACGGTCAATGTTATATCTGCCCACGCGATTATTACGAAATCGAAGAGACGACTCGATATGGTTAACAGACGGCGATAGAGTGGAAAAAATAAATCTATTCATAAAATAGCAGTTGCGCTTTATTGTTAATAACTATATATGTGATGTAATTAACACGTTGAAATTTCTATTTTGAATAAATATTTCTGAGAAATTATCCACTGTGTGGCAATCGTGGTTAATTATTTTACTATTGAATAATATCGAGTGTACTTGTGAGAAGACTGGAATTCGTTGCAGCTTCATTCAACTTATTCATATTTAAACGCTAAAATTTAACTAGTTAAAAGTATTGAATAGAGAGAACTAAATACAATTAGAACAGCCTGTTAAACTCTTTAAATTACTAACAAGAATAATTATTCATTCTTATAAAGCTATTATCATTTTTGTATGTAATTTCAACTGGAGAAATGTACCTTATAATTTTCTCTTAAGCACGCATGTTATTTGTATAACTAAATTGGCCTGCGTTTATGTTTCACTTCGTTTCCATAAGTTAATCGTTGCTGTTAAAGAAATTGCACAAATTATATTAATCCTCGAATTTAACGGACTCTTAATTATAATTAGGAGCGTAAATTTTAATTCGGGTCATCTTCGCATTGCGTAATTGGATTTTTGTGACAGATTCGGTCCAGTGAAGGTAAACTAGACAGCATCGGTTAGTGGCGTAATCGTGGCGTTATCCACGCAATGAACTTGATTTTTTAAAAGGAATGCACCGTTTTTGATCTAAATTATAGCGAGTCAATGTTTTCGAAAGGAGTCTCAGTGGTCAATGCGATTTATTGTTGTTTTATTTTATCTCATAAAATTAGTTAAAATGTGTGGAAGTAGTGTATGATCTGCTTTAAAGTATAGAGTAAATATTTATTGAACAAGTGATTGCTAATATTTAGCATCTTTTGATAAAAAGTGGGTGATTCTGTATGAGTTATACTCCCATTGTTTAATCCATTTTTATTAATTTTCACTTTCGTCCGAACAATGCAGTATGGGCTCAATCGCAATAACGGCTTTTATCCGAAAATGGACGCGTCTGGCATTGACCAGTTTGCAATAAAATTTAATGAAATATTATCGAAATTCGATGCCGTGCATTAAGAGAGAAAATGGCTCGAGCCACTCCTTCTCGTGCAAAAATTCATCAATAAACAATCGATTTTTGACAAAAAATGAT